TGGAGAACATTATTATTTTTGGGGCTCAGACTCATTGTCCATTGAATTTTTCAGCAGAATAAAGTTTCTGCTAAAAAACAAGTTGTTTATGGACCCCTACATTCGAATATTGGACTTTCTCACTTGAAAAGTGATTCGAATTCATCTGCGCCAAAGACACATTTAAGGGCCGGACCAAAAGATTTAAATGCAATTACTGTTCTAATGTGGCCGGCAAACTTTAAATAAAAGTTGCAGGAATGCCAAGAATGCCACCCTCTGCCCGAGCCCCCGAGTTGAATGTCCTTTTTGTAATTCCTCGCTGCGGCTGAGTCCCTGAAGTCGCTGTTAGCCACCGCAAACAAGCGGGCACATTTTTCAGGACTCCTCGATGCCACACTGTGACCCTTATAGTCCCGCCACCCACTGCGACTGCAGGCTGGCTCATTGTCAGCGACAGGACCCTCGGGCCTCCGAGATGAAGGCTGGGTTTCACTAAAAAAAACTGCTTAGAGAAACACTCTAAAAGTTGAAAAATCCATCTGGCTTCTAAGGGTAGATGTAATTCTTTTCCTCAGACACCAACTAAAGGATGATTAAAGAATTAATGCTGATTTGGAATTATTTTTTTTTCGATTTTTTCGCAGTGCAGTAGGTGCCCCAGGACATTCGCCATTAATCTTCGGGGGGCACTCGAATGCAGGTGGCTCAGGTGCAGGACCAGCAGACATCAGTTCCGACGCATCGAAAACAAATGCAAGCGTGGAAGTGCCAGCGGAACTTTACAGGATACTTCTCCGCCGCCAGAACGAATTTAGATTGGCCGGCCCCAATTAGGCCAACAGCCATTTCCTTTTTCGGCAGTCGACCGAATATCTATGTGACTCCTCCGGATCGAAGTGTGGAAAAAACTAAGTACAAATTGCTTTTCCCCAGCTGTTGCCGGTAGTGAGTGTCCTGATAGTGCTGGGGGATGTTGCAGTCGGCGCTGGGAATGCTGTGACGCAAATCCTTTGACGACATTCCCAGCATGGCTCTGGTAGCAGGACAACATACACACAGAGAAATAAAAGAGATACGCATTTATATAAAAGCAATATCAGTAGCCCATCTTATTAAATGCTTATAAGAAGAATTCAACCAAAGGACTCAGATCCTAGACAGAAAAGAAAGAAAATGCTGCATTTTATTTGTGTGCAGGCACAAAATTTGTGGGGCACAGTGGGGAAAGGACTTTCACGAAAGTGGTTTCTAGGCTGCTGTGCAAACAGAATGCAGTGTGATGGCAGGACTAGAGTACACGAAGAAATAGTGGATCGCCATCTGGAATAATGCGGAGGGGGATGCAGTCGCAGGCAAGGGACACACTCACTGTAAGCATGTGTACTTATAAAACTTACAAAATGAAAAAGCAAAGCCAGCCATCGGATTTTCTATTTGGAAACTTTGCCGAGTCTGGCCCAAACAATACGCACACAACGTACAGGCTCCTTAGATGTACTTTGTATTTATGTGAGTGCGAGTCCTGCGGTGCATCAGGCAGGATTTATATATTCGCCTTATGTTGGCTTTAGCTTAAGGGGAAATTGCTGCAATAAAATAGACCTGTTTGTAATTCTACTCAGCAGTGAAGTCAGTTTATATTATTTACCTTTTTGCACTATTTTTATAATAGTTATTATCTTCTAAGAAAAAAGTCACTTTCAGAGTATCTCTTAGATCTGTAAGGAGATACAGGAGAAGACTCCTTCCTACTCTCCCTATATTATTCCGCCTGGAGTAGTGGTTACTAATCCAGTTTCGTGCTTCGTAAGCCTTCATCGTATAGCGTTTCACGATAAGCTTTATAGGCAGACATAAACTGCATGTGCCCAGATAAGTCTTTAATTATTCCACATCAAAAAAGTTTCAATAATCTCGTCCGTAAGCCGACGACTACAAGACAATCAATATCCGCGCGGAGCACTTCGTTATTGTTTGGCACTACTGCCTTTAGAAAGTCGTGCTTGATTGCAGAGAATCTCATGTTCCTACCGTGTTTACCAACGCCAACAGAGCCGGCAAACAAAGGCAGAAAGCCGGCTAGATGGCTAGCTGACTGACTGACTGGAGGCGCTCTTCTCTATGCCGATCCTTGCAGCTCCGTGGACCACATGTCCTGTGCGAAATATGCATTCGGTGTCTCTAACGTGCTCTAGTCGCATATTGTTGAACAAACATAAAAATGAAATTCAAAACAGCTGAGGGTGGGAATCGAGGACGTGTGAAAAAAAAGTGCAAAGGAAAGATGTGTATATGTAAGCGGGGCTGACACATACGCCTGTAGTCACACAGCCGTACAACCACTTCCGCTGCCAGGAAATGAAAGTCTCCGTGCGTGAGAACGAGTGTGTCGGTATTTGTGGGGCTATGGGTGTGAGTGTGTGACTGTTTGTTTGTATAACTTACGTGCGTAGTTTATGGTGGGGGGCGGACGTTGAAAGTGCCATGACGTGAGCCCAAATTTCGTTATGGAAACTCCCCGGCCCGACCTGGTCCGCCAATACCTGTTCTTTTTTCGGCCCGATATGGTTTATTAAAAATTTCTGTTTAGTCAACCGTGAGGAATGAAGGAGATGCCACAAAAAAGGGCAAAGTTACACGCAAAGTTTTGTAGGAGTCATGCTTGAGATGGGATAGCTGAGATTGCAGGTGCCACGGGGCGTATGCGTAGTATTTGTAAAATATGTCCGCATCACAAAAAAATTGCTAAGCGGTTTACGACCCAACCACAAATGGAATGCCAATCCGAAATATCTTGAAACCACAACTGAATTTTCCACACTTTGCGAGCCATTCTTCGCACTGCGTATGAGTGATATTCAACATGTGATATTCTTATTAGTAATTAACTCACGAAGCCACGCAGGTTTCAGGTAACATTTTCTTGATTCAGAACCAGCTATCAAATCCTCATACATTGTCTCCCGTGGTTAATGACATATGCCCGCCCGAAAATGATTCGACATCAGCGATAATGGCACTACCCGTCCATTAATCTCCCGACCCACAAATTCCTGGCTGCTGTGGCACCGCCAACCAATTAGTCTGTCGGCTCTGTTTGATGTGGCATCCACATCCAAACATTTCGTCACACACATACAGGCCTGCCCTAAGCCTGCTGCTATGACATTTTCGATTCCCAGTTGAGGCCCGAATAACCCAGTTTTCGGCACTAATGGTAATGGCCTCTAAAGGGCTCTGGATTCCGCAGACGAACATCTGTCGATAATAGCGCCCACAAACACGAATATATGATTATGAACTAATACGTATTTATGCAAGAAACAAAAGAAAATCACATAAAGTTATCCTTTATGGATTCCTGAGCCATTTGACATGCACTTCGATTAAGTATTAATTAATATCAATTTCTCAGAGGCGCCCAAGTATTTAAATGGAATTTTTTCGAGATGTCGGGATGGACCTGCCTAATTGAAGGTCAATTACCTCCTATTAATTTCCGAATATTCCAAATGAGATGGAATAATTGAGCACAGAACAGCACAGCTCTTAGTGCAGGCTTTCTTCTAGGATATCTCATTAAATTAGCTGCCACTCCTTCTCCGCTCCCTGGGCGAATCTTTGATGCCGGATTGTTGGTCCTTTTTTCAAAGCAAAAGCGATGCTCAACTTGGAAATTAGTGCCGGACTACAAAGGTCCGATGCCCTCCGTCTGTCTGTCCGTCTATCTGGTAATTACTGGACAATGAGTGCAAGGGCAAGAGCGAACGCCACAAAAGGTCATTATGTAATTACGTTCGCCGAGGAGTCGCGTAGAATGGGAATCAGTTTAACTTTCCACTCATTAATTGCCAGCAAAGGCGTTAAAAGATTGTTTTTCTTTGTCCGGCTGGGACTTAAAGGCGCAATAAAGTGTTTAGAAAGGATTGCAGCTTGCTGCTGGATTTTCAGTTTAATGGCCTTGTTTATTTAATTGAAAATTATAATCCTAGTGAAGTGTTTAAAATGCATGAGAAGAGTAAGCTGGTAAATATTTAATGGGCGCGTTGAACAACAGATGGCGTTAAAAAATCCACTCCAAACCGCAACACATCGTAAACACTTGGAGCAGGGTCTGTTGAAACTAGAATTTAAATGCAGATAAATGACCCCGAGAATCTTTCTTTGTTCAACTTTCCGCCGAGAGGTCTCTAGGGGCTAATGCTCCAAACAAGATGTCCCTAATGGCACGACACGACAGCTTGAAGCCATCGGAGAACGGGGAACCCGGCCCAAACAGCCTTCGTGGTTAGTTCGCAAGTTGGCCAATCGGTAGAGCCACGACCATCAATCAAACGTATCCGGGTGATAAATTCCCGTGGCGAGCTCCGTCCTAGCTTTGTTTTCCTACGAAATTATGCACGCAAGCCGCAGAGCCACGAAGGACATTCCCTGCAGGACTGTTTATTGTATTGGCAATGGCAATGGCAACACTCACACATACACACACGGACTCTCTACCGGAAATAGGCCGTCAGGCATTTTGTTTGTGAGCAGTGAACCCTTGCGAATCGACAGGATTCACAGATAAAGCTCAATTGTCATGTTAATCTGGACAGGCCAACGAAATCGGTGCGGAGTCAGCATTTAATTGTCAAGTCAACTGACTAAGTCAACACAGAACAAGTATAATAAATATTTATTTAAAATTAAAAATCATTTCACCTGGTTACCAATTCTCTCCAAGTCTCTAAAACTGTTTTCCGCCTTGCCTGACTTACTCCTTACTTATAGCCTTGAGCGAGGCTTAAGTGTCAACCACCTTGAGATGGAAAACAGATCTAAGCCCTTCTCCATCCTAGCCGTTTACCCCGACTACACACATTCACTTTACTTACAGACATTTGAGAAAATTTTCCAACATTACCTTTGGGAAATTGCTGCGCAGTTTCCTCTTTGGTAACTAACCACCACATTGAATGGAATAAAACCAATGATGTTTTATACTTTTTTGTATTCACGAGTGACGCACATGGCGCTTATTCAACAACGAACCGAAATATGACTTTTAATTTTTAAACCCCGCTGCCTATTCAAGAGCGTTGATACCTTCTTCGTCCACAACGACGGCGGCATTGCGTTCGGCTGCCTCGTAGGCGTGCATTTTGATGAGCATCATTGTGAAGATTTCCGCTGGAAGAGTTGACTGCAGAACCTAGAAAGGCAGGACAGAAAGGCATTAGTTCCCTAGCAGGACATCTTCCCAATACACCCAAGATGGCCCTCGGAAAGCAGGTCAAGATCGTAAAGAAGATGACGCCCTGCCCTCCAATCACCATTGCCACCTACCTGGAGCAGCTTTCCCGGCTGGCTGCACACCAGAATCGCATTGATCAGGTGGTCCAAGCCCCCTTCGATGTCGCCGTTCGTGATGAGGCCCTCACCCCTATGAATCTGCGTCATGAAGTACATCTCTATCTCCTTCTCGTCCAGGTGCACGGGGGCAGATGTTGGTGTCAACATATTGCCCTGGCGGCGAAGACGGCGCTCGTGGAGCTTCTTCTTAAAGTCGGGATCGCTGCGCCGTTTGTGGTCAAAATAGACGCAATAGCCTGCGAACAAGAAGGCCGAAACGGCTGCCAGAAACTTAAAGGTGCCCATACTCGACGAATATATTCCGAAAATTGTTTTTTATATTTTCTGTCCTGATTTTAGTTTTTGTGAATTTCAAAACTAAACACCCGACAAAAAATCTCACTTTTGGACGTGTACAACAATGAGTTTGCTCCAAGGGGGATCTGAGTGCCGAATGAATGGAATTGTGTCGACTGCTTCGGTTTCAAAATCACATTCTCCACTGTGGTTAGCCATTGTTTCATCCGTCAATTTAAAATCCATTTAAGTTATGCCACAAAAAATATGCACATCAGCCTATTCTGGCCAATCAGGAATTATTGGCTTATACTCAATTTGAAACAGTCAATTCAATGTGGGTTTAAAATATAATTCCGGCAAATTTAATCACTTAGTGAACGATTTTCCCGCCAATGCAATTACTCTTCACTCACAAACTCTATTCGACAGTGTTTATTTTCGGCCAGCAATTATGGCCACAACCTCCGCAAAACAAATAAATAAAATGCCAATTTTTACCCACGTGGGTGGAAGGTCAGAAGGATATTCCGACAGCAAAATGGGAGTGACAGTTGGTTTTCCGAGAACCGCGTTAATTTTGGTAATGCAAGTGAACCTTCACCTTTGCGCCGACTGAACTACTCGCAAACGAATCACTTTATTATGGCCCTAGTTGTGGGCCAAGTTTTACGGCCCATATGCGGCGAATGGCATATATGAAAATTGATTAGCCATTTCATTTGATACGATCCTTGAGCACCGAGGGACCTAATTCGATGCCAGACCACTCACAGTTTGCGGTGACCCCAGAAGTTGAGGACGTTGCCCGGGGAAACCCGGGTATCTTCCAGATGTGGCAGGCACAATATGTTCTAGACGGTAATAGAATCTTTTCAACTGACTTTCGGTTTGCCTTTTTATTTCTGTTGAATCCTTAAAGGCTTTCTGCGGCTGCCATGACAATGGAGGGAGAAGCGACACAAACATCGACCTATTATGCAAATTGTTATTCCTCGAAAGAAGTGGAGCCTGAGACGTAGGTCTCTCATGAACCCATCAAATCCTATTACGCCAAATAAATGCCTTGTCCATCGATTTCATTGTGAGGCCATTACGGCAAGCAATTTGACGCATTAGCGCGACTTTTGGAGGCCAATAAAAATGATTCTGCCTTTGTGTTTGGCTTTCGGTTTGGGTTTGTTTGGCTGGTTCGGTTTGTTCTTTTTGTTCCTAATGGGAAATCAACAAATGTGTGCCGAAAACTTGTCCGTGATTCCATTAGATAGATAGTTGAGTGCAGCCCAAGGGTGTCGGTTTCGGTGCTCGGTTCGGTTTGCATTTCAATTACACTTTGTAATCGGTGGCCATTATTGGCGAACCTGGAATGTATTTGCTTTGGATTGAAAGGGGATGAAATCCTTTAAATTGAATCATTGAGAAGGAGGTGGCTGCGCGGTGCTGGACTCTGAAAAGATGATTTAGGGGCGTTTGAAAGGATTCCCTTTTGAGAAATTTGCATCAAAAGACCTTTTGAGTAATAACTTCAGACGCATAAGACTTAGCTCGTGCATGAATAAATCGGTTTGGGACTTTGCATAAATAGGGCGAGTGCCAATATAATGCCCCGGATTTAAAACCCCTTCGGGGAGCCACCTCTAATGATATTAACAACACAATTTTTCGCAGACGAATTACGATTTATTCAAGCAAATAAATCAATTTCCAGGGAAAATGTTAGCCAAGCCCTTGAGGTGAGAACAAAGTGCCTGAAGGACCACAGCCGGTCGACAATTAAGGATGCTTAGGGCCTTTTCATTGTATTTACTCACATGTATACATTTATTTAAATAAATTTCGCCTAATTTGCAGTTCACATATCTACAAATCTGATCTGACAAATCTACAAAGTCAAACACTATCGCCCACTGCGCAGACCCAACATTAAATGAAACAAATATACGGAGATATATATATTTATCTGGTATATGTGTATATAGATACTACATATAGATGTATTTACAAACATGTCTTAGGCTAGGATGTTTACAACAGTTAAAACTTACAGCTCTTCGATGGTGAAAGTGTCTCTAGATTCTTTATACAAATACATACAAATTCAATTTATTGGATAGAGTTTTCTTTTTCGTTTATTTTTTTTCTTTTGACAACCGGAAATTCGACATTGAGATGCAGTCGGGTGGGTGGACTTCGAGGTAAGGGCTAAAGACTGGACGAAAGATTTCCACAGGAATCATTTTGATTAGAAAGTATTCTGTTATTGGAGCGAAACCTTTGAACTTGAAACCTTTTAGATTTTCACAAATATTTGAATATTTTTGCAGCTATGAGCATCCTTTGAAATCGACCCACCCATCCTGCTTGCATCCTTTTCAAAGTGAGCATATATACAGTAGGGTAAGGACAACGCAACGGCAAATTGCATTTCCCGCGCCAGGATACCGGGCCGGAGAAATCACACTCCCTGGCAGTCACAAGCCTTGGCCGCCTGGAAAGGACAACATCACAGCTGTTTGGGACTGTGCTCCACAGGATTATTGTCCTCGTCACAGGAGATGTATTTGATTTTCACGCGCTGCCTCTCGCCCATGCTGTTGTTGATGGAGAGGCAGAGGGGGGAGCTGTTCCCGTCCGCGTTTCCGCCCGGCCCCTCCATGATGCACTCCACCGCCTTCCTGTGGTGCAGCTCTGTCTGAACCTGCTGGAGGTGCTTCTCCCGCTCCTTGTCCTTAGACGAATTGGTGTGGGTGATGGGCGGGGCCTGTATCTGGGTCTCCATGGTGCTGCGCTTCCACTGACTCTTGGTCTCGGCTGCGGAATTTGTGGGGGGGTTTTGGGTGAGACAGTGGGTATGGCAACTGAATGTTGGTCAAAGTGGTCTTGGGGGAGGAGGTGGGGAGGGTATACCCACCTCGAGTGTGCCGATTGGAGCTGTTCTTGTTCGTCAGCCGGCTCTTCGGGGAGTCGAATCGGTGGCGGGTGAAGCCCATGCAGCAGCAGCATATAATCCGCTGGAAGTACATGCGGAACCTGAAAGGGTATTGTTAGAAGTTAGTTTATGGCAAGTCTTAAGCCTTCAAAAGCGGTCCGGACTAAAAAGCGCACCTCTTGTTCATCCAGTAATAGATTATCGGATTCACCATCGCATTGGACATGGCCAGCCAGTAGAAGCCAAGGTACATGTGCTGCACGTACTTCGTGGATGCCACGTGGTTGTTGTGGTAGGCATAGATGAAGAACAGGTGGTACGGCAGCCAGCAAATGGCAAAGATCGAGACGATGGCGATAAACATGCGCACCACCTTCCGCTTCGACTTCATAGACTCCATCTGGCGGTCGGTGTTCTCGCCGATGGAGCGGCTGCCCCACAGGACCCGACCCATTAACGTGTAACAGATGAGCATCACAATCATGGGGATTCCATAGGTCAACACCAGGATGATCAGGTTGTAGCTGTTTTCATAAGAGGAAAAATGTAAAAAATAGGTCCTTGTTTGAGCCACGGGTTCCATAAAATCTTAGCCACTCACGCATAATCCGCCATCGAGGTGGGATATCGTCCATCTGGCCACATCATAAAGCAAACTGTCCGCGACTTTCCGTTGTAATAGCTGAAAATGGTCCATTGATTTCAATGAGTCAGTTAAAAGTGATTTTCCGGTTAAAATAATTCCCTTCCATTCAGTCAGTAACTGGCAAATCAAAATTTCAACATTAATTACGGGCCAGGGTTTCGGTGAACGCGTAAAAAGCTGTTAAGTTTCGCGCCTCAACGACTTTAAGGACCAAGAAAGTAGCAGGAAGGACGAGCCCTTTACAAGCATGACAAATTTCTCGTTCGGCCCGTCATCCAAATTGAAAACTTAATTTCCCAAATTATGAAATATTTTATGCCCCAGCGTTGCCGAGCACTTAAAAGGGCTGTTATGGCACTGGGGGGAACCCCCTAAAGGACCAAGTGCCGCCTGTTTACCGGCACTTTTCGGGCCATTAATAACAGGACTATGGCAACAGGCAGACAGGTCATAATTTGACCAACGAGCTCCGACGAAAACGCTGATGAGAATGTCTGCCGGCCCTTTGGTTCTTGGCAAATTAATAAGACATCAATGTCCCATTGATATTCTTGCCTTCAACAGTTTATAAACTTTTTGCGAGTCAATCGTGTCCTGACTGGGTAATTTCCTTTCAATTCCACCAATTCAGCTCTACAACTGTCTGTCACCTTCGAGGTCTCTGCCGAAATATTCATCCAATTTCGTGTTAGCCGCTTTTTTCCCCGGGACATCCACTTGCTCCACTCCGTCAATACGCACATCCTTGTCTGAATTCGCCGCCGTAGCCCGGTTGTTCTTTATCACATTTTGATATATGAACTTGCCATCTTTATTATGCCTGAAGTCTGTTGCCCAGGGAGACCTTTTATCCCGACCAGGCTCCGCCTGTGGAGAGTCTAAATAAAAAATGCTTCAATTCTATTAAACAAGACACCCCGGCCCCCAATCACTCTCCAGGACGCCTGGCTCCTCGCAAATGTTGCAAATTTGCGTAAAATTCAAATGAAGGCGTCGGAGCGCAGAGGCGGGAAGCTGATTTAGATGGATGTGGATGTGCTTGTATCAACACCGAAAATGGCCGAAAAAATGGAGAACGTTGGAGATAATTTAGGAAAAAATATGGAAACATTCCTGGAAGGTGGAAGGAATTTCATTTATTTATTTGTTTGCCTCCTCAAATCGATACTGGAGCAGCGGGATGCAGGTACCCCACAGGGATCCTGGCTAACTCTTAAGCTATGGCTTACAAACTTGTTTATGATTTCAGTCTCGTTCAGGTGGAAAAAAGTGGAGCCTAAAGCTCCCATTTTCTCTTTCTTCTCGCATTCTGAGAAAAACACCTAACATCAGGGCAGGACTGTCGGTAAGGGAATCCTTTCACCCACCACCCTCCCTTTGTGACACCCTCGCGGATTCAGATTCGGTGGCAATTGCCCACTTACTGCTTGGTCATGATGCTGGAGTAGAGCAGGCAGGGCGCCGAGAGGACACAGCTGAGTGCCCAGATCAGGACCAGAATGAAGCGCACCTTCCGACGCGACGTGCGCCGCTTCAGCGGATGCACAATGGCGATGTATCTGCGGATTAGAAAGGGGAGGAAACAGCAGGAAGCGGATGTGCCGACGCACAGATTAGATGACGCTGAAAGAAACTCGAGGAAGAGGGTATGGAGAATGAAGAGGTCTTACCTATCAAAGCTGATGGCCACCAATGTAAAGACCGATGTGGAAACCGTGACGTTGGCCACAAAATTATTGATGGTGCAATAAATCGAGCCGAATGGCCAATCCGAATTCACCATGAATATAAAGTTGAAGACGCAGTTCAGCGACGACATCAGCAGGTCGGCAATGCTCAGGTTCAGCAGGAAGTAATTTGTGACCGTTCTCATGCTGCGATGTCCTGTGGAGAATGGAGGGTGAGGAGAGAAGAGGTGGAAAAAAATACCGATTTAGAAAATAGGAGATAGAGGGACGGGTGGAAGCCAGAGACGTGATGGAAAAGACAAAAATTGCCGGATATTAGAGCGCAGTAGGCCCATGCGGCGTATACGTGATTTTTACTTTCGCTTTACTTTTTGTTGCTGCTATGATTGTTAAACGCTTTAAAGCCTCTTGGCCTCCAGGAGCTTACCTGTTACAATCCAAAGAACAATCCCATTGCCGGCAATCGCCACAAACATCATCAGCCCGAAAATGATGGCCCAAATCGTTTTCTGCTCCCATGGCAACTCGTACGGCCGGGTCGGCGATGGAAATAGGCACTCGGTGAGAAAGTCTCTGCGGAAGAATTGATTAAAAAATGTGCGATATAGTGTTGGATTTGACCAAAGGCCTTGCAATTGAAGCTTCAAGGGACAGATTACAAAATCCAGTATAGAGCCTATCGACCAAATAACTGTTTAAGCCTTCTTCGAAGTGCAACTTTGTTTAATTGCTTACGCCTAAGTCGCTCAAATTTTATACTTCCTGACAACAAAACAAGGATTAAGAATTTCTCAGAACTGCAAGATACTCCGCCAAATTATTTGTTCATGAAGCAAAGTGAAAGTTTGCACAAGTCCTAAGACGATTGAAAAGCAAACGTTTGACGGCATATTTTTGCGTCTAGCAAGAATTTATTCCACGAAAAAACGACTTTAATCCCAGAAAGTTTTCTGACGAGCCCGAGGGCCAACAATATTTGGCAAATTCAATCACAGAATGCCCCAAACTTTCCGATTTGCCAAACCTTTTCGCCTCCATCTTCGCCAGCCATCCAGCAATAACAATAGGAAATCAATGAAGCACAAACTGGGCGAGAAATCCTTAAAGGAACTTGCCACAAAAGAAATGTCCTTATCGAAATGGAAGCAGGACCCGGCAAGGCTTCAGCAGCACTCCCAGAAAATTGTCCGGTAATTTCATTGGACTTCCATCCTTCGGACTGGCCGGCGGAAATGAGCAGCAATCTCGCAGGACTGCTGCATCTCCAAAGGACACCGCCTGAAAGGATAGTTCCTGGGAGCGAGGACATGACTGATTAGCATATTACTCTCGTAGCCGATTATGGTAATCAGGAGAAGTCTAGCTACTAGCTGGAAGCTGTAAGCTGCTAGGATGCGAAGAAGGAACATGTCGATAATTAATTTCAGGGGTCGCTTTGTGTTCCTTGGCTTCCTTTTTGGCTGAATGGCAAACCCTATTAATTAGGGGAACCTTGTTCAACGATGATTGCCACTGGGAGCTAGTTATGAGGCTCGTTCGGCCCATTCCGCCACTCTGGCACGCTTTTGTCTGACACCACATGACGTATGAGCAATATCAATGAGCCGTGTCAATGCCTGCGTCGGCCTGCTTTCGATTTCCCAGCCCTGTTCAAAATGCAGCAGACACAATTCCGACGAAAATTCAATAAGCGAATTGTTCACATTCATCCGTTTCCATTGACATTTTCAGTTGTCTCTGTTCTGCCGCACATCAAATATCAAACATCAAACTCTCTTACGTATGCTTGAGCCGAGCCATGATTGATGGCCTGATTGATTGGTATTGTTGGAAACCACAAAATATTCGACTAGTCGGCCTCCGTAATTAATTTGAAGTTAATTGCGTTTTGAGGTACTTTGAGCTGCAGACTGTCTGGAAAACATTGAATTACCATCCAGATTCTATCAACACTGCGGCATGTGTGCCGTCAAGAGTGGCACATTTGATTTTTGGTTTTTGTCCCAAGCTCCACTCGATTGGTTTGTTTAAGCATTTTGCCCTAACAGGCCACATATTGCTCTGATTGCAGACCAATGAACTCGAAGTGGAATTCGGTGGCCAAACATAGCGACGGTTGATCAAATTGTGTGTTTTTCCTAAAAACTATACTACGAAACAGCAATTAAAATTCATGAAATGTTATTTGGCAACCACAATTATAACACGGCATACCTTTGGTGTAATTAATGGTACTGGTAGCCCAAAACATTGCCCAGCAATTATTAGTTTTATGTTTCCAGACTGCGTGACTCGATACACGAGGATATCAATATCTCGAAGTCTGATTGGTTTTTTTTTCACCCTGATTTCGCCTTACAGCATCCTCATTTATTTGCTTTGGACTATCGATTTCGCATTTAATTAGATATTTATCCCAGTCCAAAGGAACAAACTCAATTAGCAGATATGGAGCTAACAAAGGCCTATAATCACCATCAAGTATACGCCCTGTAATACCAGAGATCCAACATTGTTACGACAATGTGGCAAAAATGTGTGCTAATTGATAGTTATTTCTGTCTGGTTCTTGTTTTTGTGATAATTGTATTAATTCCACAGTGGAATTGACAGTGGAATTTATTATTAGGCGTTGCATTTTAATTAGGCAAGTGCACTGTCAAGTACAAATACCATTTTCGATTTGCATATTTGTCGGAAATTCGAAAAATCTCCCATCCCCTGTTTTCGGCACTTGTGTTTAAACTTTTCGCCTATTTTTGCGGAGCTTCCAAAACACGCAAACAAGTTTGGCCTCCGTTGGCCTTCCCATTATGATAATTGCTGTTGTCTAAGGAACTTTTCATTCATGACACTGGGAGAACACTGGGAGAAAGTTCCCAGTGCAGATTTATGGCTGCTTTCTATCATGGGGAGGGGAGCTGAAAAGCCAGACAAAGCCAGGACTCGCCCTTGGGTCGTGCCTAACATTTTCAGCCTAATTTAAGCAAATTTAACTTTATTAACGTAATTTGTATTTTTCCATTTTTCTTTTTCTGAAGCGGACTTCTTTTCTGGCAGCCTAATTGGGTTTAATGCCATTTAAAATCCGTGCCGAGCTTCAGTTTGTTCCCGACATTATAACAGCAATAATCACTCATGAACGGAAGTGTTTCCCCGTCAGCAAGGAACTAATTACTTCCGGCCGGCCGCAGTTCAGGGTGAAAAATAATAATAATAATTCGTGTGTCGGTTCTTCAGAAATTTAACTAATGTCCTTGGGGTATTTGTCGGCACTTCTGCCCCAGGCGAATTCGGAAAGTTGGCATTTGGCAGCAAGACTTCCTGGCAACTTGGCTCAATATGCAAATTTTTTACCATTCGAAAAATTCCGCAAATTCCAACAAAATTGTCCATCGAGTTTGGCAGCAGGAGTGGCATTGGTTTTCCCCTTCAAACGACCCCAAAGTGTCAGTTGCTTTGATTCGTGAAAGCGAATTCCATTTTTTCATTTCCGCGGCAAACAATAATTGCAAATATATTCGCAAGTGTAAAAGGGATATTTTCGTCTTCCGCTCAAATGATTGCCCTTTATGTGTATTTAAAAGCTGACCTTTTGCTGGATAACGGTGCGAAATATTATTAATTCGTGCCAATCATCATAAATCAATGAGCAATTATTTTCATTTCTGCGGTGTTTACCATAATTGAGGCGATTCAATAAGGCTGCATGAATCCCTAATTGGGATTTATGATTTATTTTTATTACGATTTTAAATGCTCGAACTTCCTCTAGCTTGGTCGCCCCAAATTATTCAATAATTTAGCCGGGCCATTAGCAACATTAAAGAAAATTATCGTCAATTATAGTGCACCCCTTGGCAATTTCCGGTTCTGCGGGGGCTCGACCAAATTGCTAGTCATTAACTTTCATCCACAGAGTTTACCGCCGCCACTCACTCAAAACTCGCTAGAAAGGTAACTCGCTCACATTAACCTGGCTAATAGTTCACGGCCCTCACTGGGAGGTCCTAGCCCAGCCTTGCCCGCCCAGCCACTTTGCACCTGTGGGTTGTGCACACTTCCTTTCGTCCTGCCAACACACTGCACTGCCTCGCATTCGTATTCGCATCTCGGTTATTATTTCCTCTTGAATATTTTATGCATGACGAGCCAGCGATGCCAACTAAATTGGCGGTCTTGGGCTGCCGCATTTCCCTGGCAGTCTCTGCCTCCTCTCCTTTCGTATCCTTTTCCAGTCACTGCACAAAGTGAGAGGTCGCAGCCAGGTACTTTGGATCCTTAAGGTGCAGCGTTTGTGTCGTGGGGATATGCGCCCCTCTGGTACTTACTAATAGAATGAAAGTATGAGGAAAATAACCAATAAAAACTACCTTTAAAGCACAATATTCGTCTTGATCCAATTTTACACAAGCCATATCTAATTACCTTGCTTCTGGCTTAAATTTATGTCATCACTGAAGGTGCTGCATGCAGCATGCGGCACGCAGGACGAAAGTTGCAGCGCCATGTTTATAGTTCAGGCAGTAACTTCTGACTGCCAACGGCAGTTACCAAAGTTGAAAAACTTATGGGTCACGTAACTTAATGGTGCTCGACGGTATAAAGTCGCGAGAGCTGCTTTTTTCAGAGGGCGATAAAGCCGATTTGAGTGCGGCTTAATGGACTTTCAAAATAATTATTTAAGGTATCTGAAAAACCTGAGGAAACTGATTCACCATATAAGCCAATAAAGGAAATCGAAACAAATTATCCCTTGCTATTAAACAGGTAATGATTACTGACATGAAAATAATTTAGTGCACACATTGAATCTATCATCGATTTCGATTTTTGTTGATTTTTGTAGGTTTTTGATTTACATACGCATTTCCCCTCTAATACTAAACGATTAATTCAATAGACTGTTTTTTAATGCTTTCAGCTTTAAAGACCCATCTTGTCGAGTCTACTCATGTGAGTGGTGTCGCCACCAGTAGATAAGTTTGGGGCTTGACAAATAGCTCCTCTGTCAGAAGCACCCAAAGCTACCAAGGCTCAGGACTCCGGACCCAACACCCATATCCGGAACCATCGACATCACCGTTGACGGGACAAAAACAATGCGACCCAGAGTGGATTTCGATACGCTCCGCAAATGAGGCCATTTTCAATTTCAGAATTTATGAAGAGACATGGTCATGGGACGCTGGTGTTTCCCCGGTTCCCCCCGCCCTGATGACTGCAGGACACACATACGCACTTCATGACAGAGAAATCAAGAGTGGCGGTGATGGCGGGCAGGACAATGCGCAAATGAAACTTTCCATGTTGTTTTTCATGGAGTGGCCATTAAATTTTCATGCCCATGTCCGAAATATCTGTTTCTCTGGCATTCCCTCCGCCTACCGCACATTTCTCCACCAAATGCCACCCCCATTGGGGACTCGTTGTATATTTGGTGAGAAAAAGTTAATTGAAAAATTTGTCATATGCAAATTACTCGACTCACACCCAGGAAAGCCTACTGTCCTGCCTACATTCCTCGTTCCAGGGCCATTATTTGTTTGCACAATCCATTCTACCGGGCCTCGACAGCAATTTCTGCTGATCCTGGGGCTCAGCTATCGACGAGCTGGCATAAACAAGCTGTTCTAGTCCTTCCTTCTCGGACTCCTGCGGCCCATCCTTGGCCTTGGCTAATCCAAACAATTTCTTTCGATTTTCATCCGGAATGTTACAGTTGAAGGCGCCTCAAAGGGTTTCTTAGCTTTCTCAACTGCTCACCCTATTGGATAAACTTTGGGGCCGTTGAGGGAGTCATTTGGCATAGCCAGATAAATTGCACTTTATGAAAGGATTGTGGCAAGTGTGGTGAGCTGTTATCCTTTAGAATTGTTACAAACTGGGTGGTGAGATATGAAATTTTTAAATGAACTCTGCAGCTTTTTACCTTAAAGTTTTGCACAAAGCACTGAAAATTTGAGTCTCTAGGTTCGACTTTATTGAAGACTTATTTCAGGGCATTTCCGGTTCGGTGTCCTGGAAAAGTAGCAGACGCTTCTTGTTTTTATGTGGGCCATCCATTCTGATTGGATTTGAGTCGTGCCATAAAAATGCCGAGCCCCGATGGACACCAGCAGAGGCAACAACAGCATCGACGACAACAACTGCAGGACTAACAGCAATAAGGACTAATGTTCGGGGTCCTTTGTTAGGGTGCCACGCCGTTATCATTGGACAGCATCAAAATCAATAAGCGTATGAAATGCCATAAACATCAAATCGAAAGGATACGACGACCTCTTCCTTTAAATCTGCTGAAGACATCCTATCGTCTTGTAATAAACTCTGACATTGCGTATACGCCGCGTGGGCTGCTCATTCGCACTGAAGTGTGTGCAAAGCCCGCACGCGTGGCCGAAAGGCAACTAGCAAGTTTTTTCTATCAATAATCCATGGCAAATATCCAAGACATTTGTCCTGATTGAAGGACAAAGTCACCAGCAAACATAATGAGCTTAAGTTGGGAAAAAGCGATGGCGCTTCACCTGCTCAGATGCCTATACATAAAAAATAATCTACACATAGAATAAATAAGGTATTTTTAGTGTTACTAGTGGGGAACATAAAAAAATTAGCATAGGTTAAATCTGAGAAATTCTTTCATAATAAAACCACATATACATATATATACAAAAATGTTGTTTTTTATGATGCTATTAAGTCTACAAATTGAATTAACCCTTCCATTTTCTACGTGTACCCTTTCCCTTTTACCCATACCCACTCCCACATCCACTTTCTGCCGGCACTCACAAAGAGCATAAAACCTCGGAGCTTAGGTCCCAAATATAGAACATTGAACAAAATGGTTCGGTGTTTTGTTTTTGTCAAAGTTTTTCGAGGAATTTGTTTCGGTTTGGGCTGTGAGGGGCTTTGCATTTTCCTGTATTCAATTATAATATTTGCGGCGCTCTTGTTGTGTGTTTCCTCGCTTTTCCCATTTTTTGCCTATTTTGTCACCTCCACACAGGATAAAACAATTAGTGAATTCGGAGAGTGAGGGAAAGTGTTGCGAAAAACCCTGACATCCTTGATTGAAAGGGAATAATTACACGGCAGCCCAAGTGGAAATGTGTGTAGTATTAGCCTGGCTTTATTTCAAGCGGGTCAAGGTTGATAAGGTAACTTTATTTTAAATTAGTTTTTTCAAAAGTTTGCAGTAATTTAATTCTTAAATCATATAATAAAAATTCCATGTTCAGAAACCTCTCATGAAAAGGAATTTAAAAACTATGCTTTAAAAGTTTTAGACTGAAAAGGCAATTATTTTAGCCAGAAACTAATTTTTACACACTCCAAAAATTTCAATAGAAGTAGTCCGAGGTGTAGAGCGGTTTTTCGTGTTTTTCCAACCATTTTTCGGCTACTGTGCTCCCAAAAAACTTTATAATTGCATCCTTCAGGGTTGGGAATGGGAAGTCCGCACTCATTGAATGCGTAAACAATACCATTTGCTCTGGCAAATTTTCCCTTTGAAAAACAATTCAATTTCGATTGCGGAGTCTGTGGCTGTGGCTCCGACCAGGATCTTCAAGGACGTGGCACCCATAGGCAGCCCCTTAAATACGAAAGTGAAAAACAAATTAAGAGCTTAATTAACCAGGCACAAACAGTTCCAAAATAGATCCATCACTGGCCGGATTAATGCGCTGTGGAATATTTATTCACTGACTGACGCCTCCTCGTTTCCGCTTCCATTAGTTCTGGTTTGTGTTTCGAAACTTTTGAGTTATTATTTCAATAGTCGCGCGGCGGCCAGCTCGTTAATTTCACTTTGCGGCTGGAAACGGAAATGCGAGTATTTATGCCCCGAATGGGGTTCAAGTTCTTGGTCAGATGAAAATAATTACACCGATTAAAGAATATTTACGGCGGCTTAATCATGGCCTTGCCCCGCCGCCCCAAGGACCAATTTATCCTAGCAATTACAAGCGTAGTCTCTCTTTCAGACAGCCACCAAATTATTGGTTAAATATGTACATTAATGTGGCTGCCAATGAGCTCTGACCACTTCAATAATTGCATTTCACGAGTCACTTGTAATTAGTTATGATGCAGTGATACGGATCTCTTATGGGATTGTTATTGTACTTCCTTGTAATACTAATTAGCACGAATGGTAATTGCAGTTCAAATCCATATCGTGTTTAGAGTAAAACTCTCATAATGAATATGAAAAATTGTATAAATTTATAATAACAATTTATAATAACCCTTATTAGGACTCTTTAAATATTATTTTAATCATCGCAGCCTAAATAAATTTGCGATAATGAAGGATCCTATAAACAAAGGCAATTCTAGGACGCGTACTAGAAAAGGCACTTTGTTTAATCAGTAACCCGACCCCACAGGTCCTCTAAAACATTATTCAGTTGGGCCCTTGCCAGGATTATCAGTTGGCCCTTATCAGCGAATACCGCGAAAGGCAGTTGACGCTTCCGATTAATTTACATAATACTGAGGGACAAAGGACTTCCACGAAAGGGCTGCCCCTGCGCCGGGGATCAACTCACTTGGCCTCGTTGATGTTCTCAAGATTATCCCGATTCTCGATGATGCCCGACAGTAGACCGACCACCTCGGTCCTGTTCAGGCTGCTCAGAAGCGTGGTGTTCACAATGCTGTTCAGCTCAAATCGCCGGACGGCCAGGATTGTGCAGTTTACCAGCAACTCGGTGTCCACGGTCTCCGACATTTTCCCAAAAAGTCACCCAGGAGTGTTGCGTAATGAACTGCTTTTTACGGATCCCGTTGTTGCTGCAATTGTGGCACAACGTAATGCTACTGCGCCATAGAAACCTTTGCGGTCGACCAGACGATGGAGACGTTGCACATGCCTTAATTGCTCCTGCAGAGTCCTGATTTTTGACCTCCCCTCGTGAAGGATTTCCTTTTATTACTTTATTTTTAACTGCTGCCAGCCACGCTTATTACTCGCTTAATTTGGGGGCGTGGTCGTGGGCGACAAGTGGCATTACCCGCTGCATGTGGCAAGTTGGCGCCATTTGTGGGGTTTGGTAAAATGGCCAATACTTCTCTGTCAGTTGCAATGTAACGTATACGCAATGTTGGAGTAATTTTTATTTTCTGTTATATTCAGAACTATTATATATTCATTATATTGTTAGATAGTTAATAAAACAGCGAAGAATGTATTCAACACACATAATATACATATATCGAGTATGTAACTTTTATATGTTATTTTTGATTTTATTTTATTTTTTGTAAGTATATGTAATAAATATTATGTATGTATTGCACTTGTGTAATTTATAGATTTTGATTACAATTTTGTCACGCACTTTTTCTCATTACTTTAATAAAATAATAACACTTTTTTCAAAGACTAGATCCATTATAATTCAAAAGCTAGATTAATGAATTGGTAATTAAAATGCCACACAATTTAATCACTTAACGAGCATTTAAATTCGCTATTGAAATCACATTTACTATTTTATTCCCCCTTTGTTTACTTTGGAGATTTTTTGTCGCAGATACCATTTGTGGTAATTTTTTGAAAAGAACTACTGGCTATTGTGCTTTTGGCAGGCTTAAAAGAAAACACATCACCCACACACACTGCTCGGAAAGGACACGAGCCCCCAAGCCGAAGTCACTGTTTAACAGTTGGCAGGACAATGGATTTCAAAATCCGCCGCAATTTGTAACAAGTTTTTCTGCGCGCGTTCTGAAGCGCTGCGAGTGCCGCCTCCGACTGAGCGCTTTATGTCGAAAGGACTACATGTCCTGTGCTGCTGCGGCTGCTGCTGCGTCGGCAATGTGATGTTGCACAACCTGTTGAGAGAAAGCTGGCAACACACATCCTTCAGCAACATGTTGCTCAGCACGCGATTTATGGAAACACCAAGGGAAGCTCTTTATTTTGAAAAATGGAGCTTAGGTTTTAAAAGATTTTAAATGGAGTCTTAAATATTCTTAATAATTATTAAATATATAACTAATACATGTACAAAATAATTATAATTGATAATATTCTAGAAGGCACTTTTGCTTTGTGTTTTATAAAACAAGGCCACCTCCGAGTCTAAAGGGCTGGAATATATATATTTTTTACTTGGAAATGCGGTAAAGTTGATCCGTCTCAAGCTACTTTTGTTTTTACTTTACTCCAGTATCGTTTTCCACTGCACTTGGACTTGGTTTTACTTTCACCTTGGCTTTTCTCGCTCAAATAGGTTCACGCGGCGTGTTGATATGATGAATGACCTGTAAATGATGGCAGAGGACACAGGACACCCACATACACCGACCCGTGCCCACGCACACCCACACATTCGAACATACACAATGGCCTCTTCAAGGACTGTTCAAATGAACGATTGTGATTCTGCGTTCGCCTGTATTTCTGTTTGTTTGTTGCGTTTGTGTTTGCTAATGTCTGGAAATGTTTATGTCTGCCTCTCTATTTAGCCGCCCCTCCCACTCGGACACTTTCATTTTGTGCTCGCCATGATTATGACTAGCCATTCGGGCAGGTCCTTCGCCCGCCCAGCCCCTCCACCCCATTCAGGCCCACCAAAATGGACACCCTCATGTAACTATGGACCTCATTTCGGTCCAGAGCACGCACACATATGCATTCCCATGTTTTTTGGCTTTTTTACGATCTTGTTTCGCTTAGTTTACAGCCTACATTTAGCCCCGCCCCCAAATCTCTCGCACATCCGCCCCCATTCCGCCCAAAGCATATTTCTGCACATTTTTGGGGTTTTCCGTGTTTATATTCACGGCGATTTATGCATGTTTATTATGATAAATTTATGCGCATTTGTTGTTCCTGTGTTTTTATAGAGTGGAGCTGGCCGGAGCCTGGGGGCCGCCAAAATAGAAAGCTCCGAAGATACAGGACCGGAGCACCCTCCTGAGCAAATAAAGATATGCATTAAGCAGGCTTTTAGGCAAATTTTTAAAAAAGCATAGTCAGGCGGATAAAATTCTACTATTTTATTTGCTTTAAGCAAATATTAAATATGCTAATGAAATGAACATTAAAAGAAAACTTCGTGTCACCTAATGTACCCTTCAGAGATCTACTAAAGCGTCTGATAATATAAAAAAAGGACATTTGAATTTAGTAAAATATTTGGTTCTTCCTTGTAGTTCTTCCCAACTTGCGTATAAGTCCGACCACCACATCCATCCAATAAACTGCTTAATAAATTGAACCGAAAGTGCAGAACAGGCTCCAGGACATGACCACGACGAGACCCAATACTCCCAAGACATCCGCCCCCAAGTCAACATGTGTCAATTACCGCTTGACTTTGTTTTGACAGCCGGGGAAATAGGTTAGTTTGTGGGGGAAGGGAGAAAGGGAAAGTGGCTGGAAATAGGGAATCTCAATGTGTGTCAGCATCAAGCATACGCCGTGAGTGCGCATCCCTGGGAAAATCCTATTGATTCTGTCGCCAAAAGCAACCAGGACGCCATCCGACTGGTGTTGGTTAGAAGCTGATTTATGGTTGCAGTGTGATTTGTGGCACTGCCGGCACATCCGCGGGGCAAGAGGGTGGCCAGGATGAAACTTTCAGTCGGACAAAGAAAAATCACTTTGGCGTCCAGCGAAGCGCGAGAGTTGCGATTCAGTTTTGCATGCAAAAATTAATTGGCGACCGCAAAAACATCATTACCTCCCAGATGAGTAGCTTTTTCTGGCTTATTGTTTGTTTGTTGCCTTTATGTAGAAATTAATCAAAGCGGTGTGTTTGTGACTGCAAATAAAGTGTAATTATGTCGAGTTAACCGCATGAAGCGGTTGGTCGACTGCCTTGATTAATCCAGATGACCCGGGAGGGTCTTCGCCTAGGCGAGGGCCTGCTGATCGTCTACCTTCAGGAACACCGAAAAGAAGAAGGCAACTGTTGAATACCAAGGACGGGTTAGCGACGCTTTAGAGTGTGTTCCCAGCCACTTACCAGACATCAGGGTGCAGAGCCAAAGGAACGGCGCCAGACAGCTCATTTGCATAAAAATAGGCAACATAATGTTTCCGCTTACAGAGCCGAAGCGTCCGAAGGTCATGATCAGCATCAGCACCATTGTCCTGAAAGTCACAAGTATAGTTTAAATACTTTTTTTGGGCAATTGAAAATGTCACCTCATAAGAGTGGGAAAAATCACTACAGACATGCTGATTATGGTGGTGGCACAGATTCCCATCAACGTGAGATAAATGGCAGAGACCAGCATTGTCACCAGGGAGTCCTTGCAAAAGTAGAGTCCACCCACCAGGAAGGTGCTGCAGAACAGGAACACCTCTGCCAGGACATTGCTTAAATTAATTCTTTGCCAACTGACATGGTTAGTTAGACCCTTAGGGCTCTCAAAAATTGGAGATTACATCATAATCTTTCTTAAACTACTCACTCAGTATGTGATTCGCTACAAGCCGGATGCGCAGCAGTGGAAAGATTAGGATGAATCCGAGCAGTCCAATGGCTGACACCGTTATGTTGTCCAAGTAGCTATCCGGGCTGTGATGCTGCGAGGTCAATTAATTATTTTAGAGCCTGGAGCAGGGGCAACATAGCTTCCTACCTACTAGATCGCATTCCTCTTTCTTTTCCGCCGAATTGCGAGTCAAGGCCAGGTTGTTGTGCTCCACCACGGCGCACATGCTGGTGTCGTTGAATCCCTGGGTCTCCATGACATGCATCGTGGCGAAAATCTGGGGCAGCCACAACCGCACAGAGTTGACGCTGGATGAGGATTGGGGGTAAGCAGGATAAGTACGGGATTGGGTGTTTCGTGTTTCCTTACCAGGTTATCTGGCAGAAATGCAGACAGTAAACTTGGATGGATATGGACAAATACGGCTTCCGAAACATCGGCTTGATCTGCCGGGCTCCCTCCAAGAATTTTTCTTTCGCCTTTTGGAATCGCTCCTTGAGGGACGACGATCGCCCACTTTCCTCCAGGGTCTCAGATCGATCCGGCACGGCATCGGTTAGATGTTTCACCTGCGGGTTGCCCAAGGATTAGAATAAGCACTCTAAAAGGTTTCAAATCTACCGGATAGCTGTCTCTGCTCTTGCGTTTGTTGATGTGATAAATTCGCTGCAGGCACTTCAGGGCCTTGTTGTAGTTTCCCTGGGCCATCAGGAACTTGGGGCTCTCCGGCAGGAACATATGTAGAAATCCACTCAGTAGACTGGGCACCGCCGAAATGGCAAGAAACACGTGCCAGGTTCGAACTACGGGACGGAAAGGAAGGACTTAGAAATAGGTCATCACCTCCAGGACTCACCTACACTCCAGAGAGCCCACCTTAAAGTAGATGGACACCGGCATGAGGATGTAGGCTAGGAAGGGCAGCAGCATCGAGCCCATAGACACGGCTAAGCCGACAAAGAGCATTATGTACGGTCGGTGCTTCTTGCCATGGAACTCCGCCAGGTAGCTGACCACCACCGCAAAGGGGCCACAGATGCTGGGGGGAAAAAGAGTATTAGTTTGAAATATCACCTGCTGAACATAGAGACAAACATTAATCCGTCAAGGAACTTGAAGATCATCAGATGCAAGGTGGACTGGCTGAGAGCGGCACACAGGATGAAGATTCCGTCTAACCAGCCTCCAGAAATGAGCACAGGCCGGCGTCCGAAGGTGTCAGCCATAAAGCCCCAGGGCACCGCCGAAAGGATCATGCCGCCATAGGTGGCCGCGTTCAGCATTCCCTTCTGGACGAGTGTCAGGTTCAAGTCGCACTCCGCAGAGGGCATCACATAGGAGAGTGCTGAAGCTGAAAAGACCATAGCCGCCAAGCAGGGCGCAGCGCTGAACAGGATGAACACGTTGAAGAGCCCAAATCCGCACTCAGCAATAGCCGTCTCGAAGTCGACCGCCTCCTCGATCTTACCCCGATCCCCCATGGGGAAAAGAAAACGCTGAATGTGAATCGGGGAACCGTAAGCCGAAAACAGGAACAGTCGGACACGAAGTCTTTTTATGTATTGTCAGAAAAAGGCAATGAAAATTTTGAAAGCTACACAAAAGACACCTGACTCGAATGATTTTTTTTGAATGCATAGATGTTCTGGAACTTCAAACAAATCTAAACAAGATAGGAAAGCTAGCTTCGGGCGGAGTGGAACTGATATACCCTTTCCAAAGCGTTTTTACTTTCCAAAATTCCAAAGCTTCTAACTTCAAAAATTTCCAAAGTTTGTATTTTTAGCAAACACAAAATCCTTTTTCCGATTGTTCAGTTATATGGCAGCTGTAGGATATATTAGGGGACTATGGCCCACAGTGATAACTATATCTTCCCCAGACCTGATCCGATTCTTGTGCTGATTACCTTCAACGATTTGCAGATCGATTCGCCATCATTCTGCATCAAAATCCTGAGACAAAATATTTTTTAGATTTTTCGTCCATTTTTCCCCTTGAAAATAGAGTTTTCCCCTATAGGGTCCACAGTAATGGCTATATCTTCCCCAATTCTCATCCGATTTTAGAGCGGAATACCTTAAAAGATTCGTGGATCGATTCCCCGTCATTCTGCATCAAAATCCTGAGACAAAATATTTTTTAGATTATTTGTCCATTTTTCGTGATGGGATCCCTTGAAAATGGGGTTTTCCCCTATAGGGTCCACAGTGTTGGCTATATCTTTCCCAATTCTCATCCGATTCTCAAGCGGAGAACTTTAAACGATTTCTGGATCGATTTTCCGTCATTCTGCATCAAAATCCTGAGACAAAATATTTTTTAGATTATTTGTCCATTTTTCGTGATGGGATCCCTTGAAAATGGGGTTTTCCCCTATAGGGTCCACAGTGTTGGCTATATCTTTCCCAATTCTCATCCGATTCTCAAGCGGAGTACTTTAAACGATTTCTGGATCGATTTTCCGTCATTCTGCATCAAAATCCTGAGACAAAATATTTTTTAGATTTTTGTCCATTTTTCGTGATGGGATCCCTTGAAAATGGGGTTTTCCCCTATAGGGTCCACAGTGTTGGCTATATCTTTCCCAATTCTCATCCGATTCTCAAGCGGAGTACTTTAAACGATTTCTGGATCGATTTTCCGTCATTCTGCATCAAAATCCTGAGACAAAATATTTTTTAGATTTTTTGTCCATTTTTCGTGATGGGATCCCTTGAAAATGGGGTTTTCCCCTATAGGGTCCACAGTGTTGGCTATATCTTTCCCAATTCTCATCCGATTCTCAAGCGGAGTACTTTAAACGATTTCTGGATCGATTTTCCGTCATTCTGCATCAAAATCCTGAGACAAAATATTTTTTAGATTTTTTGTCCATTTTTCGTGATGGGATCCCTTGAAAATGGGGTTTTCCCCTATAGGGTCCACAGTGATGGCTATATCTTCCCCAATTCTTATCCGATTCTTAAGCGGAGTACCTTAAACGATTTCTGGGTCGATTTCCCACCATTCTGCATCAAAATCCTGAGACAAAATATTTTTTAGATTTTTTGTCCACTTTTCGTGATGGGATCCCTTGAAAATTGAGTTTTCCCCTATAGGGTCCACAGAGATGGCTATATCTTCCCCAATTCTCTTCCGATTCTCAAGCGGAGTACTTTAAAAGATTCGTGGATCGATTCCCCGTCATTCTGCATCAAAATCCTGAGACAAAATATTTTTTAAATTTTTGTCCATTTTTCGTGATGGGATCCCTTGAAAATGGGGTTTTCCCCTATAGGGTCCACAATGATGGCTATATCTTCCCAATTCTCTTCCGATTCTCAAGCGGAATACCTTAAAAGATTCGTGGATCGATTCCCCGTCATTCTGCATCAAAATCCTGAGACAAAATATTTTTTAAATTTTTGTCCATTTTTCGTGATGGGATCCCTTGAAAATGTGGTTTTCCCCTATAGGGTCCACAGAAATGGCTATATCTCCCCCAATTCTCATCCGATTCTCAAGCGGAGTCCCTTAAACGATTTCTGGGTCGATTTCCCGTCATTCTGCATCAAAATCCTGAGACAAAATATTTTTTAGATTTTTTGTCCATTTTTTGTGATGGGATCCATTGAAAATTGAGTTTTCCTCTATAGGGTCCACAGTGATGGCTATATCTGTCCCAATTCTCATCCGATTCTCAAGCGGAGTACCTTAAAAGATTCGTGGATCGATTCCCCGTCATTCTGCATCAAAATCCTGAGACAAAATATTTTTTAGATTTTTTTTCCATTTTTTGTTATGACGTAATTTTTAGTGACGCCTGGCATGGGTTAAGCGTTACACGGTCGGCCAGGGCTGCCAAGGCACTGGAAAAGGAAATAAGGGCTTAGAAGCACTAGGCATGGCTTATGAAGTCCTATTCAAGATAAGAACTAAACTAAAGCAAACATTATGGGTTTAACGAAGTTGAATATTTAATATTATACCTAAAGAAAATTAAAAAAAAAAAAAAAAAATTACAACAAAATAAAATTACAACAAATTACAACAAATTACAACAAAAAAATTACAACAAAAAATTACAACAAAAAAAAAACAAAAAAATATTACAACAACAAAAATTACAACAAAAAAATATTACAACAAAAAAAATTACAACAATATAAAATTACAACAACAAAACATTACAACAACAAAACATTACAACAACAACAAAACATTACAACAACATCAACAACCGCAAAGAAAAGCTTACAAAAACACAAATTACAACAAAATTACAAAAATCTGAACTGATTTTTCCGACTTTTCGAGCTAGCTTAAGTGCAACTTATGAGAATCGAGGAGGAGGGCGCTGTTTTTAAAAATAATTATTAATTAATTATTTTTATTATTTTTTTAAATTTCAACCAAACTTAATAATTTTTTGAAATATTTTAAGATGCAATAAAACCATAAAATTTTACTCTTTCATGAGAATTCGATTTCGTGGCGCCCTTAAAAGTAGGCCATAGAATAAGGAATGTTTACATTTTCCAATTTTTTATTTGTAAATAAACATGTTTTCTCTCGAAAATTATGGAAGAATTGAGGTTGTTTATGTTTACTATACTATATGTCTATATATCGATAAATATTATACCGTCATATAGCAGTTATAATGCATAAAAAAAAAAGATATGAAAAATAATAACAAATAAATAAAAAATATAATCCCTATTAAACCCATTATTTCTGGCTTAAGTGCAAATGATCCCTTGAAAATGGGGGTTTCCCCTATAGCGTCCACAGTGATGGCAATATCTTTCCCAATTCTCATCCGATTCTCAAGCGGAGTATCTAAACGATTTCTGGGTCGATTTCCCGTCATTCTGCATCAAAATCCTGAGACAAAATATTTTTTAGATTATTTGTCCATTTTTCGTGATGGGATCCCTTGAAAATGGGGTTTTCCCCTATAGGGTCCACAGTGATGGCTATATCTTTCCCAATTCTCATCCGATTCTCAAGCGGAGTCCCTTAAACGATTTCTGGGTCGATTTCCCGTCATTCTGCATCAAAATCCTGAGGCAAAATATTTTTTAGATTTTTTGTCCATTTTTCGTGATGGGATCCCTTGAAAATGGGATTTTGCCCTATAGGGTCCACAGTGATGGCTATATCTTTCCCAATTCTCATCCGATTCTCAAGCGGAGTACCTTAAACGATTTCTGGGTCGATTTCCCGTCATTCTGCATCAAAATCCTGAGACAAAATATTTTTTAGAATTTTCGTCCATTTTTCGTGATGGGATCCCTTGAAAATGGGATTTTCCACTATAGGGTCCACAGTGATGGCTATACCTGTCCCAATTCTCATCCGATTCTCAAGCGGAGTACCTTAAACGATTTCTGGGTCGATTTCCCGTCATTCTGCATCAAAATCCTGAGACAAAATATTTTTTAGATTTTTTTGTCCATTTTTCATGAGGTTTTCCTCTATAGGATCCTTATAAAAGTTTGTACTATTTTGCCAAAAATAAAATCCATTAAAAGTCCTACCTCTTTTTCTGTAAAAATACCGAATTTTTGGCATTTCTGATCAATCAGTTATATGGTAGCTATAGGATGCGTAACACATTTTTGACCAAAATTATATACCCTCTGAAAGCGTATAAAAGCTTCATGAATCATAAGTTTTATTTCAGAATAACATTTAAAAGGATAATATGAAGATAATAATTCAGTAGATAATTTTTAAAGTGGGTAGAACTGCTCTCTGCAACTACAATGTGCTTAGTAATTGATAATTCGTAATTTGAATCTGTCATGGATGATGGCAGCAGATGGAAATTAATTAGAGCCCTGGATCTACTCGGTTCACGAATCATCGAAGCATGCACTATAATCGCTGCCATTTAAAGGCTGCCAGGATTAGTCAACTCAGGCATCACTAATTTGCTCTTCAGCCTCCTTCGTCTGAGCGACTGTAGCTGATGGAAATCAGCTTCATGTTATCCAGTATCCGATCACTCACCTGCCAGTCGAACTGGGGGTATCCACTGAATCAGCCAACCAAACAAGCAGGCCACCCACCACCCCGACAGCCTTGCCGCCCCATCCAACCCATCATCCCACCTGAGCGCTCCAAGTTACAGTTAATTGGTGTTAATGAGATTTGCATGTCGTGGCTTCCGACTTTTGTCCTTGCCCATCAGACGGCAGGATGTCTTATCCTGCCTGTTCATCCTTAAGTGAATCAAGTCTAACAAGATTATGTATGTATGTACAACCATAGAGATATATTTGGTTTGATTGCTTAAGATTGCTTAAGGTATGCTACATAAATAGTTCTTCCAACATCTATTGTCGTTACTAAGTTCTACAACTTATCCATTCAGTTACCTCGTTATCACTAATTTGTACAGCTAATGTCTCAAGATCTTCCGGTTTCAGTGAGATTTCTACCCAAGAATCAGTTTAGGAGAATGTGGCCTTTGCAGGATTGGGCACAAGGATGGAAAGGACACCCGCCACTGAAAAAATAAAACGAATCAGATATAAAATAGAGATATGAAATATAAAAGTTTCCACTTACGTATCAGAACTGAAGAAACCATAATAAATGGAGGCAGGCACCCAATCTGAATGAAAACCGGAAACAGGAGATTTCCGGAAAGCGCTCCAAACCGTCCGCACATCATGGCAATGGCCACCACAACGGTTCTAAAAAAGATTTAGATAATGGAATATATACAAGATTTAAATAAATGAATCATTATTACCTTAATTGGGTGGGGAAGAGAGCCACAACAGCTCCCAAAAGCGAAGAGACTGCAATGCCGCAAATGGTCAAGAAAGTGGCCGAAATAATCAGGGTCATTAGACTGCTAACTGAGAAGTAGAGCAGGAGGCCAAAGGTTCCCGAGAGAAACAGTCCATAGGCTAAGAGAAATTGTCTTAATTATAGAAACAATATAAGTACTCGTAATGGGTCTTACTCATCATTCGCTTGGGTCCCAAGGCGCGGATTATTCCTCCAGCAAAGAAGTATCCTACAAATCCTGTGGCGGATACTATAATATTGTTTATGTACATATCCATGGAGATTTCTTTGGGCTGTAAATTTTAAAAGAGATAAAATGAAAGCTTAGTTAGTACTCTTAATTAACTTAAAAACGGAAAAGTTTATCCCACAATGCGAGATTTACTATCCAAAAAATATGGCTGATTACGTATGTACTTTTCCCATCCCCATATAATCTAAGATTGCGCGAAAAACACGTCATTGTAAAGATGATGAGGCACTAAACTGGGTGGCTGATAAGACCTATCTGTAGACCAGGGCTTTATCCTACCAATATCTTATCTGGATACCCACCTCAGAGCAGGCATCGGCGTAATTCAAGGAAGTTTCCGCCGTGCGATTCACACTGAACTCCAGAATGGTGCACATGCTAGCGTCCACGCCCTTCCCCGCGTTCAGAGCCTCGAACTCGGCCATGGAGGCAAAGAGCTGGGGCAGCCACAGCCGGATGGTGTTCATGCCGAGGAAGATGCCGAACTGCATGATGTAGCAGCATAGAGACAGCGAGAGGAGAGGTTTCCTGACCAGAGGCTTCATCTGCTGCAAGCCGGAGCGCAGGCTCTCGGCAAGAGTGCGGGATTGCTTTTTGGTAGCCGGCACTTCCTTCGATTTTTCCTCAATGGTGTAGATGGCCTCGCCCTTTTCAGACTTTCGGTTCGGTACCTCCTGGACCAGGGCTTTGAACTGAAATTGTTTATTTGTTTTGTTTAGATTGCGTTTATCTTTTAGTTTTTTGTTTAGGGAATCTTACTGGATAGGTTTCTTTTGGCTTCCTTGTGTTTACATAGTAGATGTGCTTAAATGCCTTAAGCGCTTCCTCGTTCCGACCTTGGGCCATCAAGAAGCGGGGACTCTCCGGCATGACACAAAAAATCAGGCCACTGACCAAACTTGGAATACCCAACACAAACAGGTAAATTTGCCAGCTGTGGACTGAAACACCAAACTTTAAACGAGCTCCCTGTGGGAAGTGGTTTGATGCGCAACTTACTCCTCAATCCCAGGACCTCAAAGTCCCATTCCCGTGGGAAGATGCCCCAGGCCAGAAGGGGTAGGGACACAGTGGCCGTAGACGTGACCATTCCAATAATCATTAGAACCGAAGATCGGTGCTTGGGTCCGTGCATTTCAGTGATGTACGTGAAGAGAACTGCCGCTGGACCATTTACCCTGAAGTCAAGAATAAATTAAGGTGAGCACGCGGAAGTCTAATTAATACAAGTCAAGGAATCTTACACCAAGCCACCAAGGAACTTGAACACCACCAGCATTATGAAGTTCTGACTCAAGGCTGACCCGAAAACACACACCGCATCTATGAGGTAGCCCCAGTATAGGATCTTCTTGCGGCCCTTGGTATCTGCGAGGTATCCCCAGATCACGGCCGAAATAGTCATGCCGGCGTAGGCCACAGCGTTCAGGACACCTTTGTCTTCCAGGGTCAGCCGAAGATCGCACTCGGCCACGGGCAGGATGTAGGACATGGAGCTGGACTCAAAGATGGCCGCACTCTGGGCGGGAATGGACACAAAAAGCAGTATCAGATTGAAGAGGCCAAAGCCTGCTCCTTCAATGGCCTTGTCGAAGGTAGCAAGACTCTCCTCCCCCTCCTTGGTGGGCTTCGCATCCGCCTCCGTGGTGCTATCTGAGTTTCCATCCTCCTCACCCCCATGCCCGTCGTTTTCCAAATCTGAGAATGATAAGGCAGATGGTTTGCTTTTACAACTTTCTAATCTTCGGTAGAACAAATAGTGGAGATGACTAAAAACGTGTTGGTTTTTATAGGATACAGCTTTCTATTAAAATAATAAGATTGAATAATAAGCACGACACAGAGGCTTTCTATTTCATAACTCATATAAATTATCAAAAAATCTTAACAAATTCTTTGCTGAATTTATAAGTTTTGGAATTTTCTTCACTTTTGCACTTTTTAATCCACCATTATAATATTATATCACACCGCAATACCTTTGATTTTTTTTGGATCAGTATCTTCAATATTTGTTTTAGACATCCTAGCGGATAATGGAACTGTCACTATATTTCTTAATTGGGCTGCTCTTGAAATTGATTGCTCAATTAATGAATGCAGGTCTTTATTAAAAAGCACAGTCACAAATTACTCGGTTTCTGTTCACAGCCTCGAATCAACTATATTCCTATATAATATTTGATTTAACCGACGAGTGCTTGCACTTGCAATGCTGCGCGAGAAATGATCTCCAAGGGAAACTGCCACCCGCTTTTATCGGAGATCTGGTCTTGGTAGAAACTGGAGATTCACTCACTCACATCTTGCTTATCACTGGATTTACAGCCTAAAGAATCTAATAATCATATAAACGTTGTTTATCCAGAAAGAATAAGTTGCTGTAAGGGGAGTGGTACAGTGCGTTACGAAACGAACTGATCTTGGCACAATGACTTTTAAAAAAATATATTGATGTTCTTTGAACTCTTAAGCCCCAAAAAAGTTCATTTAGCATGTCAGAAATACTGCATGTTATTATCCTTAAAAAGGAAGATTACTTTATAAATATTTTGCGTCGTGTTTCCCACAATACCACAATAAAACCAGCCGTTGAAAAACATCACATATTCGTGAGAAATATCTAAAAATCCTCTGCATAATACTGACCTCCCAATTGTCCACGCAATGTCTAGTCCTGGAATCACGTTTTCATGACGACGTCATATCAATGGTGAAATTTTGAAGATGCTTAAACAGCTTACCCTTATCTTGGCCACACGACAAAAGGGTGATCTTATCTACTAACTTATTTCCATCATGACTTAACACATTTGGATGAGCCACAATGAATGAATTACTCATAAGAATGTTCAAAATCTCATCATCACACACAATACGGGGTTTATTTCTTACACTAAATAGGTTCTATAAATATGAGGGGGCAACAATTCTTTCCACAACCGGATCACTCAATAGCGTCCACCAACTTGCACAGCATGCGATCGTGCTGGTAGCTGGGATCATTTTTGGCCGCCGAATTTGCTTCTAAAGGATCTACTTCCGTCTTGATCTTTGCTCCATCATGGTCATCGTCCTCTGTCAGAACTGGCAGCGCGGAGAAGGCGGTGTTGACGATTTCACGGACTTTCTCCAAGTGCTTTTGGAAACGGGTGGCCGTTTCGACGCGCTGTCGCTTCTGCATTTCCATCATCACGCGAAGGGTTTCGCGGGCCTGATGCGGCCGGAACTCGTTTAGTAGGTGATGCATGTTCACAAACAGCAGACTCAGATCATCAATCTTAAAGAGATGGGTTTATTCGTGAGATTCAAATATTTAGAAAAGCTATGGCCCTTACCTTCTCCGTGCGTCGCGGGCTGTCTGGGTTCAGGATGAGGAAATCGATAAGGTCCAGGAAGTTGACCAGTAGCGAGTGGTTAAGCTTCTTAAGCTCCTTGCGCCTGTCGAAGTGAATGGGTATGAGGCGCTTGATGTTCTGGGACTCTAGGGAGCGGATCATCTCGTCGTTGTTGTACTGTATCCCAAACATGCTATACACTTCATGTTGTGAGGGCGGCGGAGGAGGCCGGGGCGCGCGATTTCGGCGAATGTTCTCCTCTGTGTAGTTGGCGATATAGCGTTCTGGTGGCATCGGCAGGCTGGACACCTGGGTCTCCTGGTTCGACATGGCGGCGTTTTATATTCTCCTTTTCTTATAAATTGCAAATGTAAGCAATTTAAAGCCTGCGATAGAATACGCCACTCTTTTAATCGATCGGGTAGGATTATTTTAAATAATATCCAATATTTGGATACTTTAAGTAGATATATTAAATGTACTGTTTACTTTTGGACAAAACAAGTATTCTCAATTCCTATTTGGCCAATAAGTGTGACCTCTCAATCACGGTGCAGAAATGTATACTTTTGAGTGACCTCATTAACCGCCACTTTTTAACCGCAGTTGGCAGCCCCATATAAAATTTAAATTTTAAATTTGAGCGTTTATGTTTTTTAATTAGTTTTTTTCATAAGTTTTTACTTTTTGACATTAGTTTAACTAATTTGAAATGTAAATACTTATTAAACTAACGGAATCTGGAGTTTTAAAAGTCAAATTGAAATTAAAGCAGTCAGGGCTTAAACCTTAAATAAAAATCTTCTAGAAGAAGAAAAACTTAAAGAACTTCTTAAACTAAAAAATTGTTGCGAGAGGTATTACAAGAACGCAACCTATATAACTTTGTTTACTTTAATAAGGTACAAAATTTAAATTTAGTATCGTAACATCAATATCGTAAAATATACAGCGAACTATCGAAACATCGATATCATGGGCGAAACTAAAAAAATACCAGATACTGTTTGGCGAAAACATTATAGTTTTTTCTACCTGGCAACAGTGACGCTCTCTCGGAGAGAACAAAACAAAATAAGAATACAAATGAAAAAGCGTGGGTCAATTGGAATATATCCCCACAAAAATTCGCGCCATTTTGCAATATCCTTGAAATCCTTGAATCCAAGTTCGTAGTGAAAGTGGCGGTGAAGTCCCCTATCAAAAAGTCAGCGTGGGATCCTCCATTTTGTAATGTGAACGCCTCGTGTATATTAAAACCGAATCAGTGTGTGTGTCCGTATCAGTCTCGTCCGAGTGAAAACCCGTCCCCAGCATGAGCCTTAAATGCAATATACATGGTTTAGGCAACTTACTTAACAGTTTATACAATTGAGCCATGGACAGGGCTTCGTCGGAAGAACCGGGTAAGTGACGCCACCGCTGGTTTCAGCAACCCGGCGATCTTCCACTGATTAAGTCAGAGGCTATTTTGATACACACCTACATATGTATACACATGAATGAATGTGTGTGCGTGCAGGGGGCTGAATGGCAGAAAACGTAAACAATGAAGAGGGCCCAAGATTAATGAGTGATTTGAATATCAAATATCCGCTTGAATCAACAGCCTCCGGCAGTGAAGCCCGCAAACAGATTTTGGAGATCGCAAAAAACCGCCCGGGAACCAACGTGGCCAAGGGCATCCAGGCCTATGATGAGGAGCCCGATTTGACGTCGCTAATCCTGCTGCTGGAGGAGCTGTCCAAAAACACCGACTACTCCACGGATCTACGGATATCGCTGACATATGTAAGTGTGCTAATAGATACAGTCAAGCCACGCTTGGTCAAACATTGTACAAGAGATTGTGTAACAGGGTGGAAAGGTCAAGGCAGGCAGGTAGAAAAAAGAAACCCTGTTTTCAATGCTTGGTTACCAACTATTTTCTCCTGTGAGCACGTTGGCTTGATCTCTATTAAAGAGGCAATAGTTAATGATGGTTCCTAACTCTCTCCTAGTACATCGATGAGCTGCTGAGACACTGTCTTAGGGACCGGAATGTGTCACGCCGTTCAGCCATTGCGGCTGCTGGAAGTGCCTTGCAATACTGCGGAAGGATCTATGGAGACCGCGTGGAGTACATCCATCAGGTGGTGGAGCACCAGGTCCAGGCCCTACTTTCCGCAGAGAAAGAGTCTTCTGACAGTAAAGGGTGAGTGGTCAGTCTGAAATCGGAAGTCGAAGCCATGTGCTTCAGCCATTATCGTCATGCTGTCTGAGTCTGGCGTTGTCTGTTATCAGACCGCTTATCGGGGTTTCTCTTACGCCCCCATCTTTCGACTTTACATCCAAAATTCAGAGAAGCCGGCTTGTTTTCTGCCTTATCTGCTAATGAACAGTTAAACACGCTTTCGGGCTTCAAAAAGTCAATAAAATCGAGTCGAATAATAAGCACACTATAATGAAGCAATGATTATCTTTCTAATTTTTTCTCTAGGGTTGATTAGAAGTTCAAGTCTAATCCTAAATAGGTTAAGCTTATCTTTTTTTCCATTAATCAATAGTCCTTTAATATTTATTAGAGCGGAGAATAACAAATCCAAGCCGGAAGAGCCGCGAAAACGGCGCGCCAAGAAGCTAACCAAGGAAGAAGTGGATCCATATCTTCTCAACGTCGAACCCAAAAAGTTTCGTGTAATGCAAGATGAGAAGCGTTTCTCGGCGAAGGGTTTTGTAAAGTGCTCCAGGAACCGAACGATCGAGTATCTCTACCAAGACCATATTCCGCCGAATCTATGGCGCCACGCACCAATAGTGGATCCGGACAATCCCAACGATTTGGACGAGAAGAAGCAGTACAAGATGTTCACTTACCACGTAGAGCATCGGTATAACACCCTTCTGCCGGATATCCCATTTGAGCGGTTGAATCTGATCAAGGAGTATGTCCACACGAATCACGTCAACACCGCGGAGATCCTGAGCGAGCACCAAACGACAAAGGACTATCTGGATGAGTACATTGCCTTAGAGAATCAAATGCTGGCGTCCCGGTACGGAGCCACAGTCAGAACCAGGAGAAGAATGGACAACAGTTCAGTTGAAGCGGAAAAAAGAACTCGCCAAGAAACCTCAGACCCAGATTCCGCTAAGAGGGTGCGACTCGAGGAGTCTGTAACAGATGCAACACCAATGGATGAAGGAGAAACTTTAAATCAATCCGACCTAATAGATCAGTCGTTGGCCACCGGAGAAATGTTGCAGAATCAAATCTCCGTCGACTCTGGCTTGGGAGAATCCCTAAATTGTAGCCAAGAGGACAGTGCCATAAACACCACGCAGGACGATAGCCAAGTAGAGAGTTCTACCTTGTGCGAGAGTCAGGTGGAAAATGCAGCACTTAGTAGCACCTTGGCCATCAACGAGTCCAGTATTCTGGAGAGTACAAGGATCGATCTACCGCCGGCGAAAGAAGGTTCTTTCGAGGACCTAATCCAAGTCGATTCCGGGATTGGACTGGATGATACACACCTTCCGACAGGTAATCCAATGCAACCATACTCCGGTGCAAGCGTACTTTGGATAAGTTTTTTGTTAATCTTTTGTGTTGTAGAATTTGAATATACTCACACTTCCTTTTGTTTTTTTTTTTTATTTTGGTACTTGATCCCACTCTTGGATCTTTTGGCATTGCACTTGACACAGCAGGCCAATGTTTTGACGATGAGGGTGTTGTTCTTTCAGATTTTGAAGATCACCGCCTGCTCTCGCCAAAGGTTTTGCTTAGGGATATTATGCGCGGAGTGCCCGACAAGGAGAACATAAGTGTTGTTGTCGGGGAGGAAGTGACGGAAATCAGCCGGATCGAGAGGCAAGCGGAAGATGTGGATATAATTACCGTAAATGCCGAGGAGACGGTGAATGTGCCCAGGGAAGTCTGCTACACCATTGAGCGCAATATTTTGGGAATTCCGCAGAAGCATTTAAGGAAAAGGATCCTTTTCAAACTCCCCAATGAGTATGAACTATTTAAAAAAGCGGTAAGTCAACAATCCAATATAGAGTTTCATTTGGTAAATTTTGACTTGTTTTTTTAGCGTCTGCCAAGCAAGAAAGAGGCAGTTCCGAAGCCTCCCACCATCCCCAGAGTGCTGAACTTCAAAACAGATCCGGAAGAAAGACCCGAAGCAGACGGAGAAATGCCTGCCTCTCCTCTTAGCCTAGAGTTTGACATCGATATGAGTAAGCAAAAGACTGGTTTTGATGTATTTATCTTCTAATTGCGTGATTTACAGACTTTCTGGGCTTCCGAAGACACACTTTGGACTCTGGGTTCGACATTGACACCATAAGAGCATGGTCAGCGACAGTATCAACGATAGGAGAAGCGCCTCTTGATGTTGAAAACGTTTCTGGGGGCCAGGAAGGACGAGAGGTTGCTGCACCACATAACCCAGATGTCGTGGATGCTGCTGGTGAACCGTCTGAAATGGAAATCGCAAATAATACTTCGGTCGCAGGGGAAAATAGTATGGAAGAATCACAGTTGGAAACTACTTCAAATTCTGAGCTACAGACTACGACTATGGAAAATACAGCCGTTGGAATGGAGAGCGGCTTAGGAGTGTCACTGACCTCTGATCACAGCACCACAATGGAGGCTACATCCGTTGGAATGGAGAGCGGCCCAGGAGTGTCACTGAGTTCTGATCTCAGCACGACAATGGAGGCTACAACCGTTGGAATGGAGAGCGACTTAGGAGTGTCACTAAGCTCTGATCTCAGCACGACAATGGAGGCTACAGCCGTTGGAATGGAGAGCGGCTTAGGAGTTTCACTGAGTTCTGATCTCAGCACGACAATGGAGGACAGCGCGGTAGATCAAACTCAGGGCAGCAGCTCCCTCAACGATTCGGAACTTGACCAGGTATCAGGTGACACTATCACCTTGTTAGACGAATCAATCATAATGGACGAAGCACCGGCAACAAAGTCGCGTGCGGATAAAACAGATGGCAGGGGGCCCAAGTGGAAGATAGCTCAAGCAGAGGATTCAGAGGATAATTCAGAAGATGAGCCTCCCATAACGGATTTATCGGTAAATAAATATTAATATATTTATTTTGGACATCGTTAAGTTGATTTACCCTCTTACAGATTCTAGCCTGGCATAGGCGACTTGTTCCAGCTTTGGAAGCTGCACACGAAAGGCAAAACTTTAACATCAAAGATGTGGGAACTGAAATCCTGGAAGTGTGTCAAAGGGGCAACGGCACAGCCACGTTAAAAGATGTAATGAAGGATAAGGATCCTACTATCATGTGCCGCTATATGTTGGCTTCCCTAGTACTGGTAAGCACAATCTAAAACAATTCAAAGCTAAGGCGCTAGTCTTATATACATATTTTTTCCAGACGAATCATGGAAATGTGTCCTTGAGTTTTGGCGGCCCAAAAAGAGGGTGTGAGCCCTTGGATATGTCCCAGTTTTGTATGGAGCTAAAGAGCATGAAACGAATAGAAGTTCACCCGGAGGATGATGTGGGCAACATCAAACCAGTGCAGATAAGACCTGTTAAGGTGTTAAATTCCAGTTCACATAGGAAAGCGAAACGGAAGTCCACAGAAATGGAGAGTCCACAGGTGTTAAGCAAAACGGTGCGATTGATCCAGCCCATTCCGAAAGTTCCCCAATCGCCCGCAGACACAGATTCTGGGATATCTTCAATGTCTTCCCTAACAACTTCGTCCCGTCCCGCCTAACAGTCTTTGTTTTCTACCGCGATCCATGTGTATTAACCCGAATCCCAGTCGAATGTCCCCTTAATGTCCAATAGATGCCATAGCATTTAACAAACGATATTGTGTCCCTTACAGAACCCGCAAACAATTCACTTTTCCCAACTGTATTGCACGATCAAGAGGCTGCGGTAGACGAGAGGCCCTCTGCAATTTTCCCCAATCCTAGATTATTTTATACTTTTATTGGAATTGTACAAATCTTATTACGATTATTTTCAACGGACGAGGGGAATTATTTTTATGACACTCTTCAATTCTGCCCAATAATAGATTTACTTTTACATTTTAAATAATTTTGTACAAATCTTAGGATTATTTTTAACTGACTTGCAATCGTAAACTTTGTGAATAAGCCCACATGAACATAATATTAGTATAGAATAGGCCAACAGTATTATTTAAGCTCCTGTTTTTTCTGGAAACACCTCTCATGGTTCATCCTGCATTACTATTTGGTTTCCTTATTTTCATTATATTCTTTTTTAGTTAATATTTTCATATTTCTTTCGATTTTGAGTTTTCTTTATTTTTAATTTTTATATTAACTTTTCTTTACATTTTTGAAGCTTTATTTTTGTTTTATTTTTACTTTTTTGATTCATTTTTGTTTATTTCGCAGTTTGAAACTGAAAGCAAACATCATTGGTTTGTATAGTGTTTTGGAATCCACATGAGCTGATAGTACTAAAATCAAGTACCTGATCTCTTGTAGTGTACAAAATTAATTATTATCTAAACCAAATCTAATGTGCATATGAAACATCACCTAATTTTACACCGCCCATTCTCGGGTGAAAATAAGCATTAGCATACATGTATATATTTACCAGAGTGCAAGCGAATGTCTATTTACAATTTTGTGCAAAGAAACAAAGTTTTTTTTTTCGTAGGCTTAAGATGACAGCGTTAAGTAATAAAACAAAACCAATCAAATTACTTAAAAATCTTTTAATTAAAGTTGTGGGGGTATGGTCTACAAAAGCCTAATGTTACTCGGAGTCACTGCTACCCGATTTTTGGTCATCCTCCTCCTTCTTTTCCTCAACCTTGTAGTGACGATATTCTTTCTTGAGCTCCCACATGTTCTTGTGGGGGTTTTTCATGTTGTAGTCGCACACGTCCTTGAGGATTTCCTTCAAGTAGCTAATTGGCTGGTTCGTTATCTTGACGAGATCTTTAATGTTGTAGTACTGGTGCTTCTCGAACGCATGGAACAGCATGTCCATAACCGCGTTCTTGTCGTCACGGGCCTTCTTGCCCTCGGCCTTCTTTCGTTCCCGGTACTCGATCTAAAAAGGATAATATGATGAATAAATACAAACAAAATAAAATAATCATGCTTACGTTGTGTGCATGATCCTTGACGGGCTTAAAGTTCTGTACGATCTTGTCGATGGGTTGCACCCGGCGCTGTGGCTCAGATGCCTTGCGTATGGACTCCAGCTTGAGCTTCATGTAGCAGTTGTCGGCTATGGGTCGGCACTCCAGCTTTTGGACAATCCGGCCCTCCATGTAAAGCTTCTCGTTGTCCGAAACTGCTGGTGTCGTCGAGTTCTCCTTACCATTGTTGGCAGCCATCTCAGCCTGGGACATGTGCGAAAAAACCCCCAAAGTCTGCTTGGTCACCTGCGACACGTCGAGGACGTGTTCTGTGGGAATCTTCTCCTCTGGGTCTAGGGCCAAAACTGCGGGAGTGAGAGAGAGCGACACCTGGGCCTTCTGACCAGGTGTTTTGCTGATCCGAAGTTTGCCCACGTCCATGTTGGAGGGCGCCTTTTCCCATTTCTGAGCGATGTACTTGGGCACTTTCACCAGCCACACTCCTCGGCCGGCGTTCGAGAGGTCCAGGTCCTTGTCGATGATTTGTACCTTGTCCTTTTCGTCCTTAGACATATTATATTTTTCTATGACACTCTTAAAATAATAAACCCTACTCAAGCCAGAATAATATTAAATATCAGTAGTGAATGGTAAACAAATTATCGATAAAAATTGACATTGCCACCTGGCGGGTTGACCAGACAGTCCGGCAGCACTGTTGGATTCGCTGTTTTCTATAAAATTTACACATCCACAAATTGTTAAAGTTTCCAAAAATCCTTAGACATTCCGTCTTGCTGATTCAGGACCCGTGTCATGGCGCCTCCGGCAGCGAGGGCTCGCTATATAGCCAACAAAGCAGACAACCAGGTGCTTACCAAGAAGCCTCCCAAGCGTTTGGGCCTCAATGGCAAAAGCGAGAAGGAGGCCGGCAATAAGAAAGATAAAGATGCCAAAAAGCGGTAAGTACACAACATATTTATCGGATAATGCCTTATTCTATTACCATTGAAGGATTAGCAAGCAAGCGGGGAGTAGTTCCCAGGAAAAGGCCAACCCAAACCCAATTATGCCAAGTGTGAACACTGCCTTCAAGTCCTTTGTAAGCGTCCGGCTCTGCAGTGCCATTTGGGCCTACATTGCGGACTGTGACGAGACCTTTAACTACTGGGAACCACTACACTACATCATCAACGGTCATGGGTTGCAGACGTGGGAGTACAGTCCCCAGTTCGGGCTGCGATCCTACACTTATCTGCTCCTTCAGGGCGTACCCGGTTACTTTTACCAAAAGATATTCAATCCAAATCCCATATTAATCTTCTACATGGTGCGGTGTATGCTTGGATTTGCCTGTGCCGTTATGGAACGTTACATGTATAAGTAAGAGTTATATCTACCTATTTTTGGTTAAAAATTATAATAACTGACATCGCCATTCAAAACAGATCCATTTGCCGGGAGTTTGGCATACATATCGGTCGCCTGTGGCTAATTTTCCAGCTCTTCAGCGTGGGAATGTTCGTGTCTAGCACCGCTCTCTTGCCTTCTTCATTCTCCATGTACTTCGGGTGCGCTGCCCTGGCCGCCTGGTGGCAGACCCATTATGAGTTGGCTATATTCCTGACTGCAATATCCGCCCTGTTAGGCTGGCCTTTTGCTGCCCTGATTGGCGTGCCTCTGGTTCTGGAGCTCGTGATAAGACGACGGGAGTGGAAAACATTCGTGCAATGGACTCTGATCTCGGGAGCCGTGGTGGCCTTGCCTATGATTGCCATAGACACTAGCTACTTTGGCAAGCTAACCTTCGCTCCTTTAAATATTGTGTGGTACAATGTTTTCACCAGCCATGGACCAAATATATTTGGCACTGAACCTCTCAGCTACTACATCGTCAATGGTTTCCTTAACTTCAACATAATATGGGTAAGAGGCACAACAGCTTTGGTGAACCCACAATTTTATATGAAATATTTTATTTTCAGCTCCTTGCACTCCAGCTGCCAATCATGCTGGTAATGGACTACCTGATTGTACCGGCAAAGTCAAAGTCCACGCTCAATTTCCCCCACTACATCTCGCTAGCTCCGCTCTATCTTTGGCTGTTGGTGTTTTTTGCACAAGCCCACAAGGAGGAGCGGTTCCTATTCCCGGTTTACCCACTGATCTCTCTTTGTGGCGCCATCACCGTGGATGTGTACCAGCGCATCTTTTTCCGCTTAAAGTCGCTGGTGTTCAAAATCAAATCTGGAGTGCACTATCTCGACCAAAGTATGTTCATAGCCATTTTGGTAATGGTAACCAGCACGCTTCTGGGACTATCACGGGTGTTTGCCCTGTACAGGAACTATCATGCACCCATGGACCTGATGCTAGAGCTCCATCAATTCAAAGCCACTCCGCAGTATAACCCGAATATGATCTACAATGTGTGCATTGGCAAAGACTGGCATCGATATCCAGGCAGCTTTTTCTTCCCAGCGCACAACTTTCGATTGCGTTTCCTCAAGTCCGAGTTCCGTGGCATGCTTCCGGCGTATTATGTGAATGGAGCGAATGCCACCAAAGTGGTGCATCCATACTTTAACGATCTCAACCAAGAAAACGAGCATATGTACTTTGATTACGATCGCTGCGACTTCCTTGTGGACTTTGACGATGGTAAATACACGGCCTTGGAGCCAAACTATTCGAAACGTTCCAAGGAATGGTTGGTGATGAAGAGCTTGCCTTTCCTCATACCGGAGAAGTCTCATAAGGTGTTCCGTGCCTTCTACGTGCCATTCCTCACAGACAATCACATTCAGTACGGTAACTTTAACCTTCTAAAAAGGAAGCCGAAACGAAACGGAAGGTGAAGGTTGACCCCGATTGAAGCACTATTCTGATCTGGGGTCGTACCATGACCATTTTTCCAGTAAACTTTTAGCAGTTTTTAGTTTCTTATGCAAAACCAAAGAGTTTCATTTAACGTCTCTAAGAAAAAAATGATTTAGAACTTGTAGTTCTCGTTCCACAATAGAAATATTGCATTCGATATAATTTCTTTTTTGTACTCCGACTAAAGTTTAAAGTCCTACCAAGTATTTGTTCTAAGTCAAAGTGTCATGTTTTAATTTTGATTTTTGTGTAAGCCAAAGTTGTGAAGATCGCCCTGAATCGAAGTAGAAGTTAAGCAATCCATATTACCAAGTAATGAGATTCGTAAAAATGTGCGTTTTTCATGGAAGGGTACGTAAACTTTATTTTTATCCGGGAAGCAGAAACTTTACAATGGAAATCGCTCGGACCTGGACTCCTATCTTAAAAATCGTGTGCTGGGTCTGTTTACAATCCTATATTTGGTCTACTCAATTTACAATACATGTGCGCGGGCTTAAAATTAATCCTTAAGTGACTTAGCAGCGATATTTACAACAAGCCTGCCTCTGTGGGGGCATTAGAAGTAGACCGTCAAGTTGTTCTCCGAGGAGCCCATGGCATCGGTGGCAGCCAGAAGGTTGGAGGTACCATTGACCGAACCGCTATTGGTGGTGGTGATGGTTGTGACCCCGCCACTTGCCACCGGAGCGTTGCAGGTGGTCACCACCTTCCTGTTGTTGTTCTCCGTCTGCAGCGAGTCGTGCTCGATCTCGTCCTCTTCCTCGAAGAGCTGACCATTGGCGGAGGCGCGCGACACGATGCCTGGCAAGAAGACTATTGATAGTGAGTGTTTCGGGTAAGATCGGGGCTCTTTTGGGGATCTTTATAGACTAATAATGACTCCAACTTACTGCGCACTGTCGCCGCATAGCTCTCCCGCTGGCGCTCTCTATCTCGTTCCCTTTCTCGCTCCCGTTCCAGCAACGCAGCAGAGCTTCCCAGGGCCATGCTACTACTGGCTCCACTAGCCACATGATGCAGGCCATTGTTTATGGGATTGGCCATGGTTATATTGCCGCCATGTTTCATGTGGAGGACAGACACCCCGCCGCTGGTCACGTTGACGCCGTTGTGGCCGCCGTTTCCGAGCTGAGTTCCAGCCAGCTTCTCATGGGTCACTAGATTCGCCGAGGACACGCTGCTGTGGGCCTGGCTGTGGACCCTGTTCCGGCCGAGACCTAAGCCGCTGGAGGCACTTTTTCCCTGCTTCTTGGATCGTACAATGTAGCAGCTGAGTGCCACAATGATCATCAGGAAGAGACCTACTATCATGCCGAACATGCCCAGCATATTGCTATTCCAGCCGGATCGGGCCAACGTTAGGCCCTCCATAGTCACGCTCACGGGTACGGAGGTGCTTCTCGGCGGCACTCCTGTGTCGGTAGCTATGGCTATTAGGTGAACCGTGGACTCGTTGAGGCTCTGCAGTTGCTCCGGACGCATGAAGATGTTTCCGGTGGAGTCGATCTCGAAGAGTCCTGCGTGCTGGCCTCGAAGGGACAGTTCTAGCTTGTCATTGCGATCACCATCTGCCGCCTCCACTTTCCCGACCAGAACGCCATCGAAGGAGTCGGCGCGGGATTGCAGGGACTGCTGCAAAGGATATCCAATCAAAATAGTTTAGTAAGGCTTCTTCAGACACTCCTATAGTCTAAAAATACTTACGCTTTTGGGCACCATGAACTCGTAATGGGTCTCACGAAAACGTGGCTCCCAATCGTTCACGTCGATCACTTCCAGTGTGAGTTCCGCTGTGCTGTTGGTCATCCCATCGGTGGCTTGCACCTGGAACTCGTGCTTGGTCATCTTTTCGTAGTCCAACGGCTTGGCCAGTACCAGTTCTCCCAGTGAACCCACGCTGAAAAACTGAGAGTTGACGGGATCGGGTATGGTGTACTTAAGGTGCTTCCCGGGCTTGTTGGTAGGCAGTGCCAGGATTCTGTTGCCTACCGCCGTGTCCTCGCGAATCCGCATCACGAATCTTTTTTGGACAAAAGCCAGGGTGCTGAGGTCACTGTGGCTGCCAGGTCGGGTCAGCTGAACTGTTGTCAGGGCATAACGATCGGGATTGTCGATCTGGGTCGCCTTAACCACCAAGGTGGCGCCGTTGGCCACATCCGCATAGCCAATCGGAGTCAGCAAACTAATCGCTCCATTGTGCGGATGTATACGGAAGTACTTGGCGTCCTGCGACTGGACTATAGTGTACTGGATGGGCGCGCAAATGCCTTCATCCTGATCCACGGCCTTCAGGGATTCCGGACGCATGCGCAGCTCGCCCGGCCGACCGTCCGCTGGAAGCTCGGCGCTGTAGGATTCTCTTTGAAATTTGGGATTCTGGTCATCAGCGTCTGTGATGACTACACGAAGTAACGTGTCTGAGTGACGAGGCGGGGTGCCCTGATCCTGCGCCCGCAGCTTCACCGTAAAATTCTGCAACTGCTCATAATCCAAGGCTTTCTTGAGCACCAATGTGCCCTCGAGGGGATTGAGGAACTGCACAAACTCAGAATAAGGACCTGGAAGAACCTGATATTCCACTGTGGAGAAGGGTCCAGGTTGATCCGCATCTTCGGCCCGGGCGCCTTGAAGAATTCGGGTTCCTGGTACTGTCACCTCCGACAAGGTTAGAGTGTACGGTGTTCCGATCCACTGGGGAGCATTATCATTGACGTCCGTTACCCTCACATTTACAGGAATGACGAAGCTCTGAGAAAAAGGAAATATATAAATATTAGGAATACCAATAGTTAGTCCCAAAGGAACTATTTTTTATTCCCTAAAAGTCATTGGATCCATTTAAAGTATATTTTTAGCTGTGTACTTTCCAAGACAAACACCTTCTTGCTAGCCACAGCTCCAGGTCACTGACCTACGGAGAGTTCAAAGCCCAAGCCCAAGCCAAGTCGTGAGTGTCCTGCATACATTTGCATGTTTAGCAGACCTCTCGCCCCAGTCCAGCTCCTTCCCCATTCCGGGGCAACCCCCAAACGCCATTCCTGCGATTTCTAGCCGAAAGCGGAAGCCCTAATGGCTAATTTATGGCCACCAAGCTGGGGCTAACCACAGACGCCATAAGGGGCTGGGAGCTACTTCAAATCCTTCTTTACTTTCAGCTGCAGTGGTTGAGTTTCAAGTTGGTCCTGCCGCGTTTTGTTGATTCTAAAATTGAAATGGGCGGTGTTCATTGTCTGGCAAAAGTTTTCAATTGTTTATATAGTTCTTGGAACAGGTATACCCCAGGAATCGTGTTAACCGAAATTTAACAAGCTAAGCTGCCCGGGGGAACACGCATCGACTTTTTTATTCTATTGAGGGAAATGGTCTTCAAGGGTTGGAGGTAGAACCTTAGCTCAATATAGGTTAATTGGTTGAGCATTGCACGAAACTTTCCTGGGATGGCAGGTGTGGAATGTGGTTGGTCGGTTGCCCCACAGGAAGAACTTGAAGGAAATGCGGTCGATGTGGCCGACTAGGACGATTAATTGCAGCGTTAACCTGATCGACAAGTGCTTAGGGTCTGGGGGTGTAATTTTGATTCATGTTTTCACGATCTCGGAAATGAAAGTGTGTTTCATTTCCGCATTGCCCCACATACTTCTCAACTTTCATTTTATTAAAATAGTTTTATGAATTAGGTTTAATATATAAATTGGTTTTACTCACTGGGTCCGTTGAGTGCCGCCTGACACAAATCACATTCACATAGATGGAAGATGGACCTCGCACGCCCTCCTTGTCGAGCTCCACCGACAGAGCCAACTCCTTGCCTCCAGCCACAATCTCGACGGGAGCATTCTTCTCTCGAAGCGAAAGGTTGATGTCGCCCGTATCAGCATTGGGATCGCCGTTGATGCGCAGTTTACCGATAATGGATCCCACTGCCAAGTCCTCGGTCGCCAGAAAGCTCTCTGCTGATCCACCGCCTTCCAAATAACATCTTGAATCGAGTATGGCGCCCAAAGTGGCTTGAATGAGAAAACATAATTTAAAATAGCCATTAAAATGGAGCTTTCTAAAACAAAAAATTCGATAATTTGTTTAAAAACTTGTCCTAAATTCAGAGGACCCCTCCATCTTTGGATCGGCCTCTCTTTCGGGCCTACTTTCGGCGCTTCCCGCCAATTGCGAATTAAAAGTAAATTGCAGCGACCGGCAGAGGAAGCCACCACAGAGAGTGTTCCAGTGGTGATTGGCCCGGTCCAGTGTTTGTGTTCCAGTGAGCCCAGCTGTCCGAATCGCCAGACATGTTTGCTCGTTCCTCGGATACGCTCTACTAAGCTTCCGTTTTCTTTCATTCACCATGCTGCAATTTTCGCTACAAACCGAAACCCAAACCCCAAAACCCAAAGCCAGAGTCCGAAGACCAACCACCATGGGTCCGACAGATCCCACATGGATGGGATGCACTCTCTTCTTGGCCTGGTCGCCTCGCAGCTGATTTGCGTTTCCGGACAAGCTCTGATATCTAATTGTGTTAGTGTGCAATGGGTTAACTCGAGACGGTCATGCAAATTACCAGCAAGGCCTCCCTCCTTCGCATGGAAAGTGGTAAATGTTTCGGAGACTCAGTTGGGATACAGTCTTCCTTGGATACCCCCATATCCTCAAGCCTTTGCAGAGTTGGTCAAGTTCTTTTGGGACCTGTCCCATGGGAACATGACATAACAATTTTTTTGGCTCTTGCTGTTTAGACTCTTACAGGTAATTCCCATCATGGGTTCCGGTTTTTTACCCCCAACCTCTCGACCACCTGGAAACAAGTTCTCGATTATATGTGCTAACAGAATAATTTAAGTTTGTTTTTAATTTTTTTAGCTGCCGACCGTTCTGGTAAACGGTTTTGCAATGACCCTCGCCGAGGGTCGGAGGCAGTCATCTTCAGCGAAGTTTTCTCCTCGCACCACTCAGATGAGATATGACGCCGAAGAGAAATCTTCTACACGTTTTCAAGATCTCCGTTGTGGGTTAATTGTTGTGACATTGGGCAATCCACACATGGCAATGAAGCTCTCAGGCCGTGCACTTTCTTCGGCACTGCGGTTGCTTTTGAAATTAGTCTAATTGCTGGGGATTTATTACCAAATCTCTGAGATGTGTGCTGATACCTCACGTACCATGTAGCACAACTTTCTGCGCAAAATGGAAAGTTTTTTTTCAAAATCTTTTCAATTTGCAAATACTCCGGTGCGTAGCTCCAAAATCATTCATAGTTTATTACCCAATCCGCCCACTCCTAATTAGTGGCATATGCATTTGTGCAATCCCCTTTTTATGTAAAAGCAAGCCCCAACTAATTAGAGTCATCGAATAACAAAGCGGGTTCCAAAACCCATCCATAAGGTGCAAATACCTGAAGCGTAAATCCGCGACGCTTCGCACAAACAAAATTTTAGATTAAAGACTAAACCTTAAAGCCACCTAACGATTACATAAGTTCTACTTTTATTTTCGGTTTCAGCTTTTTTTAATTTTATTTTTGCAAACCGGGAGACTGTAAGACAAACGAAAGTGAGTGCGGCGGCTGAACAAATTGTTCAGGCATATATGAATATGGCGGGGAAAAGTTTTCGAACAATCAAAAGTTCAAAAAACAAATTTTCATTCGGTTTGTTTTGGTTTCTTTTGATAAAACAACCGAAAAGGAGGAAAAAAAAGAGTCGTTCAGCTTGGTGATTTCCACGAAAACGACAAACACCGCGGTCTGGGCCACTGACTTTGGGATGATACTATTTGGGGGGCTTTGATATTTTTCGGATCCGATTGGATAGGGCCTGCCAGCGACTTGTGGCTCCGCTGGTTAAACATCGTAAGCATCGGATAACTATTTCGCAATCAATTTTTGTGGCACACAGGCAGAGGTCAAGCCGTGTCAGTACTGTAAGCTCCGTTAGCGCAGAACTTGAACTGTGACAAAGCCATTAAAGGCAGTCAGATTTTTTACAAAGTGGAGTAACAATATCAGAGAACTCGCTCGAGTATGACAATGTAATGAACCGAAATTAATGCACTAAATGGACTCAAAACTGGAGCAACCTCAAGACCACAGTACTCCTCCTAGTCCAGAAAAGGCAAGCCGCCGCTCCACTCCAGGAGGCAACAGATTGGGCTGGTCGGCGGGGGCGGGCTTTACAGCCGAAGAAACTCACGTAAAACTTTTATCCGTCATAAATCGTTGGACCAGAACGACGTTGACGTCTCCGTTTGTCTTTCTTGGCGGACTCTTTTCTCTCCTGTGTTTCATTTATCAAGTCTGGCTCGGAATTTCACTATTTTTTAGCAGATAGTTTTTACTTTCCGGGGGGTTACATGCGGTTAATTACTTTGTTTGTTTTTGATTATTGAAGAAATTGTTTCAAGACGCAGTTATTTAAGTTTTCCAGCAAATAGCTCATTGACACTTATAGTTATGATTCATATACTCTATAAGAAAGTGAGGAACTTAAGTCTAAAGCACTTACCATGATTAAGCCAGCCAAAAGACCAGATTATGTAGCATATCCAATGAAGTTTTGTCCACATTTTAATAGCTAGCTTACACTTTGATTTTAAATATATTTAGTTTCTCAGAGCATTATATATCTTTCACAAGTATTAAAAACTAATTGTATTTTTCGATAAATTCATATTATATTTTAGATGTTGGTTTGCATTGGAATGTGTCCTGTAAAACGATGCAGAAATATTAAAATCTACTCCATACTTTTCTTCCCTTTGGCCATAAATATCCCTATATCTGCGATGTGCCAAAAACACATTCAAATAGAATTTATGTGCAACTTTTCCCTCGTTGGTGGGAAGTTGAAATGGATAATGCTAAAGAGACTGTTGCAGTCTTCTAGAGTCTAGATTATTACAAGATTATTAGAGAGACAAAACGTTTTGGCACAGAAACCAAAGCAACTGGAACATTAGCTGCACCTCACAGTCCCCCAGGTCCCCCAACCGAAAGTTGTTCTTCATCTTTAGCATATGCCTCGGTGTCTTCTGGTTGTGGGGCAAATGTCGCACACATGTCACCTGCGGAGCTGGGAGGTGGGCCGCTTCGTCGGTTGCCACATTGCCTTAGTTGTTGGGTTGTCACCGTTGGAATTGGCGGCATTTTATTCCACCAGCAACGCCAAGAATAGCATAAAAAAGAAACCAATTCTACCTCTTCAGACCCATATTTGAAATACCCTTTCTGATTTAAAGAAAATCTAAGGACATACCATTTAGTTTTTTTTACGAAAAAGAAAAGTTGAATTTAAGAATTTATTTTTAATTTTTATATGAAGAAATACCTTTTACCATCTAAGGGTATATTTTCGAACTAGGGAACTTCTCTTTTAAAGGGTATAAGGATCAACAACAACCACTAAAGGCGGCTGAAAAGTTTTTGTTGTTGTTTCCTTGGTTCCGGAATACTAGGGCTACTAGTGGAAGAATTTTTAAACCCCACTGCTTGAGGGCGCTTTCTTCCGCCCTCCGCAAGGATTTATGGCATGCCACATCAGGTGGTGGGATTGTGGGTGGCAGTGGGGAAAGTGAGGCGTGTTGCAAGGGCGGCAGGTAATAAGGGGGGGACTGACAAACATTTGCATACAAATCAGGCACTGGCCGATGTCCGATGGCGAAAATGAAAACGCTATTTTGACCGGAAGCTCGTGGAAGCTCACAAAAAAGTCATTCACCTGTGTATAAATGGTTACATTTTCCAATATTCGCGAGCTGCGAAACAAGTTTTTTCTTGGGGGCTTTTTTTTAACTGCGTAAACTGATTTATGGTCCACGAGAAGTTTAATTGAGATTCGTAATTAAATTCCGGGAATAAGGAAAGTATTCATAAAAAAATTGAAGATTTATGAGGTTTTAATAATCCTTTAAAGAGGATCCTTTCTTCTACCCAAGAAAGTAAATATGTGTTTTATTCATATTAGTGTAATATATATTTAGTAAACCGTTAAACCTTTGAAATTTAATTCCACTTTAGCACGGATTATTGCTCGGATTTATGCCTTCTAGCATGACTCACTATCCGCAGTAATTAAAATGTACACTTGAGTTATGTTTAAAGCCCGCGTACTCTGTTTTTAGGGATTTTCGCACTGCAATATGGTTAAGCCGTTCAAAATAATTATCATAATAATTTAAATAATAATTAATTATTTAATTATACAAAATAATTAATTATGGCATTGCACACAAAACCGAGTTGCTCGAATCTGAAGCGTTTTAGCCACCACTTTGTCGCACTAAGCGAACTCCTCGCATCGCGTTCCAAACCCAAACTGATTTTCCATAATGTTGCCAATGTTGCCGTGCCCCTTAACAACCGTCCAAGCAACAACAACAACATGGAAAGCACTACCAACAGCAGCAACAGCCTGTAAAGCCGGTGTGCGTCCAACTCGGGCTCCCTATCAACATGCAAGCACACATATGCATACACATGTACACCGCAAGAAAAGTAGTGTAATGGATGTACTTGGGGCATTACTTCAAAGCTATCAAAAATTACTCATACGACCTGTACTCCCAATCGAAGGATCGAGACTATTTGGCTACTGATAGTTTCTCTAATCTTGGGGATTAGATACTTTTAAATACGATACAAATAACTTTTAAATTGAAGAACACTTTATTTTTTCGAGTGTTTTGAGTAAATGGAAGCCTCTCTGGACGCCAGCTTTTACTTGTGTTGAAAATGTTTCCACATCACTCGTCAAGCGTTTCGATTGAAGCTCCTCTCTACTCTGGCTCAGGCCCCTCTATACCCCTTCTCCTTTGCCACTCAGCATAAGAAGCAAAAAGAAACGGAAAGCGGCGGTGGCACTACCATGACAACAACAACAAATACTCGCCACTGCGCACGCGCCCCAGCTCACATTGATGAGTAGTCCCCACATGAGCTGCGCTCTTCCGCTCTCGCCACTTGTACGCTTGTTATGCTCCACTGAGCCGGCTTGCCACCCCTTTCGCTCACTCGGCCGGCCTTTCTTTTCGTGGGGAGACTCTCTCTGTTTACATTATGTGGTAGGTGTCATGGCAACGAAGGCGGCGTCCTAGCCGGTTTGCCGAAGGCTCGTTCTCTTCCTTCCTCCTTCACTCCACACAGGCCCTCCACCTGTTTGGGTATCGTGACTCAGCTCAGGTGACATTGCATTTGCATGTGGCTGCCGTTAATTGCTGTAATTTTTTGAGCTGGACGCCGCCGGCACATAATTGCATTCCCCCATTGTTCCTTTCTTTTCCTGTACAGTTCCGTGCCAGCCAGCTCCTTTTTATCCTTCGGCTTTCAAGTAGTTTTTGGGGCATTCCTTCAATAGTTTTTGCTTTCTTTCCGACACTTTTGACTTACTTTATGGCCAGGTCGATTATGCTTTCCTTATCGAGCTTTAAATGGGTCTTTGGCTCTACAGGGGGTTGGAATTTGTACATATACGTGGTTCGTTTTGGTTTCACCATTCCAACCATAAGATTTCCAACTCCAAAGTAAGATTTCTGATGAAATCAATGGCAATGATTCATTGAAACACTTTAATCTTTTTAAATCACTACTTAACTTATGCAAATTAGAAATTCAGTCGATAATTAAAGCCTCTGTTGACAAATGTATTAAGTCTAGATTTTATCAAAGAAAAAAACACTACATATTACTACTTAATCATATAATATATATTTTTTTTGCGAAAGGAGCATTCTTTTAACATCACAAGTACTTGGCTTCAAGTGGCATCTTGGGACTATGGGTTTGGCTATGAATTAAATTCAAATAACTTAATACATTTAAGGGATTATAAATAAAAACCTTACAATTCAGTGTGTTTGGGCTTGTTGAACAATCGCTCACACAATTGGACAAGGACTTGTGAGACCTCTAACCGGTACTCATCCTGACTATTGGCGTACCTATTACGAATCGTTAGGAGAGCATGCCGGAGTCCCGAATTTTGGGACCAGGAGGCGCGGCATAGGGACTCCGTGGTTTCTAGGGCTGTGGCGAACTGCTCAACCACATCCGGTTGCTCCAGGAGGTGCAAAAAGTCTTTTGAGAGAACACTATCCACCGCAGAGCAGAAACCCTGCGACTGCAGCCACGGCTCGAACTCTAAAAGTACATATTGTGCAATTGTTGAAGCAGCATCCGGTGCATCTTTGCTCGTCTCCAGCACCGAACGCTTCTCCAGAATTAGGTCACTGATAAGGGTTACCACTTTGGATTTGCTGCGAAGCTCCACCTCGGGGCTCTGGAGTACCCTAATCAGAGCTTGTGTCCCAGACGTGGAGAGGATACGTTGCTGAGCCAGAGGAAACTTCCTGAGCAACGCTCCAAACGCGTGCAGAGCTGCGGAGATCTCTCCAGAATTTCCTGAGCTAATAAGAATCTGCGCTAGGTGAGAGCCAAAGTTTTTCTCAAACACCTTAATCTGCGCCTTGGGATTGTTGCTCGCAAGAGATCCGAGGACCCGCATGGCTGAAACTCTTAACGCGGTGTTGGTATCATTGACCACAATGGGAAGCAACACGTCATCTAGTCCTGAGTTGTCGATGAAAAGCAGGGCATTGTCAATCTGGTGCAGAAGATACTCAAGGTTCTCCAAGGACTCCAGTTTGGCACGCAACTCGGACTCTTGAGGCGTCTTGCTGAAGTTTCGGTACTGATCGATCAGCTGAACAATCAGCTCTCCGTCTGTACGAAAGTTCTTTTGGAACTCTTTGTAGGCTTTTCTCAGCTCGGCATAGCTTTTCTTTTTTTCTTTGACTATTCGCAGAGACTCCTCGATTAAATCGGGCTTGTAGTCCAAAGAAAGCTGTTCGTTTTCAACGACGTTGTTCCCTGGTTGGCTCTGTAAAGCCGTATCGCGTTCATCCTCGTCCAGAAGTTTCGCCTCCTTTAGGCCAGTCTGCATATTGATTCGCACATGCAAACCTTTGGGGATGGCCTGACCTGTGGGAAGTTATTCCATTTTAGTACACGTCATCGAAGGAGTGTATGGATTTCACCAAAATCTTACCTTCCTGAATCACCTGCCATTCTTTGGTAGCAACGAATTCTCCCGTTTTATTGTCGGTCTCCGTTGCCACCGCTGTATGCAAACTTCCCACTAGTAGGATTGCTCCAGCGATAGAAAGTAAATAAAGGCCACGCATGCTTGCCTAGTTTGTGTCCGAACTGTGTCTACTGAGCTAACTGAGTGGCAGTGTCAATATTCCAGCTCTTTTAAAGGGAGAACTGCTTTGAAATATTTATTATCTTTGGTCGTAGCTGTTGAAGGCCTCAGCCAATCGGAAAAATCAAGGGAAATGTCTGGGGCTCGAAAACATTTCATCAAATATACGGCAGTATTGTAAAGCACACGTAGCTAAAGATGGACAACATGCCGCAAGAGGTGGTTGCGTGAGCGCAAAGAAAGTCACGAAGTAACGGTATTGATTGCTGTGATTCGAAATATTTTTAACATGTTTTAATAAATTAAAACGTCTACGTTATAAAATACATCATTTATTTAATTATTTTCAAATAAATATCTATATAAATAAGACTGTTTTAATAAAAACGAAACATGCCGTCTTACATTGATTTTTATTGTTTTATCGCCCAATCTTTCATAAAAAGCTTACCCTGTCGCGCCAAAATGAAGAAATCTTATCACAAAATCTGTCTAGGATCTGTCTAGTTACGATTTTGCCAGCCAGGGCCCAATTAAATTAAGGAACAGGATCATGGTCGAGTTTAGTTGTGGAAAATGTTTGACTGGGTCGGTTGGTTGGTAAAGGCCAATTCCGTGGTTAGCCACATTATTGGACTAAGCAATTTTGAATGCGATTGGAAGTCTCGATTAGTCATCAAATCTCAAAGACGTACCTTATACGCAATTTTAGCAAACATCCTTACTGTTCTTTTGATAGCCTACGTTATGAGCAATCAAATGAAATTAAACGTGTTGTTTGAAAATGCAAACAAACTACACATCTATGCGATGACAATACTGATTGGATTGAGAACTGCAGCAGGTATTTATAAACACAAAATATATAAATACACCAGATTTCGTAAAGATGTCATGGTTTATAGGACTTTCAACGCTGCTCAACCGATGGCGCCAACGCCGCCAAATGATGCACTTGGCCAGGATGGTAATGCGTGTCTATGTGGCTAGGCCGCAGGTGAAAAGAATGATTCGGTGGGCAGCCCTTACCAAGGCTCTAACGGCCTATATCACCGATTTTTTTCAATTAATTATAATATTAGAGGCTTTGGAGCGCATCGATTCATTGCAGCTGTTGGGAATGTCTATGCAATTGGTCATGTCTCTCATTCTGAATCTTTCCTTGTCACAGCACTATATGCTAATGCTAATTATATGGGCCAATTATCATTTGATAAACACGGAGTTGCAACAAGTGGTCGGAGAGTGTCAAGCTCTTAGCTCCCTATCTCCGGGAAATACTACTTTTAACACTCAGTGTAGCTTCCTGGCAAGTCAATTGGACCATATTGGCGCACGACAGGACAGACTTCAGTCTATTGTCTTGAAACTGGGTCAGATTTTTGGCATCGAGGGGTTAATTGTCTACGTCGGCTACTATATCGGATCAGTTATTATTGTCTATCTAAGCTATAGTGTCATCAAATATGGACCCGAAAATCTTCAAATGACCCTAAATGCGGCTATTCTTACCTTCGCTTGGACGTTTTTTTTTTTCCTGGATGCAGTGGTGACTCTTTGCGTTATGCTCAATATCCAAGATGACCACCAGAAGATGATGCATTTACTTCAAAAGAGAACTTTGCTTTCTTCTTTGCTAGATGTCCGACTAAATGAAGCAGTAAATAATTACTAAAATGAATGGGTATTTAAAATATTTGCATTAATTTTTATTATAGTTTGAAAAGCTCCAGCTTCAACTGGTTCGAAACCCATTCCAAATCGCTGTGATGAATATACTTCCCATCAATCGCAACTCTACATCTGCCATGCTTGGATCTGTAATAATGAACTCCATATATCTTATTCAATACGATATAGAAAATTTTTAGTCATGGGTTAGTATTTAATATCAATAAATTCACTTTTACTTTTTATTTTTATATTCAAACTTGGACTTTAATACGTAGTTTAAAAACAAAATGAATAAGACTTGAAAATAAATAAAATTAATTCAAAAAGTTTCCAAAACATCCCATAAATATCAGAAATGAAAAAAAGACAGTCATTCAGAACCTTTCCACAAAATATTACGAGCGGAATAACAACTTGGAGAATTTACAAACTAAGTTTTCGCCGTTTCAAGTTTACGTCAGAAAATTCCAATTCCAATTAAATGCATAAGTTGGCACATTAAAATGCAAATTAATTAAAGTATTTAAATCAGCCCGTGTTTGTATACATTAACAGCATAATTCCCAACATGTCTTTCAGGTAATCCAGTGCGCCGATATCCCAATGTCTACGACAACGTCTAGGAATTAGATCTGCAAACAATAGCCGCAAATATGTGTGGACTCACCTGGCGCCAATTGGATGAGTAAATAAACAAAATGCCGGTTTCATGTCAATCTTAATGTGGTAGTATATAAAGTAATCACATACCGAATATGCTAATTGCCGATGACGAATGCCGCAAGCCTTTAACTTTAACTAGCCTTTTGGCGAATTAGCTTCACCAGCGGACCAAAAATCTGGTGAATCCATTAAGAACGCCGCTGAAAACCAGTTTCGTGGCGTACGTTCTCCCAGAAGAGATGGCTAATTGATTTGTGTTTGGACAGATCAATTATGTGGCGACAAAACGGAAATTCCTTAACTCTTCACCTTGAGCAGCCGAAAGGTGGAAAGGATCTAAAATTTCAGTTAAACATTCAGGTTTTGTTGCATTGCACTTGCCATCATTTAACACATCGGACTTTGAAGACGCACGGCTTGGAAATCCCCCAGAGTTCTAAGCTTCAAAAGCTGATCTCAAAGCAAACATTCTACATACAGATATATGTAGCTTATATGATAAGTTAAATTATTATTTGCACTTCATTATAAAAGCGCGAACAAAACGCGAAAGATCTATAAAAAGTACAAGTAGAAATAGTCAAATAATAATGCATTGTAAAAAAATTATATTTTAGAGTAGTGTCGTGGCCGAAAAACTCGTTGGCAGGTCGAGCATTAAAATTTATAGAATCACTTTTGATTTTTTTTGTACGTCTGCCGTTGTTATTGTTTATTGTTATTGTTAATGTTACTGGCGAAAACCGGGCACATGCTAATAATATTAATTAATAACATTGTTGTTCAGCCGCGATTTCTGGCTAGGGTGGTCTATGATCATAATGATGATGAGAAGCACAAAACGACAGAAATAAGAATTAATAAAAATAGCAGCCAATCAGGCAGGCAGACAGGCAAGACAAGTCAGGAATGAATAAACTATTAAGTGTACTGGTTGGGCTGCCGATCCGATTCTGGCAATACCGATTCGGAGCTCAGTCGATACCCGATCGGCGGTCTAAAAAATTTATAAATGCTGGCGTCTGTAGTAGTCCCGAGCCAATTTACAGTTTGCCATTGAACTTGGTCGGGTGTTCGCCAAAAACTCGAAGAACGAACGCGTCGCAGATTTCACGGTATCTGTTATTCACAAACTACACTACTGCTATGCTGCTCCTTCCGCTGTGCTTCATGGTCCTGCTCGCTGGCTTGACCAGCGGTGCCTCCAATTTTCGTGAGTGTCCCTAATCTCCTTAGCTGACGGGATCTTAACCATGTTCGTCAATCCTTGCAGCTCCTGAACTGCCTCGCTGCCACAAGGGGGACACCAGCTGCATCATCAACGTCTCCCACATGCTTATCAGCAAGTACGCCAGGACTGGTTACCCGGCAGCAGGATTCCCCCAGGTGGAACCTTTCCTGGTCAAGCGATTCGACATATCCGATGGACGCACCGGCTCGCTCAATCTCAAGTTGAACTTTAAGGATGTGAACGTGGAAGGTCTGTCAGGAGTGAAGTTCGACAGAGCTGTGTATGTATTAAAGATATATTCTTAGTTGGAAATATGACTTATTAATTATTTTAATTATTTACAGGGGCTTTGGAGCTGATCCTGCCACCAGCAAGTTTGAAATGTACGGCTCGTTCCCGAAAATTGTTCTTCGCGGCAAGTACGTTGCCGATGGGCGGATCCTGATCCTGCCCATTCGTGGTGATGGCGATGCAGAGATTGTCCTGCACAACCCAAAGTTCTCCGTGAAGTTTAAGCCAGGAACGCAGCAGCGCAACGGTCGCACCTTCCTGAGCGTGGACAAGCTCAAGGTGCTGGTGGAACCCCAAAAGTGAGTACTAAAGGAAATTAAAAAAAAATATATTAAAAAAATGTTTTCCTTTGCAGGATGAACATTAAGTTGGCAAACCTCTTCAATGGCGACCAAGCCCTGGGCACCAATCTCAACCAGTTCCTCAACGACAACTGGGTGGATGTCTGGAGCGAGCTGCATCCCTCCATCCACGTGGCCATTGCCGAAATCATGAAGAGTGTGCTGACGCAGCTCTTCAAGCGCTTCGCCTACGAGGATCTCTTCCTGGAGGACTAATCGCTGTATCGATAAGCCATACTTTTAAGTGTACGAGTATTTCCCCACCCACATTCAATCCAACGCTACGAAGAGCGTTGCATTCCGGCCATTGACATATCATTCCTTATTCGATAAGCATTAAACAAGTAGAATAAACAAACATGATTCGAACAGAACCGGTTGTGGCTATTGTTTAATCAACGTAGGTCGAACATTTCCGTACAACTATCGCATTTTGATTCGGTTTTGGCAAGCATTCGGAAATCAGCAGGCAGCTCACGTGATTAAACATTTGGATTGGCGATTTGCATAACAAATGCCTGATAACTCAATTAGGATGGCTCCGTTTGACAAAGGCGCAAAATGTATCGCCAATAAAATAGGTTACATTGTAAACATGATGATTTTACGCTTTGCATTCTAGTTTTATTTAAGATTCAACCTACGATTAGGGAGTACCATTAGGTTTGTGGTTGTAGTTTAATAAAATTTACGATGAACTAATTATATTTGAATAGTATTTCATGTGTAATAGTGCTACTTTGTATATTCAATCTTTAAATAAATCAGTCTTTGAAATATGATTATATCCACTCATATTACTAATTATTTATTGACAGGTTGTTTCTTGAGGTTGTCTGTCATACTTGGAGACCTCAGTTTCAGTTTCAGCTTCACTTTTTTCAGATTCACTTGGCAAGTTCAAGAGTAACGAACGGTAAACTTGCAATCCCAGTTCCGCGAATCCGCCACCCAGTCGACCTTGGACCGTGCATGAAAATCTTCCACGCAAGCCCCCAAGTCAATCAACTGCAAGTCAGACAAGTTGCTTTTGTTCTCCTCGGAGGCTGGACTGTAAGGGAGAAGCAGAGACTTCATTATGAAGTTAAATTAAGTTTTAGGACCTGTTCTAGTAATTTCATGTGCGCTTCTTTGAAATACTGCCAGTCACTATGATTTTGATTTTTTGTGGCCCACAGTTTCGGCTATATTTGGATCTGGCCCTAGACTTGGGCTGCACTTTGGGCGGCACTTAATCGAAATGTTTATTTTATTGGTTTTTCATTGAACCAGTACCAGTACTTAAATATTATTGATCTGTCACTTGATCAGTCCTCCAAACCAGTTTTGATCAATGAGTTTTTGAACCGCAAGCAAGTACCATAAACTCGAAGATGTATTTGATATCATGATTATATGGTTAAGTACCTTTAGTTATAGGAATATAAATTTGGATTATATTGAGAATTCTAAGATGGATAATACATAAAACAATTAAAATTTTCCATTTTCCTCCCTTCTTCTTCTACAAACAAGGCAATATTGACTATAAATTTGTAAATGCAATATTTAAAATCTAATTTATCTTATGAGAAGTAAGCTTATAAAAGTGTTTTTGGTTTGAACCTTTTTAAAACCAAAAACTGATTCAAAACATTTATAAAACAAATAGTTATAAGTTTCAAGTTGTCTGCCTTGTCATAAATAATTACTGCGTTCACCTGTCTAGAAATAAAATTACTTTACTTTGATTATATTGATGCAGTTAATACTATTTGAGTTGAATTGCAACAAGTGCATCCGAAACAGGTTCCATCCAAAGTGATTCAAGCGGTCAGTAGACTTTAGTTATATCTTATTTGTGGAGCTCTATAAATACTGAACCAAATTCATGTCGAGCGTAGTCAATAATAGTATTTGACCGGAATAGTGCAAAAATGACCGGAGTTATCCTCGCTATCGTGCTGTGTCTTTCCGTGGCAATAAGGGCTGAGTTTCGTGAGCATTTGAATTAACCCAAGTGGATTAAATTTACGGGTAAAGTACTTACACAAAATATATTTCGTTCTCCTCAGCCGATGATCCCAAGCCTTGCAAATACGCCGATGGCGACTGTATCGTAAAACTGGTGAACACGATGTTCCAGGAGCGATCTTCTGCTGCGGATCCCAGTCTGAATCTGAAGCAGTTGGAACCTCTAAAGATCGACTCAATGACCGTAAGCCAAGGAGAAGAAAAAAGCCCAGTAGCCATTAATCTAAAGTTTACGAATAACTTATTGTACGGCATCAAAGATATAACGTTTACCAAGGTTAAGTAAGTGATACAAGGCTGATTAAACGTGAGAGTGTTCATCTGAAAAGAATAATGTTTATTTAAATTCACTTATTTAGGGGTTTCGATAAGGATCCTACCGCCGTGCATGAAATCAAGGCCGTTACCAAAGTGTTCTCCATGATAGGTCCCTACACAATCAAGGGCAAAGTACTTATCCTGCCAATAAGTGGAACTGGACAAAGTAACATTACGCTGGGTAAGTCAGGGAGGTTAATTTGTAAGCATATGAGCAGTGGAATAAGATATACATTTGTCTAGTCAACATGAAAGCCATCATCAGATTCTCCGGCAAGGCGGTGGAGAAAAACGGTGAAACCTACCTAGACGTCGATGATCTGAAACTTTCCATCAAGCCGGAATCGGCACACTTCTACTTTGGAAATCTTTTCAACGGAGACAAGGCCCTGGGAGACAACATGAATGTATTTTTGAACGAAAATTCGGAAGCCATCTATCAGGAAACAGGTGCAGCCATTGAAAAGGCATTTGGGGACAAGTTCATGGAAATTGTGAAAGACGTGTTTTCCAAGCATCCGTACGCCAAGTTGTTTGCCCAGGAGTAGGTAAACAAATTATATTAACAACACAAATATTTAAATTACATTTATATTAACCTGACCTTACGATTATTACCTATTATTGGCAAGAAATATGTACGAAGCCTTATATGTGATTAACTTTAATGAAGATCTTAATGGCGTCCAATTATATTGTTAGAACCGGACAGAATGGAGATCAAATTAAAGTCGATAATTGGTACTCTTATCCTACTCTCTGTAGTTACTCTGTAGTTAATTGTAATTTAATTAAGATCTGCTTTAGTACAGTAGTGCAAATAATTGAAAATAAAACGTGAAACATTTTTCAAAACAATGCTGGTGTTTTAAACTTCAACAAAACAATATAATCTAGTTGCACTTCGACTCCTGGGACACAACATTAAAAGTTTTTGACGAGGAAATATTGCAGGGCCTACAGCTTAACCCCATTATGAAAAAAAAAAAACAAAATAAAACCCCGATGCCAAGTTCTCAGCAATTAATTAAACACGTTCGAAATGTGTCAGAGGCACTTGGAACAGGACTTAATGATCGAATTTTGCTGGAAGGCCGGATCAATTTGCATATATCGAAAAAATTACAGGCAAAACGTGATTAGAGGAGATTGAATTGGAGTGATACAAATTGAATTTGGGCGATGTCAATGGCTTCCGAACGCTGCCTGGAACCTGACGCAGTGCAAGTTCAAATGGGGGTTCATTAAAGGGAATCGTAAAATAAATTCGCCGGCTATAACAGCGCACTTCACCTGCCTGAATGCTTGCCGGTTTGGTTTATATTACATTTAACTGACTCAAGGGGGGTACGGTCTAAAGTCAAAATCTGTCAACCCGAAGCGCAAAAGCGGTTTGCTTTAAAAAAAACAACTAAAACATGATACATTTAAGCTCACACTTGCAAATGTTCAATTGACTTTAGTGACTATATAAGTGGTATTATTCGTCGCTGAGTGGATCAGTATTTCGGCGTCGATTATGGAGCTACCACTTGCCCTCGTTCTGCTGTCCGGCTGTGCCTTCGGCTACGCCCATGGACACGCCCTTCAATTGCGTAAGTTCTGAACCTTCAAACACCTAACTTTTATAGACACTTACGAATTTTGTGAATTTTAGCATCAGGCGTTCAAAGGTGCGAACTCATGGACGATAACTGCCTGCTCAGAGGGGTGGACTTCGTTTTAAAGAACTACGCCAAGAGCGGCATCAAGGAACTGGGACTTATCCCGCTTGATCCGCTGCACATCAATAAGTTCCAAATCGGCCGGAACCCTCACAGTCCAGTGAACATAGATCTAAGTTTTCGCGATGTGGATCTGCTGGGTCTAGGCGATGCAGTTCCCAAAAGAGTGGGGTAAGAAGAGGCAACTAACAAACACAAAAGCAATATTATATTCAATATTCTATTTAATTCTGTTCAAATCTTTTTAGGGGATTCTCCCTTAACCTGGGACGCTCTATAGAGCTGGTAATGGAAGCGCCCGAACTAGCTGTGAAAGGTCCCTACTCCGTTGATGGCAGGGTACTTATTTTGCCCATTGTTGGCAAAGGAGATGCTAAAATCATACTAAGTAAGTGAATGAAAATGATAAGGATTTCAGCTAAAACGACTACTTCTTTCCATCTTCAGAGAAAAGCAGAATTCATGCAGTTATCAAATTCAAGCCCGTTTCCAAGGGTGAGCACCAAACATTTGCCGAGGTGGTCGACGTCAAGGTGGATGTGAGTCCATCTCATGTCACCTATCACCTGGAGGGCCTCTTTAACGGACAGAAGGAACTCAGTGATAACATGCATGCTCTGATCAACGATAACTGGCAGGATATATTTAACGAACTTAAGCCGGGTATTGGAGAAGCTTTCGGTCTGATCGTCAAGGCAGTGCTAAGCAAAGTTTTTGGCAAATACCCGCTGGAGCAGCTTTTCATTGTTTCAAACTAACCCATAGAGTTAGAACCATAAAGTTATAGAATCTATAATTTTATGAACATTTATTGACTTTATAAATTCAAATGCAAAACAAAACTTGACACAATAGTTCCTTAATATACATGATATATAATTCAAAAATAAATTTAGACATTTTCCACTTAAACTATAACAGTAAAATAAAAATACATGAAACATTTTATCATTATACTTAATTCTCATTTTGATTTTGTTGTGCAGTATAGTATGATGATTATTTATAGATATACATTTAAACTATAGTCATTCATTGATTCTAAGATTAAATAAGTGTATATGTAACTTTAGAAATTGCTTTTTTAATTGTAATTGTAAGGCTCAACATCTTTGAGTCGTTATTAGAGTAGCTTTAATTTAGCTTAGCTTCCTCAGGGTTCCTAGTTACCATGCTTTAGCTTCTGAAGCGCACGGGATGTGCAGGGCGTTGGCTTTGCCTTGGCGGAGACGAGGGCTCTACCATAGCGCCCATCAGCCTCCAGTCGAAATTTGAGGCATCCTCTGCAGCAGCTTGAAGCTGGACAGCCCCTGGTAATTCATTCTTCGGCCGGTCACACATGGCAACTATGTGAGGCGGGAAATAATTTTCCGGATTGACAAGCACGGCAGACAAGAAGTTGTCATGATCTTTGGCGCATTGGACCAAGTTTTGCAATTGGTAATTCGTGGCAATAAACTCTTCCTCAGGGCTAAGGACTCGGTGGTTAGCCGCTTCTATCTCGGCAGACGCCTGGAGCAAAGCTCGCTCCTTTAACTCTTCGTGATAGCGCTTCATTTCATTAGTATAGTGATGCTCCAGATCCATTTCCCAGTTGAAAACGTGGATGCTGAGGTGCGTAGCTTTAAGCCATTGCCGGAAATCCCACAGTAACGCTTCTAATCGCTGGAAATTTTCTGTCAAGACGAGAAATTAATTCCAAACAAATAAAAATAAATTTAAATATAAACATACTTTTGGCCACATTCGAATAATAGCGGAAGTTGCGATGGCGCAGTTCCGCTGTCAGGAAAGAGTCAAGAGACTGCAAATAGGAGCTAGATCCTTTAAGCAAATTGTCGCACTCGTCGTACTTTTCAAAGCTGAAAAGTCGATTAGCCTCCAGGGTGCGGCGCAGTCCTCCCAAAAATTTCTCAACCTGGGAATACAAAATCTGCACCTGATAGCGCATATTTCCACTCTTTGGCATTTTTTTCTTAATGTGCGTCGGAGTCATATCGTCTATTGACGTAATGTATGTGTGGGAAATATTCAAATCAGCGACTATAATATCATGCAAGGACCTAAAAAGATCCATTAAACGAGATACAATACTGGATTCTTTGCTAAAATAGAAAAAGTCTGTTAATAGCGTTTAGTTCTATAATAGGAATGTACGTGAATATGTACATAAGTAACAAAAAAAATAAAAACCCGTAAAGTACTTACAAAACTCCTTGAAATTTTTGAAAAGACAAACAATCGGTTGTGGGGTTTCCTGGAAGACTCCTATTCCGCATATTCCACAATGTCTCCTTCCGCAATTGTTGCTTCTTTACGTCAGAAACTAAATCGCCTTCACCGTCTGACTTACGCTTCTTCTGCGAAGCTGATCCCTGCGGCAAGTTCTCGAATCCGGAATTCTGGCGCCTCTTTTGATGCATCTGGTTGCATTGCAATCCGTGGAACTCAAAACGGGGAGCTTGGTCCAAGTGGAGCCCCCTTAAATTGCGCTGCACTTCCGCCAGTACATTTTGGGTACTACTTCTGTCAGGAATTTTCGCAGGTACAGTTAAATGACCGGACGCCGCAGAAAAATGCACCTGCGATCCGTTGCAGTTGGTATCCATTAGGCAGGCTAGCTTAGCCTGCACCTCCTCAAGATTGCGGTCCAATTCTAATTCTTCAGAGTAGGGGTTGAACATTTTACGCCTAATAAATCTATTTTTACCACGAAAAACCCAAGCGGCGTCAAGCTGTCTGCGATTTTCTGGGCTTTGCGTCACTAGAGATGGAAAATTATCGATTATACCGATTAATTTAAAACGTGACACAAAGCTCGTGATAGACCGTGATAGCTCGTGAATGGTGCCTATGGTGTTACCATATGTTTATGGTGTTAATCATGCGGGATAGCCCGGTTTTTTTAAATTGATATATGAGAAAAATTGACAACAAATTTAAAAAAAAGTTCGATGTGAGGTTTCTATGAAGATCTGTGGAGAATCCACTTAGATCCACTCAAAGGTCATGTAAAAATTGGCAAAAATACAGTCTTCGCAGTGGGCCATCTAGACATACCCATGCATTTCCCCATTTTCAATGGGGTCCATGGGAAAAATTGAAAAAAATCTAAAAAAAAATTCGATGGAAGGTTTTAATGTAGATTTACGGAGAATCGGTCGACAATTCGATCAAGGTATTCCGCTCAAGGATCATGTAAAAACTTCCAAAGATACAGACTCCCCTGTGGGCCATCTAGTCGTTCCCATGCGTTTACCCATTTTCAAGGGAGTCCATGGGAAAAATTGACGAAAAATCTAAAATAAAATTTCGATGGGAGGTTTTGATGCAGATTTATGGAGAATCGGTCGACAATTCGATCAAGGTATTCCGCTCAAGGATCATGTAAGAATTGGCAAAGATACAGACTTCGCTGTGGGCCATCTAGCCGTTCCCATGCGTTTACCCATTTTCAAGGGAGTCCACGGGAAAAATTGACGAAAAATCTAAAAAAAATTTCGATGGGAGGTTTTAATGCAGATTTATGGAGAATCGGTCGACAATTCGATCAAGGTATTCCGCTCAAGGATCATGTAAAAACTTCCAAAGATACAGACTCCCCTGTGGGCCATCTAGTCGTTTCCAGGCACATCCCCATTTTCAAGGAAGTCCATACGAAAAATTGACGAAAAATCTAAAAAAAATTTCGATGGGAGGTTTTGATGCAGATTTATGGAGAATCGGTCGACAATTCGATCAAGGTATTCCGCTCAAGGATCATGTAAAAATTGGCAAAGATACAGACTCCCCTGTGGGCCATCTAGTCGTTCCTATGCGTTTACCCATTTTCAAGGGAGTCCATGGGAAAAATTGACGAAAAATCTAAAAAAAATTTCGATGGGAGGTTTTAATGCAGATTTATGGAGAATCGGTCGACAATTCGATCAAGGTATTCCGCTCAAGGATCATGTAAAAATTGGCAAAGATACAGACTTCGCTGTGGGCCATCTAGACGTTTCCAGGCACATCCCCATTTTCAAGGGAGTCCATGGGAAAAATTGAAAAAAATCTAAAAAAAAATTCGATGGAAGGTTTTAATGTAGATTTACGGAGAATCGGTCGACAATTCGATCAAGGTATTCCGCTCAAGGATCATGTAAAAACTTCCAAAGATACAGACTCCCCTGTGGGCCATCTAGTCGTTCCCATGCGTTTACCCATTTTCAAGGGAGTCCATGGGAAAAATTGACGAAAAATCTAAAAAAAATTTCGATGGGAGGTTTTAATGCAGATTTATGGAGAATCGGTCGACAATTCGATCAAGGTATTCCGCTCAAGGATCATGTAAAAACTGCAAAAGATACAGACTTCCCTGTGGGCCATCTAGCCGTTCCCATATATTTCCCCCTTTTCAAGGGAGTCCATGGGAAAAATTGACAAAAAATCTAAAAAAAAATTCGATGGGAGGTTTTGATACAGATTTATGGAGAATCGGTCTACAATTCGATCAAGGTATTCCGCTCAAGGATCATGTAAAAATTGGCAAAGATACAGACTCCCCTGTGGGCCATCTAGTCGTTCCTATGCGTTTACCCATTTTCAAGGGAGTCCATGGGAAAAATTGACGAAAAATCTAAAAAAAATTTCGATGGGAGGTTTTAATGCAGATTTATGGAGAATCGGTCGACAATTCGATCAAGGTATTCCGCTCAAGGATCATGTAAAAACTGCAAAAGATACAGACTTCCCTGTGGGCCATCTAGTCGTTCCTATGCGTTTACCCATTTTCAAGGGAGTCCATGGGAAAAATTGACGAAAAATCTAAAAAAAATTTCGATGGGAGGTTTTAATGCAGATTTATGGAGAATCGGTCGACAATTCGATCAAGGTATTCCGCTCAAGGATCATGTAAAAACTGCAAAAGATACAGACTTCCCTGTGGGCCATCTAGCCGTTCCCATATATTTCCCCCTTTTCAAGGGAGTCCATGGGAAAAATTGACAAAAAATCTAAAAAAAAATTCGATGGGAGGTTTTGATACAGATTTATGGAGAATCGGTCTACAATTCGATCAAGGTATTCCGCTCAAGGATCATGTAAAAATTGGCAAAGATACAGACTTCGCTGTGGGCCATCTAGCCGTTTCCAGGCACATCCCCATTTTCCAGGGAGTCCATGGGAAAAATTGACGAAAAATCTAAAAAAAAATTCGATGGAAGGTTTTAATGTAGATTTACGGAGAATCGGTCGACAATTCGATCAAGGTATTCCGCTCAAGGATCATGTAAAAACTTCCAAAGATACAGACTCCCCTGTGGGCCATCTAGTCGTTCCCATGCGTTTACCCATTTTCAAGGGAGTCCATGGGAAAAATTGACGAAAAATCTAAAATAAAATTTCGATGGGAGGTTTTGATGCAGATTTATGGAGAATCGGTCGACAATTCGATCAAGGTATTCCGCTCAAGGATCATGTAAGAATTGGCAAAGATACAGACTTCGCTGTGGGCCATCTAGCCGTTCCCATGCGTTTACCCATTTTCAAGGGAGTCCACGGGAAAAATTGACGAAAAATCTAAAAAAAATTTCGATGGGAGGTTTTAATGCAGATTTATGGAGAATCGGTCGACAATTCGATCAAGGTATTCCGCTCAAGGATCATGTAAAAACTTCCAAAGATACAGACTCCCCTGTGGGCCATCTAGTCGTTTCCAGGCACATCCCCATTTTCAAGGAAGTCCACACGAAAAATTGACGAAAAATCTAAAAAAAATTTCGATGGGAGGTTTTGATGCAGATTTATGGAGAATCGGTCGACAATTCGATCAAGGTATTCCGCTCAAGGATCATGTAAAAATTGGCAAAGATACAGACTCCCCTGTGGGCCATCTAGTCGTTCCTATGCGTTTACCCATTTTCAAGGGAGTCCATGGGAAAAATTGACGAAAAATCTAAAAAAAATTTCGATGGGAGGTTTTAATGCAGATTTATGGAGAATCGGTCGACAATTCGATCAAGGTATTCCGCTCAAGGATCATGTAAAAATTGGCAAAGATACAGACTTCGCTGTGGGCCATCTAGACGTTTCCAGGCACATCCCCATTTTCAAGGGAGTCCATGGGAAAAATTGACGAAAAATCTAAAAAAAATTTCGATGGGAGGTTTTGATGCAGATTTATGGAGAATCGGTCGACAATTCGATCAAGGTATTCCGCTCAATGATAAAGTAAAAACTGTCAAAGATGCAGGCTTCCCTGTGGGCTATCTAGCCGTTCCCATGCATTTCCCCATTTTCAAGGGAGTCCATGGGAAAAATTGACAAAAAATCTAAAATAAATTTCGATGGGAGGTTTTGATGCAGATTTATGGAGAATCGATCGACAATTCGATCAAGGTATTCCGGTCAATGATCATGTAAAAATTGGCAAAGATACAGACTCCCCTGTGGGCCATTAGTCGTTCCCATGCAATCCCAGTCATCCATGGGATTCCCATCTATGGGGAACATTAACAAAAAGATTCAAAGAAACATTCTATTGGAGCTTCTAATGTAAACAAAATTCAATTAAGAAATTTCTCCGATATCAAAGTAGTGCATTGGAAATGTAGATACAAAATTTAACCAAAAATTAATAGAAGCCTTTAACGCATATTCGATGATTCCCCTAGATATACATACATATGTCAGTGTACTAGAAATATACAACTCCAAGAGGAATGACATGGAATTTCGCCACCTAAAAAGCTTCGGAAGAAACTTTTAGCGAAACTTGTTTCAGTTGTGAAATAACTTTCCTATTGACATATATTGGTAAAAATGTCCCTCCTTTGTATCCAAATCGACTTTTAAAGCCTATGAAACATTCTTTATTGTAGTCACTAAAACTTTAGGTCTAAGCATAATAGTGAAAAAAATCCCTGAAGTTTTGTTTCGACTCTTGCAATGAGTGAACACAATGAATTTACATCGGTGTTCCAAAAACCATATGAATAAATTACGTCTCTCATTTAAACAAATACGACAAGGTGGTTTTTTCACGTAGCCGACCACAAGATCGTTAATTCTTTAATTCCAAAGCACACAATGGACCAAAGGACCGCCGCAATTGAATTACAAGCTTCTTTCGGATGGGTTCTGTGGTATCTTTACGTTTTAGATTTTATTAAAAAATTAATAATTTGTGGTTCATCGCGAGTCCCATTTTATTGTGGCTTCCTGCGGAACGAGCAGCCTGTAATGAAGACAGAACATTGAATTAGATTTTGTAGGAACAGGATTTAAATGATTAATTTACCTTCTGTCAGCTTAGCGCGTCCTCCAGTAGGCTGGCACAGAATGGTGGCGCAACCGGCGCAGACCACAACGCCCTGGGCGTGGCTGAAGACGGTGGTGATCCTGTAGCAGCCGGGGCACTTCACGTCCATGAAGTACGAGTTGGGGTGCTGGACCAGGCGCTTCAGCTTGTGCTTGCGCTTCTCCTCAGCGGGCAGAGGGTGCAGAAGATCTTTTGCTAGCTGTAAATAAGGAATAGATAATTAGAGCACAATAATACAAGAATTTTTAGAACATTCTATTTGGTTGGACAAAGAGTTTGTTGTGGTTACCAAAAGGTAACTGGAATCGTTATAAACTCAGAAGTTGATTCAAGTTATTGGCACCCAAAAGCCAATAAATTCAAATAAACGATTAACATTTTTCATGGAATATTAAGGAACTGACAACTCTTTTTTTTTTTAAACGCATCAACAAATCTAGACTGAAAGGCAGCAAGAACAACACAAAACCGCCAACGCGAATTGCAGGTTATGGTTGATAACTTTTGCGATTTTATGTTCGCATTGCACTCTACTTCACTTTGTTTACCACCTTTCAATTTCATTAAAAGCTTATTTCTGTTTCACAACAGTTGGAAATCTCTGGGCTGCACGCCATGCGTGGCTCGTGGAATCACTCAGACACACATTGATTTGAGGGTGTATGAACTCGTTTCCATTGGAAAATACACATTTCAGACATAGTGGACACTTTGCGAAGGTATTCAGACCACTTTTTACTCATGTATTATCTAGTTTTCTGTGTTTAAAACGTATTTTAACGCAATTTGGGACCCACCGGCATGTTTTTTCTCTCACAGCTAACACGGAAAAGGAAGTGGTATAAATCGCAGCCAACTTCACTTCGGAAAAAACGCACTAATAAACACCACAAAGCAACTACACTGCAGTTTCCAGCACTGGATATGCTTGAAAGCAGTTTTTATTATTTTATTTAAAAGAAGGACGAATAAATATTGTTTTATTTCATAATTAAAGTTTAAATTATTATCTTAATTTAATGTACCAAATGGACCCATGAATTCCCACCTCCTGTACTTATTAAAAAATATGTGTTTTTTTCCGAATGAAACTTTTTTTTTATATTGTTTAATAAAAGCTATATTTTTATTATTTTATAAATAATTTGTTTTAATTTATTTACTTAAGCCTAATTTCGCGTATTTACTAATTATATATGGTAAACAAGAGGACAGCAGTTATGGTCACACTAATTTAAACTATTTTGGCGCCGGGCAATTGTTGGACAACAAATTATAAAATAAATAGCCGAAATGCGGACTGTATCTGATCCAGACTTTTCGATACAACTAAATGAGACAATAGAGTGCTACGCCATATGCACGACAGATTTTGCATACAATCTGATCGCTGTGGCGGTTAAGAATCATTTGAGTCTTATTCTCGTGGGATTGCCGGCAAGTGACAAAAGCCTAGTCCACTGCGTTGAATGAAAGATTTCTAACTTGTGCGATTTCCTGCAGGAGGAGAACGGAGAATTCGGATGGAACCATCTTCAGGACGTAGACTTGGAGGACAAGGACCAAAGGCGCGTGACGGCGATAGCGTTTTCGCCGGAAACATCCATGAACTGCACGCCGAACAACGTGACCCTTTGCGCCGCCTTAGGTTGCGATATAACCATTATCCGCACCGACCTGGGACAGTTTAATACGCTCCAGCCACTCCAAGCCCACAGCGACTACATCAACGACGTCTCCTGGGTGTGCGAAGGTGAGCTGCTGGCCACCGTGTCCGATGACTTCAGCTGCCGGTTCTGGACCCCAGGCGCCACTCCGGAGAACGTCATCACCTTCGGCCTTTCATCGGCCGGTATGTCTATAAAGAGCCATCCCGAAGATCCCAATAAGGTGCTTGTGGCCGAGAAGAAGGGTATAATACATTTGTATAATGTGCGCACCAAACAAACTGTCGTTTCTGTGGAGTCCCCAAAGTTCCCGCTCTTGTCGGCCGATTGGGCAAACAGTAACCGCCTCTTTGTCACTGCCCTAGCAGGTGGAGATATTGTCACCTGGGACTTGAACAGGCCCTTCGTTCCAGCCGATGTCAAACAGGTCCACGAAGACGGTGGCAGAGTAGTGCGCTTTGCCCCCGGAAGCTCTGAGATGGTTATAGCAAGCATTGGAAGGCCAGATTTGACTCTTAAAGTGTTTGCAGCCAAGTCGACGGTTCCTTTGATCGAAGCATCCTTGAAGACTTTCGCCGGCTTGGCATGGCATCAGCGATTGCCATATGTCACTGCGGTATCCGACCGAAAACTGCACTTCTGGAAGGTGCAGATGAAGTAAATTTATGTCTAAGAAGAATCTATCCAGCTATTCTTTTCATGTTTTTACGATGTCCATGAAAGTTTAATTCATAAATATTTTGTAATTGGAATAAACAATTTTAATGTAAATACATTAATGACTTTCGGGTTCAAATAGCGTATTTGCATGATGAGCGTATTTGCATGGTTCTATATCTTCCTAAATTATTAAAAATTATTTCTAGAAACATAAAAAAAATGTACTGCAGAGGGATATCGAAATGGTCTAACACAACCTCCATCAGTTATGTAGAAAAATTAAGTAAAATTAAAAAAAAATTAAATAATAAAATTACCTATGTAGAAAATTGCTACAATATCAATTCCTTCAATATTTTGTAATTGAGAATAGACTTGTTTAATTAAAAATTTTTAAATACATAAATAAAATGACTTTAATAAAAAAAATATTGTGGTTCAAATAAAAATAGTTTATTCGGAGCTTAACTGAATGATTCTCAATGCTTTAAAGCTATTTTTTAAGTAGAAAAAATATCTTTGCTTTAAAGGGCTAACTAAATGGCTAACACAACCTGCCTAAGTCATTATGTGGTAATTTTTTTAAATTTATATGTAATATAATCAACTTTTTAGAAATGTCTTAGAATTACATATTTATAAGTCTCTGTTTATATATGAAGTATATTTTTAGTTATAAAATATAAAATGTTATATTATAAAGCATAGTTTAACAAAACATATTTTTTATATCAAAAACAAACTCTATAAATTCATTTAAAATTTTAATTTTATTTAATTTTTTGTTGCTCAATAAGAATTGTGTGGAAAAAAAATACTGGAATTAAGGCTTTCATGAAAGTGTATCTACAGCCACACTAAAATATTGTTCCCGGTTTTGCAGATTTTTTTGGTTGCTCGTGTGCGTGCGACCCTTGATTTTTAAGAAGAATTTTACTAAATTTACGGTGTGATTTGTGACAGTTATTGAAAAGTCATACGCCGAGAGCTATTGTCAAGCCGGAGACAAATTGTGAGATATCTTCGTCGTTCGGATGACGCTAGATCTGAAGTAAAGAAAAGTGGACCGCAAAGCACATTTTTGCGAGAATTAATAATTGAACCGTCTGCGGAGTCTTCAAGGGCGAAACAATGCTATCTACGAGAAAGGAAGTGGACGAGCAGGTCCACAAGCTCCTGGGCAAGATGCTACCGGGAAAAGAGGTAAAGGAATGCATCGGAATTTTGTGAAATAACCATAATTGCGAAATCGTCGGCGCCGCCATTGAAAGCGCGCGCATGTGTTTGTTTGCGGCGCCTCCGTTGCTGGTGTGTGTGTGAGGCGGCGGCGTCACTGGGTGACGCGGTAATCCAAAAAGAAACAATTTGCGCGAAATCTGTCTTCCCAAAACACTGCAAATGTTTATTTTTGAAAATGCACTCAACCGCTTCACCGAAGACAAAATTCTGCATTCGGAAAATAGAAATAGAAATGTGAGGTTATGTAAATAGCGGCTTGCAGACTGCGTCCTTGGCTCCCAATCACAGTAGGCACTGTTTAAGAGGGAAATCCCTATAAAGAAAAAATGTCTGTTTTAATTTATTCTATTTAAATTGCTGGCGGATGACAGTACTTCAAAATGTCAAAACTAAAGCAAACCCAAAGTAAATACAAAAAAAATCCTAATCATCGAAACCCTTTTTTATTGCAGCGCGACTACAAGGGTCTGGCGGTGGCGCGTCTCTACAACAGGATCAACGAGTACGCGAAGGCCATTGAGTATTTGAATAGCTACCTACGCGTCAAAGACGAGGCGGTGGCCCATAAGCTCATTGCCAACTGTTACAAGAACCTTAAAACCCCCGATCTACAAAAGGCTCTGCAGCACTACCAGAGGTGCATTCAGCTGAATCCCCGCCAGCCGGACGTCATCAAGGAAGCCTGCCAGCTGCTACTCGACGAGAAGGGGCTGTACAACGCCGAGAGGGCCAAGTACTGGCTGGATTTAGCTGCCGGAGAGGATCTTTCCGAGAACGAACTGGTCTTTGCCCTTAAAATGCGAGTGGAACACGGAGAGACCAACGGCAAAGTTGGATCGAAAACTGATGACGAAAACAACTTGGAGTTGTTGATGCACAAAGAGCTGCAGTCACGTCCGCAAGACGTCAATGTACGCATCAGGCTGCTGCGGTGCTATGTGGAAAAGAAGGACTTGGAACAGGCCTTCAACTATGCCTACAAAGTGGAGCTGGAAGAGGCAAAGGGCTGCACCAGTCAATCCACTCAGTGGTACGAGGTGGTATGGCTGCTTCTGACTAAACTGGAACTGATCATGGCCAAGGATGTGAAAAAGCAGTGCCGTTTCTGGTACTTGGCCCTACATTGTCTCGACCGACTGATGCAGCTCAGCCTAGAGAAGGGCAACTGTCTGGCTGACAGTACCAGTCAGCTCTTTCGTTTGGATCAACATCTGTACAAGTTCAGCAATGTTCTGGACCGATCCGCAGACTCCACGCAGAGGGAGCTGCTGCAGACCTGCTTGGATCACTTCGGCGGTCAGCTGCTGCTGCATGCAGTCGCGCTGATTTTCAAGCGGGAACTTCTGGGAAGCAAAAACAAATGGATTGTTACATTAAGAGCAGTGCTGCCAATGCTGTTCCTGGGATATCAGCTGCGTGCGCCGAACGAGGGGCCAGAGAACCTGTGGATGAAGCACTGTGACGCTGACCAGAAGACGCTGCTAAGGATTTGGCGCCAGAACGGCTCCTTCCGCTGTGCTCAGCTAGGACGCACCTTGTGGGGCTGCTTGGAGCCAGATAACCAGAAGGAGAACAACAACCCACAACAGACATCTCACTCGGGCCTCTTCGCCAACTCGGAGGACCTTTTGACGTGTCTACGCCAGCAGTGTCTGGATAAAAACTGGCGGCGTCAGCTCTATCAGCAGCTCTTCACCCATGCCGAGCAAAAGTTGAAGGAGCAAACTTCGCACCTGGTGCGACACCCGCGACTGCATTCGCCGGTTGCTGAGTGGCCGGACTTGGCCGAAATTGAAGGATACGAGCAGGAGTCCCTGAGTCTGCCGCCACACTCTCTGAACATGCATGTTTACCTCGCCTTGGGCACGGATCCCGATAGCTTGGGCGATGCACCTCGTGTAGTGTTCTATGAGGCATTCCAGCGAGATGTGAAGCAGAGTCTGACCTATTGTGGTTACGAATCCCTTTCCCAGTTAGACATAGATGTGTTTCTTTATGCCACGGTTATCCAGGCCCAGCGTCGGCTGCAAATCCAGCGGGAAACGTACGAGACCTCGAACCTGGGGAACCGCAGTGCTAACGCCCGACCGCTCATGATGCCGTACTCGAACATCATCACTCAACTGGCCGTCATCGAGCAAACTCAATGGTGGGATATTGTGTTGCGACTTCACCGAAACCAGTTATACAACGAGGGAAATCGTACTGAACAGCGGGCCCAGCTCCAGTTAGGTTTGGAGGCCGTCCGAGGGGTGAATGGTCCAAAAGCCGATGCTATCATCATCTTCCAATTGGGAAAGATTCTGCAGTCGCGCTCCGATCGCTCTGCGTTGGAGGCGCGCATCGAAAACCTCTATCGGCAGGGATTCGCCATGCTGCGTCGCCAGCAAAAGCAGCAATTGGAGCCCTTTACGCGCGTCTTCAAGTATGGATCTCACAACTCAACGTCCGCCTGGCAGGAGTTGCAGTCCCTGGCAGAGCACGCCGTCTCCTACTTCAGCGCCAAGATGTTCAAAGCGGGCCAGTACGAGCAGTTCGTGGACGAAGTGCGAGGCCTTAACCTGCCCATGGCCAGTTACCTGCAGGCCGAGGCGTACCGCCAGCTGGAAGACTCTGGCAAGACACCGCGCGTCTCACGAGCACGGTACTCTGAGCGGCGTCGTGAATGTCTGCAGCAGACGAGCGACCTCCTCCGCAACGATGGCCAGCATCCCCTGAGCTCCGTTATCCAGCGTGAGCTGCGCCGGTGCCAGCAGAATCGCAGTTTTCAGGCTGGGGGCGACGACAGCTTTGGCACGCCCGAGCTACACAACAACTCTTCGACCTACGAGGATGCAGAGGATGATTTCTATTCGGTGGCCGCAAATCGGTCCCGCCGCCACTTAAACTCCACGACAACTCCATCGACACCGCAGCAGGTGGTGGTGACCACCGCGCCAGCAAGTCTAGAACTGGAGCAGACTGTCAAGCAGATCAGCAAGTCCCTATGCCTGCTTAAGGATGATGTGAGCGTGGGCCTGGAAGGCGTGCTGCAAGAGATCAAGAACCTGAATGAGCGATTCAATGGAATGGAGGAACTGCTTAAGAAACTAAAGATTAGCTCCACTGAAACTCCAACGCGCGACGTTGATCCTGCTGCCGCATTGGGACTGGACGATTTATTCATCATTGAGGACGCCCTGGCGGAGCAGCAGCAGCAACAGACTGCCGCTCATCAGGTAGTTCAGCCGGCTTATGGGGGACCTACTGCCGGCTACTATAATGGTGTACCAAACACACCATCCGCACAGGAACGCTTCTTGCAGGGCGCCTACGGTAGCCCCATATATAACCAGAACCAGATGTACAACTACTACGCTGCCCAAGCGCAGGCTCAGGCCCAGGCCCAGTTCATGCGTACTCCACCGGCTCCGGGATCCGGGATTCCTCCGGCTAACATGTTTGGTTGGTTTTCTGTTATTCAGTTTTCTTATCTCCATGTCTAATCCCCATTTCTATTCCGTTTTAGGACCCCGCAATCAAAACTTTGGATTGCCAAGCATGTTTCCACCACCGCCTGCTGGTCAAGGTGCACCGTACATTGATCCCATGGCGAACTTCAGTCAACCGCCCCCGAGTCTACTTCCGCCAGCGCCTCAAGCGGCTCCTCTTTCTGTTCCAGTTCCTGCTCCGGGTCCTCTTAATCTAGTGGAATCCAAAGGGGCACCTGGAGGAGGGTTCTTTAACGCATCTTCGCCAGCTTTTGGTCAACAAACTAAACCATTAATAACTCCTTCGGTTCCAGCACCTGCACCAGCTGCTACTGCTTCAGTTTCTGCCTTACCGGCTACTGCTGCTGCTCCTTCGGTTTCAGTAGCTCCCCAAGCTGCTCCGGTCAACGCTCCGCCAATTTTCAATCGTGCTCTCAATAACCAACCCGTTGAAAAGGAGCCGCCAGCCAATGTGGTTATCACCAGCTCGGATCCGCTTCCCAAACCGACCGTAACTAGTGTCCAGCCCACTCTCAGTGTGACCATTCCCGCCCAGCACATCAAGCCTAGTCTGGTGCAGGCTGCGGCAGATCCACCGCAAGTGCAACTATCGGCACCCACGGCACCATTCACTTTCAATTTTGGAACTAACACCACAGAAAGCCCCTTCTCGTTCAAGTCACAGGTGGCTAAGGCAGCCGCCGAGAAGCAGAAGGAGCAGGAGGCAGCGGATCAGGACCAGAACCAGAGTGAAACTAGCGAAAACAGAAGTGGAGCGGCAGACAACTCCACGGCGGAGGACTACGATCCTCGGCCCGATTTCAAGGCCATAATTCCGCTACCCGACGAGGTGGAGGTAAAAACTGGCGAAGAGGATGAGCAGGTCAAGTTCAGTTATCGCGGCAAGCTGTACCGTCATGCGGACAAGGAGTGGAAGGAGCGGGGAACCGGGACTATTAAAATCCTTCACAATACCACTACTGGCGTGTCCCGCGTCCTAATGAGACGCGATCAAACCCATAAGATTTGTGCCAACCATACGATTACCAGCGACATGACCATAGGGTTTGTCACTCAGGACAAGGACCAAAACAAGTTAATTTGGGCTGCCAATGACTTTGCGGATGAGCAGCTGACCCTGGAGAAGTTCCTGTTGCGATTCAAGACGTCAGAAACTGCGAAGGAATTCAAAGAGGCGTTTACCGCCGCCGCTCAGCAAAGTTCCAAGACGAAGGAAGTGGAGAAGCCCAAGGAAAAGACCGTGGCTCCAGCTCCAGTTCCAGTTTCGGTTACCTCTTCAGCTATTTTTAGCCAGCCCAAGAGCTTTGTGACTAGTACCCCGTCGGGAAATATCTTCAACAAGCCGCAGGATCAGACCAAGCCCAAGCAGAGTGAACCGAACGCCGCTCCAGACGTAGCCAAATCTCTCTTTGGCGGCATGTCATCACTTTCGACGGCTCCCCCATCATCTACCCCGTCGTCGTCAGCCGCCCCCTCGCCATTTGCCAATTTCAGCTTCACCACCGCCACATCATCTGGCCTTGGCACGGGAGCGACGCCTTTTGGAAATCTCTCCTTTGGAAGTGTATCAGCCGTGAACACTTCTGGTAACTCCACCCTTTTCACCACGGCTCTGGTCAAAGACAACACCCTGCAGCAGCAACCCCAGCCGACACCTCAGCTAAACAAATCATCTGCCTCCGATGCCGAAGATGAATATGTTCCCACGGCCCAGTTTGCGCCAGTTATACAGCTTCCAGATCTGGTAGAGGTGGTCACTGGTGAGGAGAACGAGGAAGTGCTCTTCGAGCATCGGGCCAAACTATTGCGCTTCGTCAAGGACACCAACGAGTGGAAGGAACGTGGTCTGGGTAACATGAAGGTGTTGCGGGATCGCAAAGATCATAGCCAGGCGCGCTTGCTGATGCGTCGCGAGCAGGTCCACAAACTGTGCTGCAATCAGCGCCTCCTGCCCGACACAAAGTTCTCCTTCGCTTTGAATCTCAAAGCAGCTGTCACATGGGCTGGCCAAGACTACTCGGAGGAGGAGCTAACCACTGAGCTGCTGTGTGTTCGCTTCAAGACGCCGGAGCTTTGCCAGCTATTCCTTGATGCGATAAAGAAGGTTCAAGACGAAATGGGATCCATCAAAAAGGAGGAGAAGGTCGACCCGCCAAAGAAGGTCGAGGAAGAGAAGCCAGTAAAGGGATTCGGCGATGCCTTCAAGCCCAAAACTGGAAGCTGGACGTGTGATTCCTGCTACACAAGCAACGACAAGGACCAGGCGAAATGTGTGGCCTGCCAGGAGCCCAAGGACAAAACTCTTTCAGCCAAACCATCCGGTGGCTTGGATCAAAGCAAGGCCCTGAATTTGTCAACTAGTACCAGTGGTCAGTTCTCTTTCGGTTTTGCAAAGGGCGGCGCCAATGCTACCTCAGGAGGATTCACATTCGGGGCTACCACCAACTCACCATCCGTGGGGGCATCGAAGAGCACTGGAACCACAGGATTCGGAGACGCCTTTAAGCCAAAGGCAGGCAGTTGGTCCTGCTCTGGATGTTATGTGAGCAACACGGCGGATGCTCTGAAGTGCAGTGCCTGCCAAGCTCCGAAGGATGGCAGCACAGAGACCAAAAAGGAGACTCTGACCTCTGGAGTCAGCACAAACTCACCATCCGTGGTGGCATCAAAGAGCACTGGAACCACCGGATTCGGTGATGCCTTTAAGCCAAAGGCAGGTAGTTGGTCCTGCTCTGGATGCTATGTGAGCAACACGGCGGAGGCTTTGAAGTGCAGTGCCTGCGAAACACCGAAGGATGGCAGCACAGATACCAAAAAGGAGACTCTAGGCTCTGGAATCACTTTGCCAGCTACCACAACATTCTCGTTTGGGTTCCCGCCACAGCCTGCTAGTAAAGATCCATCGTCAGCCCCTGATCAGCCACCGAAACCAGCCAGCAGTCTGTTCGGATCAACATCGTTCAATTTTACACCATCCCAGCCAGCTACGGCTGCCGTTGCTCCTTTTGCTGCTGGCCCAGCTCAAGTCGTTGCCCCTGCCGCACCGATAGGATCAACCAACTTTACCTTCTCCATGCCCAAGCCCGCCCAGCTACAGCCAAAGAGTCCGATTGCAGCAGTTGGCAATGAGGGGGACGACAACGAATACCACGAGGAGGAAGAAAACACCGCCTACTTTGCGCCCGTTATCCCATTGCCGGATAAGGTAAGAGTTGGGAGAGACTAAATTAATCTTTTAATCTTCACCGAAAACTAATCTTTCAGGTTGACGTAAAGACTGGTGAGGAGGACGAAGAGGTGCTGTATTCGCATCGCGCCAAGCTCTACCGCCTCTGGGAAAATAGCGAGTGGAAGGAACGTGGATTGGGCGAAGTGAAGATCCTTCGCCATAAGGTAACCAAGAGGCTTCGTGTAGTGATGCGACGCGAACAGGTGTTCAAGATCTGCCTAAACCATGCGCTCAACGAGCATACACCCTCGTATAAGAGGAAAGATGAGAGGTCCTGGATGTTTGCGGCTTATGATTTTAGCGAGGGCGAGAGTGTCCTTCAAAAATTCACTGTGCGATTCAAAAATGCGGAGATAGCCCAAGAGTTCTTCGCTGCCGTTCAGAAAGCAAAGGCTGGCCTTGTGGATGTCCAAGAAGTGAGTGACTCCTCAGCCAACGAGTCCTCAACGCCCGTTGAGGAGTGCCCCGGATGCCGGGGCTGCGACTCGGAGGCCTTCGTGTTCCCCAAACCAGTGGGTGAACTCGGAAATATTGCCGCTGAAGACGATCCATCCGTCACGCTTCCAATGTATCAGCCAGCTTTGAAACTCCCACCCCCAGGGTTCGCAGCAAACACGGCCAGTCCTCTGTTTAAGGCCAGTTCCCTGGGCACGTCAACCACAACGCCATTCACTGGATTTGGTAATTTGTCAGTTTCTGAAGAAAATAAGACTCCCAGTTCCGCCTTTCTCTTCGGAAGTGCTTGTAAGTAATAAGGATATTTGTTATCGTGAAAAATATTAAAATTTTTCTAAATTTTTAGCTAAACCCGCACCTGGAACTCCATCCTTCGGATTGAAGTCATCTAGTTTTGGCTCCGCACCGCAAGGCAATGTTTTGGGCTCCATTTTCGGAGGGGTTGCCGCGGATAACCAGAGCTTGGCTTCTGATTCTGCAAAATCAATTTTCAGCGGGGTGCAGGAGAAGAGTGACGCCCCAAAATCAATATTTGGTACTCCGTCCAAAAATGAAGGTTCCACATCCATTTTTGGTAACGTAAGCTCCCAAAATTCGGCGGTTGATTCTTCCAAATCCATCTTCGGAGGAGTGCAACAGAGTGCCAAGAGTGACGATCAAAAAGCATTGTTTGGTGCTCAAAAATCCATTTTTGGCGGCTTGCAGCAAAAGCTTGAAGATTCGAAATCTACTTTTGGAGGCGGTGGTGCCGCCAGTGTAGGCGGTTCTGGTGGCTTTGTTTTCGGTTCCAGTGGCAAAGCCCCAGGCTCTATTTTTGAACAGAAGACCACCAACTTGTTTTCAAATCTTGCCAAGCCCACTGATGACGGCGAGAAGCCGAATGAGGGAGAGAAGAATAAGGAACAAAAGGATACTGAGAAAGAGCCGGAAAAGGCACCTGTCTTTGCTTTTGGAAATGCTGACGATAAGAAGACTGGAAGCACATTTGCCGATCTTGCAGGAAAGTCTGGAGGCACATTTGCCGATCTTGCAGCAAAGTCTGGAGGCACATTTGCCGATCTTGCAGCAAAGTCTGGAGGCACATTTGCTGATCTTGCCGCCAAGAATCAGGGCACGGAGGCAGTGGGATTCAAAAAGTCGGAGGGAGGCGGTTTTTACAACCTGACCCATCAGAACGCGTTTAAAAATTTCCAGTCTCCGCACAATGAGTCTGGCAAGGATGGTGGAGATAACGATGAGGACGGCGACGCCACCAACGACGACAACTATGATCCACACTATGACCCGATTGTGGAGCTGCCGGACGAAATAGTAGTTACCACTGGAGAGGAGAACGAGACAAAGCTGTTCGGCGAGCGGGCGAAGCTCTATCGTTATGATGCTGATACTAAGCAGTGGAAGGAGCGCGGTAAGTTCAATAGGCATACATTTTATCCAAATATTTGATATTATATTTCTGTACCAGGTTGCGGTGAAATAAAGGTGCTGGAGCATAAGGAACTGCAGCAATTCCGCTTGCTGATGCGACAGGAGCAGATCCACAAGCTGGTCCTCAACATGAAGCTCACCGACGATCTTAATATGAACTACTTGAACGAACAGAAGAAGAGTTTCTGTTGGGCGGGCTACAATTATGCGGTGGACGCGGAAGGCAAGGTTGCCACCGAGGGAGCGTTGGAGAGACTCGCCGTGCGTTTCACCAAGCAAGAGATAGCCGACGAGTTCCTCGCAAAGGTAACGTCGTGCCGTGAACGTTCCAGGAAATTGGCCAACGACGCCGAAGATGCCAGTAACAATGTGGAGGTTTAAACCATAACCGATAGATTGTAAAAAAAGTTAGTAATATGTAGCATGATTATAATCGAGTTATAAGATAATCCTCTTTTAAGTATTGGAAGTTGTAATGCACAATTTTCATGTCCAGTTATGGTAATAATATTTAAGATAAAAACAGCGGCGGATGTCTGTCAAAATTGCATTGAATTCATTTAGTAAAAACAATATACATGTATAGTTATGTTCGTATGTTTTTAGTTAAGTAACTTATGTAAGATCGATAAACTTTGAAGTTTCAAATAAAATAATCATTTCATAAACATTTATATTCCAAAATAGAAATTTAAGTTTATTTTTTAAAAGGGTATTGAAAGTGCGCCTGGTACGAGTTATTGTCGTGCTGTGCAGCACTGAGAATAAAGTCACTAAGATCTTTTACAGCACTGAGTTTTTATTTTTCCGTTATACAATACATACGCCGACAGCGCGTTTGGCAACACTAATCTGCATTCGATAATGACGTGGTGAACAGAAAAAGAACAATTGTAATTAAATTAATTCGAATCGCCGCATAAAAATTAACCAAGGACTTCCCCAGAGAAGTTACAACATAGTAGACAACAAGGGGACAAGCAGGCGCCGAAAAATTTTATTTCCTAATACATCTAAGGGCAAAATTCACATTCTACCAGGCGGAAGAAGAAGAGCAAGACGCAAGCGGAGAGGACTATGAAAAATAATTAGCGGAGGGCTAGTTTCGTGGTTTTTGTTTTGTTAGACCGTTCTACTGCCTTGTCCCATATCTTAAAACTTGGAATCAATACACGTGGTCGGTGGCAAGGAAGGTCAGCGAACAGAAGACCCAGAGAACCGACAACGTCAAAGTCAACACAAGCATTTAAGAGGTAACGACACGTTCTAAGTTTGCAGACATAGACATTTTGAGGTTGAATATTTTGTTCTATTTCTTATAGTGTTTACTTTTTAATGAGGCGCTAGCAAAGCAGCAGACATGATGAACGAGGACAGCAGTTCCGCCAGCGGTGGCGGAGTCAAGAAGTTTTTTCAGCGGCTATCACAGGTGGGAATCCAGCGGTTCATCAAAGTCTGATCGAATAATCCAATCTTTAAACACTTTACAGACCTACCAATCAACCCTAGATCGCAGTACACCGCACACGAGACTGCGCTGGGTCTTTTCCGGCTTCCTGCTCCTGCTCTTCTGTCTGCGCATCTTCGTGTACCAGGGCTGGTATATTGTGTGCTATGCTCTGGGCATTTACCACCTAAATCTGTTCATCGCCTTTCTTACGCCGAAGATCGATCCAGAATTCGATCCCTATGCGCAGGATGATGAAGACGAAGGTCCTAATCTACCCACACGCAGCAATGAGGAATTCCGACCATTCATTCGCCGCCTGCCCGAGTTTAAATTTTGGTTATCGGTGACCAAGAGTACGGCGATCGGATTGACATGCACGTTCTTCGACTTCTTCAATGTGCCTGTCTTCTGGCCCATTCTGGTGATGTATTTCATTACGCTGTTCTGCATCACGATGAAGCGCCAAATTAAGCATATGATCAAGTACAAGTACTTACCCTTTACGCGCAACAAGCCGCGTTATCAGCGGGTAAATGACCCGGCGCCCGGATCGGTGGGATCTGCGGGAGCCGTGCCTAAGTGACAATTAGCCGCACAGACGCCGGAGAAGGAGGTGGAAGCTGCAGCACCGCCGCCTCCTACCGCAACTAACGATAGCGCTGCGACCAAGGATGTGGGGTCGCCAACAGTGGGTGGAGGAGCATCGTCGTCCGTTAAACCACCGCAAATAATAGCAATCGAGGACTACTAGGGAATGCTGCTACCGAAAACCCCGGAATTGAACCAGAAACATAGAACCAAGCGAGTCCACCATTTTAGCTTGAAATCGCATATTATTTTCGTTTTCGGTTTGTGTAGCATTTTTCTTTTCACTGTTGTGTTGTCGTACGGCGTCTTGTGCAAAATACCTTGTTTACGTATAAATTCTAATGCTTGTTTAACCATATATTATATTTATTTACAATGCCTTACGCCTATTGTGAATCCCAAACGATACTAAAGGTTAGAAGATCAGCTCTAATTTAAACTTCATCCTAAACCTATCATAATTTTACAATTCTTTATCCAAAAAGTTAGGATTATTTACTGTATTGAAAACCAATAATTTTTGATTAGATGCTATAACAGAATATGTCTGAATAAATATACAAACATGTATATTTTGCATTATAATTATACACATTTTTGTTAGCGGTAACTAAAAAAAAGTGTTAAAAGGCGAAAAAAACTGAAACTATAGGAAGTGTATACTGGGTGCGTCTTATGAATAAAGGAGACAGAAAAAACCAAACTAATCCCTTATTATTTAAAACTGACCCACTTATGTATACGGTATGGACACGTAATTGGGTTTTCTTTTTATCTAATCGGATTTTAGCTCGTTCTGGCCATTGGGGAACTTTTAGATATGAAACTACTTCTGATAACGAAAACACAATCGTCAAGTATGTTTAACCTTTTCAACGAATTGGTTAACAATATAAAACATTTTTTATTTAGATTAAGCATTACAACATGAAGACAACAAAACACTAATAATCTAAAGATTTATGAATATAGGGGCATATAGGCGTTCCACATGGGGGCATGAATTATTTAAAAAAATTCAATCAATGATAAATGCTTATTGAAAAACATGGAATAACTACTGGTTAAACAATGCTTCGGAATAATGTCACAATTAATGGATTAAGGTACTGAGCCCTTTAAATAGTTATAATGATGAAAACCAAAACAACCCATTGCTACTCCGTTGCGGACTTGGTTTTATCCTCCCGGGCGCATTTTCGGATTACGCTATTGAAATATTTGTGCAGCCCGTAGCTAAAGAGGCGCAGTGGACCCATCACAATGGAATGTAGAAGATTTGTGAAAAATCCATCCCAGGGCAACAAACCTCCGCCTAATGTGGTGATCAACCAGCTTTCGGCTCCCACAATCGAGGTGAAGTTTCCTTTCTGCAATGAAAAGGGATTAGGCTATCACACACGAGCGAAGGGATGCAACAATCACTCACCAATGCATCCTTGAGAATGGCTTTGGCCATGACTTCTGGCTCAATCAGACCGCCTCCACCAGAAATGATTTTCGTTTCTCGCGGTTTCGACTTTTCCTCCTCTTCAAATCCCGGAGTGTTCGTATCGCAGGGCATGGCCAGTGTCACACTGACTCCATATTCTCTTGACTCCATGGCTATCGTCTCGGCCATGGCACGAAGCGCATACTTTGTGGCCGAATATGGCCCGTAGCCATAGATGCCAAACATGGCAGCTTGTGAAGCTGTAATCACAATGATTCCCTCACCCGCCTTTTTCATCTTGGGCAGGACATACCGAGTGCAGTTGTAGGTACCAAAAAAGTTTACGTTCATTAGCTTGTGCACGTCCTGTACGGATACTTCCTCGAATACTCCGCAGATAGCCATGCCGGCGCAGTTGATAAGAGCATAGATGGGTCCAAACTCCTCCTCGGTCTCCTTCAGCACTTGAGCTACTCGATCATAGTCGCCTCCAATGTCAAGACTTCGGTATTGGAACTTTTGATCGGGTCTCTGTCGAATCACCTCCATCAGAGCCACGGCTCCACCTAGTTATACAATAAATGGTTACTCAGTTGGGTTGGGTTGAAAGTTTTTTTCGAAGAAGCTAGCAGAAGTACAATACATGCTATTATTTGTATTTTATGTATGTAAATATGCATAGCCTCCATACTGATAAAAATCAGAATTCTAGATTCGAAAATTTTTAGGGTTGGGCTTCCTTGCGCCTAAAAACATAAATGACTCACTCAACATTTTCTCATCCCTGGCTATCACCGTCACATTGGCGCCTTTCATGGCACACTCCACCGCCAAACAGAGGCCTATTCCTTTCGATCCGCCGGTGACCACTACATGGCGTCCCACAATGCCCTTCGGCCGTTTGCCCATCACGAATACGTAGACCAAGTAGTGAACCAGCACCGCAATTGCCACGCATAGAACTACTTCCCAGCTGATTTCCATTGCTGAAATAGGAGAGCGCTATAATTCCAATGGACAGCCTTAATCGGTTTGGGGTGGTGGGCGGTTACCTATCCGAAGTGATTAGAAAGTGCAGCGCCAGTGTAACCAGTCAGCGAAAGCAAGGTTATACCAAAATCGCTGAACATTTCCACGGTCAAGTTGGCATGTCTTGAATAACACATGTGTCCTGAAGCAGCTCCGAATTTATTGTTTACTTGAATTATTTATAAAAATGCCACCTAAGAAAGACGCCAAGGGCGGTAAGGATGCGGGAAAGGGAGGTAAAAAGCCCGCTGCGGAAGACAAATGTAAGTTTTGGATGAAAAGAGTTATCGCCAAAGCTTAACAATGACCTTTGTTGGAGCAGCTGCCGGCAAAGAGAAAAAGGGAGGCAACGCTGTTAAAGTACGCCACATCCTGTGCGAGAAGCAGGGCAAGATCACCGAGGCCATGGAGAAGCTAAAAGCGGGCCAGAAGTTCCCGGAAGTTGCTGCTGCCTACAGCGAGGACAAGGCTCGCCAGGGGGGAGATCTCGGTTGGCAGATTCGTGGGGCTATGGTGGGCCCATTCCAGGACGCCGCTTTCGCCTTGCCCATCTCTACCGTAAACAACCCCGTGTATACAGACCCCCCGATCAAGACTAAGTTTGGCTACCACATCATCATGGTGGAGGGAAAGAAATAGATCTGATTTTATAAACCAATTTTTAATGCGATACAACGCTCTTTTAGTTTTTTTTATGAGTGGATTCCTGTGTATTCTTGGAGTGCTCAGCAATCATCATTTTTTTCCAGCGTCTTCCTTAAGACCGACAGTCCGGTTGAAGACTATGCGATCCTTGGAGGTGTCTGGATCCACGGAGAAAAATCCTATCCTTTCGAACTGGAACTTGTCGTAGACCTTGGCCTGTCGCAGCGCTTGATCTGCGAAAGCTCGGACTACAGTAATGGACTGGTCGCTGATGTCGCTGAGAAAGCCGCCGGGGACCTCATTGGGGTCCTCCGGATTCTTGTGCTTAAACAGCTGGTCGTAAAGTCGAACTTCCAGCGGAATCGGCTGCGACACCCACTGCACAAATGCTTTCGGTTTTTCGGCCTGTTCGGCAGATTGGCTTGAGCAGATGAGTTCGACGACATCACCGGAGGCAGGATCCTTTACGATTTCGTCTACGGAGATTACCAGACCGGCATGTCGGAGACCCACTGATTGCTTGGGTGCCAGTCGACGATAGCCTTTTTCGGGTTCCAGTTTGAAGTCACTACGCTCGATATATACCACCTTGTCCAGAGTAATCTTGTGTGAGCCCTGCTGCGGGTTCTGTGGGAAGTCGGGCACATCAAGCTGCACGGGCGCCTTGTGTGGGAAGTTCTTGATGGTGACTTTCAGTGGCTCTAGTACAACTAGGCGGCGCGGCGCCGTAATGTTAAGAACATCTCTAACGGCTGCTTCCAGCATAGCTGGGTCTACGGCAATTTGGGCTCCTGTGACTCCCATTTGGGCGCAGAAGTTATTGATAGCCTCCGGTGGGAAGCCCCTTCTCCGCAGAGCAGTCAGAGTAAAGAGTCTGGGATCATCCCAGTCGTGGACAATCTGTTCAGTGATTAACTTTGCTATCTTCCTCTTCGACACCAAAGCGTAGTTCATGTTCAGTCGACCGTATTCCCACTGGACAGGACAGTAGATGCCCAGGGCATTGCAAAGCCAGTAATAGGAGGATCTGCGTGATTGGAACTCCTTGGTGCACAGTGAATGGGTGATGTCCTCCAGGGAGTCGCACAGACAATGGGTGTAATCATACGTTGGGTAAATACACCAGGCAGTACCCGTACGATGGTGTGGGATGAACTTGATACGATAGGCCACTGGATCTACTTTTCCCTCCTCCAGAGTCAGCTTGAGTCTCAAAGTAGCCGCTCCCTCATCAATCTTTCCCCGCTTCATGTCCTCGAACAGTTGAAGGGACTCTGCAGTGGGACGTTCACGCCAAGGGCTGGGTGGAGGGTTGAAGCCCTTCAGTTCCTCGGCCTTCTGGTGGCACACGTAAGCCAATCCCTTCTTAATAAGGAGTACAGCCCATTCATACAGCTGCTGAAAGTTGTCTGACGAGTAAGTTATCTTGTAGGGCTTGTAGCCCAGCCACTCGACCATCTCCCGAATCGCTACAAAGAACTTTTCCTCCTCTTTTTCTGGATTGGTGTCGTCGTAGCGCAAATAACAGACTCCATCGTGAGCAGCTGCATACCCAAAATTGATATTAATCGCCTTGGCGTGTCCGATGTGCAGAATTCCATTAGGCTCCGGGGGAAAACGAGTGTGCACCTTCCCACCAGTTCTCTTGAGGTGCTCCTTGAGCAGTTTCTCCGTTTGCTCGGTGACCACGTATCCATCGGTTTTAAAGTTTTCCCCAGGCGCATGGAAGTGAACCTTGGTCTTCATTAGTTCCGCAATCGTGGTAGCACCATCGGAGTCAGCTTCAGCCGTAGCAGATGGTTGAGCCGCCTCCTGCTTTGGCTTGGCTTGCGCCTTGGGCTTCTCGTTTTGCTTAGGCGGAGGCTTGAGATCGGCCTCCGTTTTGGGTCCCAACAAGTCGAATATCTCCACATCTATAGCTGCCTTGACGGACTTCGCATCGGCCCACTTCAGCTCACTTCTTACGTCCTGCAGGATCTTGAAGGAGTTAAAATGGTAGCGCTGTTGCAACAGAACCTCCTTGTAGCTGGCCTTGATCTTGGACTGCACGGCTCGTTCGATCTCCTCAGAGGTGACTACCACACCCACTCCGCACTCCTTGTCCAACTCTTGTAGGTCAATGCTAGCCTTAAGTTTTTGTCCGCATTTAAGCACATACTCCAGAGCGGCGTCGACGCGCTGCGTGTTGTCCAGCTTGCGCTCCACAATGTAGCGGACCAAAAGAGGCAGGTGCTCCGCTGTCTGGGGTTTCAACCTGGAAGCCAAGTGGTAAATAAGCATGCCGGTGCCATCTCCTAAGGCGGCCCCTGCCCCCACTTCCGCCAGCGCCAGCTGAAGATTTTTGGTCACGTTCGCATTCTTAAGGGTCTCCTTGGCCTTCTGCTCGCTCATTCCGAGCTCCTGGAACCGGGCTATCAAATCCTCGCCTGCCATGTCCTCGTTTTTTAGTCAATCCAGATGATGTGCACTCCAGTGGGACTGCCCTCGATAAAGTCAGAAATCCTGATTGTCACTTGGCGACTGAAAGAAACCTATCGATAACATCTTTGTTTTGGTTCATCTCTCTTTCTGCCGCACGTGTAAAACGAAAACATTTCCCAAAACGTAGAAACACCTAAAAAATGGGAAAACTAAACGTGACGGTGCTCAGATACCTTACCAAGGAGGATTTTCGGGTCCTGACAGCCATTGAGATGGGCATGAAAAACCACGAATTGGTGCCAGGCCCGCTCGCTGCTGCCATAGCCAATCTCAAAACAGGTGGAGTCCACAAACTGCTTAAGGAACTCTGTAAGCACAAGCTTCTTTCCTACGAGAGAGGCAAGAAATGTAAGTATCTTCTTAGCTAAAAAAGGATCTCATTAAACTAAGTTAAATTGAACACAGATGATGGCTACCGGCTTACCAACACCGGCTACGATTATTTGGCCCTCAAGTCGCTCACCTTGAGGGGATCGGTCAGCTCCTTTGGTAACCAGATTGGCATTGGCAAGGAATCCAACATCTACGTGGTGGCCGATGAGGAAGGGACTCCCATTTGCCTAAAGCTTCATCGTCTGGGGCGAACATGCTTCAGGAACGTAAAGTCCAAGCGCGATTACCATGGTCGTCGACACAAAGCTTCCTGGTTGTATTTATCTCGCATCTCGGCCACCCGTGAGTTTGCCTACATGTCCGCCTTGTATGACCGCGGATTCCCAGTTCCCAAGCCTATCGATTTCAACCGGCACTGCGTCCTTATGGAACTCGTCAACGGATGGCCTATGTAAGATGTGTAATATTTTTGCCTGATTTTTAATCTCACGTTTTAATTCATTGAAAGGACCCAAGTTCACGAGATTTTGGACGCTCCACAGGTCTACGATGACCTTATGAATCTAATTGTCCGCTTGGGAAACTCAGGAGTCATTCATGGCGATTTCAATGAGTTCAACTTGATGCTTACGGATGCCGGAAAACCAATCTTGATTGATTTTCCCCAGATGATGTCAACCTCACACGAGAACGCTGAATTGTAGGTGTTGTCAGTAGCTTACAAACATTATCTTTAATTATCTTTTTAAACGATTAGCTTCTTTGAACGAGATGTCACTTGCGTGCGAGAAATGTTCCGTCGAAAGTTCGGCTACGAAAGCGAAGACTACCCGAAGTTTAGTGACCTGGTGCGCGAGGATGATTTGGATGCTGAAGTTCATTGCACTGGCTACGGTTTTACGAAAGAAATGGAACAAGATCTACTGCAAGAGTATGGCATGGTCGAACAGGACGAGAATGACGAAGAAGAGGATGATGAGGCAGAGGAACCGCCCGTTCTTGTTCCCGCGGCAGCTGATGCAGAAATAGACGAGTGCCGCCGCCAGGTGGAAAACGAAGTCTTATACAGCGAGAACAAGCGCACACAGAAATCTGATGATGCAGTGCGTCGCTATATTGAATCGTGTACCCAGTATTTAGGTAATCTTGCAGTGGGTCCTGAGGTTCCCGATCAGAACCTATCTTCAAAGACCGAAGACACAGATCTTAAATTACCATTAAAGACCGAAGATATAGATCCGACATTAACATCAAAGATCGAAAGTACAGCACAGAAAACCATCCCAGAGGTGGCGTCTGATTCCGCCATTATAGATGAATCCAAATCTATTAGTTCCAACGATCTGGATACTGACGAAGTTCCTGAGTTGGTGGACTTGGACCCGAATTCTCGCATGTATCGGCTCAAAATGGTCGAGCAGCTGTTGAATGATGCGCGGAGTCAACGTTCCTACTCCACAACAACAAGCACAATTGCTCAATCCGTGATCACCGACCGGATAAGGCGCAATATGGACATTAAAGAGAAACGGGAGCAACGCAAGAAGTGCGTGGCCAAGGGAGAAGCCAGTGCAGTGCATCGTCATCGCAAGGAAAATAAGGATGTGGTGAAGGAGTATGCCGGTTGGGATTTCTAGAGCGAGTTCAACCTAGTGATATGTATCTTTTTAATAAAAACAATTAATATCTAATACTGAATCTTAAGCTAATTATAACACGTGAAATTTAGAACCATTTTTAATCAAGGCGCCTGCCAGTTGTGAATTTTTGCACGCATCACACTGTTGTGTAAGCATTAATTAAATCCAAGTGCAAAGTGTCTCGATCTAGTGTAATCCCAGACAAACAAATGCAGCCATTATTCTGTCGTCACGCTTGTTGTAAAATTCTAGCAGTATCTTGAAAGTGATGCCTCTTATTCATACATCTTCCGCTGCTCTTTAGTCACTTGTCAGTCAGCTAAAATAATCCTTCTTTTACTTTTCTACAATTGCCTTTTGTTGGCTTTTATCTGGAGAAACTAACTTTTAGTGGGTTGCCGTCTTGGCCCCGCCAAGATTAATATTCCTAGGTCATTTAAGTAAGTGAGAGAGACGCCGGCTATTCTATTATCTTGAGAATTTTGCCCATACAAGGAAATTATTCAATTGCCGCCCATGACGAAGCAACTTGTCGCGAGATCATTATTATCACCACGTACCCCTGTGCCATTCATATATAAGAGCTGCGCCCCTGACTACAGATATCACAATCAGAAACCCCTAGTAGATCAAGATCACTATGCCAGAGGAGAGCTCCCACCCGGCGCCGAAATGGCTCACTCGCGAATACGTTCAAGAGAAACTGCGCGCCTACTTTAAGGACCAGTCACTCGAGCTAGAGAAATTAGAGGTCAAGCCAGCCATTCCGAATGGTGAGAACTACGCCAGTGTGATGACTCGAGTCAATGTGGAGTACACCACAAAGGGTTCCAAGGACAAGCTTGCTACGAACTTCCTGTTGAAGACTACGTTTGCCGAAAAAGATCCAGCCGCCCACGTACTGGTTCACTATGGCATCTACACCCGCGAGATGGACATGTACGAGAAGATACTGCCTCAGCTGGCGGGTATTATTAAGTCCGAACTGAACGATTCGAGAAAGCTTTTCGCAGGGACTGTCAGCGTAGATCGCGAGAAAGACTCGATTATGTTTGAGAATCTGTCCCTGGAAAACTACAAGGTAATGTGCCGTCTTAAGAAACTGGACCTGGTGCACACTCATCTGGCGCTGGAAAAACTTGCTAGTTTCCATGCGGCGGCTGCGGCTCTCGCAAGTCGAACACCGGGAATCTTTGAAAAGAACTTCGATCGCGGCTTTTTCAATAAATCCGTCCGAGCCTATCAGCCTATTATGAGGAATCTTTTGCAAGCTCTTTCCCGGTCCTTGGAATTGAATAGCGATCTAAAGGAGCGCTACCAGGCCAAAATTGATCGCCTTGTCGACTTTGTAATGGACTACGGAGAGCAGTCCACTTCTATAAACCCAGGGGATTTCGTAACTCTTTGCCACGGTGATCTTTGGACGACTAATTTGATGTTCCAACACGATGAACAAGGACATCCAACCAACGCCATCTTTATCGACTTCCAGTTTAGTGTGTGGAACTCCCCGGCCATCGATCTTCACTACTTTTTCTCTACCTCGATTTATGAGAACCTGCGCCTGGAGAAGCAGTCGGAGTTGGTTCAATTCTACTACTACAAGCTGGCCGATGCATTGAAAAAGGTCAAGTACTCCGGCAAGGTTCCCAGTTTGTTTGAGTTCCAGCAACAATTCAGGGCCAGAGCCTTCTATGGTGAGTAGTGGAGTCTCCGTAAAAATATGGTATTTTTAACATTAACGAGATTAACTTTTCAGCCGTTTTTTCATCGCTGATTTTTGAGCCTACAATGGTTTACAATGGCAAGGAAGAGGCGTCCATGGAACAGATACTGTCCACTTCAGAAAAGGCAATGCGGTTCAAGGATTCGGCTTATCAGGCACCAGAAATTCTAGAAAAAATGAAAAATACCCTTCCCTTTCTAGATCATTTGGGCTTATTAGATGAAATGTGAAACTTTGTTTTTCAAATATTTGAATTGGATTTGTGATTTTATTTAGTATTTATATAAAATATAAATGAAAATATATTATACATATGTTATCTATTGAATATATAGTTGAAAAAGAGTTTTGAAAAAATAAACTTTATTATTTGTGTTTTAATTTGCTTTAAAATAAGACAAACTGTTTTAAAATAGAATAATAATAATCTTACAAAAGTTAGGAAGTTATAATTCCATAAAACTTAACCTCCGCAGTATCTCAAAATGTTTATCTTGAACTTTTATTCCTTAATCAGGGACACGCTACAAAGAGATAATTTTAAGAAGATGTAGTGAGCCTAAATGATGATTACAAGATTAATTAGTAAGAGCTGTAGTTGTTTTATATGGCAAGTATAAAAGTCAAGGCAGTCTGGGGCTGTTGACTCCAGTTGGTGCATCTCATATAGATATTAGATTTGGCGCAATTTAAAGGCAACGCTAGTGCTAGTTTAATTTATTTTGATTATAAAAACCTCCAGCAATTTTATAAAAGCCTCACGCTTCAGGAAAAAAGTTCTCAAACAATGCATATTAGCGTCAGATAGAAGGTGGAAATGGCAGAGGAAGCATCGTCAGAGCCTCAGTGGCTTACAGAAAAATGGCTGGAACCGAAGCTGCGTGTTTATTTCAAAAATGAGTCCCTAAAACTGGAAAAACTGGAGATCAGACCAGCAGTGGCCAAGGGTGAGAACTATGCGAGTGTGATGAACCGCGTTGAAGTTGAGTTCTCCACCAAGGACTCACTGGAAAAGAGTACTATCACCTTCCTGGCGAAATCTACGTTCTCCGACAAAGACCCTGCTTCGGACCTGCTCTCCGACTATGGGATCTACACCAGGGAAATGGATATGTACGAGCAGATCCTGCCCTATCTGGCGGATTTGGTGCATGAGGAACTTGGTGACTCCAGGAAGTTGTTCGCCGGCACCGTCAGTGTGGATCGGGAAAAGAACTGCATAATCTTCGAGGACCTGTCGCTGGAACATTACAAGGTAGCATCTAGGCTGGAAAAGTTGGATCTGGAGCACACTCATCTTCTCCTGGAGAGGCTGGCCACCTTCCATGCAGCAGCTGCCGTTTTGGCCGAGCGCAGACCAGGGATCTTCGAGAGGAACTACGATCGTGGCTTCTTCAATAAACACACACGTGGCTATGAACCCATCATGCAAAATCTCCTTCAGGCTCTGTCTCGCTCCCTGGAGCTTAATCCGGACCTGAAGCAGCGCTATCAGGACAAGATCAATAGGCTAATCAATAATGTTATGGATTACGGGGAGAAGTCTACTTCAGGAGACCCACACGACTTTATTACTCTGTGTCATGGTGACCTTTGGACTACGAATGTGATGTTCCAGTACGACGAACAAGGGCATCCCAACAACGTCATCCTAATTGATTTTCAATTCAGCGTTTGGAATTCCCCAGCGATTGATCTGCACTACTTATTCTCCACTTCAATTCAGGAAAATCTTCGGTGGAAGCGGCAGCCGGAGTTGGTCCAGTTCTATTACTACAAGCTAAAGGACTCCCTCAAGAAACTCAATTACACCGGCCAAATCCCGAGCTTGTTCGACTTCCAACAGCAATTCCAGAATAGGGCGTTTTACGGTTTGAAATAAAATAGTTTTTTAACTGGCAATTATAATTATTATTTTATTATTTTAGCCGTATTTTCCTCACTGATTTTTGAGCCTTGCATGCTTTACACTGGCAAGGAGAAGGCTTCCATCGAACAGGGCTTATCCGGCTCCGAAAGTGGTCTACGGTTCCGAAACTCCGTGTACGAAGCTCAGCACATTCAGGATAAGTTGCCACTCGTACTGCCGTTTTTGGATCAATTGGGATTGCTGGATGAAATGTAAAATACTCTGGAGTGTCCACAATCCATTAAACTACTTTGGATCCAAAGGAAAGCATATTCCGAAAGAATCCGGTCTAATATAGTACTGATGGGGTTATACGATTATCGTATTTGTATTTGATTCTTGTAAATTAATGAAATCGAAAAATAAACCTTTACTTTTAAATAATAAAGCTCAATTTATAACGTCTACATAAATGGCTGTGTTGGTATTGGGGAACTTAGGGAAGATTAGCTTTTAAAAGTTCAGAGTTTGAAGAATTTTCTTTTTTAATGTTTTTACTTCAAACACTGTTAAGAAATGTAATGAAAAATTTTAATGTTAAGAAAAACAAGATTGTCTGGGGAGGCTAACGAAGAAGCTAGATTGTCTTAACTTTAATAATAAATTCAGTTCTTTCTCATTATTAAGTGAAATTCATTTAAGTGAATGATTTCTTAGCCTCTATATACTTACTAGCTTATTTACTATTTAAGCACTTAATTAATATGTGTTAATTGCGGTAGTATACTATTCACATTGTTGTGTGAACGATTGAATTGTTTTCGCAGTCTTTTGTAAATATTTTTATTTATTTAGCAAGTAACAAAAGCCGACAGTTCTGGGAAATGCCCTTAACCATTATCTGAGTGGGCCAATGTGTCGAAGAGATTTGAAAATGGTATGGTGGACGGCGTTTCGGTCATAAGTGGCTATCATTTGATTCGAAATAATGGCAGCTAGTCTATTTTGGGACTTGGATGTGATGAAGAAAACCTACATTTTACCATCTGCTCCATAGCTCCCTCTATAGAATCCTAGTTGCTGGGCTAGTTAATTACGCAGTATTTAACACTCGCAGTATTGGACTAGGTCAAGCCATAAAATAGGAAGTGCAACGCAATAAACACGTGGATTCGCGGCTAGACCGGCAAGTATGTAGTTTAAGTGTTGGCGATTGGCAAACACACGACGAAGTCAGACGCGATAAATTATACTATACGCTGGAAACTATAAAAACCGAGCCATCGGGAAAACTAGCCACAGAAACTAATCACCATGCCTAAGGAAAGCAGCCACAAAACCCATCCAGCGCCAGCTTGGCTCACCACGGATTGCGTCCAGGACAAGCTGCGCTCCTTCTTCCAGAACAAGTCCCTTCGCCTGGAAAAACTCAACAGCAGCCCGGCCATTGGCAAGGGTGAGAACTTTGGCAGCGTGCTGACCCGCATCAATGTGGAGTTTGCCACCAAGGAAGACTCGACGAAAGCCGAAGAAAAGGAGGCCACCACTTTTCTGGTGAAGACCACCTTTGCCAACAAGGATCCTGCCGCAGACGTCTTGAAGCACTATGGTGTCTATACGCGTGAGATGGACATGTACGAGAATGTGTTGCCGCAGATGACGGATATGCTGAGGAACGAGTTGAAGGATTCGAGGAAGTTCTTTGCTGGCACTATCAACGTGGACCGATCTAAGAACTCCATCATCTTTGAGGACTTGGCGCTGGAACACTACAGGATGGCTTCCCGAAAAAAGAAACTCGATCTGGAGCACACCCACCTGATGCTGGAAAAGATGGCCAGTTTCCATGCCGCAGGAGCGGTTCTCGCCGAGCGCCAGCCCGGAATCTTCGATCACAATTACGATCGGGGATTTTTCAATCAGCATACCAGGGCCTACGGACCCATAATGACCAATCTGATGGAGGCCCTCTCCCGATCCCTTAATGATGATGAGGAGATGCGCGAGAAGTACCAGGCCAAGATCGATCGGTTGGTAAAGCATTTGATGGACTACGGCGAACGCACCACCACCATTAGTCCCGGGGACTTTGTGACCCTGGCGCATGGCGACTTGTGGATCAACAACTTCATGTTCCAGTACGACGAAACGGGTCACCCCAGCAACGCCGTCCTAATTGACTTCCAGTTCAGTGTCTGGAACTCACCGGCCATTGATTTGCACTACTTCTTCTCCACCTCGGTGCAGGACAACCTCCGCCTGGAGAACCAGCCGGAACTGGTCCAGTTCTACTACTATAGGCTGGTGGAGGCCCTGCGGAAGCTCAAGTTCTCCGGGCACATTCCCAGTCTGTTTGAATTCCAGCTACAGTTCCGCACAAAAAGTTTCTATGGTAAGCGAATGATATTTATAATTTGTAGCTTAAGATTAATAAGTTATTTGTATAATTTCCAGCCGTATTCTGTTCGCTGATTTTCGAGCCCGTGATGCAGTACGAGGGTGCGGAGGAGCCTTCTATAGAGCAGTGCCTGTCCAATTCCGAGAGTGGAATGCGGTTCAAAGATTCGGTTTATGAATCGGAGGCTGTGAAAAGGAAACTGCGCGTCACCCTTCCCTTCCTAGACCACCTGGGTCTGCTCGACGAAATGTGATGTCTATAAGTTTTCATATATTATAAGTAATTGTAAGCAAGTATGTATATATAAAGTCTGAAGCCCAAGTGAACCGAACTGGTTGATTTGTTTTGAAACTTTTTTAGAGTTGTATAAATGTGCTTCAACTCAAAATTATCAAAACTGCATAGATAACAGTCTACTTTATTGTCTTTCGATATCTTTCAGATGTTGAGTGGATTAGGGCCATAACTGACCTTTTAATGTGCGGGGTATTGTTCTCACCTGATAACTGGAAGTTTTCAGCGCCAAGTTGTTAATTTTAAAGCAAACACTTGAACTATTTTCAGCTGATAGCACTTACAGTCCCTCGTCCATTGTGAAATAAGAATGGAAGGGACAATACCCGTCAGTCAAGATGATACGTAGAAAAGTCGTGAACATTGGGGGTTCTGTTCAGCTGTAAAAGTTATAGCCCTCAAACAGATTTGTTTATATATTTTGTGATAAGCACAAAAAACAACTATTTGTTTAAATCTTAGAGCTAGTTTATATGTTTGGCATGACAATCCACTAACAGGAACACGTGCGAAAAATACTTTTAGACTTTAAACATCTTTCAGTTTGTCTGACGTTAATATTTAAAGTTTTTACTGCAGTTAAGTGATAACTAAATTAAGTTTCACAATTAAAATAAATATTTGAAATAACTCAATTCAAATAAATATTTTAAGAAATATTACAAATATATTAAATATATATTTTTACAGAAATATACAGATCAAACGCACACTGAAAAGTATAGTAGGAGGCGAGGATTTGATCCTATTTTTCCATTTTTTGTGGGCGACCCCCTACCAAATCCAGGATTTTCGTATATGGCCCCAATCGGTACCCATATCTTGGCCAATTTCCATCCGATCCTGGAAAGGGATACCTTCTTCGATTTTTAGTTCAATTCTCTTCATATCTGCATTAAAACCTGCCAACAAAATTTTTTATCCATATTTTTCCATTTTTTCCTCCTCGCTCTCAATAGGCATACTGCTTGTCATTTTAACTTGGACGGCTGATCACAGTGATATTATTACCAATACACTTTGTTTCTTTAGAAAAGAGATTAAAATTACTCTTTAAAATGTATTTAGGGCTCGTTATATTTACAATTTCTTTAAAATATTCTAAAACAAGATAACAATTAGCGAGATCCACCTGTAAGATCTGTCGTCTCAGTCGGTGACTTCCAGCAGGCCGCTTCGATCGAACCGTGGCAGCAAGTATTTCAGATTCTCCCGTAGCGACTTGTTGTTGTACAACAGCTTCCGGAACCGGCGTCCCCTCTCATCCTCCTTCATTAGGGCATGGAAATCGGCATCAGCGGTCTCGTCATTCGTCAATATAGCTGCACAGGCCAATGAGGCAGTGACGGCTGTGAGGATATAGGTGGGGAAAGTCAGTTTAGTTTGCTAACAAAATATTCTACCGCATACTTTCGAACTCGGAAAGTAGTCCGTAGATCTTAATCAATTAGTCCACTTCCTAAAGCAATGCACTCACCAAAGAACTTTCCCTTTTCCAGCTGCAGGACAAACTCCCTCAGAGTGGGAGTGTAACCTCCAAACTTGAGATCCTTGAGCGTCTCTACGAGCACCGTATGATAGTACTGAATCATGGCATCCTGATGCTCGAAGCGCACTTCCCTCTGGAGGGACGTATTGAAAAAGTAGTGTAGATCCACCGCCGGAGGGGACCAGCTGCAGAACTGAAAATCAATCAGTTTTAGGTCTAGAGGTTCCTTGTTCTCCCCGTACACCAGCATCATGTTGTTCACCCAAAAGTCGCCGTGCACCAGGGTGTTGAACCCCTCCGGCTGTGGATCGTAGACCCGTGTCGTATACTCCATTACTTTTTCCCGGAGAGCCCTCAGCTTTCGGGCGTAGTTCTCACCCAGCTCTAGAGTTTCTGCAGCAAATTCGGCAGCCACACCGACCAAGTTCTCAAAGAAGGGGGCAAAGCCCTTGGTGTGGCGGTTGAAAATGCCGTGATCCAGCTTGGTGAGGAGACCGGGTTGGCGCTCATTCAGCACGGCAGCCGAAGCGTGCATCTTGGCCAACTTGCGCAGGCTGAGCCGGGTGTGCTCCAAGTCGAGCCCTGCCAGCCGATCGGCCAGGACGTGCTTGGTTACCGCCAGGTCTTCAAAGATAATGGCTTCATGCTCGTAGTCAACGTGCAGAGTCTTGGCAAAGACCTGCTCTGGCTGGCGGGTTTCCTCGATTAGGGCGCTCAGCTGGGGCAGAATCTTGTCGTACATGAGCATCTCGGTGGTGCTTACTTGGTAGCCGGAGAAAATCGCCGAAGCAAAGGGATCATTTTCGTAGGTGGTTTTCACAATGTAGTAGCCTACTTCGGGGTCCTTGGCTCCGGTATTTAAATATAGAACCTTTACACGGGTCATCACACTGGCGTAGTTATCGCCCTTGGCCGTCGCCGGCTTGATATCCAGCTCCGTGATCCTAAGACCCGGGTCCTTCTTCTGGTCCCTCAAGAGGGGTTCCAGGTAGGCCTCATCGAGCCAAACGGGCGCCGGATGAAAGTCTTTCGTAGAATCTACTTTGCCCTGCTCCACCATGATGCGAGATGTGTACTTCGGTTCTGTTTCTGGATGAGTGCCCCCGGAGGCTGCTCAATTTATACTCCTGGGACCAGCGTAATCTCGGTGACGCTGACAGATCCCACATTATGGTAGCCGTAAAGCAAGCCGACTCAGACAACTACGTAGTAGCTACGTGGGACTCCGCCGGAGAGTCGCGGGTATCTAAAGCCGGATAGATAAAGGAATTCAGCTCAGAGCTCTGGCGTGTGAGATAACACCGGGTTCTCGCATTACGGTTAATCAGCGAGATCGGGGTACGGTCCACTATATGGTATGCTAGGTGTGTGCATATATCAAGCGTGTATCAAGTGATGTAAGCGTGCCCGCCGTAAATCTTCCGCCTCCCGCTGACGTGGCGCTGAAAGATCGCTCTCAGCATCCCGCCTTTAAGTAATAAGCTTCCCCACCCATAAATCCATCTGTTCGTTTGCATAATCAACGAGGGACATTAATAGAACTCAATGTCGTTCACTTGTGGGCTCTGACAGTTTCTACTTTTATTTTAAAATGCAAAGTGCATTGTTCTATTTCACATGGATTCTTGCCTCGGAAAATGCCAGAAGAAGAAAAGCTCCAAGCCCATTAAAGGCGTGATATTTATCGCGATGCCAGATAAAAGTTTATTTACCATTAGCAAATATTTAAGTCTTTATTTATAAATATTATTTATAATTAGTAGCTGTTAAGCATAGCATACATTTGGGCACATATAATAGGAATATATAAAATAGGAAAGAAACCTTCCTTGTGCCTACTTTTGGGCCTATTTCGACAAAGAAATTATATCTTTGGGCCAGTGGCGGATTTAAGGAAAAAGGCCCAGTGGGCAAAATTTTTTCAGGGTCATTGAAAGGTATTTTGAAGGGTACAGCACAGAAAATTTGGAAAAAAATCTTAAACATATTTTGTTCCCAGATTTTGATGCAGATTTATGAAGAATCGATCCACAAATCGTTTAAGGTATTCCGTTCAAGAATCGGATGAATATTTCCTAAGATTTGGCCTTCGCAGTGGGTCATATGGGGCTTCCCATGCATTTTGCACATTTTGAAAGGGACAGCCCAGAAAATTTGACAAAAAATCTTTAAAATATTATGTTCCCAGATTTTTATGCAGATTTATGGATAATCGATCCACAAATCGTTTAAGGTATTCCGTTCAAAATTCGGATGAATATTTCCTAAGATATGGCCTTTGCAGTGTGTCATATGGGGTTCCCCATGCATTCTGCACATTTTGAAGGGGACAGCCCAGAAAATTTGGCAAAAAATCTTAAACATATTTTGTTCCCAGATTTTGATGCAGATTTATGAAGAATCGATCCACAAATCGTTTAAGGTATTCCGTTCAAGAATCGGATGAATATTTCCTAAGATATGGCCTTTGCAGTGGGTCATATGGGGCTCCCCATGCATTTTGCACATTTTGAAGGGGACAGCCCAGAAAATTTGACAAAAAATCTTTAAAATATTTTGTTCCCAGATTTTGAAGCAGATTTATGGAAAATCGATCCACAAATCGTTTAAGGTATTCCGTTCAAGAATCGGATAAATATTTCCTAAGATATGGCCTTCGCAGTGGGTCATATGGGGCTCCACATGCATTCTGCACATTTTGAAGGGGACAGCCCAGAAAATTTGGCAAAAAATCTTAAACATATTTTGTTCCCAGATTTTGAAGCAGATTTATGGAAAATCGATCCACAAATCGTTTAAGGTATTCCGTTCAAGAATCGGATGAATATTTCCTAAGATATGGCCTTCGCAGTGGGTCATATGGGGCTCCCCATGCATACTGCACATTTTGAAGGGGACAGCATAGAAAATTTGACAAAAAATCTTTAAAATATTTTGTTCCCAGATTTTGATGCAGATTTATGAAGAATCGATCTACAAATCGTTTAAGGTATTTCGTTCAAGAATCGGATGAATATTTCCTAAGATATGGCCTTCGCAGTGGGTCATATGGGGCTCCACATGCATTTTGCACATTTTGAAAGGGGACAGCCCAGAAAATTTGACAAAAAATCTTTAAAATATTTTGTTCCCAGATTTTGATGCAGATTTATGGAGAATCAATCCACAAATCGTTTAAGGTACTCCGTTCAATAATCGGATAAATATTTCCTAAGATATGGCCTTCGCAGTGGGTCATATGGGGCTCCACATGCATTCTGCACATTTTGAAGGGGACAGCCCAGAAAATTTGGCAAAAAATCTTAAACATATTTTGTTCCCAGATTTTGATGCAGATTTATGAAGAATCGATCTACAAATCGTTTAAGGTATTTCGTTCAAGAATCGGATGAATATTTCCTAAGATATGGCCTTCGCAGTGGGTCATATGGGGCTCCCCATGCATTTTGCACATTTTGAAAGGGGACAGCCCAGAAAATTTGGCAAAAAATCTTAAACATATTTTGTTCCCAGATTTTGATGCAGATTTATGAAGAATCGATCTACAAATCGTTTAAGGTATTTCGTTCAAGAATCGGATGAATATTTCCTAAGATATGGCCTTCGCAGTGGGTCATATGGGGCTCCCCATGCATTTTGCACATTTTGAAAGGGGACAGCCCAGAAAATTTGACAAAAAATCTTTAAAATATTTTGTTCCCAGATTTTGATGCAGATTTATGAAGAATCGATCCACAAATCGTTTAAGGTATTCCGTTCAAGAATCGGATGAATATTTCCTAAGATATGGCCTTCGCAGTGGGTCATATGGTGCTCCCCATGCATTTTGCACATTTTAAAGGGGACAGCCCAGAAAATTTGGCAAAAAATCTTAAACATATTTTGTTCCCAGATTTTGATGCAGATTTATGAAGAATCGATCTACAAATCGTTTAAGGTATTTCGTTCAAGAATCGGATGAATATTTCCTAAGATATGGCCTTCGCAGTGGGTCATATGGGGCTCCCCATGCATTTTGCACATTTTGAAAGGGGACAGCCCAGAAAATTTGACAAAAAATCTTTAAAATATTTTGTTCCCAGATTTTGATGCAGATTTATGGAGAATCGATCCACAAATCGTTTAAGGTATTTCGTTCAAGAATCGGATGAATATTTCCTAAGATATGGCCTTCGCAGTGGGTCATATGGGGCTCCCCATGCATTTTGCACATTTTGAAGGGGACAGCCCAGAAAATTTGACAAAAAATCTTTAAAATATTTTGTTCCCAGATTTTGATGCAGATTTATGAAGAATCGATCTACAAATCGTTTAAGGTATTTCGTTCAAGAATCGGATGAATATTTCCTAAGATATGGCCTTCGCAGTGGGTCATATGGGGCTCCCCATGCATTTTGCACATTTTGAAAGGGGACAGCGCAGAAAATTTGACAAAAAATCTTTAAAATATTTTGTTCCCAGATTTTGATGCAGATTTATGGAGAATCGATCCACAAATCGTTTAAGGTATTCCGTTCAATAATCGGATGAATATTTTCTAAGATATGGCCTTCGCAGTGGGTCATATGGGGCTCCCCATGCATTCTGCACATTTTGAAGGGGACAGAAAATTTGGCAAAAAATCTTAAACATATTTTGTTCCCAGATTTTGATGCAGATTTATGAAGAATCGATCCACAAATCGTTTAAGGTATTCCGTTCAATAATCAGATGAATATTTCCTAAGATATGGCCTTCGCAGTGGGTCATATGGGGCTCCCCATGCATTCTGCACATTTTGAAGGGGACAGCCCAGAAAATTTGGCAAAAAATCTTAAACATATTTTGTTCCCAGATTTTGATGCAGATTTATGAAGAATCGATCCACAAATCGTTTAAGGTATTCCGTTCAAGAATCGGATGAATATTTCCTAAGATATGGCCTTCGCAGTGGGTCATATGGGGCTCCCCATGCATTTTGCACATTTTGAAGGGGACAGCCCAGAAAATTTGACAAAAAATCTTTAAAATATTTTGTTCCCAGATTTTGATGCAGATTTATGGAGAATCGATCCACAAATCGTTTAAGGTATTCCGTTCAATAATCAGATGAATATTTCCTAAGATATGGCCTTCGCAGTGGGTCATATGGGGCTCCCCATGCATACTGCACATTTTGAAGGGGACAGCGCAGAAAATTTGACAAAAAATCTTTAAAATATTTTGTTCCCAGATTTTGATGCAGATTTATGGAGAATCGATCTACAAATCGTTTAAGGTATTCCGTTCAAGAATCGGATGAATATTTCCAAAGATATGGCCTTCGCAGTGGGTCATATGGGGCTCCCCGTGCATTCTGCACATTTTGAAGGGGACAGACCAGAAAATTTGGCAAAAAATCTTTAAAAAATTTTGTTCCCAGATTTTGATGCAGATTTGTGGAAAAGAAATCGAAGGTGTAACTTTCAGCACGAGGGGCCCTGAAAGCCTTTCGTAGGGGGGGCCCAGTGGGAAAGCGCGCCTTTGCCCACCTGTTAAATCCGCCACTGCTTTGGGCTAAGACTTTCAAAGACTCTTTTGCTCTCTTCTGTTAAGGAAGACTTCTTATTGCTGTTCTTAAATGCTACAAAAAAACTTGATGTCTATGATGTATATTTCAAGTTTATTTCCACAAAGATACATTGTAACAACAAAAAAACATTTGATTGAATAATGTAATAATAATAACCAACAATAAGACTAATGGGTTCAAGAGATCGTCCTCAACAGGCCTGGTTGACTTCCAGCAAGCCCTTCTGGTCGAAGTAGGGGACAAGGTCGTGCAGGTTTTGTTGCACGGTGGGGTTGTGGTACAAGCGGTTCTTGAAGCGGATGCCCCTTTCGTCGTCATTCATCAGGGCATTGAAACAGGCATCAGTGGGATCTTGGCTGATCATCACGGGTTGAACCACAACTGTTGAGTGCATGGCTGAGATTGAAAAGGAAATATTTTCACGGGTTAGGATATAGGATTACAGAATTCAACTTGAAGTTAGTGGTTTAGATGTCTCTTCAAATACTCACCAAAGAATCGTTTCTTTTCCACTTGCAGCTTAAACTGATGGAGACTGGGAATGGGATTCTCTTGGTAGTGCAGTTTCTCCAGCGTGTCACTGAAGATACTGTGATAGAACTGGAACAGGTTGCTCTGCTGCTCCCGGCGCAAGGGCTCCTTGAGGGAGGTGTTGAAGAAATGATGCAGATCGATGCAGGGTGATCCCCAGAAGGAGTATTGAAAGTCTATCAGCAGAACGTCCACGGGGCGTCCCGTTTCTGGATCGTACTTAAACATCACGTTGTTGGTCCACACATCTCCGTGGGCCAGGACATTAACCTGACCAGCTTGGGGGGCAAAGCACTCGCGACCGATATCCATGTAGTGGGGCGCCAGGGCGAAAAGCTTCTTGCTGTATTCCGCTAGCTTGGGTACCTGGCTCATCCACCTGGCAGCCGCTAGTAGGCCGCCCACAAAGTAGCCCTTGTATGCGTTGGTATAGCGGTTGAAAAAGCCTCGATCGAAGCCTTCCAGGCTGCCCTTCTGACGCTCGTTGAGAACCGCCGAAGCGGCATGGAACTTGGCCAATTTTCGGAGGATCAGGTGGGTGTGCTCTACATTCAGACGACGCACCCGATCCGCCATCACGTAGCCCTCCACCGACAAGTCCTCGAAAATAATTGCCATTCGCTCCCGATCCACATATATGGCAGTGGGAAATAACCTCTCCGCATCCCCAATCTCATCGAGAAGATCCTTGATCTTGGGCAGGACTTCCTGGTAGATGGTCATCTCTCGATTGTAAATGTCGTAGGGAGCCATTAGTTTCTGGGTCAGCTCGTCATCATCGATTTCCGTCTTAACAATGAGGTTTACCAGCTGCTCGGACTTGTTACGATTGGATAGGGCAAAGGTCACTCGGGCTCGGGTCAGCACTCCGCCATAATTTTCACCGGGTCCCAAGGCAGGGTTTATTTCCAGGTTGGATATCACCAGGCCATCATCCTTGAAGTGAGAGCGCAGGGCGTGCTCGATATAAGCGTGGGTGAGCCACTCGGGAGCTGCAGCCATATTCCTCAATTTGACTTGAAATTTTCTAAGCGAATAATACCTTCGTGCTATTTGCACGGTTGCTTTTATACTAATCTTGGTTAAGTAAGCGTTTAAATGAGCAGTGTGGATGCACTTGGAGAAATGGAGGGAGGGGAACAAATCGAATGGAATTTTCATGGATAAAAGAGACTGCTGAATCTAATAAAATTTAAATTAAATCAAAACTAAAATTTTCGAGTATGGTAGCGTAAATTGACATTTTCTAAAAAATATTATTTTTGGATTCACTATAAAATTCATTAAAAATTTGACTACTAAGAATTTTTTCGGATGTAGGTGCAATTGCAGCCAGCTTATGTCTTTATCTGGACCTCGAATGACGCCTTTAACTTTTATATCCGGGCAAACGTTTTGAGAGATAGCACTCTCCAACTGTTTGCCAGAGGATTAGCTTTGCTCCATTTGGCAACAGGTCGAAAAAGAGGGTAACGTGTGCCAAGCAGCGAGTAGATATGTCCAGAGATTTAAGAGATTTATAAAAAGTATTTAGATACAAGTGAAATAAATAGGAAAGTGTTAATAATTGCTTCTAAAAAGTGTATCTCTAGGAGGCAGGTTCGAATTTGTTGCGACCTATCACGCGGCACCTCATCCACAGTCATAATTTTGATGATTGACAGCTTTCGTAGTCTTACGCAAACAATTGAGGCTTCTGCTTATTTATTATTGCCCCAATGAAGAGCATTTTATCTCAGAGCCTCAGGATTGCATTGTTACCTAGTCACTTTTCCCTGGACTGTTTGCCCAGACTTCCTTAGTAACTCTTTCAATATTTACTTGTTTGCCTATACTATAAACCATTGAGACATTTCTCTTTGACAATATTTGCCTTACAAGTCCCAGATTTATAATATCGTATATAATAATTATTTATGGATTAGTTACATTTTGAAATTTTGCAACTAGTAACACCTCAAATATTAGGTCAGACTACAATTTTGTATCCCTAGAGTGGTACTATTTTATTTTGAAAGCTCTTTAGTTCCCTTTTTTCTTTACAGGATCCTAAAATTAATTTTGGGGTATTACTTTTTGGGGCTACTATTCATAAATGCAGATAGCTTTAAAAATCAGCCGCTTTGTTAGTGGGAAACTTTTACTTTTTGTTTAAGGGACTTTTAAAGTGACTTTAAAGTTTAAACCATTCAGAAAATAGTTTAAATACTCATATTTACCTAGACAAAGTAAACCCATTTTATCAGGTAATAACTGACAATGTTTAGTGGTTAAATATTATAAAAATACTCAAGGAAGCAGTTTAATTCTGTCTAGAATATTAGGGAGAAAAGTCACTTTTTCCACAATTTTAACTTCTATTTAAATATTTTGATGGGTTCTTTATGATAATTATTTTTAAAATATATAATGTAAATTGATTATTTTGCTGTTTTTTTTTTTATATATTATAACATATAACACATTTTTTATCATAATCTTCAAATAATATTCAGACTTTGTAAAAATCTACTACGTTCTAAATGAATTTTAAGAAAATCTCCCAAGTTATCACTCAAAACCAGTATATTTTTCGTATATCCCTCAGATTTTTCACAGCGTTTGACGTTAGCAGCCATTCTGACATATCACACCCCTTAGGGATGATTTAGCTGTGAACCCGTTTAGCATTTAAGAGCCCCATGTGTGCTGGATGTGTAATTACCCAAAAAAAAAAAATAAAAAATAAACACTTGTGTAGCCCTAAGCCCACAACAAGTGCTATATAGATTAATGAGGGCTGGTGGCTTTCGACAAACTCAAACAAATCGCAATTTAGGCGGTAGCCCCTTGAGAGGTAAAGATTTCGGGGAGACTCGTGGAACGTAGAAAGCCCATAAAGAGGGGGGTAATCTGAGGCTTCTTCCGCCGTATTTGCATTCTCAGCACTCGTTCACAGTTGTAGTATCTGCGATTTTATGGTAATATAAATCACTTTCTCAGATGGGAACAGTTTGGATTGCCCAGCAGTTTGCATAAAAGCGGGAGCCTCGCGAATTTCGAGCACAATTGCGGTTGAAAAGTCTACCAGACCAGTTTTTCACAATGTCGGTTTCCGATCTCATCAGTGCCTTAGATGCTATTCCCAAGGTCCAAGCCGCGACCCCCGAAGTCCCCGTTTCAGTGTTCCTTGATGCCCCCGAGTGGCTCACAGAAAGCTATCTGCAGGATGCCTTGCAAAAGTACTACAGCGATCAGCGGCTAAGGATCGACTGGGTGAAGGTGAAGCCAGCCCTAGGCAAGGGTGAAAACTATGGTGGAGTCCTGACCCGGGTCAAGGCTCAGTTCACAAGGAGCGATGGCACCTCCCAACTGGGTCACTACATCATAAAATCCACCTTCGAGGGAAACGAATTCGCCCAGAGCACTATGGAGCCATACGACATTTTCAACCGGGAGATGGAAATCTACGAGAAGGTCCTTCCCAAGCAGAAGGCTCTTCTCCTGGAGATTGGCGACACCGAGCAGATCTTTGCCGAAACTATGGCTGTGGATTTGCCAAACTCGGCTTTGATATTTGAGGATCTGAATGCCAGGGGCTTCGTGATGCCCGATCGGCTCGCCGGGCTCAACCAGAAACTGGCTAAAATAGTGCTCCGTAAAATGGCCAAAATGCATGCCACCTCGGCCGTCCTTAACCAAAGAGAGAACCATGTCTTGGAGACCTACGATCGGGGCTTCTTCAATCGCTACACAGAAAACTACGCTCCAGCCTTCGTGGGCATGTTTGAGGCTGCCATTCGGCGGGTGGCCCAGTGGCCTGGATACGAGGCCACTGCTGAGAAGATGAAGACTCTTGTGCCCATCTACATGGAGCTGGGTAAACGTGTCTTTGACATCAGCCCAGGCCACATTAATGTCCTGGCTCACGGCGATCTGTGGACCAACAACGTTCTGGTCAAATACGACAAGGATTCGGGGGAGCCACTAGATGTGATCATTATTGATTTCCAGTACTCCGCCTGGGGAACTCCGGCCATCGACCTTTTTTACTTCATGAACTCATCCTTGGAATTTGAACTCCATCGGGATCAGCAGGAGCAGCTTATAGCGTTCTACTACGGCATCTTCTCGGACACCTTGAGGAGGCTGCAATTTCAGCAGCCCATTCCTAGCTTGCACCAGTTCCATCAGCAGCTCCACCAGAAAAAGTTCTATGGTGAGTTATTTGTTTTTGTTAGTAAATCCAATTAGAGATTAACTTTTAAATGTTTTCAATTTTCCAGCTGCTCACGTTTCCATGTCCGTTTTTGGCATTCATCGAAATGTAGAGACCGAAAACGCAGATTTTAATGCTCTGATGGAGACCAATCAGCGCTCAATTAACTTCAAGGATGCCTGTTACAAGAATCCGATTACCTCGAGGGTTCTGCGGGAGCTTCTTCCTGTGTATGACGCAGAGGGCTTGCTCGACGCAGATCAGTAAATCCTAATCAGACGCCGCACAATTATAGTCAAAAATATTATAATCACATTAGTCAATTTTTACTAGATTAGGTTAGGTCATGCAATCACACCTGTATATCCCATTTTTAATTTCACTTTTACATATCGCTGATATCACTATTAGATATCTTTCAGAGGAAGTCAAAAACATGACTTTTATATACTATTACAGTATTGTATTGAATTTTTTATATCTCTACAATAAACAAATATATATATTATATTATACAAATGCCACTGCAAACTTTTTTGTTAACTATAGAACTTAGTGATATAAGTTTCGTTGAAGAGGTCAAAATAATAACATCTTATCGCGGAAGAGGGAAAAACTTTAATAATTCAATTGAATACAAGTGCCTTGATAAAGCTTCTACTAAATTATTGTCAATATCATTATCTAAAGTACGAATTGTTACTTTTCTAATAATACAATCGAGGAATTCCCAATGTAGTTGGTATTTTAAATAAGTTGGTTCGGTTTTGTGATTAATTGAAAATGTGATCATGCTCTCTAAAAGGCTCTTGATTTTTCTGATAAATATTTTGGCAATAACTATGTAGTTGGCCAATTTATTGATTTACAAATTTATGAAATGTACATATATGATATGGACAAAGCTTGACAAAGCACATCTAAAAGCTCAGTATTTTCGTATAAATGATTCTAACTAACGATCGACTTGCTTACTATGAAATCAGCTTGCAATCGGAATACTTGCAGCACCTAAGACACTATTCTTCATCGCCTTAGAAATGTCTGATAAAATAGACAAATCCCAATTCAATGAAGACGAGCTGGAGGCTCCGTCCTGGCTGAATGCACAGTTCGTCGGAGGAATCCTGGCAGCGTATAAAAATAGCTCGGAACTGAAAGTGACGGATCTAAAAATCACCCCAGCCACAGCCCAGGGAGACCACTACGCCAGTGTGATGTTCCGAGCCACCGCAGAGTACTCCACCTCCAAGGGTAAGTTCTCAAAGGCCCTGATCATCAAGACGATGCCTGAGCAGGAGGGCCACAAAAAAGACATGCTGGCAGACTCTCACCTGTTTGAGACTGAGATCGGCATGTACTGCCAGGTCCTGCCGGAATTTGAGAGGATTCTGACGGAGGCTGGGGACACGACCAAGCTGTTTGCACCCTGCCTTTACCACAGCCTGGAACCGCGGCAGGTTATGATCTTTGAGGACCTAGTGCCACTAGGATATTCCGTCGTCCGGGATCGGCCTGTCAGCCAGAATGAACTCAAGAACGTGTTCTCAAAGCTAGCAAAGTGGCATGCCGTGAGCATGAAGATTATAAAGGAGGTAGATAACCCAACCCTCAAAGATTTCTTTATATTTAAGCTAATTTTTTCACGCAGCGACCTGAGTTCCTGAAGGAGTACAAGTACGGACTGTTTGACTTGCCCCACTTCGTGACGGATCCAATGGTTACATCAGGCATTGATAAGTTTATCGAAATGTTGGACAAGCTTCCCGATCTGAAAAAGTACAAGCCGCACTTTGAGAAGATAAAAGGAAACTATCTCAAGCGTCTGCAGAGTGAATTGCAGGAATATCACCAGAACAGGCGAGACGATTCCTACTACGTTCTGTGCCACGGGGACTTTCATTTGCGCAACATGATGTTCAAGAACAACCAGAAAACAGGAGCTGTGGAAGACGTCATGTTGGTGGACTTTCAGATCAGCAACTTGAGCCCCATTTCGACAGACCTCATTTATTCAATTTACATGCTGATGGAGCCGGAGCAGCGCCGGGAAATGGGAAAGGAATTAATTAATTACTACTTCACCGTTCTGCTGGACACTCTTAAGAAAATCGGCTACAAAGACCCGATGCCCACGCAGGCGAAGCTCTGGGAACAGCTACATCGGAATAAGTACTATGGTGAGTTTCGAATAATAAGGTACTAGACAAATTGATAACCTCATTATATATTTGCAGACTTCTTTCTGATCAGCACCTTCTTCCCCTTGATTTTGGCCGTAAAAACAAACAGTTTCCAAATGAACGAGCTCATCCAGGATCCCGAAACGCAGAAAAAGGCCTACTTCCTGGACACTTATGTCAAGGATGTGGAAAAGTTGCTGCCTAAGTTCGAAAAACTTGGCTATTTTAAGGGCCTGTGAGTGATGGTCATGTGGGTAGATATAGATCTGTAATTGTTACTTAAATGAAGTGGTTGATTAAATGTGTAAAATTAAAAACTGTATCTAATAGATAAGAATGTGATTCACGCTAGCAATAGAAGCTATTGAAGGAATTTATGAATTAAAGTTTTCTGAAGTAGTTATTTGTATTCAGCTCTTGAAGCTCATTAGAATAAAGTTACATAATAGCTTACATGGATGGGTGATATAACAGATATTTATTAAATAAATGCATTGATATTTTTTGTTTAGAAAGCTTAACACTTCAAAGTATTATAAGCACCTACGGTGAGGATACCTATAATAATTAAGAGCTTAATTAAACTTTGGAAAAGCTCGGAATTTTTGTATTTAAGATCGTTGGGCAACAGATCTTAGCACTAGTAGTTCAGACTTTTAACTGAACAGTAACATCCTAAGGGAAAGGATTAGAAAATGTCAAAAAATCAAGACCTTGATCAGTTCAACGCTGACGAACTAGATCCCCCGAGTTGGCTGAATGCCGATTTTCTTGGTGATATTCTACGGAAGTACGAGAAGTCTCCGGAGCTTAAGGTGACCGATTTAAAAATCTCACCTGCGACTGCCCAAGGAGATCACTATGCGAGCATTATGTTTCGGACCCAAGTCGAGTACTCTACCTCCAAGGGGAAGCACTCAAAGCCACTCATCGTGAAGACGATGCCGGAGCAGGAAGGCCACAAAAAGGAAATGTTGGGCGATGGTCACATGTTTGCCACCGAAATAGGAATGTAGTGTCATGTTCTGCCGGAATTCGAAAAGGTTCTACGAGAAGCAGGTGATAATACAAAGCTCCACGCAGAGTGTATCTACCACAGCTTGGAGCCGCGGGAGGTCATGATTTTTGAGGATCTATGTCCACAAGGATACTCCGTTATCCGAAATCGTCCTGTTCATGAGGACGAATTAAAATTAGTCCTCGCTAAACTGGCAAAATGGCATGCAGTTAGCATGAAGTTTATAAATGAAGTAGGTTAAAAAATACTTGTTGAAATTACACCTTTGCTAATGAAATTATTCCATTCAGCGCCCCGAATTCCTAAAGGAGTTTAAGTATGGAGTATTCGATTTGCCAACCATCGATAGTGATCCTTTCATTACCACCGCCATGGCAAACTTTGTGGAAATGTTGGACGCGTCCCCCGATCTTAAAAAATATAAGCCGTATTTCGAAAAGATCTTGGACTATTACCTCAAGAAAACTGAGGAGGAATTAAAAGAATACTCTGAAAATAGACAAAGCGATGCTTACTATGTCCTTTGCCATGGCGACTTTCATCTGCGCAACATGATGTTTAAGGACACTGAAACTATAAAGGATGTCATGCTTGTTGACTTTCAGTTCTGTAATTTGACTCCCATTTTCGTTGACCTAACCTACTCAATATACATGCTAATGGAGCCCGAACAGCGCGCATCCTTGGGCCACGATTTGATTAACTATTACGTTACATGTTTGGTAGACACTCTCCAGAAGATCGGCTTCCGAGGCGAGATGCCCACCAAAGAAAAGCTTCGGCAGGAAATTCATAGGGGAAAGTACTACCGTAAGTTGGACAACCATTGCTTGTGGCTTGGTCAAAAAATGTCATTTCTATTTTCAGATTTCTTCCTGCTAAGCACTTTACTTCCATTGATGGTGGCCGTTAAGTCTAATAGCCTGAAAATGCACGACCTACTCCAAGACGCTGTAATTCGAAAGAAGTCCTATCAACTGGACATATATCTGAATGATGTCAGAAAAATTTTGCCTAAATATGAAGAACTGGGATATTTCAATAACTTATAATAAATATAATATTTTGTACCACTATAAACCAATAAAAATCGCCTTTTGATGAATGTAGACTCACTTAATTAAATTTGGTTTTTGTCGTTTAAGAAAATAATTAAAAGAAAGTCATGCTTGCTTAACAATTTTCAGTATGTTTTTAGGTAGTTAAGCTTTAATTGAGGGCTTTGTTGTCATAAAGATTAAAGCTTAAACCGCTCTATTCTTGTATTATTTAGTACTTTAGTACTCCAATTCTTTCTATCCTTGATAGACTTATATAATGGGTGTATTTCAATAATAGTTGAAACATGAATGAGTGAATTTCAAAAAGCTCATAATGCTTAACTTAAAGCTTATTTTAAAAGTACTTATATTGAACCCAAAAGGGCCGTTTTATCATACCAGATACAATAGAGCACCGACAACTTCTTTTTTTTCAATCCGTAAAAAAACGAAATGTCTGACAACGCAGATGCGGAGTGCTTCAGCCAAAATGAGTTGGTAGCGCCAAGTTGGCTGAAAGTTGAGTTCATTGAGGAGGTCTTGAGATCGAACAAAGAGGATCCGGAACTCAAAGTAACTGACCTGAACATCACTCCCGCTACGCTCGAGGGCGATCACTGTGCCAGTGTAATGTTTCGGACTACGGCGGAGTATACCACAGCGATGGGAACTTTTAGTACGTCTCTTATTGTAAAAACTATTCCTGATCAGGAGGAACATACAAATGACATGTTTAGTAATTCGCGCTTGTTTTCGACGGAGATCGGAATGTACTCCAAGGTTCTTCCGGAGTTTGAGAAGATTCTACGAGAAGCGGGCGATAGTACCAAGTTGTACGTGCCCTGTCTGTATTACAGCTTCGAACCACGGCAGGTGCTGATATTTGAGGATCTTGTGCCCCAAGGATACACCGTCATTCGGAATCGACCAGTGACACCAGTGGAGGAAAAAGCCGTATTCACCAAGTTGGCCAAGTGGCATGCAGTGAGCATGAAGGTTATTAATGAGGTATTTTAGTTGGTTTTCTAAGTTGTAATTCCAAGATAACAGCTATGTAATTACAGCAACCTGATTTCTTGAAAGACTTTCAATACGGGCTGATCGAAATGCCCAATTTTTTGACGGGCCACCTGATGATCACAGGAATGGAAAATTTTGTCGAAATGCTGTCTGTAATACCTGAGCTAACAAAGTACAAGGCGTTCTTTAGTAAAATACAAGACACCAACTTATCCAGGATGGCTGAAGTTATGCAGGAGTTCCGGAAGAATCGACAACCCGATGGACACTACGTTCTCAGCCATGGAGACTTCCACATCCGGAATATGATGTTCAAGACCAACAAGAATTCGGGGACCTTCGAGGATGTCATGTTTGTGGACTTTCAGGTCTCCAATGTATCACCGTCGTCAGTGGACCTAATATACGCAATATACAGGGTGCTGGAGCCCGAGCATCGTTGTCAACTTGGAAAGGATGCGGTGAATAAATATTACTCCGTTTTGGTGGATACTTTGCACAAAATTGGCTATAAAGGGGAGCTCCCTACACTGGACGGTCTGTGGCAGAGAATTCACTATCATAAATACTATGGTAAGTAAACTGTGCTAATACTATGGTAATGCCCTGGTAACATTAGGTTGTGCCGATCTATATTTGACTATATTTTCTTTCAGGCTTTTTCCTGATGAGCACTTTTTTGCCTTTGCTCTTAGCAGTCAAAGCAAATGCTTTTAAGATGGCTGAGCTTGCTCAGAACAACGATAATAGAAAGAAATCCTATTTTCTAGAAGGTTACCTGGATGAAATCAAAAAGCTTTTACCAAAATTCGAGGAGCTGGGTTACTTCAATGATATTTAATTGAAGCAAAAAAGCAAAGTGTAATAAAAATTAGTTTTCGATAATTCTAATAGCTTCAATGGATCATGGGGGTATATGTTGAAATTCAGGTAAGATTGGTAAGTCAGGTAAGTTTTAAACTAATAATACCATTGGTCACTATGAGCTGAACAAAACAAGTATAATTAAAGATAGTCATTTCCACTTAAAAAAGCCATGACTGCGTGACAGTTCAGCTTTCGTTGGGGGCTTTGTTGATCTCGTATAGTTTAAGCAATGATTTTTTATGACTTAAACAACCTTAATCTTTTATTATTGTATTTGCTTATTCTCGATCTTTGATAATATTTTATGAAAAATTATAACATTGGGAATAAAATTAATATTGTAATTAATTAATTTATTGCTGATAAAAGCCATTAAAAAGTATCTATTGAGTTGTTTCGTGAGGGAACTTTTGATAAGAAGTATTTCATGATTGTTGAAAAATTTCATGGGATAAAGCTCACAAAGGCTTTCGAAAAGCTTCTTTTAAAAGTGCTTATATTGGACTCATTCCCTGGCGGTTTTAACAGAACCAGATCCATAACCGAAGTAACAACTTATAGATTCGTATCACTAAAAAATGTCTGACAACGCAGATGCGGAGTGCTTCAGCCAAAATGAGTTGGTAGCGCCAAGTTGGCTGAAAGTTGAGTTCATTGAGGAGGTCTTGAGATCGAACAAAGAGGATCCGGAACTCAAAGTAACTGACCTGAACATCACTCCCGCTACGCTCGAGGGCGATCACTGTGCCAGTGTAATGTTTCGGACTACGGCGGAGTATACCACAGCGATGGGAACTTTTAGTACGTCTCTTATTGTAAAAACTATTCCTGATCAGGAGGAACATACAAATGACATGTTTAGTAATTCGCGCTTGTTTTCGACGGAGATCGGAATGTACTCCAAGGTTCTTCCGGAGTTTGAGAAGATTCTACGAGAAGCGGGCGATAGTACCAAGTTGTACGTGCCCTGTCTGTATTACAGCTTCGAACCACGGCAGGTGCTGATATTTGAGGATCTTGTGCCCCAAGGATACACCGTCATTCGGAATCGACCAGTGACACCAGTGGAGGAAAAAGCCGTATTCACCAAGTTGGCCAAGTGGCATGCAGTGAGCATGAAGGTTATTAATGAGGTATTTTAGTTGGTTTTCTAAGTTGTAATTCCAAGATAACAGCTATGTAATTACAGCAACCTGATTTCTTGAAAGACTTTCAATACGGGCTGATCGAAATGCCCAATTTTTTGACGGGCCACCTGATGATCACAGGAATGGAAAATTTTGTCGAAATGCTGTCTGTAATACCTGAGCTAACAAAGTACAAGGCGTTCTTTAGTAAAATACAAGACACCAACTTATCCAGGATGGCTGAAGTTATGCAGGAGTTCCGGAAGAATCGACAACCCGATGGACACTACGTTCTCAGCCATGGAGACTTCCACATCCGGAATATGATGTTCAAGACCAACAAGAATTCGGGGACCTTCGAGGATGTCATGTTTGTGGACTTTCAGGTCTCCAATGTATCACCGTCGTCAGTGGACCTAATATACGCAATATACAGGGTGCTGGAGCCCGAGCATCGTTGTCAACTTGGAAAGGATGCGGTGAATAAATATTACTCCGTTTTGGTGGATACTTTGCACAAAATTGGCTATAAAGGGGAGCTCCCTACACTGGACGGTCTGTGGCAGAGAATTCACTATCATAAATACTATGGTAAGTAAACTGTGCTAATACTATGGTAATGCCCTGGTAACATTAGGTTGTGCCGATCTATATTTGACTATATTTTCTTTCAGGCTTTTTCCTGATGAGCACTTTTTTGCCTTTGCTCTTAGCAGTCAAAGCAAATGCTTTTAAGATGGCTGAGCTTGCTCAGAACAACGATAATAGAAAGAAATCCTATTTTCTAGAAGGTTACCTGGATGAAATCAAAAAGCTTTTACCAAAATTCGAGGAGCTGGGTTACTTCAATGATATTTAATTGAAGCAAAAAAGCAAAGTGTAATAAAAATTAGTTTTCGATAATTCTAATAGCTTCAATGGATCATGGGGGTATATGTTGAAATTCAGGTAAGATTGGTAAGTCAGGTAAGTTTTAAACTAATAATACCATTGGTCACTATGAGCTGAACAAAACAAGTATAATTAAAGATAGTCATTTCCACTTAAAAAGCCATGACTGCGTGACAGTTCAGCTTTCGTTGGGGGCTTTGTTGATCTCGTATAGTTTAAGCAATGATTTTTTATGACTTAAACAACCTTAATCTTTTATTATTGTATTTGCTTATTCTCGATCTTTGATAATATTTTATGAAAAATTATAACATTGGGAATAAAATTAATATTGTAATTAATTAATTTATTGCTGATAAAAGCCATTAAAAAGTATCTATTGAGTTGTTTCGTGAGGGAACTTTTGATAAGAAGTATTTCATGATTGTTGAAAAATTTCATGGGATAAAGCTCACAAAGGCTTTCGAAAAGCTTCTTTTAAAAGTGCTTATATTGGACTCATTCCCTGGCGGTTTTAACAGAACCAGATCCATAACCGAAGTAACAACTTATAGATTCGTATCACTAAAAAATGTCTGAGAACGCAGATGCGGAGCATTTCAATGAAGATGAGCTGGTGGCGCCAAGTTGGTTAAACACCGAGTTTATAGAAGGGGTCTTGAGATCGTATGAAAAGGCCCCAGAACTAAAAGTGACTGACCTGAGGATCACCCCAGCGAGTGCTCAAGGCGATCACTATGCCAGCGTAATGTTTCGGACTACGGCGGAGTATACCACCTCTAAGGGAAAGTTCACCAAGCCCCTGATACTAAAGACTATGCCCGATCAGGAGGGGCACAAGAAGGACATGCTGAGTAACTCGCATTTGTTTTCCACGGAAATCGGGATGTATTCCAAGGTGCTTCCGGAGTTTGAGAGGATTCTCAGAGAAGCGGGCGATCGCACCAAGTTGTACGTGCCTTGTGTGTACCACAGCTTGGAGCCACGTCAGGTACTAATATTCGAGGATCTAGTGCCTCAGGGATATGCCGTCATTCGGGACCGTCCGGTGACCCCAGAAGAACAAAAAGCCGTATACACCAAGTTGGCCAAGTTTCATGCTGTAAGCATGAAGGTTATTAATGAGGTAAGCTTTTGTTTGTTATCTAAATGCCAATACTAATGAAATATTTGTATAGCAACCGGATTTTCTAAGAGACTTCCAATACGGCTTGATCGAGATGCCCACCATGATGAACGACCCTATGGTGACCACAGGCATGGAAAACTTTGTTGAAATGCTGTCTGTTGAACCTGAGCTTACAAAATACAAGACGTTCTTCAGTAAAATCCAGGATTCCTACCTGTCCCGGATGGCTGAAGTGATGCAGGAGTTTCGTAAGAATCGGCGGCCCGATGGTCACTACGTTCTAAGTCATGGAGATTTCCACCTCCGGAATATGATGTTCAAGAGCAATACAAGCTCGGGGGCATTCGAGGATGTCATGTTTGTGGACTTCCAGATCTCCAACCTATGTCCGTCATCAGTCGACCTCATATACTCAATCTACATGCTGCTGGAGCCCGAACAGCGTTGTGAACTTGGAAAGGATGTGATAAACTATTACTTCTCCGTTTTGGTCGATACCTTGAAGAAAATTGGATATAAAGGGCAGTTTCCTACTCAGGACGGTCTATGGCAGGGAATTCATCGCCACAAATACTATGGTCAGTACATAGAATACGGATAAATCGATCTTTATTTGACTATATTCTCCTTTAGACTTTTTCCTAATGAGCACTTTTATGCCAATGATCCTGGCGATCAAATCAAATACTTTTAAGATAGCCGACCTAATCCAGAACACCGATATTAGAAAGAAAGTGTATTTGTTAGACGGTTATCAGGAAGAAATCAAGAAGCTGTTACCGAAATTCGAGGAGCTGGGTTACTTCAACGATTTTTAGTACAAAAAATTAAGTTTTAAAAAATAGTTCTAGGATATTTACAATTTTTTTTAGAAAAAAGATTCAAAGTGTTTTTTTTAAATTGATCGTTTTTTAAAGTAAAAGTAAAAACATTTTTGGTGATTTATATTTAGCTTGTGATGGAAAATACTCATGGAATCTAGCTAACTCTATGTTGGAAGCCCGAATACTTTGGATCGCTTTGTTAAAAATATTAAATGTCTAAAAATCCAAGAAACCGGAAAGCTCAAACTCCTTTAATGTACGTTGCAAGAATGCCCGGTACTTGGGATTCTCCACGTTCTCCCGGCGGAATTGATCACCACTTTCAGTGCGAGAGTTCAGATCCTCGAGGTTCTCAAAACCGGCGCCCTCTCGGAATATAAGAGGCGTCAGGCAAGTGGCCCCGATAACACCTGTAAAATACGGGCTGTTATATTTGGAAATTCGTGAAAATTGTCGCATTAACTCACCCATTAGACTGGTGTTGATAAGGTCAATGTGGATCTCCTTAAGGCTTGGAATGTGTCCCTGGTAGTTTAGCTTCTCCAAAGTCTCCTGCAGCACGCGCTGATATTCTCGGACAACGAATTTGTAGTGGACCTTTCGCACACATTCATTCATCGAACCGAATAGGAAATAGTTCAGGTCTATGGCCGGGGAGCCAACGTAAGCCAATTGGTAGTCCAACTAAAAGAATATAGTTTAAATTTAAGCTATGGAAACTTTTGAGTTATTCATAACTAACCGTAACAACGTCGTCAGGTTCCTTGGTCTCGTTGTTGATGTGGAACATCAGATTGTTGATCCACAAATCTGTCACATTAAACACCCGGAAACCCGTACTGGAGGACTCGAACATGCTTATGGCGTTCTGGAGCACGTTCTCGGCCAGCTTGAACATCTTTTCGGTTATCTCCTCGTAGCCCTTCCAGTGGGCCACTTCCTCGGCCACGCAGCGAATGTTTACGGGGAAGAAGGTGAGAAAGTCACGGCGATCGGGATTCCTGGAGATCGGAGCCTCGTCGAAAAACTCCAGCACTTGAGGATTCTGAGCGGCGATGACGGCGCTGCAGGCATGCAGCTTCGCCACCTTGGTGATGGTGGGCAGCACGTAGTCCAAATTGAGGAGACGACCTCGCTCGAAGTTCTCGAAGCCGGACTGCTGCATATCCTCGAGAATCAGAAAGGGCTCGGGTGTTTCGGTGGTGTAGTAGCAGGTTGGCGCAATTTTTGTTGAATCCCCAATCGACTGAAGTAGCTCCTGGACCCTAGGCAGTACCTCTTTGTAGGCCAGGATCTCGCGCTTGAAGAGCTTGCTTCGCTGAGCTACTGCCCCGGTTTGTCCTTTGGGATGGTCCTTCACAATCACCGAGAACTTGCTCTTGGCCGCTGAGCCCCTCTGCAAATTGAAGCTGGCCCTGTGCATTTCGCTGGCGAATCCGACGGCGTGGTCTCCTACTTGGACGCTCTTTACAATGAGCTCTGTCACCGCCAGCTGCTCCTCCTTGAAGTGCTCCTTGAGCACATCCTGCAGGAAGTCGGCGGTGAGCCACTCCGGCGCCTGGTAGTTCTTCTTGCCAGTTCCCATAGCGAGTTTTATTTAAGATTTTCAAGTCACCTGACTGGAAAAAAATGAACCGAAAACAGAACAGCTGAGAGTAGCGACCGGTGGGGCTTTCGAATGGGGAATGTGGGACCGAGCATGTGACGACCCCCAAATGGGAGCAGCTTTGCTCTTATCCAACGCAAAAGCTCTCTCTGTTGTCGGCTTTTCAACGGCTTATCAACTGCCCTACCAACAACAAATACGGGGGAATGTGGGGCTAGGCATGTGACGGCCGGCTAGTGGGTGCAGCTTTGCTCTCATCCATCGGAAAGCTCTCTCTGTTGTCGGTTTTTCACTGGCTTATCAACTGGCAATCCAACAACAAACATTGGTGTTAAGTAAATGTGTGAACCGCTGTGGGTGTTGTAAGGTCGTGGAACCCGTTCATGTGGAACGCAATTCGTGGACAGATAAGATGCGTAGTAATCGGGGATCTGATATTAATATGTCTAGTTACAGTAAATACTCTTTGTTTTATAAGTGAAAATACTCAATTGAAATGTAGACTTAAAAAGCATTATTATCATTGCAATGGTGTAAAGAATAATCCAGTTTCTAACACCCGAGAACACGTGGAAAATTAGCAAAGGTCAGCCATCTTTTGAAAGACTGGAAAACGGGGTAAGTAAAGTGGAAAGTTTCTAATACTACATATTCTGAATTCCAAAAGAATTAAAAAGGTTTTTAATCGGGAACATTGGTGTTTCTTTAAGGCTGCTTTAATTCATCGATCCATTACTGTTAAGTGCTTAAATATTGAAAGAAAGCAGGAAATCTAGTATCTGGCAGTTGTACAATCTGTTTACTGTACTACGAACTGAAATAAATAAAACGTGAGCTGAATTGAAGTACCTGTTACGATAAGCCGCAACCTTGATGGTTGGCGACTATTGATTAAATTTGATTTAATAATTAACACCTCGAGCTAACTGGAGCTCAGGTTAATTGAGAGCGTAATAATAATTATTTTAAATAAACCAGAGAAGACGCACATAATTCCTAAAATCAAATCCTTTAGGAAGAGTATTTTACAGATGTGATAAGAGCCACATTCAACCAAAACTTAAATAAAAAAAAACGTCATTTCATTGGCTTGTTTTCTTGCAAAAATATTAAACAGACTTTGTCGCAGCTAAACAAAAGATAATCTTCAAGATAGTCAAAGCGAAAGCATGGCACCTTCGCATGAGATACAGTCGGGCAAAGATACGGCTCTGTTCCGATTTTCGGTTCCGTGAGGTTCTTAGAAATAAATATGAAAATCGGCTCGAGCTATAGATGAACTAAAAGTCTAGTATGCCCCGCCTGTAGAGGAAGGGGAATATACTGAGAACTGCTCGGACGTAGAGGGGATTCGTGTAGACCTTAGCCCGAAAGCGGTCTCCCTCTTCTCCAGGCTGCGTGAGTTTCACCAGACTGGCCTCGGTATCCACGGGCAGAAGGATGAACACTAGCTGCGTAAAGGTTGTGAAGTAACCTGGAAAACATTCATTGTATGTAAATATTTCGAAGACTTTCCATCTTGGTAGTACGTACCCCAAAATCCATACTTGATCATGCTCATGTGGAGATCCCTCAGCATTGGCAGTCGATCGCTGTAGTGCAGAGTCTTTAAACACCTTACCAGGTGGGTGTGGTATATTCTAATGAACGAGTCGAAGCACTCGATGCGAATGCTATGCTTGGCGGAACAGATGATGAGCTCCCAAAGATCCTGCGCCGGACTGCCCCATTTGCAAAGTTGGAAGTCCACGAAGCGCAGCTGGTTTATCTCGCCAGATTGGGTATAGCTTAGCATTATGTTGCTGGACCAGAAGTCGCCGTGATTCAGGACCTTGAACTCGTGAGGATTGTTGTTGAAGCAGCGGGCGTAGGACTGCACGAACTGGTCGGCTGTGGGCTGTGCGAGAAGAGATGAGGTAAGCTCAGTTAAAATATTTTATCGAAACACTCACTATGCGATTCACGTATTGTTCGTGGTCGGCCAGACCCCAGCCGGCCATAGCTGCCTTATAGCTCTGAACACGAGCCTGATAGGATTTGGATTTGTTGTAGTTGGCGGGTAGGTAGATGCGCTGAAAATCATCCGGAAAGGGACCGTGCTTTTGGCGCCATACGGCACTGGCTGCGTGGAACTCTGCCAGTTTCTCCAGGACCCTTTCCATTTGCTCCATGTCGAAGCCCTTGAGACGGCTTATGTTCTTGTACTTTTTTGTGCGCAAGTCCTCTTGCACCAGACAGATGCGTCCTTTTAGGTCCTCCGACCACAAGCACTTGGGTGCGAACTTCACGGAGAGGCCTACTTTCTCGTAGAGCTCTTCCAGTTGGGGTATGATTGTGTCGTACATCATCTTCTCCTTGGGAAAAATATTGAGGGTATTCACAAAGCCGCCGTTGCCGTGGGCGTCGTTCAACATGGTCTTAACAATGTAACATCGTTGTTGCGAGAATCCATCTGAGGTAATCAAAATTGTTACAATTTGTCATAGCTTAATCGGTGTTTGGGGCGTATGAGTAATGTGTTTGTAATATGTAAACTTTCTTGTATACAGTTCTAAATATGTTAAGGTGAAGGCTAGGCCCTTCTCGGAGCAATTGTCACCATTATCTTGCCTTACTGTGTACGTTCGACAGATTGCGACTAAGATTACATATGAAAACAATACAAGGTCGAAAACACACCCCATTTCACAAAGGTTTTTCTGTTTGTCCACATAGGTACAATGAATATTGTGGAAGTATACTATGTTCACTTATAACTTATTCAAATAACCTATCAAACAAGGCATTTGTTTTCCATCTATTACTTTCTAAAGTTCTTATGCACAGAATACAGAGAATTTATAGGTGCTATCTTAATTTTTATTTAAATAATACGCCCTCCTCACCTTTCAGCTCGATGTCAATGACGACGCGCATTAGCAGCGAGGTGTAGGACTCTCCGGGAGGTGTGGCTGGGATGATCGCGAGGTTCAGGATGCGCCGAAACTCGCGTAGGTCTCTCTTCAGCACCCGCTTGAAGTACGCCGCATTGATCCAGTCCGGAATGCCAACAAAGTCATTGGAGGCGGAGAACTTGTTGCTGTTATCAGGCATTCTGGCTGGCTGTGGGGCTTCTGGGTTTCCGCCGGAGTGAGCTCACCCCGGACCGCTGTGTGGTGTTGTTCTCCGGCCGAAGTGTGCGGCGCAACTGTTTTTTACTGCCCGCCTTCCTTATCGAGTGTGTTGTTCTTGCTTGAGCTTCGCGATTGCCTCTATCGTGTTTTTTATTTTTGGCCAACTGCACGCACAACAAACAACAGAACGGCGCCGAGGTGGGCGAGTAAGGTGCGCAGTGCGCACTTATCAGAGTCTCGGCAATGCCAATTGCCCGTCTAACTGGTTCGTCAACAGCTCGGACACTGGGCATCGCAAGTGATTCGCAGCCCCTCTCTTGGGTGATAATTGCCAGAGCTTTTTCCCGTACTTGACCACATATATAGTTAATATACAAATATAAAAGCATGTGCACGATCGGGGATGGTCAAGCGATGCAGTAGGCGCCGGGCTTATCAGGAGCATTGTGCCCGGAATACTTGATAACCCGCCAGGGAGGACCAGGAAAACGAGGAACAAACGTTGCTAGAATTTAGATTGTTATAAATAGAATTTCTGTCTACTTTTATAACTAAGTTTTGTTAAAATAATTAAATAAACTGAAATTCAAGTGATCTGGTTCGTTGTTAACTTAAACTTTGTCCGTTATTTTTAGAGATATGGTAGCGGAAAGATTTTCTGATATTCCATCTTACCTCTTCCATCTTTATAAAATACCCCTCACCACTCAGTATCTCAAACAAACTTGATGTAGTATGCCAAGGTTCTAAGCTTCTGCAATTGCGCCTCGACTTTCAATTGCAAAAATGGCCCCGACATTCGTTGAGAAAAACTTGAAGAAACCAGTTTCAATATTCGCACACAATTTATTAAGTTGAATCGTTTAAAGAATGCAGTGGCCTTTACTGTTCTTCAAAATCTTCAAAGTTGAAGAGCCCTCTATTGCAGAAAAATGGATACAACTCTCTAATAACCTCCACATAGGCGGGGTTGGTGTACATTCTGGTTCGGAAGTTCCTGCCCACTTCGTCCTTGGACATGAGACTGTGTAGGTTACTTTCCTTGGTACTCGGCAAGAGGCAGGTGGGAAGGTGATTTATCGCAGGGAAAAATGCTACGAGACGAAAGAGCACGGTTAAGAGCAGGTGTATGTTATGATAGTACTGTTGAAGGCTTCTACCATAAAAGGTGTTATTCTTTTTAGTGATGGCGCCATGGAGATCTCTCAGCTTGGGCATCGGTTTCAAGTATTTGAGGATGCCAAGGTACTCGATGAGATACTCCCAGTAGATCCTCACAAAGTTGTCAAACTCTCGGATGCGCAGCTCTTTCTCGGGTGATAGGGTTAGGAGGAATAAAAGATCTTGGGCTGGACTGCCCCACTTGCAGAGCTGAAAATCCAATAGAAAGGCATTCTGTAGGTCTCCATTCAGATCGTATTTGTACAAAAGATTATTCGCAGAAAAGTCACCATGGGTGAGGACATTAAAGTCTTCGGGATCGACGTTTAGAGATTCTAAACCGATAGCGCCATACTGCTTAGAAGTGGGCTGAAAGATAAAGTGTTCAGATAAACCAACATACTGGGAATGTGGAAAAACCTACAACTTTTTTCAGATAACTCTCATCCAAGCCCCAAGACTTCATGCCTGCCTGTAGCTCCGGATATTTGATATTAAATCCACGCAGACTATACTCAATATTGTCCTTTTTTATAAAGCCATGTTCAAAGTCAGCAGGGTAGGGTCCATGGCGGTTCTGGTAGACCACGCTGGCGGCATGGAGCTGCGCCAGTTTCTGCAGGGAAAGCCTCATGTGACTCAGGTCCAGTCCCTTGGTTCGTTCCGCACTTAAGTATCCTTGGATGGCGAGGTCCTCAAAAATAAAGTAAAGGTTTCCCTCTATTTCGCCGATTTCCAGACACTTTGGCGCCAGTTTGATGGGATGTCCAGCGTCGCGATAGAGTTTTTCAAACGCAGGCAGGTAGGTGGAGTACATTTGCTGCTCTTTGTGAAAGTAGCGGAACTCATTTATCGCCTTGCCACCTTTATCCGCATCCAGAGTGGTCTTGACTACATAAGATTTTCTCTGTTGACTGCCATCTGGGAATGACCGTATTGGGTTTAGTTTTTAGCCACCTGCCCAAATATTTTCTCACCTTTTAGCTCCAAATCCAAGAATACTCTTATCATGACAGACGTAAAGTTTCCGCCTGGTGGCACAGCAGCCACTGGGGTAAACGTGAGAATCCTTCCGGCTTTAGGCTCATCCTTTGCTATCAAGGATTCGAACTTGGCCTCGTTCAACCACTGCGGTATGACGAGGTGTACGTTGGGGTTTTCAATCGTCTCGGCCTGCGACATAACTTAAACTGAACCAGAACTCACACTGTAACTATGAGGAGGCTTATCACGATATAAGTTAAGATAAAGTTTCTGGAGATTATTATTGTCACCTTTTTATGCAAAGTAACAAGCGATAATGGTTGCGTGAGTAGGCAGGTTTGATGGAGTTTGCTATGATTTACATAGCCGATTATACTTGTCAAGCTTTGATTTTTACCAATTTTATTGAATCATTAGATTTCCCATCCACTTGACCACACGTCGTCACATTGATAGGGCTCGGCACTCAACTTTTCCTATATTTTTAATATCATATACTCTCCAATTTATTAACTTATAAAATATCACACATCGTAGTCTTCGTAATTAAATACACCTCGGTTGTAGAGAAATGGATACAGATCCTTCATGATTTTGCCAAAGGCAGGATTCGATAACATGCGCAGTCTCATGTTTTCACCTTCTTCTGTTTTTGCCATTATGCAATGGAAATTACTGTCCTTATCAGAGGGGAATACGATTATCGGCATGTGGGTGAACAAGCTGAAGAAAACTGTAGAAATACAAAGAGTTAGTTATTAAAAACAGTGTTATTAAAACAAATCAGTGTTTGAGTTGAGCCTACCACAAAATGAATTGTTTTTATGGTACATAGATCTCTGGATATCCCGAAGGGCTGGCAGGCGTTTTTGGTACTTGAGGACTTTTAGGCACTCGATAAGGCGCTCCCAGTATATCCTGACAAAGTTGTCAAACTCCTTCAGGCGCAGTTCGTTCTTCGGGGAGAGAATCAGAAAGAAAAGCAGGTCTTCGGCCGGATGGCTCCACTTAGGTAACTGAAAGTCTATGAGGAGTAGCTTATTTAGGCTTCCATCGGGCAAGTAGCTCGACATAAGGTTGCTGGACCAGAAGTCCCCGTGGCTAAGAACGTAAAATTCATCGTTATTGTAGTCCAAGGTGGCCAGGCACTGTGCCCAATATTGTTCCTCGGTGGGCTGGAATTTTCCATATATATAAAAATGCTATTTATATGGCTGAACACTGGGACTTACAAACTTCTCAACATATTTCTCTGCATCTTTCATGCCCCAGGTGAGCATGGCCTTCTTAAAGGCCTTCTCCTTCAAGCGAAACCCATCAATGTGAAACTGCTTGCACGACCGATTCACGAATCCCTCGTAGAACTCCTCAGGGTACCGTCCATTTTTCTCCTCGAAAACAGCACTGGCTGCATGGTACTCGGCCAACTTGTGCAGCGACGCTGTCATGTGTTCCATGTCCAGCCCCTTGGTGCGGTCCATGTTGCCGAATCCCTTTACGCGTAGATCCTCGAAGATAAAGTGGATCTCGCCGTTTCGCTCCTCCGTTTTTAGGCATTTCGGCGCCAGCTGAATGTCCCACCCAGCTTCCTTGTAGAGAGCTTCGAAGGCTGGAATGAAGGTGTCGTACATCTTGGCCTCCTTGGGGAAGAGACCAAAGTCGCCAAAGTCCTTGCCGCCGCGATCTTCCGGCAACATTATCTTTAAGATGTATGTTTTGTTTTTGACACTGCCATCTGTTAAAAGTGTCAATAACAAATGTATAGTTATTTTTAATTGATAGAATTGTTCGCATTTGTTTCAATTGCCCTTAATTGCTCACTCATAACGCACCCTTCATCTTCAAATTGATGTAAATCCGAATCATGGTGGAAGTAAAATTCTCTCCTGGAGGAATCGCCGCCACGGGAGTGAATTTTAGGATCTTCACATGATCCGGCTCGTCTTTGGCCAGGACGTCTGTAAAGTACTTTTCATTGATCCAGTCAGGAATGATTAGGTCTTTATTGGGGTTCTCGATTTCGTCAGTCATTTTCGGGCCTTAAAACAGAACCTATTCTGGCAAGAGCTGTTTTAGAACTGAAACCGATTTCAGCCGCCGCCGAGCTTTTATAGTTCCATTGTCCATTGAGTATTTCGTTTGGTGAGGCAATACAAATTCTAGCAGTTTTTGAGTGGCTAGGCAAAGTTTCACATCATTTTTGTTTTTGATATTGATAAGGCATTCATGGAGCAGCGATTGTTTCAATGTTTGTTCAAGATAAAGCACTGATTATGATTACTGTCAATACTACTCTTGTTAAGAGTAATATATGTAGTTCATTCCCGCAGCTTGCAAGCGGGTGATAGAGTTCTATAAACTTTTTCAACGTCTGCCGTTTGTATGAATTAATGTGAAAACTGAAATTCATCATTATAAAACAAGTTTTGTTTGCCTGGGAGGTTTTTAGAGGCCTTCTGGTTAATTATAATCATTTTTAAGTGTATATAACAATCGACTTTTCCGAAACTATTTGGTTTTTATTATGATCTCTAATTTTTGACTTTTTGGTAGACTTATACCCTTGTAAAAGGTAGTTTTTGGTCAAAAGTGTGCAAACTATATCCCATAGCTACCATATAACTGAACCATCAAAATTGACCCAACTTTGGATTTTTAAAGATAGAAGAGTGGGACTTTCTTTTTTAATTTTGTTTGTTTGGTTTAAGAAATTGGTTTCATTACGAAATTCTGTATCGTATATTTGAGGTATATATCCGTTCTAAACTTCTAAGGGTATATCAACTTCGGCTCCTCCCGAAAATATCTTTCCTTTCTTGTTTTCTTTTTGAGTATGTTAACTGACAGGGTCGCCGGGTTTGCCTTGTCTGTAATATATATTACTTCAAAAGCTAGCGAGCCCGTTGTGTAATTTTTAGTACAATAGTTCAACAGTAAAACAGTGCTTACTCAGATGATTGAATCTTGTAGAAAATAAAACAGCTGCTAACTGTGGGGTGTTTTTAAAGATTTTATTTTGGTGGGTTACGAGTCGTATACGTAATTTTTTATTAACTTTTGCCTCTATTACATATAGCATTTAACAACTGTTTTTTGGCCTGTTCATTAAGTTTTGTTTTGACTAGAAAATTCCACAATTACTATTCAACAATAAGATTTTCCAACAATCTTCTTAGAAACACGTCAAACAAAAAACACTTCGTTATCCTCTTTACTGACTAACCATAAACTAGAAACACTTAAGGTCGAGTGATTAGATAGCTCCCACTCCAAATGTAATGATAAAACAAGTGACATAAATTTGGTAAATGAAGCTTTTTAATTATCATTCGTCGTAATCTTCAAAGTTCAAGATGCCCCTGTTGTATAGGAAAGGATACAGATCCTTCATAACAGCGCCGAAGGCAGGATTCGATAGCATTCGCTCTCTATAGCTCTCACCCTCCGGCGTGTTCGCCGATAGGTTGTGTATATTACTGTCCTTGTCGGTGGGAAACAGGATAATCGGCAGGTGATTTAATATGCTGAAGAAAGCTACAAAACAGATTTTCGACATTAGCGAAAATAATACAAATATAATAAGTGTTTGCAAATACCGTAAAACGAGGAGTTCTTGTGGTACATAGACCTCTGGATGTCGCGGAGTGCAGGTATCGGTTTCTTGTACTTCAGGACTTTTAGGCACTCAACGAGGCGCTCCCAGTAGATCCTCACAAAGTTGTCAAACTCCGTTAGCCGCAAGTCGTTTTTGGCTGAGAGAATTAAAAAGAAGAGCAAGTCCTCGGAAGGACTGCCCCACTTGCATATCTGGAAGTCCAGCAGAATGAGTTTGTTCAGGGTCCCGTCGGGCAGATAGTTCGTCATCAGATTGCTGGACCAGAAGTCTCCATGGTTGAGGACGTAAAACTCATTTGGTTCGTAGTTCAAAGTAGCCAGGCCCTGAGCCCAATACTGCTCTGCATTTGGCTGAAAATCCGCAACCTCATTATCAATTATTCAAGACACACAGTTCTCAAACTTACAAACTTCTCGATATATTTCTTGGCTTCTGGCATACCCCAGGTGAGCATGGCTTTCTTGTAGGCCTTTTCCTTGATGTTGAAGCCTTCTATGTGGAACTTTTTGACCGACCGAGTGACGAAGCCCTCGTAAAACTCCTCAGGATATCGTCCATTTTGTTCCTCGTAAACGGCACTGGCTGCATGATATTCCGCCAGTTTTTGCAATGACGCCGTCATGTGCTTCATATCTAGCCCCTTGGTGCGATCCAGGTTCCCGAAACCCGCTTCGCGCAGGTCCTCAAAGATGAAGTGAAGGTCTCCATTTCGCTCCTCAGTGTGCAGGCATTTTGGCGCCAGCTGAATGTTCCAGCCAGCCTTCTTGTAAAGTTCTTCGAAGGCCGGAAGATATGTGTCGTACATCTTGGCCTCTTTGGGAAACAGGCCGAACTCGGCGATGTCCTTGCCACCCCGCTCTTCGGGCAGCATCGTTTTAAAAATGTATGTTTTGTCCTTGACACCGCCATCTGGAAAGAAGAGGTCCTTTTCAGCATTCCAACAGAAAAACCAGCTCTTGTGTGCAAGAGTCCTTACTCTTCATTTCCAACTTAATATGGATCCTCAACATGGTCGAGGTGAAATTTTCGCCCGGAGGAATGGCAGCCACTGGCGTGAATTTCAGAACCTTGACATGATTGGGTTCGTCCTTGGCCAGGACGCCTGCAAAGTATTTTTCATTGATCCAGTCTGGGATTATAAGATGCTTGTTGGGGTTCACTATTTCGTCAGTCATATTTAGAATAGCTATGAAATTCTCTCTCGATTTGGTGTTTTCCGGCAACAGCTTTTTGAGAACTGAGCAGAAACAGCGGGGCTTTTTGGCTTTAATAGTTTTTTTTTGTTGGATTCCTACACCTTATCAGCGGGAATAGTAACTTTAGGTGTGTACAGAACCAAGCGAAACTGGACCTATACTTTATACAGGTATTCATTTATAATGAAAAAAACTATCAGCTAATCTTATCAGGAAGACTTGATAATTGTCTGTGTCTGGGTGTAGTCTTTTTATGGGTATGAATTATTTGGTTATTTGCTTCTAATTGGGGTGGGGTCCACTTGACCAATTCGTGATTTATTAAAGTATAGATTATAATGCATAAAAACCTTAAACAATATACTTGGTTATACTGTTCCTAATCTGATCGAGTTTTACACAATTTTTCTTGTCATTATGACTTGAGGAAACATGGAGGTTTGCTGAAATCATTTTGGCTGATTTAAGATCTTATCCAAGATTGGTGACTCATTTATTGAACTATCAGCTCCTTCGATAGGGCATTATTACTCGCGGCTTGTATATTGTTATTTCAATAAAGGCTTCTCAGACTTTGCCATTATCAATAATTAGGAGAGGGCTCGTCGATTGGTTTATGTGCGATATAGAACCCAGTAACGATTTCATCATAGCTTGTATAATCAAAGTTACGTCTGATATTCTGGAGAATACGTTGGGGTTTATTTTTAATTACTTGAATAACACACACATATTATAGTATGATAATTGATAACAACACGCACGTTTTTATAATTTCGCGATTCACCGACTTCAGCCTCTTAAGTTGTAGAATTGTTCGGGATTTCCTTAAGTTTATAAACATTGTGTGTGATGTGCCAGTCATGCTGACAGTTTGCGTTGATCACACAAACGTCATCATGAATGAAGTAATATTATTATACCCTTAAAAAGGGTAATATAATGTTGATAAATAGTGTACAACGCAGGGAAATATATTCATGATCTGGAATACCTGTTCTTCTGCCATTTCAATCTCATTTTAACTTTAATCTAATCATTCATATGACTTTAACTGAAAGGGTATATAAGCTTCGTCTCCACCATAAGGGGCTTTTCTTATTGTAAGTTTGGATATTGTTTCATTGGGATGTTTTAAAACCGGTTTCTCTTAGTTCTTAGACCTCCTACCAGTAAAAATAACCCGTATAGTTCACAGGGCTCTAATCAATGCAAAGAAGGCAGTTCACAGAAGTCACAGTAGATTTAATAAGAAATTAAAAGATACATAAATGAACGAATAAGATATTGCTAATCCCATTCACAAATTTTACTAAAAGTCACTAAAGTTAAAGATTCCGCGATTATAGTAAAAGGGATAGAGCTCCCTCATTATTTCCGTAAAACTGGGATTTGTGAACATGCGCAATCTCAACCTGTCGCCCTCCTCGTCGTCCCTCATCAAGGAGTGAATGTTGGAGTCCTTGTCGGCTGGAAACTGGATCGCAGGAAGATGGTTGAAAACGGCTATAAAGGCTGTGGGCAGAGAATTGCATAAAATTTTTCGATTTCAATTTTAAAATTTTGACTCACGGTAAACAGTGTTGTTCTCTTTGTACAAGGAGGTGTGCAAATCCCGCAGCTTGGGCAGAGGCTTCTGGTATTTCAAAAGCTTTAGGCACTCGACCAGTCTCTCCCAATAAACTCTTACGAACTGGTCGAACTCCTTCAGCTTGATGTCCTTGGCAGCGGAGAGGGTGATAAAGAACAGCAAGTCCTGGGCAGGACTTCCCCACTTGCATATTTGGAAGTCGAGCATAACGACCTCATCGATTTGTCCATTCGGAAGGTAGCTACTCATCAGATTGCTGGACCAGAAATCTCCGTGGGTGAGTGTGTTAAAGGCCGAAGTATCCACCTCCAGATTAATTTGACACATTTTGGTGTACTGGTCGACCGTTGGCTGATGAAATATATTATATTATTAAGAATTACTCTTAAAGAAGAGAATATTCACAGCAGACTTACAAAACTTTTGATGTACTTCTCCGCATCTTCCATGCCCCAACCAGCCATGGCTTTGTGGTAAGTTCTGGCCTTCACGAGGAAGCCCTCTTCGTTTTCCTTGATGTTATTTTTCCCAATGAAGCCCTCTTCAAACTCCTCGGGGAAGGGTCCCTTTTGCTCCGCATACACGGCCGCCACCGCATGGAACTCTGCCAGCTTCTGAAAGAATCGGTCCATGTGCTTTCTATCCAGGCCTTTAATGCGATCGACGTTCTTGAACTTCTTCACCGCCAGATCCTCAAACACAAAGTGGATATCATTGTTACGCTCCTCTATGTGCAGGCACTTGGGAGCCAGCTGAATGTTCTGCCCAGCGGCTCGGTAAAGCTCCTCAAAGGCGGGAAGGTATGTTTGGTACATCATCAGCTCCTTCTGAAAGATGCCAGCCTCACGGATTTCTTTTCCACCTCGCTCCTCCGCCAGCATTGTTTTGAAAACATAGGTTTTGTGCTTGGTACTGCCATCTGTGAATAATTTAGAAATGTAAGCTATTTTTTCATGCATCAAGTTTCAATATTCAAGTTCTATTCGTCTAGTTTGGGCAATTAGACAGAAAGCTTTTATAATTGTAGATTGAGCTATGCATTTCTGGCAATGAAATGCCAGCCAATTATTCAAGCTTACCTTTCATCCGAAGATCAATGTAAATTCTTAGCATAGTTGAGGTGAAATTCTCGCCCGGTGGAATGGCAGCCACCGGCGTGAAACTCAATATCTCCTCATATTCAGGTTCGTTTTTCTTCAGAATCTTTTCAAAATACTCGGCAGTGATCCAATTTGGTATTTCCAAATGCTCGTTGGGATTAAATATATCTTCACCAGCCATTGTAACTTTGGATATTATCTTGACACCTCTTGAAAGTTACTCTTCAAATGAATTTTGGAGAGGTGGTTACCGGCTTTTATAGAAAACTCAGGTCTTTGACGGTTCAAGTGGGGGAAATTCTGAGACCTGAAGCTTTTATTTTTTGTTTTATTTCATTATGTGGTTTAAATATTTTCTCTTAACTTGTTTGGTTGTTTACCTAAGAGAAAACAAGTATGAGCTTTTTTAGCAACCAAACAAAATAGGGTCAGAACAAACTATTTATTCTTTATAAAAAAGCTTCTCGTGGGGGTTTGCTAAAGACAGATAAGGTTCGTATCGGACCGCCGTCACCTCTTCAATATTGGAAATTATTTCACAATGTTTAAATTTTATTACAAGTATTAAAAAAACTCAATCGTGTACGTTTATAAGAACTAAATAGCGGCAAGTTCGAGCCAGTGTATCATAATTATCAAGTGCTATAACATGTCCGAGGAGGAAACAAATAATTTCAATGCCGATGAACTGGCTCCCCCCGAGTGGCTTGACGAGCAGTTTATTGCCCAAGCTCTGAGCAGCTATGAGCAGTCCCCTGAGCTCCAGGTGACTCATCTCAAGTTCACACCTGCCAGTGCCAGAGGAGATCACTATGCTAGCATTATGTTTCGGGCTTGTGCCCGGTATACCAGCCGAAAAGGAGAGTTCTCAAAGTCCCTGATAATAAAAACAATGCCCGTGGAGGAGGGCATCAAAAAGGACATGTTCGAGGGTTCGCCTCTTTTCTCCACGGAGATTGGGATGTACACCAAGGTCCTACCCGAAATGGAAAGGACTCTTCGCCAGGTGGGCGACCGAACAAAGCTCTACGCGGAATGCATATACCAGAGCTTGGAGCCCAGGCAAGTCATGATATTCGAGGATCTGGTGGAGATGGGCTACGAGGTGGTCCGAAATCGCTGGCTCACTGAAGAGGAGATCAGCAATGCCTACTCCAAAGGATGTCATGCTCCTGGACTACCAAGGCGGCAATGTGGTACCTATACCTGTCGACCTCATGTACTCTATTTACATGTTGATGGGCCCTGAACAAAGGGCCGGGGAACTGGAGCACCTGTTAAAGTACTACTTCTCCGTTTTACTGGAAACTCTCCGGAAGATTGACTATCGCGGAAAAATGCCCTGCTCTTCGGGCTTCTGGGCAGCGATGAAGAGGCACAGATATTATGGTAAACTTGATAACTTTTGACTTCAAACACTTTCTAAAGATTGAAATTGCAGAGTTCCTGCTGTTAAGCACTTTCCTGCCCATTTCTGTGGGTTTACGAAGCAAAGGCTTAGATATTGGAGATCTCCTTCACGATGCGGAAACCCGAAAGTTTTGCTATGATCTACCGGAATATGTTCAAGATGCCAGAAACATGCTACAAAGATTCGAAAGAGCTGGCTACTTTGAGGATCTTTAAAAGATCTTAATAATTCATTAGGAAAAGACAATAAACAATAGGTACTTTAGTCCAATTTTATTTGAAAATCTATTACTTTTAATAATTGGTGTGTAAATATGTAATAGATCTTCCATAAGGTACAGAGATTGTTGCTATAGTAATTATCTCTTTGAATTTCGAGAAGAGAAACAATGTTTATTTTACAAACAAACCAAAAGCTCGTTTATTAATGAAATTTCTAAACTTTTGTGGAGCTTTTTCGATTGAGAGTTCATATAACCCAGTGGGGAAACCAGATTTCTCAGTTCCCTCTCTTTCAAAATACGACGCAGAAGTCTATAAAGATATGTCTGTGTCAAAAAATATTCAAAGTAGCGATTACAATGATGACGAATTGGTGCCCCCTGAGTGGCTGGATGTATGGTTCATCGCCAAGGCTCTCAGGGATCACCATGCGGATCCCGATTTAAAGGTATTAGAGGTTATTTTTTCCCCGGCCACAGCCAAGGGTGACCACTATGCCAGTATCATGTTCCGGGCCAAGGTGAGGTACGCCACACCACGGGGTGGAGAGCTAACCACGTCACTGATTATCAAAACTATGCCGGTGGCGGAGGGTCACAAGAAGGACATGATTGCAGGATCGCCCATTTTTATAACTGAGGTGGGAATGTATACCAAGGTACTACCAGAACTGGAAAGAATTCTGCTCCAGGCGGGGGATCACACGAAGCTTTTCGTTGAATGCATTTATCATAGCATGGAACCTCACCAAGTGCTGATTTTTAAGGATCTAGTTGATATGGGCTACTTTGTTCCAAGGGACCGAGGAATCACCGAGGCTGAGATACGCCTTGCATACTTTAAACTGGCCAAATTGCATGCCGCCAGTCTCAAGGTGCAGAATGAGGCAAGTCACAAAACATGGTTAATAGAGGTGTTTTATACAGTTTGAAAATTTATAGAGCCCTCAGCTGATAAAAGGTTTTACCCATGGATTGTTTGAAATGCCCCACGTATTGCAAGAGCCATTCTTAAAAACCGGAATGGTGTTCTTTATTGAACTCTTAGACAGAGAACCGGAACTAAACAAGTACAAACCGTACTTTGAAAGTATTGGCACTGATTTCCTGGAGAGACTGATAGAAGAGTGGAAGCAATTCCGTAACAACCCACCAGCGGATCCATTCACGACTCTGTGTCATGGAGACTTTCACCTTCGCAATATGATGTTTAAGTACGAGATGGAATCCTTTGAGGACGTCATGCTATTGGACTTCCAAATCAGCAATGTCTACCCCCTGACAATCGATCTGGTGTATTCCATTTACATGCTTATGGAGCCCGAATTCCGGTGGAACCACTGGGAGGACCTCATAAACTATTACTACTCGGTTTTTAAGGAAACTCTGGGGAAAATTTGTTATAAAGGGGAAATGCCAACTCTAGCCGGTCTTTGGCAGCGGATGCATCAGCATAAATACTATGGTGAGCACAATTAAAATTTGTCAAAATATTTATTATTACCATTTTGTTTTTTAGAGTTCTTCCTTCTAAGCACTTTTGTGCCTTTTATGTGGGCCCTCAAAGATAATTCCGAGGACTTCGGGGACATTTTGCAAAACGAAGACAAACGTAGGTTGTGTTCATTTTCGAAAGGCTATATTAACGATGTCAAAATAATACTCGCACGAATGGATAAGTTGGGTTATTTTGAGAAGACATAAATGGATTTATCTTTTGAACTAAGACTATAAAAGAATTTAAAATAAAAACCATTCCCTACACATCTAAAGATATTTATGCCAGATTCCAGACAGATATGAGGTTTTGTTGCAGATTTAAAGGAAATCGATCCACAAATTGTTTAAGGTATTCCGCTCAAGGATCGGATGAAAATTGTCGAAGATATAGACATCCCTGTGAGGCCCATGTGCTCTTCCCACACAATCCCCATTTTTGAAGGGAGTATATGGAAAAAATTGACAAAAAATGGAATTGAAAATCGGATCCGAGATTTTAATGCAGATTTAAAGACAATCAATTCGCAAATCGTTTAAGGTATTCCGTCCAAGGATCGGATGAAAATTGTCAAAGATATAGACATCCCTGTGGGGCTCTTCCCACACAATCCCCCATTTTGGAAGAGAGTACATGGGAAATTTGACAAAAAATGGAATTGAAAATCGGTTATGAGGTTTAAATGAAGATTTAAAGGCAATCGATCCACAAATCGTTTAAGGTATTCCGCTCAAGGATCAGATGAAAATTGTCAAAAATATAGGCATCTCTGTGGGGCCCATATGCGCTTCCCACACAATCCCCCATTTTTGAAGGGAGTACATGGGAAAAATAGACAAAAAATGGAATTGAAAATCGGATATGATGTTTTAATGCAGATTTAAAGCCAATCGATCCACAAATCGTGTAAGCTATTCCGCTCAAGGATCAGATGAAAATTGAAAAAAATATAGACAACCAAGTGGGGCCCATATGCTCATCCCACACAATCCCCCGTTTTTAAAGGGAGTACATGGGAAAAATGAGTCAAATGAGTTTCGGCAGTATCTCCATAAATTATCAAGAGTTGGTCTATGTCTATAAAAAAAAATCAAGGTTGTTCTGTCATTGATTCTGTAGAAGAAGACTATTTACTAAATCAAGATTCGCCAACAAAAAATAGTTCCACCCCCTTGGAATAGATAATTTAAAAAACAAACAAAGTACCTGATTTGAATCGCTAATTTCCATATGGCTTGTGGCAGGTCGTCCAACTGGAAGAATCATAAATGAGAATTATTTGCGTGTTCCTAATTATAGAACGACTGGCATCAGCAATTAAAGTCCCATTTATGACATGTAGTACGCGTCATACATATATCGTTCAGTGCCATTTTCCATAGCGTATATGTATTTATCATTTGGAATGCTTTCGACTGATTAATTACGAATAAAAATGTATAAGGTGTGTAGGAGTGTGGTAAACTAATGTGGTTTGTGGATGTCGACTCCCTTGATCAACTGTAGAAAAAATCTGGGTACTATTGGGTGGTTAGCACTCTTTTATTGTACAAACGAATTGACAAATTGACGAAGCTTAATGGGTACAGACTTCAAGCAGAGGGAAATCACACACCAATCTCGCATCTCCGGCTTTATGTTTGTGGGTTAAAAAACCCTAATTCCGATTTCGTGGCTCGTGTAAATAAAAAAACGCTTTTTGCAAGTCATTATGACTTCAAGCAAAACTAGTCTGTGGGCAAAGGTTAGGAAAACAATTTGTATCTCACTAGCGCAGCAATCAAATCAATATTTAACTAATAATAAAATATGTCATTTATTGCTCATTCCTATAATATACATTCATGATATCACATTATATTGGCTAAACACTAAACAAACTCTGAAAATAAATGAAAACGGCCTAGGGGCTCAATATGCCCTTGTTTTCGAAGAATGGGAACAGCTGCTTCATGGCCGTCACAAAGTAGGGATTCACAAATGTTCTGTATCGCATAGCATCCGCTTCAGGTCCTGGGGCCATCATCATTTTCATATTTGCATCCTTGTCGGTGGGCAGGAGAATGGCCACCAACACGCCCATGGAGGTCAAAGGTCCTTTAAATGAAGATAGATGTAACTTTTGATTGAATTTTTTGTAATTTAAAGCTTCACTCACCCCAGAATCCATATTTCAGCATTAAGATGTGCAAGTCCCTCAGCGTGGGAATGGGCTTCGAGTAGTTTAGCGATTTCAGACATTCCGCCAAGCGCTCGTGGTAGATATATATGAAGTGATCAAACTCCTTGACCTTGATGTCCAGAGAAGCTGATGTGGTGATCAAATACCAAAGATCCTGGGCAGGACTGCCCCACTTGCCGATCTGCAGATCTACAAAGAGGGTTCTGTCGATCTCTCCATTTTCCTTGTAGTTAAACATGATGTTGTTGGCCCAGCAGTCGCCGTGATTGAGGACATTGAACTCGTTCTCATCGACTTGATTCACCTCCAGGGCCGCGTTGAAGAAGTCCATGGGACTCCCGATAGCGGAAATGTATTTCTCAATATTGTCCAGGTCCCAGGTCCTCATGGCCATCAAAAACTGCACTTGTCGCATCTCTCCGAGACTTTCAAAAAGCGGCCGACTCGCCTCGGAGTACATGGAGACGCAGTAGAGGGGATCATAGGGTCCATACAGCTCCCTGGCAACCGCGGAGGCGGCATGGAGTTCGGCCAGTTTCTGCAGGACACGCGTCATGTGCGGCATGTCGAATCCCTTCAGGCGGTCCACGTTCTTGAACTTCTGTCGCCGCAAGTCTTCGAATACCAGGGTGATGCAGTCGTTGTTGGATGACACGTTGAGGCACTTCGGAGCCAACTCCACATCCAGGCCTGCTTCTTTGTACAGTTTAACGAACTGGGGGATGTGCACCTCGTACATCATCCGCTCCTTGGGAAACAGGCCCATGCTATCAACCACATCAGCTCCACTGTCGGCCTCCAACATGGTTTTCAGGATGTAGGAGATCTTCTCCTCGCTACCGTCTAGGGGAATACATTTGAAATTATTACAAAAATTATTTTATTTATTGATTTTAATTTTAAACCAACCTTTTAGCAAAATATCCACAATGACCCTGATCATAATGGATGTGTAGTTCTCGCCGGGACTTGTGGCCGCAATTGGCGTAAAGCTCACTATTTTATCGAAGTTTTCCACATCCTTTTCCAGAATGGGAAGGAAGTAGTCCTCGTTCACCCATTTTGGGATGTGAAGGCCCTCGTTGGGGCTTACAGGTTTCTCTTCGCTTTGGTTGCTTGGTGACATTATCACTGGCACTAAAATTTATAGAGATATTAATTGAGCATACACATGGCGAAATGATTGGAGGTTCAAGTTCGTAGCAATTACAAAATTGTAATTCACTTCTCTCTAATTTCTACCCAGAACACTGTGTGACGAGTAAATTGCATATTGGAAAACCTTAACGTAACATTGGGTGTGACTATAGGAAATATGTTATGTAGGTTTATTTAGTATTCGTTTTTTCAATGCGTTGATACTATATTCTTGAATGGGAAGTTGCAGTGTCATTCTGACAAGCGAGTTTCAACATTTGTCTTTTTTATCGGAAAGCTTTCTTGACTTCCCCACTAAGTTTTAATTTTTTTTAGAACACAAATAGTATTTCTATACACATATTTGCTTTGAATTTTTCATTAAAAAGTCACACTTCCGCATCAATTCAAAGCCTGTGTTCAGTCAAACTTTAAATTTAATTGAAATTGGTTTCAATTGCCATTCATTACTGACCGACTTTGAAAATTTTAGATTTGAATTCCCGTTCGGAGGAGGAATAGATGAGGTCGCGTCCGACGGTTTCTGACGACGAATAAATACTGAGCTCTCTGCCTATTTGGCGGGCGGGCTTTATATTTTCCCTAATAGAGCTGCGTTCCGACCTGATAAAGCAAACAGGTTTTGTTTGAACCCACACGAATACCCAATGGAAGTGCGGTTGGGGCACCCACCATGTGAAACAATAGATCCGTATAATCGGTGCCTTATCTTTTGGTCGACGCGTTTAAATAGCCGTTCCATTCCGGACATTGCTACTATCAGACAGCAGTTAATATAAGAAACACTCGTAACGCTTTTATCATTTTCATGATGACTGTTTTTATAAACTAATCACTCTAACAAATGTATAAAAAATTACTTTTAAATATATAGAAAATTTATTTGTACATTAAGGAGAATCCTCGACTAATCGAAATCAAGTACGCCACGGTGATCAAAGAAGGGAAGAAGCTGCTTCATTGCTTTCACATATAGGGGGTTCGTAAAAGTCCTGTGCCTGAAAGCATCGGCTTCGGGCCCGGGAGACAACAACTTGTCCATATTAGAGTCCTTGTCAGAGGGCATCAGTACGGCTACCATGACCCCGTTTGCAGTGACGTATCCTAAGAAAGAAATAGGTTAATTTTTTTTGTTTAGTTAGATATTAGGACTAGGTCAGTTACCCCAGGTGCTGCCTTGGATCATCATCACATGTACATCCCTCAGGGAGGGCACTGGTTTCGAGTAATTCAGTAGCTTAAGGCACTCCGATAGTCGTTCGTGGTAGATTTGAATGAAGTGGTCGAACTCCTTGACCTTGATGTCCAGAGAAGCCGAGGACACAATAACGTACCAGAGGTCCTGGGCTGGACTGCCCCACTTGCAGAGCTGCAAGTCCACAAAGAGGGTCCTGTCGATCTCGCCGTTCTCCTTGTATTTGAACATAATGTTGTTGCACCAGGAATCGCCATGGTTTAAAACGTTGAAAGAATTCTCGTCAACTTCATTTAGCTTCAGTGTCTCCTCGCAAAATTTGGGGGCGTCAGGAGACTTTCTTATGTATCTCTCGATATCGGGGATGCCCCATTCCAGCATTGCCTTAAGGTACTGCGGTTCTCGGATCTCCCTTACTTTGGTTAATAGACCACTGTTTTCCTCGCAGAACATGCTTTTGTTATATCGGGTGTCGTAGGGGCCATTAACTTCGCGGTAAACCGCCGATGCAGCATGGAATTCGGCCAGTTTTCGAAGAACGCATCGCATGTGCACAAAATCGAGACCTTCCAACCGATCAACGTTGCGGAAATTATTCGTTTTTAGGTCCTCGAAAACCATTGTAATCCTTTCGGGGGTTTCTTCGGTGTGGACGCACTTAGGGGCCAATTCAACGTCGATTCCTGCCTCCTTGTAGAGCTTCACGAATTGCGGTATGTGATGCTGGTACATCTCCTTCTCCTTAGGAAACATTCCAATTTGTTCCACCATGGCACCACCTTTGTTGACGTCGAGTCCGGTCTTCAGGATGTAAGATACTTGCTCCTCCGAACCATCTTTGGACAGGTACACAATCACAACCCGGACCATAATAGAGGTATAATTCTCTCCAGGAGCCGTCGCGGCAATCGGCGAGAAACTAATAATTTTTTCAAACTTATCCACATCTTTTTCGAGGATCGGCACAAAGTACTCCTCGTTTATCCACTTCGGTATGAGCAGAAACTCATTGGGATTTACTGGCTTAGACGACATGTTTCTTGTTTTTAATTAAAAAGTAAAATTTCACTCCGTTAGAATAGTGGTATCTGTTTGTGGGTAGCGCGGACCGTTGACTAAAGTTATAGCAAAGTTTGGCCGAAATAAATATGCTTGAAAGTGGTCGATATTCCAGTAATGATTACATGCAGAAAGATAATTTTTTAGGTCGTAGCTGCATAACTAATCATTTTATTTAATGAGGTTTGGGGAATATTGGCGATAAGGAGGACATGCTTATATGGTTTAAGTTAGTATGATTATCTTGCACTTTCCAATAATTACAAGATTAATCTGTATAGCTTTGTGTGGCTACTAAATATGCTTTTAATAATAATGGTAATAACTATTAATTAAAATTCCAGAGCAACCTTCATGTGCAATATTCGACATCTCCGATATCTACGAACATTAATAGACGCAATGTTGACATATGCGGATAATAGAAACCAACTGTTGCCCAACAAATTAATTAAAATTCCAAACAGTTATCCGCCGTTGTGTAGAGACACATGTGTGTATAAATATTCCTCTCTGCTAAACTGAGCAATGCCAATTGAAAACGCTTCATCATCCGACATCGGAAAATATTGGAGGGGCATGTCCAAGTTCGAGGCGTGTGCCAGTCTTGAGGTTCGTCGTAGCTGTGGTCTGATAATATAACTTATCACATGGGAACTCTGAATGTTGGATCTAGTTTTGCGTTTCGTCAGTGATTAGGCCCAAATTCATTCAAACGTAATATTCGGCCAAGCTAACGAAATTAGGAACAATTAGGACGACGACAATGATGGTTTTTCAGGTGGCAACCACCATAAATGATTAGATTAGAATATTATTGGCTAGATTGGGGTCTAAGTGCTTCAAAACGTTGACCCGCAACAGAATGGTTTGCAAAAAATAAATGAAGCATTAGGGTGATTCTTTAAAACAAAGGTACTATAAAAATTACTCATGCGACTCCATAAAATGTGACTATTTTTATTAAATCAGTTTCACGTTGACAAAATATTTGGGATACTTATATACATATTTTTCCAAAATATAGTAGGAGGTATATACTTTATCACTTCTTCGTACTTAATCCAACAGTGACCGCTCCTCCATCCAAGGCAGGATCTCCTTAACCGCCTGAATATACTTGCGATTGGTGTACATGGAGCACTTCATCTTGGAGGCATAGTCGTCATTAACATCGTCCTCAAATTGGTTCATTAACGAGATGGGCATTACCCGTGATACAACAACATAGGCTAAATGGGTTATGACATTATTTTTTTTTTAATTAACCTTCACTTTTACCCACCGGCCAGACCGTTCTTGCTAAGACCTTCCTGAATCTCCTGGAGCTTTGGTAATGGACTCTGGTAGTTTAGTATCTTGAGGCTATCTAGTAAGTAATAGAAATAATATTGGACCATGGTGTCGAACTTGGCCAATCGAATATCCCGTTCGGCGGAGGAGAGAATAGTGTAGTACAGATCATTGGCCTGAAAAGGATACGAATTAGGAAGGAGAATGTAGACAATTATGACATTTGTGTTAAATCTCACTGGTGACCCGTATTTGACCATTTGGTAATCCAGCAGCACGGTGTCCTCGATATTCCCCATATCGTCGAACCGGAACATGGCATTGTTCACCCAGCAGTCGCCGTGGTTGAGCACATTGAATTGCATGGAGTTGGGAGTGTGTAGCTTCAGTACTTCTTCCACGAGGTCCTGCTCCTTTTCCGCCAGTCGCTTGTGGAACCTCTCGCCTATTCGAAGCCTGCGCAGCTGCGTCAGAAAGGCGTTCGGGTCGGACAACTCCCTCAGGATGGGTCCGTTGGCCTTCGTGTAGACTCCTTGTGTCAGTAGATGGCCGAACATGCCGTGCTTCTCCACGTAGACCACCGATGCGGCATGGAACTGGGCCAGCTTCTTGAGGACCTGCTTCAGGCACTTCAGGTTGAAGCCATCGGATCGCACTGCGTTCTTGTAGCCGTCGGCTTTTAGATCCTCCAAGAGAATGTAGTGCACCCCGATCGGGTGGTCCATTTTGAAGGCCCTGGGGCCGAAGCGTATTTTCTTTCCCGCATTTTTGTAAAGCTCTTCGAATTTGGGCAGAACTGTGTGATACATATGGTGCTCTCGCAGGAACAGCTTCAACTGGCTCATTATTTTGGCTTGGAAGTTTCTGCCGTGCTGGGCTTTCAAAATAAAGGACAGCTTCTTCACTGAGAAGTCCTTTAGCTCGACCTTGACACGGATCGGCAGTAGGACCGTGCAGTTACGAAATTGGATGAGGTGGACACTTGGCAGAACGGCCAGGATGCGCTCCCCGCTCTCGAGCATGGACTGGACGGCCTGGTCCACGGAGAGGGAGGTCACCCAGTCGGGGGTACGCGGTACTTTCATGGCCACAACCGACAAATTAAAATCACTATGACAATTTTGGATCAATGAATTTTGGGAGAACAATAAAATAAAAGTGACGCAAGCTTCTGAAAATTTGAGTTCAGTAGATAAAATCTCTATTTTTCTGGTCTCTATTAATAGATTGTGAAGTTAAATAATTACTTGTATAAAATTAAACTAATACTTTTTTTTAATACTTCATGAATTAGCCACCCAAGACAAATATTTATTTAACATTTGTTCATCAACAAAGTGCGGAATATGGCATTAAAATTGCCTAATTAGGGTAAAAGTCCGACACAGCTCACACAATTTCGGGGCGTAATTATTTCCAGTCGAGCAGGCCGCGATTGTCCAACCATGGCAGCACCTCGGTCATCACCTGAACGTACTTTGGGTTGGTGAACATGGCGTTTTTCATCTTGGACTCGTCGTTGATGTAGCTCTCTAAGTTGGCATTGTTCGTCTTATCCAGCATAACGACTGGAAGCACCTTCGAGACGACCATATAAGCTGTTGATAATTTAGAATTATAAATCGGGATAATTTTAAGCCACGAAAGTGATCTCACCTGCCAATCCATTTCGGAACAAGGCAGCGTGCAAGTTCTTCAACTTGGGGAGGGGACGGTGATACTGCAGCAACTTCAGATTCTCCACCAGGTTGTCGAAGTAGTAACGCACCAGGTAATCAAACTTGGCGGTTTTCAGCTCCGGAGCTGCCGAGGACAGAATCAAATAATACAGATCGTTGGCCTATAAAATAGAATTTTTGATTTACTTGGCTGTTAAAAATTCGAATACCCTTCTACCCACCGGACTACCATATTTTCCCACTTGGAAGTCCACAAAGAGGACCTCCTTGATGGTGCCAAAGGCATCGTGCTGGAACATGATGTTGTTGGCCCAGCAATCGCCGTGGTTGAGCACATTGAACTCCCTGGCGTTGTATTGCTGATCTTGGAGAAGGCGATCCACTAAGTAGTCGTCACTGTCAGCCTAGGAATACATTTTAGATTAATTTACGAGAAAGTCACTTGCCGCTTGGTTAATTACCAGTTTCTCATAAATCTTCTGAGCATTCTTCCACTTCTTCAGCTGAGCTAGAAAGGCTCCGGAGGCGTTAAACTCCTGCAGGAGCTGCCGGTTGGCCTCACTGAAAACTCCGACGGTGAACTCTTCCCCGAACAGACCGTGATGTTCCACGTAACAGGCGGATGCCGCATGGAAGGCCGCTAGCTTCTCCAGGACCTTATGCATGTGGTCGAGGTCCAGGCCGGTCAGGCGATTCTCGTTTTTGAAGTTTTTCCGGTGAAGGTCCTCTAGCAGAATGTAGTCCACTCCCAAATCACGATCGACTTTGAAAGCCCGCGGGGCGAATTGAGTAGTTTTTCCGGCATCGGCATAGAGCTGTTCAAACTTTGGCAGGATACTGTGGTACATCTGGTCCTCCTTGTGAAAGAGTTGTAGTCTAGCCAGGATGGCGGCCATTACTTCGTTGTTGTGCTGGGCCTTTAGGACGAAGGTGAGGCTCTTGATGCTGTGGTCTGTGCGAAAATTTTGTTGAATCAAGTGTCATCCAGGATTAAAAGTAATAAGAAACCTTACCAAGCAGCTCAACTTCCACTAAAAGGCGCAGAAAAAGTGAGGAGTAGTTCTCGCCCTCACTGCTACCCTTTTGCGGAGTAACCGAAAGGATCTTCTCAAAGTCCCCGATCTGAGCCTGGACCGCCTTTTCCAGGGTTATGTTGGGCAGCCAGGCGGGCAGGTTGTTGGCGGGAACCCCATCGTGTCCATTTGTGGCTTCAGACATGGTAGATCTGGCAGTAATTCAAAAATTGCGTTCACTCTTTAAATAACTCGGCAAATGGGTCGTATACCTAATGTTTGCAATCGTCAAACATAGGTGGCGCCTCTGAAGGTGCGCCGCAGGTCTTAAGAAAGTAAGCTTGCAGTCGAAGGTTGCTTCACCCCACCCATATATCTTCTACAGAAACTTTGACAAAAGCCTTCCAAGAATTGCATCATTAGACCAAAATAACTTTAATTGCACTATCAAGTGTCTGGAGATTAATTCTTCAGTAAAAGTCCTCCAACTTTGAAGTACTTTTATAAGCAAACGAATGGAAGCAATAGAATTATAAATCAATTAAAATGTATGAAATTAAACTGATAAATTTCGAATTATATTTTATATTAATAGAGATACATGCAATATAGATGTCTTTATAGTTTAGAGATACAAATTATGGGATTGCAGAACTTAAGTGATTCATAGACATTATAGATACTGGGCTCGAGTAATTATTAATTTTTATTTACAAAAGGTAACCATCGCCACTATGTAGTTAGTAAAATAATACTAATTATAATGAGTGGCTTACTTGGAACAATTACCGAACTTTCATTGATTGTGACAATTATCAGGGCGATCGACACTTAATGGGGAACCACCATAAATCCGGTCACATGTCAGTCAATAAAACGCGACTTCTTTTCGATTTGGGATTTTTGTATTACGGAATCGAGATTAAATTAAGATTCTGATTAGCCACTGATTAGAAACCGTCTTTGATTTTGGAAATTCCAAATTTCACCACACCTTTTATTTGTTGAAGGACGTTAAGGACTCGAATGATTTCCACATTACAAAGTAGTGTCATTACTAAAATTAACTGCCATTTGATGGGGCCTTTTATAGTGTCCCGTGGCGCTACCTAAGATACCCCGATTTGGTGATTCACCGAACCCTTGGCCAACCTTTTTCCTTAATTGGAAGTGGAGCGGTATCCGGCTGATGGATCGACTGCAGTGGTCCGGACGACTGACGAGCGGGAAATACGGTACCGCCGTTCTGGGTACCGTCGCCCATGCCCCGATTTGGCTATAAGCAAAGAAAAATGGCCTTATCTCGTGCATTCGATTGAAGTTTATTTTGTAATTCAGTTCGGTTTGCCAAAGCCGGCAAAAATAGTGGCAATTGGCGGTGGAGCGAGCGAGAGCGGAGCAGTGGGCCAGAACGAGAGGTGTATATCAATATAGTGATAGCAGAAAACGCCGTCTATTGTTTGATTGATAACGAACAACTGTTTCATGTTTTTTGCTTCCACTTCTGATTCCCGTTCTTTATCGGTGCACGTATTCCGTTTTGGGCTCGCCATTCGCCCTAATTATAATGTGATTCCTCGTAATTACTGTTTGCTTAGGACATGTGATAGGAGGCGGTGGAGGAGATAGAGATCCGTGGGGTGGGGTTTTTTGTGTCCCACTCAACAAACCATAATTGGTAATCCCACAGACAAGAAACATAAGTAGAAGGCTTTTCAAGTCCAATTTAAAAGCAAAACTTAACAGGTATTGGTAGTTCAACCCAATTATAACTAAATAAACAATACTCGATACTCTAGATTGAACATTTAATTTTCTTCTTTTTATCTTCACGTGATATTCCTATCTCAACCTCGTCATAGGCTCAACCTTGCCGTATTCAAATGGGAAGGTCTGGAGACATTCCCTGGAGACAAAAAAACTGGATAAAAACTAAAAATATCCAAGTAGTAATAGTAGTGGTGGGTTTTATTTGAAATATTTTGAGGTTTTGTTAGTTTATTTGAAAATTGTGATTTATTTGGAGTGGTATTTACTGCAAAGCACCACGATTGTTTAGCCAGGTTAGGATAGCGCTAACATGCTTCTTGTAACGCGCATTGGAATACATGGCCATTTTGAGACCATCGCCATTTTCCGATTCCGTCACAAAGTCCTTGACATTAGCTTCGTCGGTGCGATCCAACAAAACCGGGGGGCAGAGCATCAAAACAGTGTGATAGCCTTATAAGAAAGTAAATAACATTATCAGGCTTGAGCTTTTCGAAGAGCCATAAAGAGCTTTCACCTACCAACACATCCGTATTTCAGCAGCTGGGAGTGCAGGAACCTCAGAGAGGGCGTCTTCTCCGCCGGGTACTTCAACAGCTCCAGGTGCTCGATCAGCTGATCGTGGTAGTACTTGATAAAGTAATCGAACTTACTCAGCTGAATTTCGAATTTCGTCGAACCAAGCAAGAAATACATCAGATCGTGGGCTACACTGGCCAACTTTGGTAACTGAAGATCCACCAGGAAGGTCTCTACAGGTGCCGGAGACTCTTCCTCGTAGCGGAACATGATGTTGTTGGTCCAACAGTCGCCGTGGTTGAGAGCAACAAAGTCGTCTGGATCAGGGGTGTTCATGGAGTACATGAGGTCCACAATTTTGGGCTGAATTTTGTGCTGGAAAAAGAGCATATGGCTATTTTTCGAATCCCGAATATACTACATACATGTATCCTATAAAACACTTACCACAGCTTCACTAAACTCTTCGTAGCCTTCATAAAGAGGTAAGCACTTTAGGAGGTACTTTCCCAAAGTTTCCGCCACCTGTTCGATAGACTCCTTCATGCTATCAGCATAGGTGGGCTGCAAGTATTTCTGGGTGTAGGGTCCCTTGACATGCAGCCTATTGGCGGACGCAGCATGAAACTGGGCCAGTTTCTTAAGCACACACTTGGTGTGGGCCATGTCTAGGCCTTCCAAACGATCGACATTCTTAAAGCCTAATGGCTTCAGGTCCTGCAACAGGACGTACTCATCGGGGGCTGCGATTTCGTAGGCTCTGGCGCCGAACTTGATGTCCAGGCCGGCATCCTTGTACATCTTCTCCAGCTCTGGGATTACCTGAAGAAAAACATCGCGCTCCACGACAAACATGTTGTTCTTCTTCAGGATCTCCCGATACATCTCAAAGTCGTGGGGCGTTTTCAACATGAAGCTTACATTTTCGGTGGAGTGATCTGGCAGAAATAATTATTTGATCGCTTCTGCTGGCATTTGGCGGCGATGACTCACCCTTCAGTTCCACTTCGAAGTGTAGGCGGAGCATTATGGTGGAGTAGTTTTCGCCGGGCTGGAGTCCAGCGACCGGCTTGAAGCTCCTGATGGCCAAATATTCATCCCCGAACCGCTCACTTAGCAGTTTCTCGAAGAGATCGGCTTTCAACCAGGAAGGCAGTGGAACGGTTCCGGACTCCTCAGACATTTTTAGTAAATAAATACAAAATTGCCGGTTGGTGCCTTTATAAGTCGCAAGATTTGCCTTCCATTCAAAAGCTTTGTTCTCTTTAAGAGAAAACACCGGTGTTTGGCGTCTAAAGAGAGCGCTGCCAAAGCTTTATATAGACGGATTTTTACATGTGTTCTGACCAAATAAACTCATGGAGGCACGGCGTATATAAATAAGTACATAACCATATTTGACAAAGTCATGCCATTTGTATAGAATAACAAAGCAAAAGCAATTACGAACACCGATTTTGGCGGAAAAGTAAATAACACAAAGTTCCCATGGAAGATATATGTATGTATCTATATTAGATCATAGATACAAAAGTGAGAAGTCTTTTGAAGAAGACATCCCTTCATCAGGATCTCTGGATTAGGTCTTTTTTTCCCGAATTATTTTCAGTAGGAAACACATTTTTTTTATGTATGAGCTTTGTTAAAAAAGGTCTATTAAATGAAAAACTTGCATTTCAAATGAAATTTTATTGTTGACCACTGCAATGTTACATGATTAGCTAAAAAACAATCACACATCTTATCTCACACCCATTCCAATTCTATCAAGAAAGTTTTAAGTATTGTGTTGAATAGATCCTAGTCTCTTAAGTATCTTTCAGAATGTAGGTTCCAATGCCCCTCTATGCAACAGCCAAGGCAAGAGGACTGTCATATGCTTATGAAAACGAGGATTAAGAAACAAAGATTTCTTAAAGGATGAGTCCTTATCACCCAATACCTTTTCGAAATCATTCCCATCAGAGGGATCGAGCAGAACATATGGCATTATAGTTGAGGCACAGACATAAGCTGTAATAATAACGTAAATTGGTATTAATATACAATATAATTCAAGGATACTTACCCCAGCCATTATATTTGCTTAGTTCATCCCGAATGCTTCTCAAGGTGGGCAAGGGCTTTGAGTACTTCAGGAGTTTTAGGTGCTTGACTAACTCCGAATGGTAGAACCAAATAAAATAGTCAAACTTCGCCGTTTTAATATCCAACTGAGTCGAGGACAACAGGAAGTAGTAAAGGTCCTGAGTCACTGAGCCCCATTTGGGAAGTTGAAGGTCCACAAAGTAGGTGTCAGATATTCTCTTTGATTCGTTGTACTGAAACATTATATTGTTGGCCCATCCATCGCCATGGTTCAGGGCGTTGAAATCATCGGGCTTGACATCGTTTAAATCGCTTACGATATCCAATAATTTATCTGATATAATCCGCTGCGTTGAAGAATTCATTAGACTCATTCAGACTAATTCAGATCTTTAGTACTCACCAAATCTTTTACGTACGGCTCGTGTCCTTTTACCAAATGAACGTGATCCAAAAATATTTTCACACTGCGGTTGCAGAACGCTTCTACGATGTCTTCGTTGCTCAGGAAACCCTTGGTGTATTTTTCAGGGTAGGGTCCTTTCCGTTCCACCCTGACGGCAGAGGCCGCATGCCACTGGGCGAATTTATGAAGGGCATTTTCGGTGTGGGCCTGGTCTAGACCCTGGAGGCGGTCCGCATTCTGAAAGCCTCGTGGCTTAAGGTCCTCCAGCAGGACGTAGTAATCGCCGGCTGGGATTTCGTAGGCTTTTGCCCCGAAGTTGACCTCGACACCCACATCCCGGTACAGCTGTTCCAGCTCGGGAACAACCTCCAGATACATGCCGCGCTCCACATCAAACATGTCTGTTTTCTCAATTACCTTACGATAAGCCTCCGAAGCATGTGGTAGTTTCAACATAAAGCCCTTGGTTACCTGTGAGTTATCTGGACGAAAAAATAAAATAAGTAGATCTCCAATACTTCAAAAGAACTTACCTTTGGTTTCAATATCCAGCTCCACTCTTAGCATAATGGTGGCATAGTTTTCGCCGCTGGGAACTCCAGCTCTGGCCCGCAAGGACTTGATCTGTTTGAAATCCTTTACCTCATGTTTGATTAGATCTTCGAAAACTTCTGGCTTTAGCCACTCTGGAATGTGGACTTCCTTTTGATTGTCCTCTGTGCCCATTGTAGTACTATCTGGTTGACTTCAGCACTTGAACTGGAAAATGCGTCTGAGAAAAGTGTCTCTTAAATACATCAAGGTGTGGGAAATCCCAATTGTGATGAGAATGATAATCCTTATCTGACTTAACAGACGACCAGATTGTTTTGTATTCATTGGGGGCTAATGAGACGGCACTTTGTCCCAACTTTGAGCGGCTGCAGTTTTTTAAATTTAAATTTTAAGCATGACCTAGCGAATAGTTTCGTTTAACTAACGTTACTCGTATCTTAATAGTTTTATTGGCTTCAAATAGCTTTATAAGATGGATTTGGCGTCACGCGAGATGGATTTGTACAATAATAATGTAATCTTGGCAAAATCCCATATGGTATATGGAGTTATATGTAAATAAACCGGACATTTTATTCGCCATACATATATTTATTCAAAAATTTATAATCTAAATCTTTAAAAAAGCAAATATTTCATTCAAGAGCTCCCCGGTGTTTCAACCATGGTAGAAGAGCTTCCATATGCTTCTTGTACCTGGGGTTGGTGAAGATTGACTTCTTGAAGTTGGCATCCTCTGCCATTACATTTTCGAAACTAGCGTCATCTGTGGGGTCCAGCAGTACAAACCCCAATATGCTGGCAGAACATATAAAGGCTGAAAGATCGAGCTAATTGAAGTTCCGTGTTTAAAATATTCGAAAGGGATACTCACCCCAACCACTATATTTGTTAAGAGCCTCGTGAATACTCCTCAAAGTTGGCAATGGCTTTGAATAGTTTAAGAGGGTCAAGTGTTTTACCAATTCCGAGTGATAGAACCAAATGAAATAGTCGAACTTTGAGAGTTTAACATCTAGGCTCGTTGAGGAAATCAAGAAGTAGTACAGATCCTGGGCCACTGTTCCCCATTTGGGGACTTGGAGGTCCACGAAATATGTGTTGGCGAGTTCGTTCTTCCCATTATACTGGAACATTATATTATTTGACCAACCATCGCCGTGGTTAAGGGCGTTAAATTCGTCCGGCTTTGGATCATTTAAGTTATCCATAATTTCGATTACTTTATCCGACACCTTTTTCTGCAAAAAACATAAGATAAGACTTCAAATCAAAATCATTGAGAACCGATTCCTTACCAAATCTTTTATATAAGCTTCATGGCCTTCATAGTTATGAACGTGCTGTAGCAATGTCTTGACGCTGCCGTTGAGGAAAACATCTGTAAAATGCTTGTTTTTGAAGAATCCCGCCGTGTATTTCTCATTATAGGGTCCTTTGGTATCTACCCGAACTGCAGAGGCAGCGTGCCACTGGGCCAGTTTTCGCAGAACACTCTCGGTGTGTGACTGGTCTAAGCCCTTGAGGCGATCTGCGTTTCGGAAGCCTCGCGGCCTAAGGTCCTCCAGCAGGACATAGTAGTCGCTCGCGGGTATCTCATAAGCCTCTGCCCCGAACTTGACCTCCACTCCCACATTACGATACATTTGCTCCATTTCGGGAACCACTTCCAAGTACATTCCTCGCTCTATTTCGAAAATGTCCCTTTCTTCCAGAATCTGTCTATACGCTTCCGATTGGTGCGGCGCTTTTAACATGAAGGCTCTAGTCTGGACTGAATTATCTGAAAGCAAAAGTTGTGAATTTGGTTTCAAAGATCATATTTAACTTCACCTTTAGTTTCCACATCTAGTTCCACTCGCAGCATTACAGTGGCATAGTTCTCCCCAGCGGAGAGCGCTGCCTTAGCCCTCAGGGCTTTAGTCTTTTTGAAATTGGGCACCTGTTTTTTGAGTAAATCCTCAAAGACCTCTGGTTTTACCCAGTCAGGAACTAAAGGATCCCTTCCTACATCCCCATCACTTTTCTTTTCTGGTGGCATCCTGATAAAATTCGGTTACCCAATGCACAATTACTGAAAACTCGTAAAAGTTTGTTTCGCTTAAATACCCCCGGGAGAAGCGAATTTTACTGAGTGATAAGCCTTATCACAAGGTAAACAGACACTTGATCGCATAACAATTGTTGTTTCGAATGACATAACAACTCAATGCACTTTTTGGTTGGCAAAATCTAGTATTACTTTTTCGTAATACATCAAAAGCCCAGCCAATAGAGTAAATAACTAAAATAGGGAGCCACTTTTTTACTTATTTTATTTTAATTAAATAAAATTTATGACAAGGCCCCACGATGTTGCAGCCATGGCAAAATGACTTCCATGTGCCTTTTGTATCTGGGGTTGGTGAATATGGAATGTTTGAAGTTGGAGTCTTCGTGGGCAATTATTTTGTCAAAGTCAGCCTCGTCAGTTGGATCCAGCAAAACATATCCCATAACGCAGGAGCAGCAGATAAATGCTGAAATACAGAGTCGTTTTTAAAAATTAATCCCCAATAGAAAGACAATTCAACTTACCCCAGCCACTGTATCTATTTAAGGCATCACGGATACTTCTCAGACTTGGCAAAGGCTTCGAATACTTCAGTAGTTTCAAGTTCTTAACCAACTCCGTGTGATAGAACCAAATGAAATAGTCAAACTTAGACGTCTTGATGTCCAATTGAGTGGAGGAGAGCAGGAAGTAGTACAAGTCCTGCGCCACAGTTCCGTATTTGGGAATTTGAAGATCCACGAAGTACGTGTTGAGTATCTCGTTTTTGTCACTATACTGAAACATTATGTTATTCGACCAACCATCGCCATGATTGAGGGCATTAAACTCCTCCGCCTTGGGGGTGTTCAGATCATCAACCACATCATATAACTTTTTTGATATACTGGTCTGCAGCAGATGGTACACAGATAAGATTACGACTTATATCTCCTCATGGAGCCCACCAAATCTACTTACCAAATCCTCTATATAGGCCTTATGGCCTTCGTACTTATCGACGTGCTGGAGCAGAGTTTTGGCACTACTGTTGCAAAGAGCATCCACGATTTCCTTCGTTTTAAAGAATCCAGCTGTGTATTTGGGTTCGTAAGGGCCTTTGGTATCCACCCGGACCGCAGAGGCGGCATGCCACTGGGCGAATTTTCGCAGGACATTCTCCGTATGAGTTTGGTCCAGACCTTGAAGACGATCCGCATTTCGGAAGCCCCGTGGCCTGAGGTCCTCCAGCAAGACATAATAGTCCCCAGCAGGTATTTCGTAGGCCTTTGCTCCAAACTTGATCTCGACTCCTACATCGCGGTACAGCTGTTCCAGTTCTGGCACCACCTCCAGATACATTCCGCGCTCCACATCAAATATATCGCTTTTTTCTATCATTTTGCGATAGATTTCCGATTGGTGGGGAGTCTTCAGCATAAAGGCTTTAGTTTGCAGAGCTTTATCTAGATTCAAATGTCCATATAATAACAAAAATCCACTGTGTCTCTGTTTAGAAACCAACCTTTTGTTTCCACATCCAGCTCAACCCTCAGCATTACGGTGGCATAGTTCTCTCCAGCTGACACTCCAGCTTTTGCCCTTATAGATTTGGTCTGCTTAAAATCCTTAACCTCCCTTTTCAGCAGGTCTTCAAATACTTCCGGCTTCACCCAGTCTGGAATCAGGACATCCCTCTCATTGACCTCTTCGTCCTTTGTTTGTGGCGGCATTTTGTTGGACTCTACCACTAACCATACAGCATATAGACAACCCATTTCATACAACGAAAATGGACGCGAAAATTTCTTGCGACAGGCCCCAGCAGGCCCCAGAGCGGATTTCTTACGCTCTCTTACGCTCATCGTTCGTTCATCTTACGCTCATTCTCGCAATAAATGTTTTCTGTTTCTCAGTCTCTAAACGGAGCGCGATGAAGAAGGTTGGCCTGCGCTTCGGTTGATCTTTGTATGTATGCGTGTCACACATTCACATACATGGGTGTATGTGTGCGTGCGATTTCGTTTCGAAGCCAGCGCACAAAATTTTGATTTTTCTTACTTTTAAGGCTTGCTACCCTAACAAAATTCGGGTATTCGTTATTTGATGAAATGACGAAAGAAATTATATTATTTTTTATATTATATTTTTTTATTATTTCAGCATACATTTTTAATTTATTTAGGAATAAGATTAAGTGTTAGTAGTAAAATGTTTTCTGTATATATATTTTTACGAATCATTAAAAATCAATATACTGAGAAAGTGTCAGAGTATATTTCGGTCGGAGTCACTTAAAGCGCCGTTTGCTTTTAAGTTTTTGTTGTTCTGCAAGAGGCTTGTGCATGCCTACTCTAACGATGGAATGATTTTTAGGGGAGGGTGAAGACGGGTGAAGAATTAAATTACTTTTTAAAGTTATTATATATAAGGAAATATATATAAGGAAATTATTAAATTAACGACAATAATTTAATTAAATCTCACAATAACCCAAAATAATAACAAGTGCCTGAAAAATTGTAAACAAAAAAGGTAAACAAGTCCATCAGCTGTTTTCGTGTCTTCACCCTCCCCTAAAAATCATTCCATCGTTAGAGTAGGCATGCACAAGCCTCTTGCAGAACAACAAAAACTTAAAAGCAAACGGCGCTTTAAGTGACTCCGACCGAAATATACTCTGACACTTTCTCAGTATATTGATTTTTAATGATTCGTAAAAATATATATACAGAAAACATTTTACTACTAACACTTAATCTTATTCCTAAATAAATTAAAAATGTATGCTGAAATAATAAAAAATATAATATAAAAAATAATATAATTTCTTTCGTCATTTCATCAAATAACGAATACCCGAATTTTGTTAGGGTAGCAAGCCTTAAAAGTAAGAAAAATCAAAATTTTGTGCGCTGGCTTCGAAACGAAATCGCACGCACACATACACCCATGTATGTGAATGTGTGACACGCATACATACAAAGATCAACCGAAGCGCAGGCCAACCTTCTTCATCGCGCTCCGTTTAGAGACTGAGAAACAGAAAACATTTATTGCGAGAATGAGCGTAAGATGAACGAACGATGAGCGTAAGAGAGCGTAAGAAATCCGCTCTGGGGCCTGCTGGGGCCTGTAGCAAGAAATTTTCGCGTCCATTTTCGTTGTATGAAATGGGTTGTCTATATGCTGTATGGTTAGTGACTCTACGTAGGTTTAGCACACGAACTGGAAGAACCAAGTCCGATACTCACCTCTTAAATACCCCGCCAGAGACTAATTTAAATTCAGATGATAAACCTGATAAGCTATCAGTTACCCAACAGACTACTATCTGTTTGTTTAAGATCAGTTTGTTTGGGTTCGTTTGTGCAAAAGTGACACAGCAATTATTTTGCATTTGATGTTTGGACCTTTCATTAAACATGGAATTAGTTTGTTTATGTATTTTCGGACAGATAAGACAGAATATGGTTGGCGATCCTTTACATTTTAATTGAAAAAATGATTAAAAATCAGCCTATCAATTTTTGACTTGGATTTTGGATAAAAGCCACTGCTTGTTGGAGAAACTTGGAGGAACTACACTTAAGTAATACCTTTAAATATAATATATTTAATAAAACCCGCCTCATTTCATTAAACGAGCTTTTAAATATCTCGCATCTTGTTATATTTTTTAAATCCCCTTTCAAGATATAGAAAGTTGGTTTGGCCAATTGAAAGCTCTTCGCTAGAAGCTTTTGTCTAGTTGTCTAGTTGTGAACTGCTTTTTGTTTTGATAAACATGTTTGGTATAAGCATTTAATCACTAACGACCGTATATGGCGATTGTTTGTTATGATCGCTGTTGGCCGTTCTACTATCAGCTTTTTAGACTCTGTGAGTCATACCAGGGATCTCTTAAATAAATGCGAATCATAGTGATGTATGCCATATGATTGAACTCCTTTATCGTTCGACACTTAACGTTTATTAATACCTTTAAAAATAATCGCATACAAAAAAGATAGCCTTATCAATTGGAGGTCACACTAAATTCTTACTCAATGGGTTGTTTTGTGGGGTAATTATTGGGAATTTTCTATTCCAAGGCGCCACGATTGAGCAACCATGGAAGGATCTGCTGAATATGTTTCCTGTAGCGGGCATTGTTGTACATTTGCATCTGGAAATCGACTCCATCGGCAGTGTCTCCCAGGAAGTTTTCAAAACTGGCTTTGTCGGTAGGATCCAAAAGAACGGCTCCCATAACGCCAGTAGCAACGGAGTAGCCTAAAAAGTTGCGTAAAAAAGGTTTCGTAAGCTACAAACTTTCCAAATAATCAGAAACTTACCGAAGAATCCATATTTAAACAACGACAGGTGTATATCACGAAGGGTGGGAATTGGCTTTGAATATTTTAGAAGTTTCAGGTGCTCCACAAGGTAATCGTGATATACTTTAATGTAGTAATCAAACTTGCTCAGCTTGTCCTCCAACTTGGTAGAGGAAATCAAAAAGTAGAGCAGATCCTGCGCTACTGTTCCGTATTTGGGAATCTGGTAGTCCACCAGGTAAACCTCTTTAATCTTGCCAAAAGCATCGTACTGGAACATAATGTTATTCGACCAGGAATCGCCATGGTTAAGCACATTAAACTCCGTGGAGTCTACCTTGGAAAATTCCATTAATTTGTCAACGAAAATAGGTTGAAGCGCTTTCTAAAATACAATTTTCAGTCTCATACCATGTTCTTCAAAATTCGTTTCAATATTTAAAAGTACTTACCACCTTTTCTAAGTAGGCCTCATTTCCCTCGTAGGTGGCACACGATCGCACAAACCTTCCGCCCATGCCCTTCATCATTTCCTCCATCATGGGGCGGCTTTCCTCCTTAAAAAAGCCCTCTAATAGAATTTTGGGGTAGAGACCTCGGGTGGCCACGCGGACGGCAGATGCGGCATGCCACTGGGCCAACTTATGGAGGACCCTTTCGGTATGAGCTTGGTCGAGTCCCTCGAGGCGGTTGGCATTCTTGAATCCCTTAATACCCAGATCTTCCAAGGCGATGTAGTCACTCTGGGCATTCTTGAGATCATAGCTCTTCGCACCAAATACTATTTCCACTCCCGCATCCCAGTACATGGATTCCATTTCGGGAACCACTTCACTGTACATGGTCCTTTCAATTTCGAAGATGTTGGTGCGCTTCATCATCTCTTTGAAAGCCTCCAGCTGATGGGGAAGCTTGACCATATATGACACCTGTTTTGTTTTGCCGTCTGGGGGTGGGAGATTCAGAATCACAAAGCTCCTCCCACTGGGTAGCTAACTCACCCTTCAGCTCCACTTCAATGTGCACCCTCAACATGATCGTGGCGTAGTTTTCCCCCGCAGCCGATCCCCTGTCCGCCTTGAAGTTCCGGACTTTGGAGTATCCCTCGACGTTTGCCTTCAGCACATCTTCGAACAATTCCGCTGTGATCCAGTCTGGTATGTTATTCGCCGCCATTCTATTAGATAGTTCGACTTTTTATTTATCACGTATTCGCCCGGGTGCTCTCTGTAGTAAAATGAACAAGGGTGGAGAATGCACCCCCTTTTATAGCCGGAGAAGCTTTCGATTCGTGTTCGATTCCGAAGCGTTCTCCCGATCTTCTCACGAGCTTCATTTTCTCTTCAACAAAGCTTTCGGAGAACATTTATTTAGGAAGTGTTTTGTTCATATATGGAATTGCGGGAAGCTCTCTTTTACGCCGCAGTGACCCTTAAAATTGAAGTGGTCTTTAAACACTATTTTAACCATATATGGAATGGCAAAGACCATACACCTGTTTTTGCACTATGTTATGTTTTTATTTGATATTGGTTGCCAAACTATCTAAAGCTTTATCGCTATCTAAAACTATCTAAAGTCACTACAATATATCCGCCCAATAAAATTTCACGCTTGCTCTCATTGGAAAAACTTTTGTTTAATGAAATGCATTTTAAAGTCTCTGTTGCTGATGTAATAGTTCGATAATAAGTCGCAGAGAAAATCTTAGTCCATATCCAAGGCGCCTCGATTTAGCAGCCATGGCAGGACCACCTCGATGTGCTTCCGATAGCGGGGATTTTTAAACATCTGCGAGTGGAGGTCGACACCGTCGGTGCCACTTCCCACAAAGTTCTCCAAGCTGGCATCTTCCGTAGGATCCATTAGTACAGCGGCCATGCCTCCTTTAGCCACGGCAAAGCCTAAAAAATAGTCCAGAAGTTCGATAACCCATTCATCTTACGATTCGAAAGAGAATCCTACCAGAAGCACCATTCCTGATAAGCGATTTATGAATATCCCGCAAAGTTGGAGGAGCCTTAGAATACTGAAGGACCTTCAGGTGCTCTACAAGATTGTCGTGGTATACTTTGACGTAGTAATCAAACTTGCTCAGCTTATCCTCCAGCTTGGTGGATGAGATCAAAAAGTTGGTCAGGTCCTGGGCAACAGTTCCGTAGTTGGGAAATTGAAAGTCGATTAAATAAACCTCCTCGATCTCACCGTGATCATCGTATTGGAACATAACGTTATTGCACCAAAAGTCACCATGGTTCAGGACGTTGAACTCCGTTGTCTTAACTTTTGAAAACAAATCAAATACCCTGTCCACCAATTCTGGCTGCAGTGCTTTCTGAAAAGAATGAATAATAAATTTTAATATATTTCGTTTTCGGAAACCTTTTGTAATAGTTACGAACCACTTTCTCTATGTAGGCCTCGTTACCCTTAAAACTGGGGCAGCATTTAAGAAACTTTTCACCCATGCCCTTGGAAATTTCTTTCATTATCGGCCGGTTATTTGGGTTGAACATTCCCATTGTACGGGCTTGCGGATAGGGTCCTTTCGTGGCTACTCTGACTACTGAAGCTGCATGCCATTGGGCCAACTTCTTAAGGACCCTTTCGGTGTGAGCTTGATCGAGTCCCTCCAAGCGGTTCGCATTTTTAAATCCCTTCTGGCCCAAATCTTCCAGGACTACATAGTCCGATTGGGCGTTCTTGAGATCATAGGCCTTAGCACCGAACGTTATATCCACACCAACTTCTCTGTACATTTCCTCCATTTCGGGAACTACATCGTTGTACATAAATCGCTCAGTGTCGAATATGTTTGAGTTCTTTATCATTTCCTTGTAAATATCCAGCTGGTGGGGCAACTTAACCATATAGGAGACCTCCTTCTCTTTGCCGTCTATGAAAAATAGAATAAATTATAGAAGCTGTTTACTATTCAAGTTCAACTCACCTTTGAGCTCGACTTCGATTTTAACTCTCAACATAATAGTGGCATAGTTATCGCCAGCTCCCGATCCCATTTCAGGTTTGAAACTTCTAACCTTCACAAAACCATCCACATTTTTCCTGAGCACATCTTCAAAAACTTCCGCAGAAAGCCACTCAGGAACTTTATCAGTCATTGTTTTTTTTAAAAGGGCTGTCGGTTAATATGACTTTTACAATTGAGCAACTTGTGAAGTTCACTGGTGAAATACAACTGCGGGTTGTAATTTCTTTGGTCTAAAGCTGACGAGGAAGGTCTCTTTTATTTGGCCCAAAAGCTTTTAGAATTTTGGCTCTCTCTATCAAGCTTTAAATTCCCTATAACCATCCTAACCAGCTCTAAGCCATTCGCTCTTTCAGATACGTATGCATTATCAAGTTTTGTCCATATATGGTACGTAAATATTTATGTTGGTTTTGAAAAGATTGACTTTTAACGTTAGGGTATATTTTAGAATACGCTAAGGGCAATAAAACTTTTTAAAATATTTTATACATTATAGTTTATATTAAATTTATTTATTTTATATAAATGTTCGTTTGGGTATAAACAAGTGCATACAAAGTGGTTCTTTAGATTACTATGTGGGTGATGATCGAAAACTTGTATGTATTACATTTTGAAGAGTTGATTCACCAAGTGCGTTATCTATTTTCTCTTAAAATATCTCTTAATAAATTGTATAAAGCTTAGATAATTTTATTTCTACAATTTTTGAAATAAGAACAACACGATTACTATAATACTTGATATATAATTGAGCTTTGTTGGAACCTGCTATGAGACTGCATCCAGGTTCACCTTATGTAACCCCGTTCAATGAGCCAAGGCAGTATCTGTTTAATTTGATCGACGTAAGCCGGTTGGAGAAACATCTTCCGCTTGAATGCCGTCGCCTCCTCCGAGTTTCCCATAACGTTGGCAATGTTTGAGTCCAGACACGGCGGGAGTAGCACTATAGGCAGCATCCGCTGAGCGCATATAAATGCTGAAATTACCAAGGAGAATTAGAATAGACTTAGAATAGAAAGAAGCGGAGAAACTCTTACCCCAGAGACTATATCTGTGTAGATGAAGGTGCAGCTGGGGCAGTGAGGGGGCACTTTGATTGTAGCTGAGCATCGCCAGGTGTTCCACTAGCTGCTGATGATAATACTCAATGAAGTGGTCGAACTTTTTCAGCTTAATGTCAAATTTTGGGGAGGTCATTAGGAGGCACAATAGATCCTGAGCAGGAGTACCTAGGAAGGAAAATAAATTAAGTAAGTTATATCTGGGGGATCCAACAAGCTGTACCATATTTCGGCAGTTGAAAGTCCACCAAGTAAACATCTTCCACTTCCCCTAAGTCGTTGTACTTGAACATAAAGTTGTTACACCAGAAATCGCCATGATTCAAGACACTTAACTCCAACGGGTCGTTTCGACCAAACTCTATATTCAAATCCGTCAAAAGAGATGTGTAATTGCTCTGCGGATCAAACAGGTTAACGAATCAAACATGTTTGTATTAAAACTCCGTGAAACTTACTATCAAAACCATTTGGGAAGGATCCAGATCATACTGCTTCATGCACTCCAAAAAGGGAACAGAGAAGTTTATATTAAACTCGTCCAACATTTTTTGGTGCTCGGCCGTAAAATAGCTTTCCCGGATGTCCTTTTCGTACTCCCCTATATCCACCACTCTTTTAGCAGAGGCCGCATGCCACTGGGCCAACTTCTTGAGCACAGCCTCCACCTCAAACTGCTCCAATCCCTGCGTTCTCTCGGCATTCTTGTAGCCCTTCTGTTTCAGATCCTCCAGTAGGATATAGTCACACTTAACGGGCATTTTGGGAAACTTCAAGTGCAAAGGCTTGAATTTCGGCGATATAGGCGTGTGTTCATATTGTTTCTCCAGCTCTGGTACCAGACGATCATACATATCCAATTCGGTAATGAACATGTCGTGAAACGCATGATCGCCATTATCATCGTCGCCAACCAAGGGAATTTTTAGAATATAATTGACATCTTTGGTGCTGTCATCTAAATTAAATGTTTACATTTTAATCAAGAGATCTTAACACAAACGTACCCGTCAGCTGCATAGTTATCTGGATCCGTAGCACGATTGTAAGGTAGTTCTCGCCCTGGCCGGTTGCCGACTTGGCGGCAAAGCTAACGATTGCCTTGAAGTTGTCGATGTACTCCATCAACAACCCGTGAAAAAGTTGTTCGTTTACCCACTGCGGAGTCGTCTGGTCCGTCATTGTTTTGATTTAGCGTTTGAATGAAGGCAAACAGATACTGGGTATGTATTTAAATATACAATCTTTGCGTAAAAGCTCTGAGTTTCACTCTCTTAAATCGCATGACCTCAATATGCATTTCTGAGATACTTGGGTAAGAGGGACTTCATTAAGCATTAAACACAGAAGAGTATTCCAAAACAATAGTGTTTTCTCTCATTCTTCTGAGAATTACGCATCTGATCATACACCGATAGCATCTTTTGATTCCAAAAATATTTTGAATACAAAAACCTTTATTTTTTCTTTGACTAAATATGAACTACGTTGCCTCATTACGATTTAACGTTGTGGATAAAAACATGTCGGCGCAACTTATCGGGGCGGGCAAATTCCTTGGAGCAGAAGGTGCACTGGTAGGGCCTTTCGCCCGTGTGCTTTCGTCGGTGGACCTTCAGCTCGTAGAAAACCGTAAAGCGCATGTCACAGAGATCGCATTTGAATGGTTTCTCACCCATGTGACGCCGCATATGGATGCTCAGTTTGTTGGGAGTTTGCGCTTCCAAGCCGCACAGAGAGCAGAGATACTTCTTTCCCACATTCCTCTTGGCCACATGCATGTCTCGGATGTGTTTGTCCAGGCTAGGCTGAGCCACAAAGGATCGCCAACAATGAGGGCACTGATAGCGGAACCTTCTCTTCCGCCTCAGTGGTGCCTGTTGTTCCGGAATGGTCTGTTGTTTTGTTTGGTGCTGGGTGGCCAGGTGCTGGGTCAAATTATCCTCCCACATAAATTTGAACCCACAGCGCGAGCAGATAAATTTCTTTTCATTGTTCCGACATTGGGTGATCAGATGCTGCTCCAGAATACCCTGAAAGAAAGATTCACCTCAGATTTCAACGTTTTGGGCAAATTAAGTTGCTCTTACCTTATCCACAGTTTTAAAGATGCAGTGCTCGCAGGCATATGGCAGCTTATCAAAGCTGTGCAGGGAGTACTGATGTTCGTTTATGTCTTTTCTACGCCGGAAACTGAGCTGGCACAGATCACAGTAGTAGCTTCTGCCTGAGGAGCTCTCCTTGTCACTGTCATCGGTGTCGTCTATTAGCATTTCGAAGCCAGCTTCCGTGCTTATCATGTAGGCCGATGGCTGATCACTGTGGCCCTGCATGGAGATGTGTCGCCGTAGATCCACCACGCTGATAAACTGGATTTCACACAGCTTGCACTGGATACTTTTCGGCCTAGACGGCTTGGCGGCATCTGCCAATAGAGTTTCTGCCAACGGCAGGTCATCTCCACTAAATCCATGGCGTTTGACGTGCTTGTGCAATAAGGCGGGCCGGTAAAAGGTGCGAGTGCACCAACGGCAGGGAAATAGTTCCTCGCTACCTTCCCGGTGCACCATTAACTTGTGCTTGGTTACGGCACTCTTGTCCTGGTAGCTACGAGAGCACTGATCGCAATGGTAGATCTCTTGCTGAGGGGTAAAGGTTGTATATTATAAATTGATATGTGCGAAGTAATTAAATATCTACCTTGCTCTTATGTTCGGCAAGATGGGCGCGAAGATTCCTGCGCCAAAAAAAGCGTTGTGGACACTTGTCACACATGAATCGCTTAAGGGTATTTTGACACAGCTGGCTGGTATGGTGATCCAGAAGATCGGCGTTCAAGAACCTGGAATCGCAACGCAGGCAGACGTGTGGAGCGTCTAACCAGTTGTGCTCCTGAAGATGGTGCTTGTGTAATTGATATTTTCGCGGCCACCTAGCATCCGGATCATTGCACAGATCGCAAACATAGCTACGTCTCACCACGACATCCTCACCATCACCATCACTGTCTGTATCCGAACTATCCAGACTCATTTCGTAACGAGCTTGATTTGTGATGGAATAATATCGCCCATAAACCCCCATTCTCAAATCTCTCAATATTCGACGCTTCAAGCCCTCTGTCGTCGACTCTACAGCGGTCTTAAAGAATCCCTCGGCAATTCTTTCAATCGGTTCCCCATGTGCATTGAAATCAAAGTCAGTTGGATGCGCTTCTAGATGATCTCTTAACTGGCGAAGCTTTGTAAACCGTTTCAAGCATATCATGCACTTAATTTCCTTAGCCCCATTGGGCTCACATCGATGAAGATCAAATCCATTGACGCGTCGGTTGATCCTTGATGGCTTTGGCAGTACAGCTGCAGAAACTCTTGACGCAGAAGCACCGATGTTCTGATCCTCTTCGACCTCCTTTCTTCCTGACTGACCCTCTTCTGTGGAATGCTTGCTATGCTTGTGCTTGATGAGACTAATGACGTATTTGTAGGACTTTGTACACTGATCGCACTTATAGTAGTTGTCGGAGCTGCTGTTTTCATCTTCATCCGAGAGCCTGCAATAAATTATCTTAACAAAATTTCGAAAAAACATTTACTTAATCGGCTTACACTACGGTTTTGATGAAGCTGTGCACCAAGGTGTCGCTGTTGGTTTTCTTTCGTTGCGAAGAAGTTTCTGAAGTAGATGCGGGACTGGATGGGTTTGCCTCAACGGTCGTTGGTGTTGGTCGGCGAGAGATTTTATATTTTTGTAGGTATGTTTTGGAGGGCAGCAGACTAGCATTGTGTTCATTTTGGTTGTGCTTCACCAACTCCAAAACATACTTGAATGAGTTGTCGCAATGATCACACTTATAGTAGTTTTCATCTTCGTCCAACCTATTAAAAAGGAGATATATTTTTACAAAATAAAAATGAATAAAAAGCCGTGGAACCTACTCAGTTCCTGGTTTTCCGGGCGCACCATGGTCCCTCTGCCTGTGCCGATACAGATTTGTTACATATCGAAAGGCCTTGTTGCAGATACTGCAAATATGCAGCTTTTGAACAGAAAACGACAAGTGTTTGCGGTGCTGGTGAAGCGGTACATCGTCCTGGTCTTCGTCAGGATCACTGTAATGTGTAATACGCCTCTTGGCAAGGTGAGGACGTACGAGAGGGTCTTTCCTGGAGACGGGAGGTGTATGGTCTAGTTCCTCTGTTTTTATTGTTACTCCTTCGATATCAACCAGGTGGATAGGAGTCTCATTGAGGCACTCCAGTGCTTCGAGTCCTTGCGACTCATCGCCTCGATCCTTAGCTGCGTCATCTAACTTCTGCATCCACAGATTATGAGTCTCTCGAGCTAATATCACTAATTCATAGGCCGTTTCCAGTTTATGGGAGCACACAGCGCAGATCCACTGGGGCAATTTCTCGATCAAAAGTGCAGCCACCTGTCAAGGGAATTTATATTGTAGCAATTGAAGCATATAAACAATTCAGCCACCTCAATTCTGGTCAGTTCTGTCAATAACTGCACGAAAGTCTTCCCGGCGTACTTTTCCACGGGCGTTTCGATCCAGTATCGCCCCTCGGTTCCGCCACATATTCTGCATGTCCTGGTCATGTTTTGGCTCATCCACTTCAATCCATAAGAAAATATGTAAACAAATAAATTCGTAACAAAAATAGGCACCCAAACAGCTGATACACTAAAAATAAGAGTGACCAGCTTTAGATAGCGGCAGTTATCGGGAAACAGTTATCGCCGTTGTCCAATACTGGTTCAGTCGCTGTGAATGGCATTCATCTTCTTCTTGTCGGCCTGAAGTTCTTTTTCCTCAGTTTTTGCGAATATTTCTTGTGTTTTGGAATGTTTGATTAAAAGTAAGTGTTTGAAATAGTAGCACCATGCTACCACCAAACACGTGCCGAACATGCGCTCTGCAAAACCCCGATTTACAGCCGCTTTCCGCTTGTTTGGAAAAGGACGCCAATAAGAGTTTCTACGAGGTGCTCCACGAGCTAACGCAAATCGATGTAAGTACATGGGGAGACTTCTGTAGACTTGTGAAATAGTCCGATAAACGGTACTTTGCTTCATAAAAGTAAAAAATAGGGTGATGCTCTTATTGAAGATCACTTATGGACGCCATTTCGGCAGTATTCCATTTTCCAGCCCCCTTCAGTATCTGTGCTTTTGTGCAGCAGACCAGCAAAGTAGACAGAGCATTCTTGGTACGGTTGAGGAAACGTCTTGATAACAATCTCAATATTTATAAAGTTCCATTGCATTGATTCTGGTGACGATATAACCAACGTTCTCTATACTTCTTGTTCTTCCTGTTGCAGCCCCTCCAAGAGAGCTTGGACTCCAGCCTACCCCAGCATTTGTGCAGCGATTGCTTGAAAAGATTGGAGAATGCCTATTCTTTTGTGCAGCAAGCCAGAAAGGTTAATGGGGAACTCTTGGTACGGTTGAGGGAATGCCTTGATGAGACACCTATAGACCTACCCCAGGAACAGAAAATAAAAACGGAAATTGCAGCCGATCCAGAAGCAGGAAATGAGGATGAGGAGGCCCTTCAAACTCCAACGGTGGAATGCAAGTGGGATGCGGAAAGTGACAGTGATAATAGGGAGAACCCTGTTACTGCCAGCGAATCGTGCGTTGATATATTACAAGCTCTTAGTGTTAATTATACAATAAAATTAAATTTTAGGGAGGAAGTCGATGAAAAGCCGTATCAACTGCGAAGAAGTGCCCGTAAGGTCAAGCAGCCAACAGAAAGTGAAAATGAAGAGTAAGCTAACATAGTACTAAACCCATTAAGATTCTAAGTTGTAATTTATTTACAGCATCAACATCAACGACAAATCCCCCGTAAAACGCCGGCGAGGACGGCCTCCTGGCAAGGCCAAGAGCCAATCATTGACCTCCGATGGTCGGTATGCCTGCCAGGCGTGCGGAAAAAGTTTCTCCTGGTACCGCGACATGCAGCGCCATTCACGGAGTCATTTCGACAAAAACAACTTCGTTTGCCGAACCTGCGGAAAGGGATTTCTGCGTAAGGACAATTATGTGTTTCATCTTCGCAGCCACAACAAAAAAGCGGCTAAGATGGAGTCCTTAAAGCTGGGCAACGAGTGGATCTTTGCCGAGCGCTTGTACTCCTCCGGCAGCCCTAAAAGAATCGAATGTAAGCTATGCAACAATAAGTACGAACGAGTCCAGGATCTCAGATGCCATTTGGACACTCACATAAGCCTAGACAGTCTACATGCCTTATGCCCGGATAGCGACGTGGTCCGAGAGCATTACCAAACACACTCCGGCGACATGGAGCGAATCAAACAAATGATTGTAGCGGATGTAGCCAAGGGAGTTTTGGAAAAGTTTGCATCGGTGGTCAATTTCCATGGTTATGAGCTGGATATTAATGACTCCGATGGGGAATCCTCTCTAGAAGATGCCAAATACGTCTGCGACATGTGCAATGTAGGATTTGGTCGCAAACACCTTTTAGTACGGCACACGCTGGAGGAACACGCTCGTGATCAGGCAGATGAGCTACCTTGGCAACGTTGCAGCTTCTGCAAAGTCGGATTTCTGTCCTCGGCGCTCTACAATCAGCATTTGCACCACCAGTGCCACAACAAGCTTAAGAAGTATCACTGTCGAAAATGTCCTGGAAAGTTTATGTGGCTGGAGAACCTCGAAAAACACTCTTGCTCTCATCCAGCTAACATGGAACGTCAGATCTTCTGTACCTTGTGCGACGCCCAAATGCCCACTCTAGCCAAGCTACGCATCCACCTCGTTCGCCATCAAAAAGATTTTGAGGACTTCAATCCTGATCTCCAGACTATGTTCTTTCAATCCTTCTATCCCAATGGCTTGGAATGCACTCCCGCAGAACTGAGTGCTCGTATCATTGAGGACTTCGAAGTGCAGGACTTTGACCGCTATTACAACGCTGCTACCTCCAGTGGTCGCGAGCTGGATATCTTTGATTCCGAAACTGAAGAATCGGAAGCAGAAGATGGCGAAGCACCGCACCACACCTGTGTTCTTTGCGGAAAGGTGTCAAAGAGGCTATTGGTCCTACTGCAGCACCAGAAAAGTTTTCATACCGAGGAATCAGGTGCCTTGCCCTTCTCTTGTGAAGATTGTCAAGAGGGATTTGTGTGCGACGCATTGCTTCAGAAGCATCGCAGGCGATGTAGCGCAAAGAGGCATTCAAGGTTCCACTGCCCAAACTGCAATCTACACTTTATGTGGCAGGGCAACTACGAGAGGCATCTAAAAGCTCACCACGACCAGGAGGAGAGTCCGGAGCTGGAAGAAAGTCGTTCGTTGAGACCATGCTCCTCCGCAGCCAAGCTGCAGTGTGATGAGTGTGAAAAGGTTAGTTGGCTGCACAACATGGTTACACAACTAATTGATTTTATCTTTTAGACTTTTATTTGGCACAAAGACCTCACCCGCCATAAGCGCATTCACCAGACAGAAGTAAAGTATAAGTGCACCCACTGCGATCGCAAGTTCCACCGAAAGGATAATCTTAAATCTCACATGCGGGTGCATTCCACGGAGCAACAATCCGATCAAACGGCAGAGCACACCTTAAATGGTTCAGATAATGATCCATCCATTTTGGGCCAGCTATGTCGTCCACATGGCTGCAAGCAGATCCAATGCATGATCTGCCTTTCCCGACACTCCAAAATTTCAGATCTTCGGGCACACCTTACATCCCACAAGTACTCAGTGACGTTCTCCGAGTTTAGAGATATTGCCACCGCATCAAAATCCATGTATCCTGAACTACCTGCACCTTTGAACAAGTCCCAGCTGGCGGAGAGAATAATGGCTGATGTGGATAAAGGATGCGACCTGGACAGATTCATTTCCATCGCCAACGAATCGGGCTTAGAGCTGACTCTAGATAGCAGCGAGACAGATACTGAGTCGGATCAGGAGGAGAATCATTCCACTCACACCTATACCTGCAATATCTGTGGAATACAGGTCAATCGAAAATACCAGCTCTATGCCCACCACTTGGAAAAGCACACGGGGGCAGAGACCCCCTATTCATGCACCCATTGCCAGGCAAGGTTCCTTGACAAGGCCCTTCTAGATCACCACTCCCGAACTCTTTGCCGGAATTCCCAGAAACGATTCCAGTGCCGCAAGTGCCCGCTTCGATTTCGTTGGCGAGAGAACTTAAAATTACACAACAATGTGGCCCACCAGCCGAAAGAAACTCCGCCTGAAGGAAAATCCGTATCCCCCCAGGGCGAGAGCGATCTGCACTGTATACCATGCCAGCGAAGCTTCAAAATGCAGAAGGATCTTACGCGACACAACTTGATGCATACCCAGGATTCTAACATATATCGGTGTCGATGGTGTGCCCGCCGCTTCTACCGTTGGGCTAATCTCCTCCAGCATATAGTACGCCACGGGATCCGGGCTAACCAATTGCCCTATGCTGAGGCTCTTCTTGACTCATATGGACATCCTGGAGGTAACAAGATCATCCAATGTCGCGTTTGCTCTGTAAGTTTTCCCACAATTGCTGCACTGCGTCTGCATCTTGAAACCAGCCCGGTGGGCAGTCACCATGAGCCCTTGTCGCTCCAGAACTACTCTATAACAAATCAGATGGGATATGAGCTAACACTGGAGGATTCTGAAACGGACGAGGAAGGCTGTAAACCACCGGGAGCTCCGGCCTTTTATACATGCGGCATGTGCCAACTGCGGTGTGTGCGGAAATTCGAGCTTCAACAGCATCAGCAGGCCATGCACCGAATTGAAAAGATTCCAGACGGTTGCGATAAATGCATCTTCAAGAGCGTGTGCCCAGAACTGATTGCCCATCATGTAAGAACGCAGTGTGGCAACCAGCAAAAGCATTTTACCTGCACGCGATGCGGATACAAGTTTATGTGGGAATCCAATCTTTTGCTTCACATGCAACTGCAACATGAGAACAAGGAGGGTGCAGAACAGGACCCTGCCATCCAGGAATCGCCTGATGAGCCGTACAAAGCTACATGCCAAATTTTTCAATGTGGTCTGTGTCCTAGAAAGTACAACCGCAAGGATCGACTGACGGCGCACATAAAAAAGTTTCATGGTCCCAATGTGGAGAAGACACCCATGCGGCCACCGATCTCAGAGCCCAAGGAGCCCAAACGATTTCTCTGCGCCTTTTGTGGCAAGGCCGTTAGTTCGTCCTCAAACCTAATCATTCATATGCGGCGTCATACTGGTGAGAAGCCCTTCAAGTGCGACTATTGCGATATGGCTTTTCCCCGATCCTCAGATCTCCAGTGCCATCGAAGGACGCATACTGGCGAGAGGCCGCACGTGTGCACGGTATGCCAGAAGGGATTCGCCCGATCCTACAAACTTCAGCAGCATATGCGTATCCACAGCGGAGAGAGGCCCTATAAGTGTACCTACTGCGAGAAGAGCTTTACCCAGTCCAACGACTTGACCCTCCACATCCGGCGGCACACGGGTGAACGCCCATACCAGTGCGGCGTATGTGGAGATCGCTTTATTCAGGGCACCGCTTTGAAAAATCATCGCCTACAACATGGCCACCATGAGGATAGCGCCAATGTCCAGGGCTCGGCAACGGAAATTACTGCAAGGCGTACGGTCCTAGAAAAGTTTTCTGTCTAAAAGGGATAGAAGAAAATGCTTTCCTCCACTCATAGGTTGAATATCCTCATATTTTTATTTCTTTTACGAAACTGTATTTTTGTAAAATAGTTGTAAGCTTTCAATGTTGAAATTGAAATACAGTCTTGAAGACTGTCCAGGCACGTGCCTGGTCACATTGTTTGGTTTAGGGAAGTAGTGTGACCGTATTTGATCACCCATCTGCTTTTATCTTGTTGCGAATTTTTAGCGCAATTTTTTTTTTTTTTTTTTTAATAAAACCTATTGATACCTAAGGTCCACGCCGATTTTTTTTTTAATTTTTGAGAAGGAAAATTAGTGTGACCAGGTTCACGAAATAAAAAAGTATGACCGTATTTTGTTAAAAGTTGTCAATTGCGACCAAAATATGGTCATACTTTTTTGTTTTGTTAACCTGGTCACACTAATTTTCCCTCTCAAAAACTAAAAAAAAAATCGGCGTGGACCTTGGGTATCAATAGGTTTTATTCAAAAAAAAAATCACAAAACCCGTCAAAAAATAAAACGAGAGATCGACATTTTCCCGCCGAGTATGGCCACACTAATTCGCTTTTACAAATTAATGTGACCAGACGCAAAAAACTGGATACGCTGCTTTCAATATCCACCTGCCTTTGAAATTGACCGCTTTTATGGGTCGAAAACTATAAGAATGGTGCTAACCGCTTTTACGGGTCAAAAAAATATATGAAATCAAAAAATAACGTTTTGTCTAACACTAAAATGGTCCCGCATGGTTCGCTAGATGTCTGCTTATATGGGGTTATTCATATTCTTCAGACCAGACTGTATGGGATGACGTCCTCGGATATTTTCCATCGAAACCAGACGTCGGCATTCCTTCATGATGCATCATCCGATTCTTATAAATTCAAATAAGTTCCTAGATGCAAAAGCTGTCACCCTCCCTCCACACCCTTTCGCTGTCGGGAAGCTGCGGGAAACAATAGATATCAAAATAAAAAAGGTCTCCAACAGGAAATATTAAAATACCTACGTGTTTGTATGACGACGTCAAAATTATATGAAAGTGTACCCCAACCGTTGCCGCTGCAGACCACTGGAGTCTCAAACTGCATTTGAAAATTTTAAGCCTCGGAGAATCGATAGAATTCAAAATAAGTAAGATCATTCGTCAAAGTTCAGGATATAAACACTTACCTCCACGTTAATTCGTCAAAGTCAATTGAATCTTTAAAAAAATTCACGCGGTTTACGAATTTAATCTGAGCTTAGAGATGGGAAGCTTAGTTAGAGGTGGAAGAGCTTCACAGAGATATCAGTATCGGCCCTCTACCCCGTAATAATCGGTGCCGGTTTCGATTTGTTAACACTACTATCGTGTTTGATATTACCTGCACATTCAAATTCGCTTTGCTGAGTCCCAACCGGACTCGATCGTGCTATCTGAAAAGAAACAACTTAGTCTAAAATAAATAAAATCTTCCTCCGCAGTTGAAGCTATACTCACGCCACGTCAAAATTATCTGACTTTAAGGTGGGAAATCTTTAGCTCGCAACAGGTACTATATCGGGACGTTGTAGAGTAGCAGGGATTTTGAAGACCTTCGCTGGCGGCCATCTCTTTTAAGGCTACATTAAGATAAACATTTGGCATTTATAAGATCCAAAATGGCCCAGGTCCGCGGTATCACATCTGAAATCTGCATTGTCACTTGTTATATTTTCTCTCGGGTTATAGGGCGAATAACGGCAAACGCCGCAAACAAAACCTTGCCGCTGGCGGACCACCGCCTCGTGGAGTCCCAAACTGACATTGAAACTCTTAAGCTGCGGAGAATCAATAGTATCCAGAATAAGATCTTGCGTCACAGTTCACGATATATTCACTTACCTACACATTGATTCGCCGACGTCAATAGAATCTTTAAACAAATTCACGCGGCTTACGAATTTACTCCGAGCATAGAGATGGGAAGCTTAGTTAGAGGTGGTAAAGCTTGAAAGAGGTGGCAGTATCGGCCTTCTTACCCGTAGCAATCGGAACTGGTTCCGACTTGGTATGTTAAGATTTTAGTATTACCGTACTTAGTATTACCGGCAAATTTGAAATTGAATTTGAATCAAAATCAAATTTCCTAAAAACAAAAGTCATTAAGGCATTATTGTCAGAAACTTATATTTTAATTGTCAGAGCTTCAAAAATATCGTTTGTTGATAACATAGATTGTTGATAAACTAAATAAAAAGTAAAGATTCATTAACTTTGACAAGATTAAGGCCAGCTTGTGTTTTTTTGCCTTTCCGGGGTGGGTTTATTTTTATTATGTATAGAACACCGGTAGCGACACCTGTTCTCCGTACACCCCACTTATCGCCCGGTTACCTTGGCAATCTATCCAAGTCGCCTTAGAGTCCTCGCTCCAAGCGAGAAACTACGAATAAACTACGCTCAACTACGAGAAGCCGAGCAACCGGAATACAGACAGAGCTGATCGAACGGGAAAGCAGATGGTCAGAATCACCAGCGCCCGCGTTAAAATTTAGCTTTGAAAGTTTGGCGCCTGTTGAATTGAAAATTGTTTAGTTTCTCCACACTAAAACAAAAGCTTCAAATACAAAAAGATGGTCAAGCCATACAAGGCGTCGCGCTCGGTGGCGGCTAGCGATAACTGCAGCGGCGGAAGCGGAAACAAGGATTTGGACCAGGTTTACTGCGTGGTGCTTCATGTAGTTGAGGGTAACTAAGTCTATCTCTTTGTTTTTCCTAAGAATTCATTAATTTTTCATAAACAGCCATTAACTTTGTCGGTCGCGATTCAAGCGAACGGGATCGCGAGAAGATCGTTATGAACGCGTCCCTTAATACCGTTGACTTCGAGGTGGAGGGCACCCAGTCGTCCACTGCCGAGACCATCATCTTCAACAGCAACTGCATTTGGGAGTGCGACATGCCTGGGATAAAGCGCATCAAAACAGACCATCGCCCCGTGAAGGTCACCTTCTACGCCTGCCGTGGCGGAGCGTCGGAGAGGAAGACCATCGGCAGCCTGCTGTTGCCGGTGAGGGGTCTGCCGGTGCTCAGTTCCGCGGGTAGCCACAACGCCGCCCAGCTGAAGATGTTCTGGCACAAGCTCATCTGCATCAGCAGCGAATTTCGCTCCCACAAGCCGGAGGTGCTCCTCATACTGGCCATCATTAAAAAGTCCATTCTGCACACCAAGGACTTCGATCACCTGATGCAGTTTTCCGACGTGAGTACAGCATCTATCAATTGCGCATTTTAAGATCCTAATATAGTCATTTTGCAGAGCAAGTCACCGCCCGAACCGCCGATGCAATCACCCGGGCACTCAATCACTTCCAACATGCTCCAGTCGCAGGTGAGTGCTTCATTATTGATCTCTGAGAGGGTTAACTTCTACATCCCAGTCTTAGGCCAATGTCTATGTGCAGTCGTTGGTGCAACTTGGACTGCTTCAAGTGGGCAACGATCCTCTGGTAGACTGCGACATCATCGAGGTCGTGCTGCAGTTGAAGCAGCTGAAAAACGTGAGCAAGCTGGCCAGGTCACTGAACGCGGGGAAGGACCCCAGCTCAGTGATCCTGGTGTTCGATTTTGTGGGGAACGTGACCAATATTGAATTAAAGCTAAATGAGACTGACTCTTATATCCTGAACGATGTCCTGGGCCTCCGATTCAAGACCTCCCTGCGCAGCATGCGTCTCTACTTTCAGAGGATCTTCTACCTGCCCATTAACATGTACATGAATGGCACGGCAATAGGTTCGTTTCTTATTTGGTTTCTTTATATCCTTCCGCATCCTATCATTGTTTTTTCTTTAGCCAACTATCGTATGGACTTTGGAAAATTGCTGCCACCGGACAGTTACTTCAAGGACAACAGAAAGTTCACCTGCAATGGATCCTTTTCCTTCAACCGTTTCGGACGCACTGACAGCGCCAGGGACTCCAAGCCGCCACTCATGGAGTATGCCTTCAGTGTGGACGTGAAGACCATTTTTTCGAAGCAGGACACAGGAGCTGAATCGGAAGCAGCTCCCTCAATTCGCAGTGGAGTTTTCAGGGAGCTGCCTAAGGATCGCAAGGACCCGGAAGCGTCTTCCTTGTCCCTTGACACTGCCTCGGTAGCGAGCCTGAATGTGGGTGCTGAGCTATCGGCCTCGGACGAGGGATCTTGCGGCTCAGCTTTTCTGAAGGAGGATGACCCTGACTCCGAGGACACTCCGGCGGATTTGCGAAAGGTACAAGGTCGTCGCAGGAAGTTCACCCGACTAACATCAGGCGAGGTTGTGGAAGTACAGGAGAGCGAGGATGAGAATGTCCTGGGCAAGAAGTTCTCGTCGATGGTGGTGCGCGAGACATATTCAGCGAAGGTTCAGATGGAAGTTGCATCTGCAAAATCTGAAGTCCCCCCTGATATGGAAATAGAGTCTCAAATGGACGAGTCCGAAGGCGACGTCCTGAGCCGTCCTGAAACTATAGAAACCAGTGCAGATGTTTTAAGCGAAAGCCCCTCCAAGGAGAAGAACCAAAAGAGAAAGTCATCTTCCATGGAGCGGCCAATATCACAAAAAGGGAAACCCAAAATATTGAACCAACCATCCAAGGAATTGCCTATAGACCGATCTGCATCGACAGGACGGGCAAAGGTGCCTAAAACAAAGGCACCGTTGAAAGACACCGACTTCATCGACGACCTGACATCTTTGGAGCATTTTGAGCTTCTGGAAGAGCAGTTTAAAGAGGAGGTGGACTTTGAACTGACAGATGTTAGAATGAGGCCTCGCAGAATCGGAGGACCAATAGTGCCTTTGGAACGGAAGCTGAGAAAACCAACAGCTCCAGATGACCTCCACTACGAGAATACCGATTATATAGACAGCCATCTGAACATTATCTACGAGGAGCATTCTGGCGATTCCATCCCAAAGAAACTTGTCCGCAAGAAAGTAGTTAAAAAGGTTTCCCAGCGAGAACTGGGCGAGTTGGAAACAGTATCTGGGAGGGACAGGCCCATTTCAACAAGGAATAGCTCTGCCACCAAAAGCAAATTTGACGGATGCAACGATTCAGAGAGTTCCCAGCCACAAAAGATGGCTTCCTCTAGGGGAAAAAACAGCAACCCTTCGAAACTAGCGCAGGAAACGCAAGAAAGCGACGTGGATACCAACGACTTTAACGATGGGGATGTTCCCAGCAAGCGCAAAAAAAAATCAAAGATGGACTTAAGCCTTCGTGCCCGATGGGTCGAGGTGAACAAGTCCCAGGCACAAGCCTTGGATGAGACCGAGAAGTTTCTGGTGGAGACCTGCCAGGCCGAGCTCAACGAGGTCCTCTATGAGGATCAGCTGGCTCTCGGTCTGGCAAAGCCTCTGAAACCTAAAAAGAAATTGGTGAGTTCCAGAAAACCCAAAGTCGCCCAGAGCAGCGAACTCGATAGCTCGATTTTGGGGGAAGACATGCCCTCATCTCAAGCAGATATCCTGCCTAAAAAGAAGCGGGAGGTGGTTGTGGAACAGGAACATGTGGAATCGCAGTTGGACCTTCAGAGCTCGGAGGAGTACATATCCATATCTGAGGTCACCTTAACATCGGCGGAAAGCATTATAGAGCGAGAGCCTGTGACTAAAAAGAAGCTCAGGAACGATGCTTTGCCCGAAAATGAGATGGAAATTAATGTAGGGAAACCTTTGAAGAAAAAAGTTATCAAAAAAAAGGTATCCACATCTTTGGCTACAGCGGAAATAGATGATGTTCCTGAAATGGATACTCCTCAGTTGGTAAAGAAAAAAGTTATCCGGAAGAAATCCCAGCGCTTAGTGGAAGAAGCTCTGGAAGAGGGAGTGGTCCCAACAAGAAAGGTGTCTTCGAAGAAATTGTTGAGGAAGGAATCCCAAGAAGAACCTCTAGAAGAAGAAGTGGTCCCAACAAAAAAAGTATCTTCGAAAAAGTTGGTAAGGAAAGAATCTCTTGAAGAACCACTGAAAGAGGAAGAGGTCCCTAAAAGAAAGGCGTCTTTAAAGAAATTGGTCAGAAAAGAATCCCATGAAGATCTACAGGAATTGGAAGTTGCCGCTACAAGAAAGATACCTTTGAAGAAATTGGCACGAAATGATTCCCAAGAAGAACCCCTGGAAGAGGAAGTTGACGAAATAAGAAAGGTATCCTCCACGAAATTTGTGAGAAAAGAATACCACGAAGAGGCTCTGGAAGAGGAAGTGACTCCAACAAGGAAGGTTTCTTTGAAAAAATTGGCGATAAAAGAAGCCTATGACGAATCCCTGAACGAGGAAGTGTTCTCAACAAGAAAGGTGTCCTCAAAGAAATGTGTGCGAAAGGAATCCTCTGAAGATACTCTGGAAGAGGAAGTGGTGCCCAAAAGGAAGGTGTCTTCAATAAGATCGGTAAGAAAAGAATCAACTGAAGAACCTGTTGAAGAGGAAGTGATCTTAATAAAAAAGGTACCTTCGAAGAAATTGGCGAAGAAGCATTCCCAAGAAGAACCTCTGGAGGAAGAGGAAGTGGTCCAGACAAAAAAGGTATCCTCCAAGAAATTTGTGAGGCCGGAATCGGAAGACTCTGATGTAGAACTGAGTCTAACCAACGATTCTGTTGTCCAGAAACTCAAGTCCTGGCGCAGCCATCAGATAAAGCAATTCGAGGAGGAGCTGGCCCGTCGTGAGCAGCACTACAAGCATCAGTTGGAAGAGATGGAGTGCAAAGAAGCTAGGATACTAAACCTGGGCTTGCCGGAAGAGCCCACGGCGCCACTTAGTGTGGATTACGAGGCCAAGTTCAGCGAGCTGGAGCAGCACATTTCCAAGTTGAAGACTGAAATGGAGCAGCAAGTGATACTGTTTGAGATCCGTAGCCAGGAGTTGCGGCAGGAGAACGTCCAGCTGGCAACCGAAAAGACAGAGCTGAAGGCCCGCATCGCCACCATGGAGCAGCAGATAGGGCAGCTCCGTTCCCAGGGGACCGACGACGGCGACATTAAACAAGTGCTCGGCGAGCTGAGGTCCCAGAACAGCCGGTTCCTGGACCTGACGCGAGAGAAGGACCGCTACAAAAAGCAGTGGCGACGATGCGCCAAAAAGGTCCATGCCCTCAAGCTGACCATGTACGAGAGGAGTGTGGACAGGGATCGAGAATGTTTGAACATCGGGTAAGAAACAGTATTCCATATGGTGTTCATTCACTAACTTTACCTATTTTAGCGCCATTGACTTGAAGAAGATCCTCACCAAGGATGCCTTAGGCTTTGAGCAGGAGTATGGCCCATTTCGGCGATCTGGCCCCTCACCAAGATTTCCCGTCAACTCGATGTCCGGCTCCGGTGACTACTCCCCGCCCTGCGGCAAGCGGACACCCCACTACAACCCGAAAAGTTGAGGCCATCGATAGGTGGCATCTCAACCTCCAAAACAGATCCCCATTGCTTTTACCAAATTAACTGTGTGTCGATTTTTATATTTAGTTAACTTTATTGATTATTTTGTGTTGTAGCTAGAAAGTAAACATGTTCAGACGGCTAATACTTTCGGACCTGGTCTTCACTCCAGAACAAAGCCCACGCGCACAAAGTAGGGCAGCGTGTCTAGGGCAGCCGGGTAGTCCATCAGCCAGGTGGGGCCACTGTACACAGTGTCTCCGTTACCGTCCTTCCACTCGCCCTCGGGAAGGTAGATGTCACGCTTGGTGGCTCCCTCCACCACAACAGGAGCAGCAATGATATCCTCTCCTAGAAGGAACTCTGCGCGAAGGAGGCGATTGGAAGTTAGTTTGGTTTAAGTCTCATAATCAAGGGGTACTCACCATCGTAGATGGACTGCGCCACCTCGTCCGTGGGTGCGATCCACCAGAGCGGCATGTTCACGGGCTCTCCGGAGTCCACCGCTCGCTGGAAAAGCTTCATAATGTAGGGCGTGTAGGTGGCGTGCAGGTCGGTGAAGTTCTTGCTGATGGTGATGGCCTCGTCGTCGAAGTTCCACGGCACGAAGGAGAACTGCAGGGCGGGCATGAAGACGTTGGCCTGGAGCCAGCGCAGGAAGAGCTCCTTGGTGGGGGGCTTCTCGTAGTAGCCGTTGCCGCCAATCATGTCCGGAAGCACGAAAGGATATCCGTTGATATTCATCTGCAGCATCGAGGTGATGAGCGTGAGCAGTCCGTTGTTCCAGCCCCACTCGGAGTCCTTGTCCACGATGCGCACAAAGATGGGCAGGTCCTGGGTGTTCTGGGCAGAGCGCACCTCCACCATATCCCCGAACTTGGCCACCGTGCGCACGTAGTCGCCCACGGCCTGCAGGGGTGTCACCATGGAGCTGTTGGCCTGGAGCACCGGATCGCTGGGCAGCCAACTGGTCTCGCCGGCATCGAACTTGAAGCTATCGATCCCCTCCTCGTCCTGCAGACGCTTGAGGCGCGTGGAGAACCACTCCTGTACCTCGGTCTTGGTAAAGTCCAGGATGGCGGCGTCCTTGGGCTGACTGTTCCACCACTGGGTGTCCGAGCTGCCCTCGTGGTCCAGCACCAGGTAGCCCAGCGACTTGGCCTCCTCGTAGATGGCCGTGCAGTTGTTGTTGATGAAAGGATGAATCCACAGGGTGACCCGGAAGCCGAGGGCCTTCAGGTCGGTGGAGAGGGTCTTTGTGTCGGGGAACTTGTTCTTCCGGAAGGTCAAGGCACCGTAGCAGTCCTCCCAGTCGTCATCAATCTCCAGCTGACTGTTATTGAAGCCGTTGTCCAGAATTTGCTGGGCGAAGTCTCGCACCACGGTGTCGTCCACCTCGGCCTTGTAGAGCGCCCACGTCGACCAGACGGGGTGCCTGACCATGCGCTCGTCCGGATGGCCCGTGGGCCGACCCAGGAAGGTTTTTACTGCGTACTTGTGAGCCGCCTTGGCATCCTTGGCCACTGCCACGTGGTAGGTGAACTTGGCGGAGGTCACACGCGGATCGTAGGGCAGCTCGCTCGTGGCACTGAGACAAAGCTGATCCGGATACTCGGCCGTGTTCTGGTCCAGGAACAGCGGAGTGTTGCTCTCCACGAAGATGAAGACGCCATCGCTGTTCAGCCAGTAACGCTCGCCCACGCCAAAGTTGTCCAGCTCCTTGGGCAGGTAGGAGTAGTTGCTGTGCCGCTGCCGCTCCACGGGCCAGTAGTGCTGCTTCTGCTCCGGGCCACTGAACCAGTGCTTGGAGCCTACCTTGAGGGGGAAGCAGTCCCTGGGCTGGGTGCCCTTCAGGACCTGGTCGCGAGAGACCTTGACGTGGGTTATTTCGCTGCCCGTGCCGGACACCACTCCGTTTTGGACCAGGGTGAACTGGACGGTGGTTGAGCCATCGGTGAGCGAGTAGGAGCCGTCGGTGGCGGCCACCAAGTTGGCGGTGCTGTCGAAATTGTCAAAGGTCACCGACTGCACAGTAGTCTCGCCCTTCATCAGCTCATACTGGAGCTTGTCGCCTCGCCTCAATCTCACGTAGATGTTGCTGTTGGGAAACTTGTAGCGCTGCTCGATGCTGGCGCAGGTGGAAACGGTGTCCCACAGGGCAAAGGACACTGTCGCCACCAGCAGGGGCAACACAATAAACCGCATTTTCAGAAGCTAATAACAAACACGACTGGTGGTCGGTTGGTCAGCGGAGCTCCTAATATAGCCGCGATAAGGCGCCTCTAAAGAGCTCCCGGTCAGAAAGCAAATTATACAAATAAAACCCTTGAGCGTTGTCAACTCACTGCTCACCTGGGAAACACTTTGGGTGTTCGTGATAAGGCGATCGATAACTCGGACACCCCGTTTGTATAATTCACATTTCCCATTTTCTAATTGATGTGAGTGCCGCTGAGATTGCACTTCACCCACATCGATAGTACCGGGGTGTAATAAACACAAATAATTACATCTCAAGATTGGAGAGGCTTACATTGCAAAACACTTGTAATAGACAGTTCTGCCATATCTCCATAAAAACAAACCAAAAACTTCCGTGGTAGAGTGTTTACCTTTCAGGACTCAAAGCCCTTACAAAGAAATAAAGATCTCTTGTCCAGTTTCTCGGCTATTAGTCAGATATTGAAGTATTGCAAAGGATTATATAAACCCTTTCGCATAGGATATGTAATGTTCATGCTTACCGACCAATAAAGAGTCTTATTTTATTTATTTTCATTCTATTTATTCACATATCATAAAAATATAAGTTAAAATGTTTTGATTCTCGCTCCTCGCTACTCCTAATACTTTTAGTCTAGTTTGGCTTTTCATCAAACGTAACATGAGAGTTCCCACTAGATAGTTTCCGTGTCATGATCTTCGGTGTGGCTAGGTTAAATGCACTTGTACTTACTAATTAATCATTAGGCAAATTGTAGATTAGCTAAGGCACCAAGTGACTGCTCTCCTCCTCCAACGTGGCCTTATCGGTGACCACCTTCGTGAAGTGGGCTCGGTACAGTTCGTCGTCGCTGTCCGAGCCGCTGCCGTCGTCGCCCATCAGAGCTACGCGGGAGTAGAGCTCGTTGGAGCGGGCAGTGCTGCGGCGGTGGTAGACGACTCCGCCAGCGATCACCACACCGACCAGGGTGAAGACCACCACCAGCAGCAGGAGCACTGTGGAGCCGGTCATGTAGTTCAGGGCCTGCGGTTCGTCGGACACTTCGGAAACCTCCACCACGGTGGCCATTCCGGTGCTTCTCACCACGTACGCGTAGCAAAAGGTCTCGTTCTGGATCTTCCGGAGCTGGCTGCCGGCGGCGCAGGTGCTGCACTGGGAGGCCATGGGTCCGTAGCAGGCCAGACAGCTTCGGTCGCAGATGACGCAGATTCGCGGGGGTGCCTCCACCAGCGGGATGAGGAGGGCACTACGCCGACGGCGATCCTCCGCCTGCAGAGGATCCAGCTTGTCCCCGTCAAGGGAGTTGGAAACGGACGAAGGATGATCTGTGGGCGGAGCGTCTGTCGTCGCATGCTCCTCCTGTTCCTTCTCTTCTTGCTCTTGGATCAACGCGTCGGCAGCCAGCTTGTCCAAGGGGTAGGTGTGTAGGGGGCAGACGTCGTAGCAGAGGTCCTCGAACATGTAGGCGGAGTCCTTGCACTCTGAAGAAGGTGAACACACATGTACACTTAGCAATTGATCTAGGACAGGAATGTCTTTAGGTTCTAGATTGGGTTACCTTTGCAGGCAGGTGCGAAGCAGTAGATGAAGTTAGTATGACTTGGTTAGCAGAGGTTAGCATTAGCATTCACCAAAAGCAGTAACTTATGTTATAATAATACATAATGTCTTAGTACTTTAGGAGCTTTAAGGCATGAACTTAAAGCCACATCTACCAAAGAAGACTAATTTTTTAAAGAAATGTAACAATAGGCATGCTCTTTATGGGTAATTCTTAAGCAAGCCAGGGGTTTTAAAAAGGATAAAATAAATGCACTGTTTAGTTTAAAAATAAAATTAGATAAGCAAGTTACACACAGCACTACCAATAAAAACCAAAAGATACATTTACGAAGCCAAGCTCGGAGAAAAACATGCTCGAAAACAAAAGAAATAGGAATAAATCAACTAAAGCCAAAGGTGTGCGCTTACATGGGTGAGTACTGTACTGTATATACTATACCCCATCTGGTAACCAATGTGGAAATGAAGGTGAGAGTTTAATAGTGTTAAGAAAAAAAAAACAAATTAAAAAGTGGTTAATGTCACACAGCAGTGAAGGGGGCAATATTGCAATATCCTTTTCACATAAAAAGGAACGTAAAACAATACAATACTTATGGAACGTAGAATGGAACAGTTTAGACCACACTCACCTTTTTGGCTCTCATCTCAAGAAATCTCAAAAATCGGAGGTCAGGCTTGCAAGGGGAATTCGCTTGCAAGAAATTATCAAAATTCTTTCTTCAATTTTTATATTCGAGCATGTTTTGCTTGCTGCTTTGATTTTTTCGAGGAAATAATTCGATTCAAGGATTCGTCGGTTACGGTTTCAATGCATTTATTTATTAATCGTATAGATATTATTATTATATTTATAGATATATACACAAACATACATAAAAAGTTGTATTGAGTTTTGGATAGCGGCATTCTCAATTTTCTTCATATCTAAGAATTTCATATTTTTTGTTTCTTTTGTTTTATTTTTTACATTTAAAAAAGTTGTAATTTCTTTCGTATTTGCAAGCATTAAATTAGGTTTTTGTTCCAATGTTCATTTACAATTTCGTAGTTTCAAATTTAATTTAATGACTATCGCTACCCCAGGCCCTAGTACCATTTTTATGTTCTCTTTTTTTTATCGAATTGTTTATTTAGTATAAGCTTAAATATTAATTTGGCTTTTATTTCAATTACTCGATTAAGTAATTGTCCTTCTCCCCAATGTCTGTTTCTAGGTGTATTCTGGTTCTTCAAGAAAGTAAGTACCAAAAAGATCAGTGGCGTAAGGGTCCAGAAAATATTTTTGGAAAATTTGAATGATTCAGATAGGTCCCCCTATATCTACGCCACTGGGAAAACTGAACCTCAGAATACACAGAAACGGAGCGAATTTAGTTATTTTGTGTTTTCTTGACGAAACTTAGTTGGAAAGTGGAACATAATTTATGTTGGTACTTGACAAAGTTTTGGTAAATACTTGTGTGTGTGTTCTGTTGGTTAATATTGGCTGTTTGTTCGCTGCTAGTAGTATAGAGTATATGCTGTGGGTTTAGGGGTTAATTCAACTATTTCTTGTATGCACAGAGAGAAATGCTAGCTTTAGTTCTGCTTATATCTTATGATCTGGCTAATATGTGTGTGACTGTGTGCGTGTTTACTAATTACAACAACAACAAAAAGATGTCCTTTCTCCTCATATCCCGTTCAAGTTCCCCCTTCATTTCACCATTAACTTTTCCCTATTAAATTAACATTGATACTTGTATTTGTATTGTTTATTGTGCAGTTACGATATGATTATTCATACAAAGAAAATGCATACACATTGAGATATTAATACCCTTGCAGAGGGTATTATAATTTTGTCCAAAATTACTATATCCTATAGCTGCCATATAACTGATTGATCGGAAATGGTATAACTTTGGTGTTTTTAGAGAGTTAGAGTAAGAGAGTTCAAATTTTACATGAGTGATACTTTTAGCAAAATAATACGACATGCCAAATTTCATAAGGATCGGCCGACTATATCTTACAGCTGCCATATAACTGAACGATCGAAATTGACCCAACTTTTGTGTTTTTGAAGATAGAAAGCTGAAACTTAGTACATATTCTATTTTTCAGTCAGTTAATCCAACCTACCAAATTTCATTAAAATCGGCCGACTATATCCTATAGCTGCCATATAACTGAACGATCGGAAATGGTATTTGGCAGAAATATCAATTTTCGTATTTTAGAAGATAGGAGCTTGGGACTTTTTTTTTAGATTTTTGATTGTAATTTATTGGTTTTATTATGATGTAATCATAAGAATCGGCCAACTATATCCGATGTTTGCGATATATATCCGGTTTTAACTGCAAGGGTATATCAACTTCGGCTCCGTCCGAAGTTAGCTTTCCTTTCTTGTTTCTTTTAAAATTAATCATCAGATCAAAATATATAGGTCAGATCACAAAGAAAGATACATAAGTAATCGATTTGTATTTTCGAATTTTAAGTAATGAAGCGTTTTGTACCAAGTTTCGAAAAAAAAATAATGATATGTGTCCTCCGCTCGAGCGGAGACTCAGATGCTGCTTAAGCGAAGGAATTAATAATAATTATTGCACTCGATTTTCCTTTTGATTTGTTTGTTCAGTGTATGATTTAATTAAGCAACAAATTGTTAACAAAGATATGTTTCTCATGGGTGTGTGTATGAGGTTGTGTGTGTGTGTGCGTTTTGGACAAATCAATTCGGCAACTCATCAAAATGTAATTAATTATTCATTTGATGGCCAAAATCGACGCAACCATTCAAGATTCTTGTATTATGTTGCAACTTTGTTGAAAACTGCAGGAACTTTTTGTATAAATTGTTAAGTATAATTACGAATTACGATTTAAGTGTTGTTACGATTGGTAGCTGCCTAATTTCCCATTAATACGCTAGACTTTATCCCTACACCTTAGCCTATTATTTAATTGTTTTCTCGAGTTACGGATAATGTTTTTCGTTTTTAAATTTTTTTTCTTACAAAAGTTGTTGTTTTTTTGTTTTTGTTTTGGCTCCTTAACACTAGAAACATTTAATTAGTCACTTAAATTTGGTTTTCTCTACGTCCACCTGGATTCCTCCTGCCCATTATTCAAGTTTAGTTTTAATTTTAAGAAACAGTCTTTTACTATGAACTTTAAACTGCAGTTGACCTTGCATTGTGTATCTGGTCGGCTGTGCTTCTCCTATTTCTCAACAAAATCAAAACGGGGGCAACTCAAGCTATGGATGGGCAAATATTGAAAAGCAAAGCCTGTGACTACTTGGCTGGCTTGGGAATATCTGAAATATTGCATCGTTTTGTAAGACATACATATGAACAAATATACACACTCGGGGAAGCTGCTCACAGGCCGCCTTATTTAAAAAAAGGGGAATAAAATGCAATATTAAAACAAATCAAAATAAACAGGCTTAAAAACACAATTAGACTGAACGAAAACAACCAAAAAACGAATCGTACAAATAAATTTCAACTAAACTCTTAACATAGGGGAATAAAATAAGTGTATATTCTTAGGATTGTGCGTATATAGCAAATGTGTGTATAATTGCATTTTGACTAAAATAAAACAAATACGCTTGGTTTCTCCCCAAAAGGATAAAAAGGATGCTCAATTATAAGTAACTTTTCTTTTTTTTTGTATTTTTTCAGCCCTGCCACGCCTACATACGTGTGTGTTGTCTGTTTTCGTGTAAATCTACGCTTACCTTGGAATTTAACTACAAAATTTTTAGTATTTACTTATATTTTTTGGACTTGCAGTGACTCCTTCTCCTCCGCTCTCTCCTAGTCTAAATTACTCCTTTTTTTAGATTTATTTTTTGTTTAATTTTCCCTTTACGTCCTGCTCTTTTGAATTCTTGTTCAATTTCCATAAAACTTTTAATTGGAAATTCTTTGTTCGTTCTCTGTTTTTTTGTGTGTTACTTTGTTGCATTTTTTACACAGTTCAATTTTGTTTGTTTGCCAATCTTTTCTTGCATTCTTGAATTTTTTTTTACTAAATTATCTAATTTTGTTCTTGTTCTTGTTGTTGTTGTTGCTTAAGTTAAGGAAAAAGGCTTGAAAGATCAAAATAAAGAGTAAAGACAAACCTAAGCACTTTCGATCGCTCCACTTAAGGCACGCGGCGGTGTTGCCCACATCGCCCACCTGAAAAGGATAATAGAAATTATGATATAAAATATTAGATATAATATAGGTATTTAAAAGATATAAATTAGTTTCCAACTTTAAAATAGCTTAAGCCTAGGCATGCCACTCAGCCCCTAAAACTAGGCTTTAATAATCAAGAGAATATCAATAATAATTATACCCGATAATTCTCATCCTTTGACTGACTATGTGTCTCTGACCTTTAATCTCTCAAGTTTAAAGCCTATTTTTAGTGAGTCCTTTGCCTTAGTTCGTTGCATGTTGCCGGCCTGTCTGGCATTTTAAGTACTTATGTGTGCGGCGGTATGTCTGGCTGCCTTTATTTATAGTTACCCCCTTTCCCAAAAAAATGGTCCGTCTGTCTCGCTATCTGCTTGAAGCCAACATGCAATGACGTCGCGTGTTAGTCCAACGAAGGAATAGTGGCTGGCAAAGGGGACTGGCTTGGGCCCGGCTCGGGGGCTTCTAAAGTGTTTGTTATGCAAAAAGTTTTTTTTGAAGCCATCGCAGCGGGCAGCAAGCGGTGCGACATAAAAAACTAAGGTCACTGCACTCACTCGCCTTTATTGCCGCCCATTCCCTTCTGCTTGGCCAGTGGAAAAAAGCCAGCTTTTAAAGCACAATAGGTGCCAAAAGGTTAAAAATTGCTGCCGGGAGGCCGAAGTGCACTTGAATAGAGCCCGGACTTTCAGCAAATCTGAAATCGTAGGCAAAGTTTTTGAAAAAATCTGATTCTCTGCAAAGTGAAAGAAAATCCTGTAGCTATTTCAGACTAAAGTAGAGTTTATTTTCAAGCGGGAACTAGTTTTTCTCGGTGTGAACCCGATGTCCTGCTGCCCCTGACAAAGGCAGTGCCTTGGCCCACTGCCAACGGCGCCGACTTTGGCTGCCAAAAGCGGAATTAAGATGCTGGGCGCAGAGAAAGGCACCGGAGTGGAGGAGCCGAAATAGGCCGAAAGATAGCTGCTGACAGTGTATGCTAAGTATTTGCAAATTTATGAGCGCCATCGGGCAAGTCCTTTGCTTATTTTGGCGCCCCAGCCTCCAGTTCATTGGGGCGTGCAGGAAAATGTGTACATTAACGAAAAGGACATGCTGGCAAACATAACGAACGGGAACGAGAACGCGAACAGGAACTCAGCTACCTGACGAACAAAAAGCAATATATAGTTTGGCAGCCACTGCCAATCAAGCTAGCCACATGCAAGCTCGCAGCGTTGTGCCGCGGTTCAGATTCAGGCTGAGATTTAAATTCCGATTCGGATGCGGGATCTGATCACTATGCGAGTCCTCGCCGACCGCCAAACCATCTACGAAGCACTGCAATACCAAGAAATAAACTGAAAACGCAGGCCAACGGGGCGGATGAGTAATATACAGCGGGACCAGAACGAGAGCCACTGATGTGGAATAGTTGAGTCGAATATTGGTTATGTGTGGGTGGGTCTGGGGTAGGATTATCAAAAGAAATAGTTGCTGAATTTATCAGAATTATGTGCTACTGGGTTTGAGCTTTAAGCAAGGAAGTTGGATAGCTTTAATTGAAGGGTATCTTCAAATCAGTTCAGTGGCTTTCGACTTTAATTAGTTTCCGCTGAAGACTATAGAATAAAATAATGAATCCCCGTTTTGAATAAAAGCTTTTTTTAGCGATAATTGGCTACTCATGCAGGTAAGAGGCTTTATAAGGAGAATGGAAGCGTGACTCACCTGCTGCATATTCCGCCACTGGCCGGTGGAATCGTACTCGATATCATTGCGGGCCACTTCGTTGCCGTACAGATTGAACTGGTTGGCCTTGCGGGGATGCTCCTGGTCCTCCGGCTGGGCGGGCGTTTCCGTTCCGTAGAATATCAGGCCCCATTGTGTGATTTGAGCTGTAAGGCAGAGCAGAATAAAGGATTTAGTTATATAGCTGGCGGGCAGTTAGATATGGTGCTCAATAATCCAAATTAAATCGAAATAACTATTCAAAAATCCAAAATAAAAACAAACTGCCAACGAAAAATGGTACAAAACGAATGATATATATATTGCCGATTGCATGGCGAGGCAAACAACAAACAAGCCATGTGAAGTGCCAATAAATCTGCGATATCAAGTGCCGAAAGCTAATCGCAACTTTCATCAGCACCGGCCCCGGCACTGGGAGGATAAAAATGAAAAATAGTGTTGCCGGAAAAGCATTTCGGAGTTGCACTTTGATTGATGAAAACGACAAGGTTGTGTGCGCTCCAGAATGGGTGAAACGATACAAAACTCAAGGGGGGGAAGGATTAAAACAAGTAACATTACTAAAACTAAAAACTCCATCGATAAGATAAGGTCTTCAAATCATAACATTTTTAATAATAATCCGAGATTTGAATAATAGTGGCTACCATTTGGTCCTGGGCCGTCTTTCCGCTGACCCCGCGGCTCCTCACGTTCGGGCGTGGCCTCCACCTCCACGTCCTCCATTTGCACCTCCACCTGGGCGGCCGGGCCCATAACCCCGGCGGCTGCCATTAGGAGCTGCTGTTTCTTGAGGATCTTCTGGTCGGGCAGGAAGCTGCTTCCTCCCGCCGGCATGGCGGGCAGAATCGGTAGGCTGGCCATCGTTTGCGAGGGCGGTGGCACCGAAGGCGACTTTTTCGTGTTTCCCTGACGACTGTTGCCGCCCGTGGTGGGGCGGAAGAGTTCCACCTCGAACTGCTTGCCCTGCTTGGCCTGTTTGCCGGCCTTGCCCTTCGGCAGGGTACTCTCAAAGGGTTCCAGTTCCGGGAAAATGGCCTGAATCTTCTCGTAGCGCTCAAAGAGCTTGGGTATGCGGGAGTCCGATGACGAGGTGTTGCCCTCCTTCACCTGCTTGGCAGCCTTAGTAGATCCATTGGCTCCTCCCCCGCTGCTGCCACCTCCTATCTCTCCCACCACCTTGCGCGGTTTCTCCTCAACGGTCTTCTCTCCAGAACTGTTCTTCGGCTTCGAAGACTGGACATTATTTCGATCCTGTTTGTTGTTCCGGTTCTGCTGCTGTTGCTGGGAGATCCTGTAGTACTTGTTCTTGCTGGTAGTGGTCTGGGTGGTGGTGGTGCTTTGGCTGGCTTGCTCCTTGCGGTTCCCAGACTTCCCCTTGTTGTTGTTGCCGCCCTTGTTGCCCTTATTGGGGTTCTTCTCCTTGCTGCCAATATTCCCGCCCTTGGCATTGCCATTGGCATTGGCACTAGGTTTGGCCAAGATGACGCCGTAGGTGGCCGATATCTGCTGGTAGCCCTGTTTGGGTGGTCCCGGGTTTAGCAGGGGATTGTTGGTCACGTAGCTGGACTTGTTCGGCTGGGGAGGCACCTTGCCCATCGGCGGCGAGTTGCCAAAATTGTTGGGAGGTATGCGGGGGTACTGTGGCGAGTAGGCCTGGTGCAGGTTACTGGTGGTGCTGCTAGAGTTCGGGGTCGTGGCCGCCTCCGGGCCGATCGGCTTTGGCACCGAGATTGGGTCGTTAGGGTCGATGGCGTTCGTGGTGCCGTAGAAGATCAGCGACCATTCCCTGAGCAGAGCATGGCCTGTCGAGATTAGTGGGTTAGTGGTTCAATGGGTGTTCGGGTGAGTCAGTGATCCACAAAAGCGCAGCATGTAAAACGGTACGGGTTTAAGCATCGATCTGGACAGCACTTGGTTTGGATTTGGTAGAAAGTGTGATAGACTTACCCATGTAACGCCCTTCGTTGTGGATCTCCAGCTGCCACTTGCCTCGTGGCGACTCGCCCCAAGTGTGGACTGACATGAAGGGCCACTGGTTGAATCCGGACCGCGAATTATCGTGAAGTCTGGAACGATGGTCATTAGTAGTGCAGTTCGATTGGAGAACCAAAGGAGGACCTACCTGGACGTGAGCAGTGTCACACTGGTGTTGGCTGGAGACCTGAGATATAGCTGGATATCACCGCGTCTCTGGGAAGTGAGGGTGATCTTGGCCTGGACGTGCTCCAGGTAATTGACCGACAGGCAGTGTTCGACAGTCAGCTGCAGGGTGATGTGTGTGTGCGGCGGTATGACCCTAAGAAGAGAAAGGATTAGTCCCCAGAAATTAAAGAACTCGCAGTCCGTCCTACTTGTCCGCATGGGGGGCATTGATCTCACAGCGCTGTTGCTCCGGAACCATTTTCCAGGAGCGGGCCACGCGCACCATCTCGGCGGCGTCCATCAGGCCGTAACCGAAGGAGTGGCTCACCCGCCGGCCCACCCCATTGCGCGACCAACTGGGGTCCTTGAGGTTCGCCGGCTTGGCGGTGCGCACCACAATGTGCTGCAGGTCACGCCAGGTGAGGTTCTGGTTGGACTGCAGCACCAGGGCGGCGATGCCGGCGGCGAGCGGGGCCGACGCCGAGGTGCCCGTGTGGGAGACCGTGCACGAGTGGTGCAGGTCCGTGGTGACCACCTGCTTCTCACCCTGCCCGCCGCTGCTGTAGGTGGTGGCCAGCGTGGAGCTGCACTTCTCCGAGTACCACGGCACGTGGCCCTCCTCGGTGGCGCTGGAAATGGATAGGGTCCATATGGAGTTCGTGTAGCCGTCGCAGTTGCAATTGTCCTGCTCCCGACCTCCGTTGCCCGAGGCCCAGATGAAGATGCTGCCCTTGCCGCCTCGGCCCTTGGTGGTGCCCTCGATGAAGGCCCGCGAGGCCAGTTCTCCGGGTCCGTCCACGGTTTTTCCGTCATCGTCGGGTCCCCAGGAGGCGCTGTAGATGTCGATATGCTGGGGGTTCAAGGACAGCGATCGTGCCTCCACGGCGTCAGTCACATCTCCGTCCAGCATACGCACTCCCCCGACACTGGCTCCATAGGCGATGCCCACGGCACAGAAGGAGTTGTTCGCGGTGGCAGCCACCTCGCCGGCGCAGCGGGTTCCATGGCGGTTCGAGTCCGTCATGTCGTAGTGCGGCATGGGATCATCGTCGTGGCTGTTCACATCATAGGAAGCCTTTCGATCCTGTAAAGAATTCACCATTTAATCCATAATTTCATTCGTTTAAGCTTAGGACTTACATAGTTTTGCTCAATGTCCGGATGGTCGGATTCCAGGCCATCGTCCAGGATGGTTACCACTACCCCCTTGCCGGTGATGCCTTGTTTCCAGGCTGGTATCACATTCATGTCCAGGCCACCACCGCGATTCTAGAGGGATTGGGATTGTATTTGAGACATCTAAGAATATTAAGGATAACCACTTACCAGATACCACATTTGGGGCCACTTGGCATCGTCGAAGGACATGGCATCCACCATTGACATGGCACGCGAGGAGGTCCTGGAGGGTCGCATCCGAATGTAGTCCCGTTTGGAGCGGGACTTGGCTCGCTGCTGCTTCGCCCAGTGGACGCGATCGTCCTCGTCCAGGCGGGTCTGGTGGTGAGTGGCGGGGGAGAGGGACCGCTTCGAGACCTTGTGATGTGCGAAGTGGTAGTGGTCATCGAAGATCTATAAGAAGAAAGATTAAAAATTAATAATATTTTAAAGAAAGCTAATAGTCTTTAGATTAGGAATTCTAGACTTTAGCAACCTTCGATTTTATTTTCTAAGGAAAGTAATAGCTCCTTCGCTTCATAAGCCCCAAAAGTTTAAATAAGAAAACTTAATTTTTAACACTGCTATATTTAAAATTAGTAGAAATGGAGGGAATCCGCAAGCTGGCGGACAAGCTGTTCACTCCGAACGAGATCCGTCGCTTTCAGGCCTACAAGAGTCGCTTCAGCCAGAAATACCTAACCGTGGATGGCCTCAAGTCCAATCTCAAGAAGGCCGACATTGGAAAAAATTTCAACCTACGTTGGTTTTCCTCGAAAAAAGGTAATACTTTTCCCAGCTCTTCCGAAGAACTCAACTAAAGTTTCGATAATGCTTGCAGAGACCGCAGCCCCAAAGGAAAAGAAATGCGATCCCTCCTGGGAGGAACTGCATCCCCCGGGACCACCGTACGAGTACCGAGACACGCACTTCTGGTACCCAGATCCGGAGCATCTGGCCGAGTACGCCAGCGTGGTCATGTATCCCAAAGGCGATCAGTGGAAGCAACGTCCCAAGTTCACCGGCAAGCAGTTTCCGCCGGTGGACCGTACCTTCCGCACCAAGTTCATAAATTTTGGACCCGCCCACCCGGCGGCCCACGGCGTGCTCCGCATGATCCTCGAGCTGGACAACGAAACCGTGCTGAATGCAGATCCGCACATTGGTCTGCTGCACCGGGGCACGGAGAAGCTGATCGAGTACAAGACCTATCTCCAGGCACTGCCCTATTTCGATCGCCTGGACTACGTCTCCTGCATGGCCAACGAGCAGGCCTACGCCCTGGCTGTGGAAAAGCTGCTGAACATCGAGGTACCCCGAAGGGCCAGATACATTCGGACTCTGTTCGCGGAGCTGATGAGGCTGACCAACCACACCATGGCGGTGTCCTCCTCGATATTGGACTGCGGCGGGATAACCCCGCTCTTCTGGCTCTTTGAGGAGCGCGAGAAGCTCTACGAGTTCTCGGAACGGGCCTCGGGTGCCCGACTGCATGCCGCCTACATCCGGCCCGGCGGCGTGGCCTCGGACATACCCCTGGGGTTCTCGGACGACCTGTACGCCTTCATCAAGCAGTTTGGCACTCGACTGGACGAGGTGGAGGACCTGGTCACCGACAACCGCATTTGGCGCATGCGGAACATCGGCATTGGCCAAATCTCCGCCCACGACGCCCTCAACTGGGGCTGCACTGGACCCGTGCTGAGGGCCTGTGGCATCAAGTGGGATCTGCGGAAGCAGCAGCCCTACGACGCCTACGACGAAATGGACTTTGACGTGATGATCGGTTCCAATGGTGACTGCTATGACCGCTACCTGGTACGCATGCGGGAGATGCGTGAGTCCCTCAACATCATCTACCAGTGCCTGGACAAGATGCCCGAGGGCGAGATCAAGGTGGACGACCGGAAGATCTGCCCGCCCCAACGGCGGGACATGAAGGTGGGCATGGAGGACCTCATCCATCACTTCAAGCACTTTTCCCAGGGCATCGTGGTGCCGCCCGGTTCGACTTACACTGCTGTGGAGTCGCCCAAGGGGGAGTTTGGCGTCTATCTGATTTCCGACGGCTCCTCGCGTCCCTATCGGTGCAAGATTCGCCCGGCCTCCTACGCCCACCTTGCCGTAATGGCCAAAATGGCACCCTCCCATTTCCTTGCCGACGTAGTGGCTATTATTGGTTCCCTCGACATTGTCTTTGGCGAGATCGATCGTTGAGTAGAAAGGGCTATCTTATGTATTTTATTTGCTTGTAAAAGTATAATAAAGGATTAAACCATGGCAGGTATGGTTTCATTACACGGAGAGAAGTAATGTGACTAGTTTGGTTTCTAAAATGTAACAATTTCCAGGTTCTATAACCTAAAATAATTTTCAAAGTGAAAAGTTGTAATACTTTTCGCTGCAAGCTCTCTGTGGCATCTACTCTAATTAAAATTGGTATTTATTATTTTCGGAATTTATGCCAAATTGTGTTTATTTACTCAGGCATGGCCTGTATTTTGTTGGTAGTTGCATTTCATTGGGCCAAATTCTTTGGTAAATTGCAATTTAGAGCAGCTACCATTACAATTAGTTGGCCAAGAAGCGCTGACAGAATTAGTTTTGGAAACTACTGGCCCATAAACTTTGTTACATTCTTGCGGCCGTCCGCAGAATGTCAGCTATTCTGGATGAGTGTGTTTCTCCAGAACTAGCCTACTATCCAGATACTGTTTGGTTTATTGAGTGTTTTGTGGATGGCCGAAAATTTCCAAATGGCTGCTCCTTAATTGGAAGAATGTAGACACACAAACACACGTGTAGCTAGGCATGTATCACTCCCATAAACATCATTAAGGGCCCAACATGAAGTTTCCCAGGCTCAGGTAAGCAAAAAAGTATGCTACAAAATGTAAGAAAAAATTCCAGGATATTTTTGTGCCTTTGGAAAAGCTGTTTCTCTGTTTACACATATAGACACCCAATTCTGAGAAAGAATTTTTTAGGAATATTCTCCACCTGGTAGAAAAAGCTTTTGTTTTTTGCCGTGTGCGGTGTTCGTGGAAGTCGAGCAGATGAATGGCCCGGGATGATAGTAGACATATGTGCCTACATCAGACCCACCTCCTTTTCGGGCCTCCACCCGGTGCTCCTCGGTGCCACGGCTGGGCAAGTACTAAAATTTTAATTGCTGCCACTCTCTGCGTACGTGTCGCCCAGCGCTCAAAGCTCGTTTAGTTTTTATGCCCGTCGAGAGCTATCCCCCCTGTCTGCGCCCCTCCAACTATCAAGTTTATTAATTTATGCAGCATACACTCACACACACCCAAATACACCCACGCACACACACGCTTGGATTTGTTTACTTGCTGCCTGCTCTTATGCATATGCAATTTTGTCCAACATTTTAATTGAGTTGGGTGGAAAAGTTAAGTTAATACCTCGCCGACACACACAAGCCTCCCACGCAGGACCACCCTGCGGGTGTCTATATTTTAGTAAAAAAAAAACAACACATGAAAAGGATCAGCTAGAGTCCTGCGAGGGCTGGAGTTTAATTGTTTGTTGCGGTTTCAATTAAAATTGACTTTTGCAAGAGGGTCACTTGAATCGACCGTAAGTGCTAAGACCTGGTGGGGAAATTAACTTTTAGAAGCCCTTAGGAAGTCAAATAAATATTTAAAAAAATTGAAAAAAAAACCTCTCATTTATTTAAAATTGCTTTACATCAACTAAAGCGTTCTTAGCCACAAGCAGCTTATTTTCTAGTGCATTTCCCGCCAACAAAAAGGCAATAAAACCAGGGCCATGGCTAGAAGCCACGTTTAGGAACAGAATAGGGATATGTTAAGCTGTGAATAATGTCCTCTCCACGGCAGCTTTTAAAATTGTCAACAACTTAATTAATCAACTCGGATGAATGCTTGGGGTTGGGCGGTCAGGGAAATGGCTGGAAAAATATACGTCTATAAACACGACAAAGTATCTAAAACACCATGCCATGCCACCATTTTTTAAAGTTTAACATTTTGTGAAAAAAATGTCAAGAGATTGCGGTTCGTTTTTTACAATCTCAAGTGCCGCCTGGGGTGACCAATGAGTGGAGACCTAGAAACTGGAGCAGAAACCGGAACAGGACCAGAGGCACATCCTACACCAGGTGACAGCCAGACAGGATACAGTCCTGTATAAATATATGTGCACCATTTCATTAGCTGCTAATTAATTTAGCACCCCCGCAAGCAGGAAATGCAGTTTGGATTTCCAATTAAAAGGGCGGATGGGAGTCTTCCTACTATGGGCTGCAGGAATGTGCGATTTCCCGGGACCCGAGCCCGGGTTGAAAATATTACAGAGTGTTAAGAGCGATGACAGGTGCAGGTTGAGAGCCTGAAGCTCTTGGGGTACCGGCCACAAAAAAATACCACAAGAGCCGTGCCCTGTCACCCAGCGAGCTGTGAAAGATGTCAACGCCAGTGAGTTTTCTGTAAAGAGTTCCCATGTCCCCAAAAGGTTAAAAATTATTTTCAGAAAAAAGGAAGGATAAATACAGTTAAAATAATAAAAAATAAAAATTTTAAGACATGAAAAAATATTTTAAAATCTGGGATGGCTATAGGATTGTGGTTCTAAGAAGGCAACTACTGTGATATGGCAAATGTGAAAATTCCTCCACACTCGAGCTCTTCGTCCAATCATTTCGGTGCCGAGTGCTTGCCATTTGCATATGGATATTGGATACATGGGCCGCCTTTTGTTCCCCTCATCATCAACAACGATGCCATAAAAACGAGCGTGTTTTTCCATCCTTGCCTTCGTGGTTGTAAGTTTTCCCCGTCGCCTTTTGTTAAAATATTTATAGAAAATGGCGACAATTTGCGACAACCAATTGCAGGTCAGAGGTGGAGTTTTTTCTGTTCACTTGGCTTCACGCACTTTGCATTGCATATTTATGGTTTTGTGTTTGCGGTCGGAGTGCTTGTTTTCCTTCTCCTGCCCTCTGCCCCGGGCAAACAATGAGTGGGAAAAACATGTTACCCACAGGTCAAACTTCATCATGATCTTAGTGCATTAAGATGGAAGTGTGTGGCCCCCGGCACCATTTGTGGGCAAACGTAAACATAGCTTGTAAAGCACTCTTCTGCATATGGCAGCTTTCCACAAAAGGTTGCCCTGAGAGCCCCGAGGAAAAGCCATTTCGTCCCCGGCCGGAAATCTCCTAGACACCAAAATACATAATTGTTTCCATGGGAGAGATTGTGCCCATCACATAGTTACCGTCAATATTTCCTTTTGCCTTTTTCCTGCCTATTTTTGCACTTCCAATCAGGTGGGTTGGCTGACGGTCCACCCCTGGCAGTTGGAAACTGTCCCCTGTGGGGTAACTAAACGCCAGACACAACCCAAGGGTAGCAAACACGTAGTGCAGAAAATTAAATAAAGCAGGAGATCAGCTGCAAGGCGGCCTTCTTGTTCTTTATGGCTTTTGGGGGAGCAATATACATTTTTTCGCAAATCTTTATCCTACGGGGGTTGTAACTGACGGGACAAAAGGCAAGGCACTTACCCTTTGCCAGAGACCTCTGGACATCAAACTAAAAACGTCTTAATGCATCACGAGAGATATTTGATGAGATTGGGAGGTTTCAGGAGCGACTTTCCTCCCATTTTATTGATTTATTGCCTTCGTGATTTACAATTCAGTTGCATGCGATACCTTTCTGGCGAAATGAATGCGGTAATTTAATTGTAAACAATTTTATAATTATGCACCGCATACCCCATTCAACCCGCTGTTGTTCGAAATTAATTGAAAGCACAACAAAAAATCATTTTAAATTATGCGTCAAGGGTGGTTGTGAAATATTAATGGCTCTGACAACAGGAGCCCTTACCAATGGCAACAAATGTGTTTTAAATTCAATGGAATCGTTTTACTATTTACGGAATGACTCGAATTTCCCCATTAAACAGGGCGCATGGATGAATATTAATATTCCAAGCGAATCAACAATTACAGCCATTACATTTCATTGAAAAACGATCAAAGTCCCAGCGAGTGTCCTTCAATCCGACTCTTAATCTGTCGGGTCCTTTTTTTTGACCCATCAAAGACGCATCGCTCCCGAGGAGTGATGGCCACCGAGTGGCCACTTGTCTCGAAATGTTGTTGAACAAAACACAAGAGCTCTGGCTCAGCTGGCAGCCGGGCAAACAAACGACATCCGAATCCCACTTCTGCTCTTTAAAATATGTACTTTTGTAATATATGGCAGGGCGGAATTTTATGAATCACTTGGAGAGCAGCAAGAGCTTCGTTTTTAAAGCACATTCCCCATTTTTCAAAAATGGAGCGACGTGAGCGGGCTATTTAATAAGCAAATAAAACCCAGAGCCTCCTTGGTCATTTGCATTCTTGAATAAGCCTGCATGTCCTTTGCCAAACAGTCGAAGTTTATGGCCTTTCGAAGGACAGCCAAGTATTCTGATCAAAAAGTAATGAAACTCATGCTTATTGGACAATACTTCTATTAACTCTTTTCGCACAAAATGTACTTTTCCTTGAGCTTAAAAGCTGAGAGACTTCTTCAATCTAGACCACAGCTGTGCGGATAACGAACATCCGCTTCTCTGGGTGAGGGAGTGCATTATGGTTTTCTGGGTCTTCAATTTGGGGACTCAGCACTCAGCACTTGGCAGAGGCTCATTAACCGCACACGAACTGCATTCACAGCTTGCCTCATCAAGACATCCATCGAGTTCGTCGAATCGAAAGCTCTGGGAGCTCCAAATGCAATCGAGGAATTTCCAAATATTTTTGCATTTCAATTGGCAACATCAGCACGGCCAAAGGATTAAGGGCCAGAGGGTCGGATGCGAGAGGAGCATCGCCATTGCACTGCCCTTTGTTGAGAATGGATTGCACTTGTTGTCTGTTGTCTGGCTTCGGCTCCGGCTACGGTACTGGCCCACTCCCCAACCAACTGACTGATGCCGATGATGGCCCCATTTGCTTGAGTAATGATGCCACTTGCTACTGCTGCTTTAGTTCATGGAATCAGCCCATTCAGTCCGCCAGAAAATGCAGCCGGAATCGATTTAGTACGTCCGCCTTAACCCCTTTGTGCCCGCATCCGAAACTGATTCTCAATCCAAATCCGCATCCGAATCCAAACGAATTTCCACATCTTCCGGATGCTGCCTTTTAGTTTGTAATGAAATGCGAAATTTGTTGCCGTTGCCGTCGCCGCTGCCGCTCGTCGACTTCTTTTGTCTCTTTGGG